TCGAATTCATCATCTTGAAGTTATTAGTGATATCGGAACAAAATCTTATCTATGGCCTAAACAACTGCTTGATAAAATAGAAGTTGAGTAAGAAACATTGCAAATTGCTATTTTTTTAATTGTATTCAACTGAAATTTTAATCACATTAATTAGGATCCCAAGTAACATTGAACTTAAACCTATCAGACATGAAGATTTAGAAAAGATTAATTCTTTGTGGTCGGGAAAATTTAAAGACTCCGAAAAGTTTCTTGAAGAGTTGATTAAGTATAATCCAAGTGTGGGTGTATACAATAAAAAAGGAGAAATTTTAGCATGGAATATGAGGTGATTGTAGCTTTCAATTTTATTTTCATCGTTTTGAAATTATAATATAATAATCAGGTTAGATAGCGGTTCAATGGGGGTTGGGCAAGTCGATTCTAATCACTGTGGAAATGCTTATGGAAGGGTTGCTATTTTTGGACTTGCTAAGAAAATTGCCCAAGATTTTAATTCCGATGTTCACTTTGAAATTCTCCATGGCAATACTCTTGTACAAGCAATTATTGAAAAGGCTTTTTATTTGCATTTAATTGATACTCAAAGTTGGATTTTAACGAAAAAGAAAATGAAAGTAAAATACGCACCCATGTGGGGTCATTTATGATTGTTTTATTAAATGAACCGAAAGCTTATTCAAAAGAAACGATGTTTTAATAAATATTTTCTGGGGAAAGGTTTAATGACAAGTCATAACACAATTTTTTTGCTAGCTTGATTAAAAGCTAGTGAATATCTAATAAAATAAATAAAATGAAAAGCAATTGTTTTGAACATTTTAATTCATCTAAGGTTAGATATCAATCGTAGAAGTTCTGAAATACAACTGAAAAGTGCTATAAAGTTTCAAGTTTTAAAAGAAAATTATCGTGATTTAAATTGTGTTTCATTTCGATTGATAACATTTTATAACTGCAATAATTTTAGTTTTAAAATTAAATGCCACGTTTATTTTTAAAAGTATTAACGAAATAAAAAATTTAAATGAATATACAAATGTTGTAATAATATCAATTAAGGAGAAGTTTAAGAGCAACTATTGTTACAATCTGATTGATCTACGCGTACCATCGCATCTTCGGGAACTCCGCATCCACTCATTGTTGAATACATTTCATCTACCAATTCACATTTTGGATACGGCAATCTTGTCAATATTTCAAGAAAAACTATAACAAGATTCTCAATTAAAAAATTTCATAATCTTAATGTAAAATCAAACTCACTTCCTGACCCATTTTTTGAGAAGAAACCACATTCACGACAAAGAACCAAAGCTAAACTTTGATCTGACACATGAAATATTTCGAATCTCATAGGAATTTCCACTGCAATATGAAATTCTAAGTTATCAAGGGAAACAAAAATTGTTAATTCACTTACATTCTGTGTAACTATTCACATATGTTCCATTTCCAAAGAAGTGCATTATTGCTTCTGTTTTGATTGTTTTTCCAGTACTGAATTAATTAAAATGCTTTCTTAATCATTAAAAATTTCTTTCATTATATTCAAAACAACCTTATTATGGTTTCTGTTTTTTCAAGGAGGTTTCTGTTGTCGTCAATGTTCGTAATGTTTAATCGAATGCATCTTGAAGTGACAAAAAGATGTGTGCCTTTGGCAACATACCAGATACCTAGTACCTAAACCCATTTCATTTCAATTTAAGTATTTACATAATGAGAATAAAATCACTATCTGACAGTTCGATAATTCTTTTGCCTTTTAGTATTTTTTCTAATAAATTTCATATTTATCTACATACATCTTTTGCATTTACACTTAAGCTTGATTTGCAAAGGTCATCACAATCTCCATTTTCCGGTAAAGGATATTGAGCTAACGATTGACCAATAATCGAATGAATGAAACAGTATAAAAATATTTTAAACATTTCAGATATACAAGTTAATTTGGTGAAATTCTAAAATAAACTGAAAGGTTTAAAATTAAAGTTCGCGTTTGGAAGGAGAATTGTCATGACTTTACAATTGTGAGTCGTTTTGAACAATAAATTTTATTACTGTAATACTTATTAAATTTCAAAGTTCATGGCCACGCGTTCAGATAACTAATTATATTAAAAAACATTGCATTATAAAAAGGATCAAATTTATAATTTTATGCACTCAGAAATAATACTCTAGATACAATAACCCGCTATAGCGGCGTCTTAAGGACTGCAAAAGACAGCATTTCTTATAAATTTTGACTTTTCAGGAAATGACGATTTATAAATCGTGACTTCATAAACATTTAAATGTTAAATTAGTACAACAATTATAACAAATATTTAATTAGTTGATGACACGCAAAAAGATGCGTAGTCTCTTGAATATCTCTTCTAAAGACGAAAGATAAGAAATAAGAAAAACTTTTTCAACAATTGGTTTAAATTATGCTTCCAGAACTGATACTTCTTATACCTACTTAATCTTATCTTGGTTTAAATAGAAGTCTCATGATGTTTCATATTCATACATGAAGCAAATCTTCTAATCAAGACTTACACACTGTGTAGTTATCAATCTAACAATATTAGTAATCAGTAACCATTCAGCTTTCAAACAATAAGCAACGTCTTTGAATAAAGTGAAAATGGAGAAAGAAGACTGCAAAAACATTATTTATGGCGGTGATCCTTCAGAAAACGGTTCGATTACAGATGGATGTGCATCCTTAGGTGAAATAATTCTCAAAAGATTACAAGCTGGTGGAGATTTCAATTCAATTGTACGATAATTTTTCTACTTCGTAGCAAATATTAAAGTGAATTAATTCTGATGAATTATTTCTTTAGATCAATGCAACAACTAAAGAAACTTGGAAATTCAGTGACGTTTTAAAGAAAAGCATGTCCATATCCAGAACACTTCACAATTTTGGTCTTCAACGAAATGACGTCATTTCAATTGTTTCAGAAAATCGTCATGAATTTTCTGCAATTGCTTTCGGTGCAATATTTTTAAGCGTAATTGTTGCACCGATTAATGTTACATACACTGAGAGTAAGAAGCTTTTTGGATTGTTTGTTGGATATTTAGTAATCTGACACGACTTACATAATGTTTTATTGCCACTCACTCTTGTTGTTATCTCTCATTTGCAGGAGAGCTTCTACACACACTTGACTTGTCTAAACCCAAAATTGTTTTCGTTTCGCCTTTCGCTGCAACGAAAGTCGTTTCTGTATGCAAAAAACTTAATTACGTTAAGAATGTTGTGATCATTGAGGACGATCAAAGTCAAACCGATAATTTCACTCTTTCTTTAAATGAAATGATTAAGAAATATGAAAAGATTTCTTTTAACGTTGACGATCATGTTCGAAGAAAAGTTGACATCAACACGCAAGTTGCTTTAATCTTCTGTTCATCTGGTACGACTGGTCTGCCGAAAGGTGTTGAAATAACTCAGAAAAATGCAATGTCTTGTCTTCAAACATATCGAGGATTTTTGAAATTTTTCAGAGCTTCCCATCAGTTGTCTCCAATTGTCATTAACATCGCTCCATGGTTTCATGTCTTGGGATTCATTTCCATGTTTATGTTGTCATGTACGCCTGATGCACTGTTCATATTTTTGACAAAATTTGATGAAAACGTTTTCTACAAATCAATAGAAGATTACAAAGTAAACTTTCTTATTGTTGTTCCACCAATCATGCTTCTGATGGCGAAAAGTCCTTTATTCGATAAATATAATCTTTCAAGTGTTAAAGGTGAAGATTTCTTCTGAACTTTTAAGAATTTTGATCAGTCTGGTTGACATTTTAATGATGTATTTAATCCTAGATATCTCAAGTGGCGCAGCACCATTAAGCAAAGAAGTTGAAAATCAAGTTCTTGAGAGATTCAAAGGCAAAGTCAAAATCCGTCAAGGGTATGGAATGTCTGAAGCTACTTATGGTGTTATTGGGGTTGTGGAAACTTCCAAGCCTGGTTCTATTGGAATGCCTTATAAGGGAGTTTATGTGAAAGTTATTGATGAGAATGGAAGAGCTTTGGGGCCGAATCAACCTGGCGAACTTTGCTTCAAAGGTGATAGAATTATGAAGGGCTACATCAATAATAGGAAAGCTACAAATGAGGCGATCGATAGCGACGGTTGGTTGCGTTCTGGTGACATTGGATATTATGACGAAGATCAAATGTTCTTCATTGTTGATCGATTGAAAGAGTTGATCAAATATAAAGCTTTTCAAGTTCCACCAGCCGAGATTGAAGGTTTGCTTCTATCAAATCCGAAAATCAAAGATGTTGGAGTGATTGGAATTCCTGATGAAGAATCAGGTGAACTTCCATTCGCTTTTGTTGTCAAACAACCTGGAGAAACTCTCACGGAACAAGAGGTCATTGATTTTGTAGCTGAAAATGCTAGCAAAGCAAAATGGCTTCGTGGTGGAGCGAAATTCATCGATGCAATCCCAAAAAATCCAAGTGGAAAAATCTTACGACGAGAAATGAGAGAAATGTACAAAAACTTCAAACCAAAACTTTAATAAAATAATTTTGAAAAGCAGAAAATTTTCGTTTTCAGTTTCATTCCAATTCCAGTAAAAGATTTTTAAACTCTATCCACAAATATCTACTTACTTACATTCCACACACTATAAAAAGGCATTTTCAAAATAATTCTCACCTAAAGCTTACAAGAAAACATATTCTCCAATTATTGAATCATGTTGAACGCATTGCGCAGCACATTCAAAGCATAATTCATTCAATGGCAACAAATTCAAATAACAATCACCAAAAGTTTAGAAAGAGAGTTTCCACTTAAGTGCGTTAGGAGTACAAAATTTATTTCAATTTATTTTATCTCTCTCGAAAAATAAACTTTAATTTTTGATAAGCAACTTAAGAGAGATTCAGTTGGTTTTGGGGTCTCATACAAACAAGTCAGGTTCTTATTTCTGAAAAACAAAATCAAATCATGGAAAGTGAGAGTGATTCTAACATAATTTATGGAGGTGATCCCGAAATATTTGGATCTTTGACACAAGGTTGCGGTAGTCTTGGAGAACTTATCTTGACAGGCTTACAGAAAAGTGGAAATAAAATTTCAATTGTAAGTGTTTTGCTTCAGAAATAGATAAGAATTTATTAGATTATTTAGAGAAAACTTCGAAAATGATTAATAAATAGATTAATGGAGCTACACATAAGATGTGGACATCTCGTGACATTCTCGAGCACAGTAAAATAATGTCGAGAACACTTTATGGGCTGGGAATCAGACAAAACGACGTCATATCAATTATTTCCGAAAATCGTCATGAATTTACTTCAATTGCTTTCGGTGCTATCTTTTTGAATGCAATCGTCGCTCCAATTAATGTCGTTTATACTGAACGTAAGAAATTCATTTTTGCATTAATAATTTCTTTAAACGGATATTGAACATTTCAGGTGAATTAAAGCATACACTTGACTTGTCTAAACCCAAAATTGTTTTCGTTTCGCCTTTCGCTGCAACGAAAGTCGTTTCTGTATGCAAAAAACTTAATTACGTTAAGAATGTTGTGATCATTGAAGACGATCAAAGTCAAACCGATAATTTCACTCTTTCCTTAAATGAAATGATTAAGAAATATGAAAAGATTTCTTTTAACGTTGACGATCATGTTCGAAGAAAAGTTGACATCAACACGCAAGTTGCTCTGATCTTCTGTTCATCTGGTACGACTGGTCTGCCGAAGGGTGTTGAAACAACACAGAGAAATGCAATGTCATGTCTTCAATCTCATCATGGTTTTATGATGTTCTATGAAGCTAATTATAACATTCCACCAGTTGCCATCAATGTTGCTCCATGGTTTCATGTTCTAGGCTTCATTTCAATGTTTATGGTTGCATGTTCAGATAAAGGAACTTTTGTGTTTCTTGCAAGATTTGACGAAGAAACTTTTTATAAAGCCATTGAGGTGAGAACACAAAATCAGATGAAACATTTTCTAAAAAATCTTTGCATTTTAGACGCACGAAGTGAACTTTCTTGTGTTGGTTCCACCAATTATGCTGCTATTAGCGAAAAGTCCTTTACTTGATAAATATAATTTGTCATGTGTGAAAAGTTAGTGAATTTTCTTTCTGAAATGCATTGACAAATTTAATGCACAATGCTTGTTGGTTTACAGATATTTCATGTGGTGCAGCACCATTAAGCAAAGAAGTTGAAGATCAAGTTCTTGAGAGATTTAAGGGTCAAGTGGTGATTCGACAAGGGTATGGAATGTCTGAGTCAACCTATGGTACAATTGGAGTTATTGACAGATTTAAGGCAGGCTCAGTTGGTGAAGTGATTAAAGGAGTTTATGTGAAAGTTATTGATGAGAATGGAAGAGCTTTGGGGCCAAATCAACCTGGCGAACTTTGCTTCAAAGGTGATAGAATTATGAAGGGCTACATCAATAATAGGAAAGCTACAAATGAGGCGATCGATAGCGACGGTTGGTTGCGTTCTGGTGACATTGGATATTATGACGAAGATAAAATGTTCTTCATTGTTGATCGATTGAAAGAGTTGATCAAATACAAAGCTTTTCAAGTTCCACCAGCCGAGATTGAAGGTTTGCTTCTATCAAATCCGAAAATCAAAGATGTTGGAGTGATTGGAATTCCTGATGAAGAATCAGGTGAACTTCCATTCGCTTTTGTTGTCAAACAACCTGGAGAAACTCTCACGGAACAAGAGGTCATTGATTTTGTAGCTGAGAATGCAAGCAAAGCAAAATGGCTTCGTGGTGGAGCGAAATTCATCGATGCAATCCCAAAAAATCCAAGTGGAAAAATCTTACGACGAGAAATGAGAGAAATGTACAAAAACTTCAAACCTAAACTTTAAAACTCTTCTTCTTCCTGTTATGATTTTTTATCTCTGAAATACAAACGCACATGGGGCTTTAAATAAAGAGAATGTTTAATCAAAACATTTATTATTTTTCTTCGTGTATTTCTCAGTCGTTGTTTCTCTCGAATATTTTGTTTCTCATTGAAACCAAAGAAAAATACAAACGCTTTTATTAATCAGTTTCTCTTACTCATTTGCGCTGTAAACAACTCAGAGTTTCTTTTGAAATGGATGTTAAAAGTGATCCGAATATAATTTATGGCGGAGATATAGAAATTCCCGAAGACGAAGAAGAGATTGATTATGCTTCTCTTGGAGATCAAATTGTTTCCGATTTCAAACTTGGATTTAACAGAACATCATTTGTAAATAAGATCAAAAACAAGAAAACTTTCGACAAATACAAAGGTTATCGTATAAATAAATTTATTATCAAAAACTTTATTCACACGTAGATCAATGGCGTAACAAATGAAATTTGGACTTTTCGTGATCAACTTGAGCAAAGCACAATCATAGCTCGAACTCTCTTTGGTGCAGGTTTTCGTCAAAACGATGTGATTTCAATTATATCTGAGAATCGTCATGAATTTCCTGCCATTGCTTTCGGTGCCTTTTATTTAAACGCAATTGTTGCGCCTTTGAACACAACATACACAGAACGTAAGTGTCAATACTCTAGACCTTATCGATCAACTTTATTTAAAAGATTTGAAGAAATTTTATCAACGAAATTTAACGCTCGCCAATATAAAACTTTCTACAAATTTACTTAAAAATTTTTCAATTTTTTTTCTTGTTATCCCTTAAGATATCCTTATCAATTTCTATTCGATAAGATTATTAATTATTTATCAAAAAAAATGTTATCAGGTGAACTAAAACATGCTCTCCAATTGTCGAAACCAAAGTTCGTATTCGTATCACCTTTTGCCGCTAAACGAGTGATTGCAGCCTGTAGGAAATTAAAATTCGTGAAGAATGTGATTCTTATTGGCGATGGAGTCAAGGGTGACAGTTTCGCAATTCCCCTTAAAGATCTCATCAGGAAGTATGAAAAGATCGATTTTAAAGTTGAAGATTTCACGACCAAAAAGATGAACACGAGAGAACAAATTGCTTTAATTGTTTGTTCATCAGGAACGACTGGAATGCCCAAAGGTGTTTCAATCACACAACAAAACATGATGACAACATTTAGAATCTATCGAGAAGCATTTAAACTCGGAAAAATGATTAACCCCGATGGAACTATTGTGTTAAATGTTGCCCCATGGTTTCATGCAATGGGCTTCGTTTCGATGTTTCTTGTAGCATGTTCAAGGGAAACAGTTTTCATTTTTCTCCCTAAATTTGAAGAAGAACGTTTTCTACAAGTCATTGAGGTAAGAAATTAACTAAAATTTTTCATTCAATGTTAAAATTTAAAATCTTTAGAAATACAAAATCAACACTTTGACTGTCGTGCCACCAGTTTGTGTCTTTCTGGCTAAAAGTCCACTAGTTGACAAATATGACATTTCAAGTGTTAAAGGTAAATTTAAAAGGTTTTTCATCATAAGTAAAAGTTTTTCAGTTTGAAAATCTTACAGTGATTGGATGTGGAGCAGCAGCACTTTCTAAAGAAGTCGATGAAAAGGTTTGCGAAAGATTAAATGTTGTAATTCGTCAAGGATATGGCATGTCGGAAACAACAATGGGAACTATGGGTACGAATGCTTTAGTTAAACCTGGATCGGTTGGTCAAGCATTAAAAGGAGTTTATGTGAAAGTTATTGATGAGAATGGAAAAACTTTGGGACCAAATCAACCTGGCGAACTTTGCTTCAAAGGAGATGTTTTGATGAAAGGCTATGTGGATGATCCGAAAGCAACCAGTCAGACAATCGATAGCGACGGTTGGTTGCATTCTGGTGACATTGGATATTATGACGAAGATCAAATGTTTTATATCGTTGATCGATTAAAAGAGTTGATCAAATACAAAGCTTCACAAGTTCCACCAGCTGAGATTGAAGGTTTGCTTCTATCAAATCCGAAAATCAAAGATGTTGGAGTGATTGGAATTCCTGATGAAGAATCAGGTGAACTTCCATTCGCTTTTGTTGTCAAACAACCTGGAGAAACTCTCACGGAACAAGAGGTCATTGATTTTGTAGCTGAGAATGCAAGCAAAGCAAAATGGCTTCGTGGTGGTGTGAAATTCATCGATAATATTCCAAGAAATCCAAGTGGAAAACTCTTACGACGAGAAATGCGTTTAATGTACAAAAATTCGAAATCAAAATTGTAAAAATTGACGATTCAAATTTGTATAAGGTGTTGGGAATGAATTTTATTATAAAGATTTCTTATCAAAACATTTATGTTTTAATTTTCTTTTTCTTGGGCTTGAGAGGCACAGGAACTTTAAATACAGTCGAACACGTTGTGCAGATTGGAGAAAACTTGCAAAATATGGATAAACAAACGGAACAGACGAAACCAATGTCAATCAGCTCTCGATGGCAAAAACAAGCAGCGCGGTAATCGACTTTGACTGGTGGAGGAAGAGCTAATTTTGAGCGAATTGCTGGATCCGGCAGAAATATCCATAAGAGATACTCAAGTAAACCTTCGATTTGTGGCACTTTCAGATATTGCCCGCCAGTAATGTCACAACCTTGTTGAAGTAAAACTAATGTGTTGTCTAATGCACAAATATCGATGACAACCTTTTCTTTTTGAGCTGTGAAAAATACATTCATGTATGTCATGTATTGATGAGCCGAATCTTCACTTCCAGTAATTACCAGGATTCTTGTGTTAAGATTGCAACCGGGCGGTTGACTTTTTTTAATCTGAAATATTTTTAACAAATATTATGAAATGATTAAAGGTTATAAATATATTATCTTACTCTTGTTATATAACATAATGCCATTGCCAAACATCCAGCTAGCATTGATTCATTGTTTGAAGCTACTTTTGGTGCATTTGTAATCATATCAGCGAGATTTGTTTTGATTGATTTTTCGACCAACGTAAAGTATTCATATTGTCCATCAATTTGCCTCACTTCAAGTGATTTATCAGTTGACGGATACAGAAACTTACTCGTATGATGATGACAACCTATAACTGCTAATTTGTTTTGAGGTTTTTGCATTAAATGCGAATTTCCAAATGCCGAAATTGAATTGAGAATATTTGTCAATAAATTTGGTTTTCTCTTTAAAATACTCTGCGATGGATTTGTATCTAATGCAATAACTAGCAAGCTAGGATCATCAGCGTTAAGTTCTGAAACGAAACAAGCTTTTAATATGTTATTATTTTGCTAATTGAATATCTGTCTAACCATTCATTTTTTCTTCTTTTTCTTTTTAAAAAGATTATTAGATTGTGAACTTGTTCACACTCTCCACACGAAACTCGCCTCCCATAAGTTAGTTTCAGGTGGAGAGTGTACAATTATCACACTCAGAATGGAATTTTGCAGCACTTTGTATGGGAGGTCAAATCCACGCAAGTCGAAAATCACTCGGATTAACCGCCCGCCGGATCTTTTCTAAGGGGACTGTCAACGTTAAAAATTGACGATAATATGTACCTTCCATAGAAGGTAACGACATCTATAGCGAATTTCAACTTCTCTTAAAAAGTTACAAACCCCTTCGGACATCGAATGTCAACAAACTTTAAACGTTTTGTGATCCGGATAATTTTCTTAATAAAATCCTGAAGCATTTATAGATATTTAGTTATAATTAATATGGAATTACAATACAAACGAGAATTAATTTGTTGTGTAAAGTAGAAAAAAAGCATAATTGAGCTTTTAATATTTGTTTTCTTGTACATGAATCAACTTTTAACCTAAACGAGGATTAAATAATATATTAAAATAAAATGCTTGATTCACAAGAGCTTGATGAGTTCTTAACGGAACTTAGTCAAGAGTCATCGCCTGTTTATTGCTTCGATAAACCACAAAGAGATGAAGTTAAAAAACTTAAATCATGTTTATCGTCCTTAAGGCTCTCAAGCAAAGAACTTCTTGAGGAATATAAAAAGAAACAACAGGAAGTAAATGACCTCAAACAAGATAAGGATAAGGTCCTGTTAGAACTGGAACAGCTTCGAAGAATAAACTATGATCTAACGAATGAAAACGTTAACAATAAATTCAATTTCGAGCAAATAACAAATGAGATGGAAGAGAATTTTGGTGAAAACATCAACAACTACATCGAGCTTTCAAAGGATTATCTAAGCCTACTTAGTGATGTGACTTGCTTTAATAATTTTGAAATTAAGGCTCAACATAATAAAGCAATGGCTAAAACAGAAAAATTCTTATTTAAAACATTAAAAGGGGAATATCAGAAACCAAAGATTATTAATTCGAAACGTCTCAAATGTAAAGACGACAATTATTCAACCACAACACGAAAATCTTCTCGTATAAGTAAAAAAGATGTTGTTGGCATAGAAACAAATTCTAAACGTCGTAAAATAGATATTTGGGATTTGAATTCAATATCTCAAGTCTCATCACCAGCACCAACAATTCCCTTTAATGAGGAAACTTCAGATTTGTCATCGGAAGTTGATTCAAGTTATTCTTTTAATACTTTCTCAATTGGAAATGAAACATCTTTCACCTTTCTTGAACGTCAAAAAAGTTCTACACAAAAGGATGATTTTCAATGCAAATGCTCTCAGCTTAACAATGAAATCAATTCAACTCTCATATCAGTTGGAACAAATACTGATCAACCTCACGAACCACCACCGAGCTTACCTTCATTGACTGATAATTTTGATAATCAACTTTCAAGTGGTAAACTTTCAACTAAATTCGCTAGTTTTAAAATTAATTCAAATTATTTAATTTCAGATGATTCGATAACAGATTTTAATGTTGAGGAAAACGAATTAACAGAAAAACCTTCTGAAACAAGTGAGAAATATAAATTAATTAATCATCTTCATAAATTGAATAATTTGAAATTATTTTTAGTTAAAGTCGATGCAGCTACTGAAACTGAGAGCATTGAAACCGAAGTTAAATTACATCAAAATTTAGAAGATCGTGGAACGTCACCAATTCCAATTGTTATGTGTAATCAATCGACAATAACTATTCGATCTACAACAACTCGTGGAACGAGCACAAATTCAGTCGTCATGAAGAACTGTGGAAATCAATTTCCGGAAATTTCAATAGAAAAAATCTTAAATGAATTTAATTTCGAGCTTCCTGACTGTTTAAGTCCCATCGAAGATTTGTCATTCGAATCCGATGTTGAAAAACCGCAAACACGTTCCTCGGAAACAATCACAGATTATTGTAATGTCAATCGTGAGATTGTTTATGCAAGTGATTTGGTTGGGAAGTTAAAGACAGAAAGAAAGTCAGTATCAGATGAATGTGAAGAAGATAATTCGGATGATAAAAGTTTCAATATGCTAGGAAAAGTTCTCTTTAATTTATTCTTACAACGTATTCGTCCTAACAATGATACCGATGACAGCAATGAAGTTATGAAAGAAAAGATTTGCAAGCATCTTAAACGACAACTTCTTGATAATTTCACAGACATGTCATTTGATGAAGCTTTCAATTTTTCAGTCTTGGATTCATCAGAAATCGTGGAAAAAATTTCATTCGATGATGGAAATAAAAATCAAAATTTAGTTGAAGAAGTTGAGATAGAAGAGCCGAGCGAATTCCAAGACGTCGTGGAAAATGTTTCATTCGATGATGGAGACAAAAATCAAAATTTAATTGAAGAAGTTGAGATAGAAGAGCCGAGCGAATTCCAAGAAATCATGAAAGAAATTGAAAATTTTAATTCAAAAGTTTCGTCGTTTATCGAACCAATTAAAGATTTACCGGAGGTGATGTTTGATTCTTTGTTTCCTGAAATTGAAAGTTTTGAAAATTCGCCACTTGAAGATTCATTAAATGATGTTCTGAGTGGATTTGATGTCGAGCATGAACCGATTGAAATTCCCCTTGAAAAAGACGATCAAAATTTGATTGAAGAAAAGCAATTTACCGAATTTGAAACTCCAAAGTCGCCTGAACCATTTATGATGGGTTCAAATGAAAACGATGATGTCACTGAGATTCCAACAGAAACTCCATTGATCATCAAAAAGTCATCGATAGATGTCGATTCAATTCTTGAATTTTGTCCGTCATTAAAACTAAAAATGGTAAAGTGGAAACAAACACAAAAAGTTTCTAGTAAAGCTGACATTTTAGAGCTGGAAAGTGTAAAGAACAGTATTAAATTATATTTCGTTGATGAGTGGACAGATGAAAATCTTTCCAAATGTCTTAATTCAATTGAAACAACAAAAGAATTCAGTTTGAAAGAAGCAATTTTTGGAATAGTCGAAGATAACAAAAATGAAACTGAGATTGATGCTACATTCACACCACCAGCACCTCCACTTCCACATTATCAACAGAAATTGATTTTATTGATAAAGAAATTATCAGAAACCTTTTTGAATCTGCCACACATACTCATTGATGATTTTGAGGAGAAACTTTTCAAATTTGAAAATAACAACATGGAATTGAGTGACTTACGTAACTTAACTTACTTTTATACCTCACTCGCTGATCTTTTCTTTGAAGGAGATGCAAGCATGCTTTTCTATTTCATCGTTAAATCCATTTACTTTTTTGGCATTAAAGCTGTCCCCATTGTATTTGTGGTTGTCAAAGCATTTCCTTATGTGTTGCCAAAGAAAAGTTTGCTGCTTAAGAAGTACAGCAAAAATATTGATTGGGAGAATATGACAGGTCTTGAATTATCTAAAGTTCATTTAGACTATAGTGTCATGGATTCATTGGATTTAACTGTGATGTATTTGTTGGCATGCATTCAACGAAATCTGTGTGGATCAGCTTGTCGGAAGTCTCATAGTCACATTGGTTCTGGAATCAGAGGTCACGAATTGTTCAACTTTATTCAACGATTTTATGGATTTCCTTCAGGATTTATGACAGAAAACAAACTATTGGAGATTCTTATAGAGCGATTGGAAGTTGGTGAACATCAGAATCTTTCAATGAGTTTGATTTTGTTAGCCAAACGAGCTAGTCAGGAGTTTACATTGGAAACAATTGTTAACAAAAATTTACTTCCGATGCTTAATAAGTTAGTGTTATGTTTACATGGGAATCTCTCGGATCTTCAAACTAGCCAAATGTGTTTGCTTGTTGAATGCATTTCATCAATTATCAAACCGTTTCCAAAAGGACAAACTTTTAAAGAAGCTTTTCCAGTAATTGTGAGCATTGTTGGTAGAACGAAGCAGATGAAAATTCAGGAAACTTGTATCAAGGCGATTCTAAGACTTCAACGTCTTTTTGACAATCATAAAGAAATTTATACGATCATCAAACATTACCTCATGACATCTGGATCGAAGCAAAATGATGGTTTAATTTACGCAATTAAAACATTCATTCATAGAAAAAATGAAAAGTTCTTTAAGGCATGAAATCTTCTGTTCTTTTCTATTTAATAAAATATTCTCTCATTAGTTTGAAATTCTGTGATTTAAATTAAAATGTCATTAAATAAAATTGATAAAATTAAAATTTGTTCGAAGATATTGTTTCTTAATAGTCTATAATCGTAACGGGAAATTTATTTAAAATTAGGAAGCAAAAAAATTTGAAATTCCGTGGACTCATACACTCTCCACCTGAAACTAACTTTTTGTGTTATAATAAATTATTTTTCAATTGTGCACAATTGAGTTGTTTTTGAAAAGACTTTTTTCAAATTTATTGGGAATATTTGTGAAGGAAATAACATTTCAATTCGATCACTCGCAACAATAACTTCTGATAAAAATCGTGCAATCAAAGAAAATAAAAATTGGACGTGTTTAATTAGATTTAAAGTGAAATATAAAACGAAGAAAAAAAATTTCTAGAGGAGAAAAAATAAATACAAATACGAAAACAAACATCTATAAGGAGTTAATATCAAAAAAGAATTTGTCATGGATCTGCCAATACAATTGATTGTTAAGGTTCAACAGTTTGAGGATAAGCGAATCGAGGCAAAGGCTTCATGGAATATTAAAGAGCTGAAAGGGAAGCTCAGTGAAATTTATCCAACAGTAAGTGCAAAAATAAACTTTTAGAGCGGAAGAAAATTCTTATAAGAAATCAGATGAAAAATAAATAATTTTGTAATCTCATCTATTACTTCATAACGCTACATGCTTTCATATTCACTTTCTAGCACAAGTCTTTTATTTAATGACGACAACGACCTTGCAAAAGAAGAGAAAATCTCAAATAATAAAAGTTAATTGATTACTTCGATATTTCTTTATGAATGATCATTTATGCTTCAGTTTTAAAAAACTTGAAACATTGTTTGACCTTTTATATTGTGAAAACATTGATGACGATCTATAAATAAACAAACGCGATAATTGTTACTTTTGCCGTTGTTATTGTTTCTATTTTGATACTTATTAAATAAAATTCATTTCAGATAATTCCAATCGAGCGAAAGAATAAGAGACACGTCAGTTTTGTTCATTTCTTTTAATACTTATATAAAAATTTAGTCATGCACAAAAATATTGTTCTTGATTGTGTATTATCTACTGAATTTAACAACTTTTCTACTTTGTATTTGTATGTACAGCTGATATCGCAAGCCATTCTTATCAGAAAAGTCTTTTCAATACTAATGTACATAATAAACTGAATTTTTTTCCTGTAAAACTCTGGCAAAATGTTCTCGATGTTTCAGTTTGAAATTTAAATTCAACTTTTGAAATTATCGCTCCGAAAAGAAAAATTATATAAAATCGTGTGTCACTTCAACTTGTAAGTTTAGTTACCAGTGCAGAAAGTAAAAGAAAACAAAGTAAAAACTTTCTGTAATCTAAAGTTATCATAACTTCGCGGAATAAAAGTTTTTGCAACGATTTCAAGTAATTTAGCGACACGTCGGTTTTATATTATTGTTGTTGCTGTTTATCACTTGGATATTTTTGTTTCTGTTTTCTTGCTTAGATATCTATCTGCATATCCGAAGATTTATGAATAATTTTCATTTCCTATAAATATTCTGATGTATGCTAAAATTTTTACGTTTCGTCGCATTATCTTCAATTTTGGTTTCGTTTATCCAAAAATCGCGGAGATTTACTAATTATAAATGCAAATAAACTGTTATTAGTTTATGATAAAAAGATTGACGGCTATTTTTTGATCAATTTTATGAGATTAGATAAATGAACGACAATTTAAAAATATTTAAAAAAATATTTGTTTGATCTTTGATAAAAAAAGTTAATTGCCATTGTTTATGGCAAACATGAAAACAAACAAAAAATGTTAACAAATGTTTCAATTGATTTATTTTAGAGTACAGAAGAACAGAAACTAATTTATTCGGGAAAACTTTTAAACGACACGGTTGTTTTAAAAGACGTACTACGTGAATACGAAGGACAAGAAGCCCATACTGTTCATTTGGTTTTCACACCTAAGTCTGGTCGTAACCATTCAAAATTCGACACTCAAAGTGCGAGGCAATCATCGATATTGAACAGCAATTCCCAAAGTACGACTCCAATGGCAGACATGACAACAAACGAATTACGGCAAAGAAATGTCTCATCATCAACAACACCATCGTCAAATCTGAATCAAGATCAACAGAATCCAAATTTGATGAACATTCCCAGTAATTACCTAAATGCCTTCTATGGATCTGCAAGTGGTCAGAATGACACGAATAGTCAAATCTTAGCTCAACAGTATGCAATGCAAACATGGATGCAACAAGCTTACGCTCAATATATGAACCAGTATATGAACCTACTTTCATCACCAGAGGCATTTTATCAGCAACAACAACAGCAATCACATCAACAATATCCACACAACTTTACATTTCTACCGCCTCAAATGCCTTTTGTTACGCCATCAACAATTCTTAATGAAGCTTCATCGTCTCAACAACCATCTAATGATAACGAGGCATCAACAACAGCAGCTGCAGCTGCTGCTGCTCAACAACAACAGCAACCACAACAACCAGCAGCTGAAGCACCACAAAGACGATTCCCAAACATCATTCAAGATGAGCAAGAGAATCGTGATTGGCTTGACATTCTTTATTCAATGTCACGACTTATGATTCTCTTGTGTTTGGTTTACTTTTATTCGTCGCCAATTCGATGTCTTGTTGTCATCCTAATAGGCATTTCAATTTACTTGTAAGTGCTAATGGGTCAAGTTCATTACATATTTACTTACGTGCGTTATTTTATTAAATAATTTCAGGTATCATATTTACAAGCAAAATCAAACTCGTTTGAATAATAACAACAGTACAAGAGTCAACCTTAATGTTAATAGACCAGTCCCAGTTCAACAGCCTGCAGCGGAAGTAGAAGGTCAAGAAAATGCGGGAAATGATGAAAGAACTGAAACAGATGGTGGATCGTCAGAGAATTCTTCGGTGCAACAAAGGCAAGGTGATAATGAAGCTGAGTCAATGATGAATTCAAATCATGAAGCAACAGCGGCACAACCTGAGCCTCAAGTTCCTGTCTTAACTATTGTAAGAACATTCGTACTTTCGTTTTTCTCATCAATCATCCCTGAAGCACCGGCATTGTGAACAAACATCGCAATGTTTGCAGCCATGTACATTGTTTCTTACGTCATTTTGCTTGTTTTCAAAAGATTTTATAATGCACCATGAATCTTTAATATTTAATAATGAATTAAAAGAAGGAAACAAAAATTAATTAATATAAATTCTCTACAATCAAAAACATGTTTAGGTGCATAACGTTAGTTTTGGAAGATTAATTAAGTTATTGAAGCGGTTTCTTGAAGCCAGTATATGACCCTAAACGGCTGTTGGATATTCGTAAGCCTTTTTTCTATTCATTTGTAATTTTTTGTATATTGGGGACAATATCAAATACCAAACAGGTTTTGTTCGTTTGTACTTTGTTTTTCTGACTAACCTGAGGCAGTTTTTATGGTGTTAAAGATTTTCTGAAACACTCGCTTAGATCCCAATGTCGTTTGAAATTGCTGTAAAACTGTAAAAAAATTTAATCATTGATTCTTCCTTTAACATAAAAAATAAAATTTTTCTGTTTTTGCTTTGTTATGTTACGGATCTAATCCCATGAAAAGCTGATAATAAATGAAATTTAAGTTAAGAAAGAAATTTATCTGAGAGAAAGAAAGGAGAATATTGGAAACTGTGTTAGATAGAAGTACATAATAAAACGTTGATAATATTATCGATATTCGCGACCTTATTATTCGACTTTATATTTCTGTGTAAAGAAAAGGAAAAATGTAATAAAACTTTATCATTGATTTATTCTAGAATTATTTGCGTTTCGATAACATTTTTTATATTTTCTTTCAGTGATGATTGATGTTCAAGATAATGATTGAAAGTTTTCGATGATGACCAAAAAAATAAAACAATTTATTGGCTGGCAGTCGGAAAGTCTTTATTTGTTTATTATTGTGACAATGGCTTGACTTCAATCATCAACCAGTCGTACAAATCATCTGAAGTTATTGTAAAATAAGTTTCCGGTGAATGTCTTGGCTATCAACTAACAGCATAAGTCATGGGTTGATGACAAACCTGTTTGTTGAACTTGTTACCATCTGTTAACTCTAAAAAAGAAAATTATCTAAGAATCATAAAAACTTGAATTTTTTTATGCTGTTGACGGATTATTTTTCGCTCTTATCAACAGATTTTTTATTTTAAGTTTTTTTTCTTTGATTAGTTTTTTTCTTCAAATTCTTGCTACAAATTTCTTGAGTTTGAATTGAATAAAGTAAGTTTTTGTTTCAGAGAAAAGATTAAATATAATTTTTTTTCTTAACGATAAGATTATCGTGAAACGATTGATCAATTTCACGAATCAGCAACCATCCGATTAAAGATTTTTTTATTCATTTTCATTTCATCAAACTACGTAACTTGCACTTTAAAGTCAACTACAGTGAATTTTCCTCTCAGCTATTTCAAAACCATTATTTTCCAATAAATGCAAAAATATGTGTTTTTATCATACTTATTCACTCTGTTTAACATCAAAGGACCTCACATTGAATCCATTAATGAATAATAAGGTAAACACTTAGTTGTTGTGAAATTAACAAAGTTTTTCTCTCGAATTCTATTAATTTTCTAAAAATTTTCCATTGTTTAAGTAGATCCCAGAATTTCATTTAAATTCTCTCAGTTTTATTTTCGTAATCATTAACAAAAAGAAAAAAATAATTGAATGGATTTGAATGTTCTACGAAAAAACAAATTATTCTGCGAAAATCTTTTCCATTTATTTTAAATGATAATTTTCAATATTAAACTAGATATCATCTTCATAATACAAAGTGCTTAATTAAATAATGTTCTACTGTTTAGACAGAAAAAAGGAAAAAATGTTTTCAGTTTTTTATTATTTTGTAGTTTTGCCACTCATACTTATTCGAAAAAAATGACCATCAGAGGTAGTTGGCAAAATGATCTAAAAAATTAAAGCAGCAATTAAGTGAAAACAATAATTTTGCTGTCATTCAACTGCTTTCAAAATTAATTTGCGCATCGTAAAAGTTTATTTTTTTGCGATTTGATATTTATGTATCTATGTAGATATCAAGAAATCTTGAAGGAATACTTAAAAGAAGTCGTTATAGGAAACATCGAAGAGTACTAAAATGTGCCTAAGTATAAGTTTAAGAATTTTCTTTCTCTCTTTTTCTTATAATATACTGTGAGTAATTTTCTTCTTCTTTTGAACATCTTTTACCTTCGCAACGCGAAAGCTAATAAAGCTGTCGAGGATGAACAGCATAAAATATTTTGATTCTTTTATTTTTGAGCAACTTTAAAAAGTTGATTTTGGAAATTTCATTTCAAAAATTCCTCAAACAATAATGAAAAGAATAATAATAGCTAATCGATTTCTTTTGAGAGTAAATCCTCTATGATTAGATAATCAATTTCATGATAAATGAATTCACTTATCGTGCAGCTAATTAACGAATGTAAGTAAACATTAAAAGGTTCTAAGCTTTAGCGTAACTCTTGACGATCCTAAGCAATCGTCATCAATCTGTGCATCAATAATATTATTCAAATGTCCTATTATTCTTCCTTATAAAGTCACCCACACCTTATTATTTTCTTTTTTACTTACTTATCATTTGAAATTGAACTTTAGATAATTTTCCTTCCACCATCATAAATTGACAACAAAAGTTTTAAAACTCTTAATGTACTAAAAAGGTATTCAAGATTTGATTTAAAGATTTCTACTCGCTAAAGTAAATACGTAAAATAAAGCAAATTAGGTAATCTTTGTCAAGTATAAAAGTATTCAACACAAATAAAGAAATAATCAGAGTATACTGATAAAGTAATTAGAAAAATAAAACTAAAGAAATTACAGACTATCATCCACTTTAATCAACCCAACGAAAGTGCGGAATCGATGGTGAAATGGTGAACCAGTGGGTGTCGTCAATATGCTTAAAGCCGAGCTTTTGGAACATGTTGCGTGACTTGAAGTTATCATCAACAATTCCGGCTGTGATATCCCGGTTTTGCTCAGCTAATTTCTTTGACATAACTTTGACAATCAAAGATCCGAGACCCCGTCGTTGAAAACGTTCATCAACTTGCAATGATCCAAATGAACCCATCTCAATTCTAATGGAAAATATACAGAAATGGGATTAATTTCAGTTACCTAAATAGCAAAAATAAAAGATTTTAATCATTTTCATTTAGCGCATCTGACAAAACCAAATGGAAAAAAGTTTGAGAGACACTGAAAATTAAATGTTTAAGAAATCAAAGAAAATTTCTTACCTCAAGCACCATGCAATGAGTTCGTCATCTTCTTTCGTGAAAGCGCCAATGTTCATATTCATTTCGATCAATCTTTGTATGAAATACAATGATCCATTATGCTTATGTGGCCACAAATCATTGATTTTCTCTCCTTGTTCTGGAATCAATTGTTTCAAATAAATTCCATCAGGTGAACTGTAACAATAAGAAATGAAAAATATAAGCAAACACATTTGAAGTAGCTATAAAAAGAAACTCACGTCGTGTCAAACTGAAGGGCTTCCTCCTTAGGTAAGTAATGGAAATTCAACATAAACGAATGCACAACAGGCAAACGTTTCTTCTCGATGATCTGCAAGACAGCTGGCAAATGACGTTGACAAACAGACGAAACATCAAAACCTTTACTCCAATCCAAAAGATTTAAGATGCGTTTTAGTTTCTTGTTGCTTTCGTCCAGGGTATACATGAATAAGCGATAGCGATCCTAGAAAGATAAACAATAATTATTATCAATGTCAAATTTTTTTGTTATTTGCTTCAAAATTTGAACTCACGATAATAACAAAAGTTCCATCTTTTCTCCATTCACCATTCAAGCTGTAAATTTTTAAATTCTTGATGTTGTTGACTTTCTCCAACCATTCCATGTAGTTTTCAATCAGATAGTAAGCAGTGATATGCTTCGGCCAGTTGGCCTTAAACATATTCCTGAACTTGATTAAGCTGTATTGTGGAACTTCAATCAGCTTGTCTTCACCATGGGTGTCATCAGCATGTCCGTTCGTTTTCGACATTCTAATTATTCTCTTTTTCTCCTTTAAAACGTTAAAAATCTTCTCCTTTCTTGACTTTTGTTGTTGCTTCTATGATGCGATTGTTGCGCAAATTGATTTCAAGTGTCGAATTGCTTGGACTTGTTAAGCTGTTATAAATATTTTTCGATCTGTCGTTTGACGTCCGTTTTGTATTTTGAATACTCGTGTGAGCGAAAAAATAAACAAAATCTACTCCAATTTTTATTTTCCTTTCCTTCTTTCGTTATTTATGTTATTCGATCAGTGCTGCTGTCGTGAATCTGTTTTTTGTTTAGTTTCAATTTGTTTTTCCAACGTCATGTCATGAAAGAAAATCAAAAGAAAAAATTCACTATTAGAGAAGATTAGAATAAAAATACATAAATAAATGATTAATTATGATAATTTGGCATTAATTTCTTATGTTTCGGTGGTTTAAAAAAAGAAATTTCTTCTAACTGAAAACAGAATTCACAAAGTTTCCGTCAGTTTTCGTTAGATTCAATCTATTTTTGAATGTGACGATCACAAGTGAGCGTCTTGGCACGCTTCAAAAAGTCATTGATCACGCAATCTATTTATCAACGAGTTTAGTAGACGAAGACGGAAAAATAATCGACAGTGGAAAAGGCGTGAAAACGTGATAAACGCCCAAAAAATTTTCTCCCTTTGTGTTTTGCTTTTCACAGATAAAAAATTGTTTTTAAAAAAGTTTTTATCTTCAAGCAAAACATCATGTGCGAAACGTAAGATGCGATGCGGCATATCATCAGTTTATAAATTCATTGTTTTCTTAATGTCGAAATTTTTGTGATGAAATGTAAAGAACCGAATAATTTTTGTTTACGTTAACATATTAATGTTTGGATATATTCACACTTACAAAGTCTACACTGACTGTGAGGCTAATGATCTACACATCGTAAATGAAATCAACCATTAAATAATATAATTTTCCTCTGAAAGTCAGAAATACGATTTTTCTTTTCAACTTTATTTTCAAAAAATAAAAATTGGCAACCGATCAGCACTTTCTTTTGTCATGTGGATCGGCTGACAATCTCGAGAGTGTGAATGCTTAAAAAAGACGTTCAAGGTTCAAGAAACACGATTTGCTTATTTTTCTTTTATCGAAGTCTTTTTAACTGTCAAACATGAGTAAATATCTACACTTGATACACTTTGTGTCAGAAATCTTATGTGGAAAAAATCTTTCATCGATTGTGACAGAGAATGATAAATTGCCAGCAACAAATTCTCAATTCTTTTACGTATAAACCTTTGATTCTAATCAAACGTGTCACAAAAATCTATAAATAAGTTCAATAATCTTCTAGTGTACTTAGAATTACGTTGGTGCTATGGAAACATTCGGATTCATTTTTGTTTTCTGTTTAAAGTTGCTACAAAAACCTGTTTGAAAGGCTTTTGATGTTTCCGTGCAAGTATTGAACGGTATAGAATAAAATTTTCCCGTTCCCTTCATCTTTTGTTTCAACATGCAACACTTTTCTTTACCTGCGTCAGTGAATGAAAGGTTCTTTAAAAGGTAATTTAAACATTGTCGTGTCAACAGCCACACTCGCTACTCTCGTTCAATATTTTATGATACGGAACAATTTAAGTCGTATTATTTAAGAAAGAAATGTTAAATTTGAGCGAGACGATCGTAAACACATACTTCAGTCTCTATTTTAAAAAGCAAGAAAAATAAACTTTCTTGACCGAGAGCGACGAACTGCGGTCTTCACCGAGTTAAAATTGACACGAGACTAACATAAAGTGTGATGAAATAAAAAGTAACAAGTTAGAGCAGGTTGAGAGAAGAATTTTCTAATGACAATGTGATGCGCCTTTTGAGGTCCCAAAATACTACGAATTTTACAAGAAATTATTTCTCTATTCTCTCGCATCCTTTCAACTCGCATTTAACAGAAGGAGACAAAATTTTTTTTATAGAATTCCTAGAATTCCTAGAATTTAAATTTTAAAAAAACGAGAGTAAAATATGTGTTTGAAATTTTTGACGATCCCATTGAAATTGATAAGAATCATTTAAGTTAAATTTGAGTACCTTTAAGAGGCTGCGCTCTTTCCATACATGCGCGCTACATACAAATAAATGTAGAACGAAACATATAAAACAATGTCTTATGTGAAGCAAAATAATTATTTGGAAGCAAAATTCTTTTAGCGAAGATGTCTTTAATATCACCGAAAATAATTCCTGTCATATCATGTTACAATGTCAATGGTTAGCACGTCGTTGAAAACGTGATGAATCATCCTTATTTTCTGCTTTTCCTTTTCATTTAAAAAACACAATCATTACATCTGAACCCAATCTCTTCATAAAAATTCCGATCTATTTTGAAAGATTTTTTTTCCCTGTTTTCGACATCATCACCAACCAGATTCAAGTGTGAGGGTCGAGAAAAACGAAAAAAAAAATTAGACTTTGTGATGAAAATAAAATTTTTTCTTACTGAACTAGACATGATTATGCGCGTTTTGCACATTTTCAACATGAATTTTGTTCTTGTTTCGAAGCACGAGTTTGTCATGTTTTGTAGACAAAACTTTACAGCCAAGCAATTTAATTGCGACGTCAAAATAAAAAAAGAAGCTTTTGCAAAAAAAAGAAAATTTCCCGTCTCGTCGATAGGGAATTAAAAGAAAATTTTTAAACTCTCTGATTGTCTATTTTCCGATTGAAAGTTTTTGTTCGTGGTGTAGTCGAGAAGAAAAGGAAGAAAATTTTTATTTACAAATGAGAAAATTATGAAATGTTCAGTAACATAAACAAGTTGGCGATGTTATTTATAAGTTAATTTACATGTCATAGGTCTCTTTATGCGCAACTTTGCCGCACGCATAATGAATAATCAAATTATGATGTCATAGCAAATTATTGCTAGATCATTTATTTGATGACATTCACTTAGAGATAAAGATCTTCGATTTTTACTAGCTACCACTCCCTTTATTTTAATTTGTTTCAATTCCTACTAGGTATGTAGATAAATATTCCTCATCCTGTCAAGAACCGATGATACGAAGAAGAAATTAATTAGTTTCGACATTTTATATTCAAAAGCAAGTTTCGATTAATAATTTATATTTTTCAATGAGAAAACTCTTTAAGCTCATTTCAAAATAAAAATGTTTTATTGTGGAATGGAAAATGATGAAAAAAGATTAAATTTATTGCTTTGGAACGAGGCACATTTGAGGCTGGTTTCCAACGTCTTCCATCATAAAAATTGAGTTATGAAGCAATCTCAACAAGGACTTAAACGCCATTCAGGTCACAAGTAACAAATTAGAGTCATTTACAAAAGTCGCCATGAGCTGATTTCTTCTTCTTTGTTTATTGCTTTCATCACTTCCCACTTGTGATAAGATTTTCGCTTTTTCATTTCCATCTACTAAAAAAAAAATTACCTGGTTTCATAAGACTTACAAACCAACAATTTTCTCACATCTTTCTACGGCTTTATCGAGGGTGGCGATATAATTCCAAAGGTCAACTTACATACGCATCGCAAAAAAAAACCGAAATTCTCTTTTTCCTCTTCGGCTTCGTAAACATTAATAAAAGATTATTTACATAGAAAAAATACCCTATTTTCCATCGAATCAATGAATAATAATAAGACAGAAGGAAGTTTATTAACCTAACGCTTATAAATTCGTCACTGCTTGGTTTTCGTGTTAACAATCATTTCAGAATGAAATAATTTTCCATAATAAAAACTTAACGACGTCAAAAAAAAACATTTAATGAATTTTGCTTAGTTTACGTGTGACAAGAAGAAACATCACATTAGTTATAACATAATCCTTATTCAAAAGGCGCTTATAAATGTCTAAAATTAGTTTACGTTTTCCAAAACAGTTTTTCAGGTTTTCCTAACATTCAAAATATTCCCTTATTGGATGAATCAGAAAAATTTTGGCTCGTCACTTTTAGCTTTTACACATTTACGTAAGGAAAATGTTAAAAATATCTTCGCTACACTTAAATTACGTAGCGAACGTAGAAAAGAAAATCAATTTTCCCTTCTCATACTATAACTTTTCGTTTGGTGTGTCGCATTTCTCGGAGAACTAAATAAGTTTAGTTGGCAAAGTCGATTATGAACAACAATATTACGCAATCGGAGGAAAGAAAAAGAAACAATAAATGAATTTCACAATTATTTATGTCATGTCACTTACAATGAAGCCAAATGAAATTTCTTTCTGGTATGTGTTGACGACTATTTTTCTATTTCCGTGTTTAAAGGATTTAGATGGCGGAAATTTTCTTATTGGAGCTGAACTCTGATGTTTCGCCTGCTTGCTGTCTAAGCATTAAAATTATTTTAACACTAATTTATCCAGCTTCTTGAAGCATTGGATTTTTGTATGCTTTCGCTAATGAATCGATTTTTGCAGCGATATGAAAACTTAGCAAGTGTAAAAATTCTTTTTTTCCTTCTCTTTTTTGCACAAAGGAAGGAACAATGATAAAAGAAATCACAGGAAAAAACTCAAAAAATAGTAAAATCTTTTCTTCTTCTTTTATATTAAACTAAATGTCAGAAATAAACAATTTGCGGAAAACTCAAAGCACTTGATTTTGTTTAACAATTCACACGAAGTTCCTTTGAATCATTCTTGGTTTTTGCACTATTTTAATGCTAATTCTGCCCTTTTTTATTTTTTCAATTTTTTCTTGGCTTGTCTGCGAATGGCCACCGACTAAAAAAGACGTGCGTCACGTTGAGTGAACCAAATACGATTGAAGTAAATTCAAGCTGAGAACTCGGGAAGATTGAGTATGAAAATGATTTGCCGGTGAGTGAAAGCACATCATGGCGCATGTCTATAAACATACGAAAAAACGATGTAGCATAAACGAGCGCCGAACATATGACTTTGCAGTGTAAACAAGCAAAAATGCATAAAAATATCGGGCTGTGGCTTGGAGAGTTCAAGGAGATCTTTGAAGAGATGGCGGAGGCAGAGAAGCCACATAACAATTTCATTACCATATTAAGTGTGTATGAAAAGTACATCGAGTGACATCCCATCCTGTATAGAATTATTGATTTATAATTACAGAAATCATTTCTCTTCCTAATTGGATTGCAAAAAGATTTTCTGGATATTTTTATTTATATCGTGCCTGCGTAGTTTACAAAATCATCGGAAAAACTGATATGTGCACATGAAAGCTCGGAGAATTAAATTTTCGGTTTTTTTCGCTCGTGAAGTGTTCAATTCAAAGACTTATAATGAACATCATTATATAGGGAAAATAGACGATGGGAATTGACGATAATAGCTCTGAGAAAGTCTCTCCATGTCAGTTTGAATAAGTATGTACAAAATTCTTGAAATATGGTTCTTAAGCCACAAATTAATTTGAATGTTAAAAATAAAATTTGGCAACAAAATAAACAAACGTCATAAGAAATATAAGAATCGTGGTTCGCCGATGTTTTATAGAGAACATTTTTTCATTGGCAAACGTGAGTGGATATGTAAGATTTGTGTCTGTCGTGTCATTAGACCTTTCGTTTCTTTTTCTTCTTCTGAATAACGCAATTAAATAAAACTGGCTGATGAATTCCCATGAAAAATTTCCTTTAATTTCTTTCGTAACTAGAAAGATTAAATCTATTGATTATCAAAAGAAAAACGAAAGATTAAATTTAATTTTTGACAGCAGCTAATGAGAGACAAGGTCGAGGACGTTAATTTTTACTAATCAAGGGCTTCACTAAAGCTTTATCGATTCAAGAAAACAAAAATTTTTTTGAGTGATTGTCGTGTTTAATTATAACAGATCAAAATATATCACGTGTTTCAACGCGTTCTACAGTAGAAAATAAATTCGTCTCCAGCTGAACCTTTATAGATTCCTTTTTAAAATGATGGTAATTGTCTCAATCACGTGTAAAATATTATGAAAGAAAAAATGTTTATAAAATTATGTGACATTACATGATCTTAATGTTTAATACAATTTCGAGAAAAGCCTATTTGCATTACATGAAATCTTCCCCCTCAAGCATTAAATCTTAACCAAAAATTCGACTTAGTGTTAACGAAATCTAACTTCGTAAAAAGCTTTTCAAGATATTTCGTTAGTAACTACAATGTGCGCTGTCATGTCAACCTGGTACTCGACAACAGCTTTCTTTACCAACGCATTTACAAGCAGTGAACCAAAACAACTTTCTTCGATTTGTTTACGTACTTGAAGGATTCCATGCGATCCAATGTCACTCCTACAAAGCACAATAATTATGTTTGCATTGATGTTGAATAATATCTCTAAATATAATGAACAACAAAATATCACATAATTCAACCAACAATGTCATTATCGATAACATTGAATAATCTTAAAATAATTTTATATCGAATCATATTCTGAAGATAAGGCGTAGATCCGGGAAAACGATGCGCCCTCAAGTTGTTAACAGTGTTCACATCATTATCTGTTAATGACATCATTACAAATCCAGCTGGCAGTTTGCATTTCCATTCACTAATTTTTTTCTTTTGGTAAATGAAAATATTCTTTGATTTTGTCATCAATATTGGAATTTATAGTTTTCTTGACTGTGCAATGTCAAATATTAAGAGACGACATTTATGAGGGATACATGAAAACTTTGATGAAAGATTAAAATCTAGCAATATCAAAGCTTAATGTTTCATATTTATCGTCAAAGGGATCAAATCAACAAATAAGTTGTTGTCTGAAAATTCTGTTCTTTTCTATTAATTTATTGTTATAACATAAATTATAAAAGTAACATTACGCTTCCATTCTTTATTAAAACTTCAAATATCGATTTCATTAATTATTTTAAGATTACTTTCGATTTTCTTTTTAAAAGCATGCAATGTTGTGTATATGCAATGATGTGCTTTGGCCGATCAAACAAGAATAAATTTCTTAACTCAAATTATTATTATCAAATCAAATTATGATCATTGCCCTCAAATGCTTTCGGCATTTGATGGTGGTTCCTATATGCGCCTGTCCTTGATCTGATGAAGATGATGACTTGTCAACTTCCAAGACATCCTTTCAAGACGAAAGAAACTTAATAACGAAATAAGTATAACACTGCAGTGTAACAGTTCCTGATGATAACGACGCTGTAATAGTGATGATTTCATTATAATGCAATAAACGAAATGTTTGAGATGTTGTGGTGTAAATTCCAAAAGTTTGAGAATCTTTGACTATTTTATTTTCTCAGTAATTTTCAATACAATGAATAAAATGAAAAATGCTATGGTTTCACAACCATTATCCAATCATTTTTATCAATATCAATAAATCCTAACTTTTTGAATAAACTGAGAGATTTAACATTATCTAGAACTATATTAGATGAGATATCTTCATCCCCATCAGCGATCTTCTTACATATTGCTTTTGTCACCAAGGCAGCAAAACCTTTTCTTTGATATTTTTCTTCCACTTGTAAAACTGCAAGTGATCCAAAATCTAATCTCAAACACCAGGCAACGAGTTCATTTGAATCAGTGTGAAAAAGTCCAACGTTTGCATTAAATTCTATCATATATTCAATAAACTTTACAGAGCCTTCAGCACGATGTGGCCATATTGCATTAATTTGTTGTGCATTCTCCTTGGATAACGTTCGAAGAACAAATTTTTCTGGGATTCTTTAAAAATTTAGAAGATAATAAATATGTTTATTAAAACACGTTTGACAAAATAGCTTCTTGACCTTACTCAATATTAAATTGTTTCGCATCTTCTTTTCGCATAAATTTCATAAAAGTTCCATCGTCGAATATGACATTCAAGCTGAGATCTCTGATCAAAGTATCAATCGTTGATCGATAAGCTTTTCGCAAGCACATAAAAAACACTTCTTTACTGTAGTCAAGTTGTCTTAAAGCAGTCTTGATTTTATCTTGCGATGGTTCCAATGTGCCAAACAAAACATGATTTTTACTCTAAAATGCAACTTACATGAAAAATGAGTAAACAGAATTTATCGCTTATTCTCACCGTCAAATAAATGAAAGTTCCATCACTCTCCCAATCTCCATTTAAGCAAAGAATTTTCTCACTGAATTTATCTTTTGAAGTGTTCAAATATCGACAAATAAAATTATGAATTACGCTGAATGCAAGGACATGCTTTGGCCATTCAACTTTAAACTTGTCACGTAAATCGGGAAGTTTTTCAAAAGGAATTTCAACAAGAGAATTTTCTTTAGTCTCCATTATGATCCGAATAGCAATCAAACGATACTGAAAAGATTATGAAGAAAGAGGAATGACTTTATGCAAGAAAAAAAAAGAGAAAATCATTTCTACTTGGCGTCAAGAGTATCAGAACTGAAAGAGAGAAAAAGAGCGAATAAGCTTTGAAAAACAGAGATCCACATTCAAACATTCATGAATTTATTTGTTTTATGATAATAAAAGTGCTTGATCACAATTGAAATATATGATTTTATATGTGAACCACGCCAACCCAACGATTTGCTTCAATTTCCTCAAATCCAACTTTTTCAACCAAATTCTTTGATGGAATGTTCCCATCAATATAATTTGAAGTCACATCAACATTGTTTTCAATAGCAATCTTCTTTGCTATAGCTCTTGTAACAATTTCTCCATATCCTTTTCTTGTTTGATTTTCAGCTACTTGAAGAGCTGCCAAACTTCCGAAATCAAATGTCAGACACCATGCAAGAAGTTCTCCTGTTTCATCAAATAATCCAACACTAATGTTATGTTTTATAAAATATGGTGCAGTGTCTGGATCTAAAACATTTCCCTTCTCCCAAACATCTTTTATAAATTCAACATTTTCCATTGTAAGCGATGAAATGCGGAAATTTGGTGGAATGCTTAAAAAAATGAATTTTAGATTGTAAGAAACAATTTCGTTGAATCTTTTTATACTCAATTTCCATTTTTTTCGCTTCGTTCTTACACATGTGCACCATTTTACCAGGAATATCAAATCTTGTTTCCAAATTCAACTCTGCAATCAATTCATCCAACATTTTGTAATAAAATTTTGGAACGCACATGAAAATTGTGTATTTGCTGTAATCCAAAAGTTTCAAAGCTTTTTTCAATCTTCGATAGCTTGAATCCAAACTTCCAAAGAAAACATTAGATTTGAACTAAAAATCAAAACATGACATTCAAATGAAAATTCACTTTGATGACTCAACTTAATGGTTTGATTTCTTGATGTTATGAAATATACAAACACGACGTAATTAAGCCGGCATATTGTGAAGTTCACAGTCAAGAAATCAAGTAAGTTGTGTATTTATTTATTGTAACCTTAGAGACGAACGTTCCATCACGTTCCCAATCGCCATCTAAGCTGTAAAGCTTCAATTCTTGTTCTGCTTCAGGAACTTTTTCATAACGTTGTGAAATCGTGTTTAAAAGCGAATATGCAGCGACATGTTTCGGCCAATGAACAGTGAATTTATTTCTCAAACGTTGATAATCATCACCACAAATTTCAACAAGTTCAGGCATCTTTTCACATCAACTCAACATAAGAAACTAACTCTTGGTTTCAATTGTAATTTCTTTTTCAACTCACAAGAAAAGAAGAAAACTAATGACATGTTTGAATGTGTTCTGTTGAATATGTGAACACAATTATATTCCAAAAGTTTTTATTGCAATAGTATTGTGAGCTTTCCAAATTTTAAGAATGTTCCAATAAAAAATATTTATGATCTACCGTGACATGATTGCAGAATAATCCCAATAATGATAACAAAAAACTTTGATAAGATAAAAAATAATTTTATATTGAATTTTTAAATGTGAATAAATTTGAGAAATAATAAATTAAAATTTTTAAGAACTTTCTCTCTTCTGTAATATAAATGAAGTGTGTGCACCACGTCCAATGAAACCAAGATTACGAAACATGTTAAGAGACTTGACATTTGTGTGCATAATATTCCCAAAGCCATCAGAATCTTCTTCAATGGCGATCTTTTTTGACATGGCTTTTGCGAGAATCTTTCCATATCCTTTTCCTTGCTGATCATTTTCGACTTGCAGAGCACCAAGAGATCCATTATCGTATCTCAAACACCATCCTAATAACTTGCCATCTTCGTTGAATAATCCAATAGATAAATGATATTTGATTGAATACAAAAAATATTCTTCAGATCCCTCGAAACTGTGAGGCCACGAAGAATTGATCTGATCGACATTATCAATCGTTAATGATTTTAAATTCAAGTTTGGTGGAAGACTAAAAAATTAAAGAATATGAACGAACACGGCTCGTGTTAATTTCACAAAACTCACGTAATTTCCCAGTTTTTAGCAACCACTTTACTAACTGAATGACATATCAAGTTAGCATCGTCAATCAACTTTAAATTTAATGTTTCAATAATTTCAAAAATAATTGGACGAAAAATATTTCTGATAGCTAAAATTCTGATTTTATTTGTGTAGTCAAGAGATCTCAAGAAGGATTTTAAAATGTCATTTGAAGGTTCCTTTAGAGTGTCAAAGAACACAATTTTTAGTTTCGATTCTTGAAGATATGAAAACTAAAAGTTATAATTATAAAAATTATGATTCTTTTATATTGATTATTAAACTCACAACACCAACAAAAGCACCATCAGATTTCCAATCATTTGACAAACTATAAAGTTCCAGAAAATGTTCAAGTTCGGGATATTTTTTAAATCTTTTTATACAAGTATCCAGCATAGAATAAATCACAAAATGTTCTGATAAATTATTTCCATAAATCTCTTTAAGCTTGAAAATATTATCAAGCGAAATTTTCCTTGGTAAATTGCGAGTCATTTCTTAAAAATGTTTACTTCTGTATCAGTCAAGATAAGAACGACTACTCAATTGAGCTAATACTGTTCATCAAGTGATAATTTCATTTCAACTAACACCAGCACAATCTTCTCCCATTTTTTCATTGCATGTTAAGTAAGTTTATAAATATCAAGTAAATAGTTATCTTAAATCATTAATTCTTGAATTGATAATAAATTCTCTTTATTCATTTCTTTGTCGTCATGACAAACCATGAAACTGAATCAGTTGGTTTAAATCCAATCTTCTTGAACATTTCTGAAGATTTGATATTTTCATGAACAACCAGTGCTGTTATATCACAATCATCTTCATCAGCGATTCGTTTAGAAATCGCTTTGGTTACTAAGCTGCCATATCCTTTTCTTAAATGTTTTTCAGCAACTTGAAGAACTGCTAAAGCGCCATTATCATATCTCAAACACCAAGCAAGTAGTTCATCATTTTCATCAAACAACCCAATGTTGATGTGATATTTAATAGAATATTCAATGAACTTTTCAGATCCATCGTAACGATGTGGCCATGAAGAATTTATCTCATCAATATTGTTCTCGTTTAATATTGCAAGTCGTAAATTTCTTGGAAGTCTTAAAAACCAAGTTTGATGGAATTTATTAAATAGTTTAAAACCGGATTGAAAAAAATAATAAAAAACTTACGAAACTTCTAAATTATTCGCAATATGTTTTGATAGAACATAACAAATGGTGTTGGTGTCTTCGATAGTATTTAAATTCATCTCATTAATAATATTTAACGCCATGGCGCGAAAGATATTGCGGATCGAAAAGAAATCTACGATAGACGAATAATCAAAAGATTTCAAGAAATGTTCTAAACTGTTTGGAATGTTGTCGCCCAAAGTATCAAAGAACACAAAAGTTTCAATATCGTTACATTTAAACTTAAAAAGATTCAAAAGATTAAAATTTTAAGGTCAAAATTCCGATTTGTTGTCAACTTACGATAGCTACAAATGATCCATCAATCTCCCAACTCTCCGATAAAACATAAATTTTAAATCGCTTTTTTAGCTCGGGAATTCTTTCAAATCGTTTCATAAATGTTTGTAAAGTTGACAAAGTTACGACATGCTTTGGCCAATCCGCACTGAAAATTTCTGACAACTTTCCTAGTGATGCAATCGAAATTTCACGATGTTTGCTTCCAGACATGTTTGTGATTTCATGTCAACTGAATCAAAACTTATTCAAGGTACTTGAGGTAACTACAATGAAGTGAGTCAAGAAAAATTTCTACGATTTCTCTCTCACTCGTGTCTCCGAAAATAATTCTCCGAGAATGAAATTAATCAGTTTCTTATCTAGGTAATACACAATTTAATAATCCTTACATAATGTACATAAATATTCATTCATTGTTATCTGAATCTTATTACCACTTATCACAAGTGCTGATCAACTTAATTAAAATCTTTGTTATCACACCACTCAAACTCTGCATCAGTTGGGAAGGTTCGCAGCCAAAAGACGTCATCAATATGTTCAAAACCGAGTTTACGGAACATATGTTGTGAAGTAAAATTTCTGTCAGTGGTGAAGGCAAATGTATCCATATTATTATGCTCTAAAATTTTTGACATGAGAATAACAAGAAGACTTCCAATGCCTTTTTTCATGTATTCTTTCCGAACTTGAAGGGCTCCCAGTGCCCCTGACTGTAATCTCAAACACCAACCCATCAATTTATTTTCTTCATTAAACACCCCAATATTCTCATTCCATTTAATTAATCTTTCTACAAGGAAAAGTGACCCCACGTGTTTATTTGGCCATTCATTATCGATAGCTTCCGCATCATCTGTAGACAGTGATTTCAGAATAATTCCACTTGTCGTACTAAATACAAAATAATTCAATGAATCATAAAACAAAACAAATAAGTCGTCGTAACCTTCACAATAAATGTAGTAAACAACTCACTGAAATGTTTTCTTTTTTGCTTCTTCTTTTCGGAGATAATATAAAGGTGTCAGAGAATCATATTCAATTTTAAGCTTCTTTTTGTGTACAACATCGAGAACAGCTGAGCGATGACGCATGAGAAACGAGCTGACTTTGAAGCCTTTACTCCAATCAATTAAACTCAACGCTCTTTTAAGTTTGTCATTTGACAATTCCAGTGTGTAAATGAACAACTGATAACGATCCTAAATATTTGTAAAAAGAAAATATTTTTGTTTTCTAACTTTTTCGACAAGGTTGGAATCGACTAGGAAATTCTTTGAAGTTTTAATCACTTACGATTACGACATATGTTCCGTCACTACGCCAGCTGTCATTGAGACTGTAAATCTTGAGATTAGGAATGATCGCCTCCTTTCGAAACCAACACACGTAATTGTTGATGGTGTGCCATGCGACAAGATTTTTTGGCCAATTTGCTGTATATAAATCACGTAACTCGTGCCAATCAAAAGGCGAGATTTCGACTAATTTATCGGAAGACATTGTGAACTAAACTGAACAACGATTATTTGTGGAATACTGCCTATGACTGGTCATGAAACGAATTCTCTTCCATACTTCTCATTTCCTCTATCATCTCTTTTAAAATAATACCTAATTCTACGCGAATTAAAACAGTAAACAGAGAGTGAATTAAACTCACACATCTAAACAAGAAGAGTTGCGAGAAAACACAAATATAATAAAATAAAATATATTTTTGAATAAAACATTTAAGTTTTCAACTCAATCATTTACTTTATTCACATATTTACTTTACCATCAGAATACACACAACAATACAATTCTGGCTTTACTAAACTGCAATAATTTAACATTTAATCTTGTACACAACGAGAAAACATTTAGATAGATTAATTTCAAAAGTAAAAAGCTACGTGCACAAAAACTACTTCCAATGTCATTAAAACTGTTCTTATTTTCAAAGCTTAGATTTTTTCCTTCTTTCCCTTCAGCATGACAACAAAATTGAAAACAGAATAAGAAAAGCGAATGAACTGAAATTACAAAAAAATTATATCAAAGTGTGATGATATTCAATAAAAGAAAATCTTAATTGAAATCGCATTACCAAAATCAAAAGTTCTCTGTCGATATCCCAGATGAAAACTTTGATTTTCAATGGACGTTGAGTGTACTGCAATAAAGTCCGAAACATTTTCTTCTCACTTTTTAACATAAACCACCAGGTTTTGTCATAAATCATCGATGAAATCTCTTCTATCTGATAGAGAACAATCATAATCGAATAATAAGCTTGACTCAAATGAGAAATTCTATTCTAAACATAATTTTACCTTTTCCACCATCAAACTTGATCCATAACAATAAACCCAAACATCATAAAGAACGAAGGGAGTGTACACAAAATAAGTAACAATGCTATGAATATCCTCAATCATAGATAAAAAAACACCAAGAGTTAAAACATCGACGGAAAAGCTAATGAAGATCACCATTTTAAAACATTCATTGATCTCATTGATAATTAATTTGATTCTTTGAAGAGATGTGAAAATATCTTTCAACTCTTTCTTGTAACTTATGACATGATAAAAAATAAGATTCTGATACTCATTCAAAACTTTGTCGTAAAGCATACGAATATTCATGCAAATATTGAAGTAGCAACATTGAAAGCATAATCCGAATATTTCTGTTACACAAATTGCTGTAACTGTTTGAAGGATAATAACATCTTGAAAAATTCCCATGTTTGTTTCAAATGGCCAAGCATCTTGCGTATTCTCATTTGATAATTTTGAGTCGTATGCCATAATCACAAATGAGGATATTGCTAATATCAAGTAGAATGTCAAATAAGCATATGAAAAATAGTTGAAACATTTCAGGTTTTCTGATGCTTTTTTTGAAGAATCTTTGCACAACAAGTTCATAATTTCTTTTAAGGATGAGATAATCTTTTCAAAATAATGATTGAAGAAGAAAAACTTCGTAGCATTTATCAAATAGTAGAAGTTTCCAAAAAGTTGGGTGGGAGTGAAATTATTGAACCAGATCTTGTAAATAATGATCAAAATCTGTTTGAAGTAAAAAATAAATTTTAAAGGTTTTTAAAACAATTTGATTCTCATTAATTTACATAATAGAAAAAGTTGAATGTTAGAAAACCGATCAGGAACAGCCGCCATCGTCGCTGCCAAACATCACCAAATTTGAAAGGATGATAGCCAAAGAGAAATAAAATGCGATTCATTCCTTCAAATCCCATTTTTATAATTTTTAACTTTTAAACAACTGACAATAACATTTTCGATGAGATATTTCTTTTTACTTTTTCACTCCACAACGATATTGAAAATAATGAAGCGCGATTTGAAAATTTTAATTTTCTATCCAGGTAACCTTCATTGAATAATTAATAATAATAATTGAAGATGGAACAATTTTGTAGGGTTATTGAATATTTTTGAAAGCTCATTGTAAGAGTTAAAATTTCATTTGAGAAATTTAAAGAAATTCTTCAGTTGTACATGATATCATTTACATTGTTTTCTACATATGTATATCTGAAACTCTTTTGAACTTTAATTTTATCTATCACAAGTTGAAATACTTTCTAACGTTCCTATAAATTTTTAATGATGATCATGCGATACATGCGTCAAGAAAATTAATTTTTTTAAATTAATTATCTAATCAATGAGTTTGAATGTCAGAGCGTCATCAAAAGTTATCAACTACAAAATATATTAACAGGGAGCTGCTCATGTGCATATTGCAAAACGAAGAAGATTCTGAAGTTGAAGGTCGATCAAGAATGGAAATTTAATGATGCAAATAAATAAATTATGCAAGAGAAAATAACAAGTTTCTAAGTTACTTTACCTTGAACGATCTACGGATATTTGATATTGATGATTGATATTAACATCCGAATTTTTTTCATAATATTTGCTATGCAATTTTGAATCAATTACCTACTAAATATCAGACATTCCATTTCATTTTCTTATGTCGCACATATCGTTACATCAGACATATTTATGACAAGAACTTGTGACATGATTTCTTTTTTATTTCAAATGGAAAATTTTTATTATCTGAACAATCAGACATTCTGTAACGGCGTTTTTAATCAGATGATTTATTTAACAAGTTTAGTTTCCGTAAATATCGACGAAGAAAGTAAAGCCTCTTCCAATAGCTGATGATTGCAAACGAATGGTTACATTTCTGAAACCAACACCCCCTGAAACGATGCTAGCAAATCCACCAGTTCCATTGGCATTTAAATCCAATGCGCGGATGCGAGTAATATTTCTGAGTGGATTTGTATAGAAGACATCCTGACTTTGCATTTGACCAGCGACGCCAGTACGATTGTAGGTTTGTCTGGATTTTTTTTTTATGTCAGAATATGAGAGTAATAAAAGAAATTTTCCACTTACTGGTATAAAAGCACAGAACCAGGTTGAAGTGATCCAACAGTCAAATCATTTCTTGCTATAACAAAACCGACAAGTGCTAGAAGTGCAAAGCTGACAATAATCAGAATTTTACGTTCCATAGTTCTTTTGTGTTCTTCCAACAAATATTAACTGCTCAATATTGGAAGCAGATGTCAACTTTTATAAAGCAAATAAATTCAATTAGAGCATTATGAAAGAATCTTATCAGTAGATAGCGAAACATTTAATATTAATTTGCGAGTCATACTTTTCAAGAAAGATTCGAATGGTTACGACAAGTTTCCCTTGAAAAGAAGCTTAACGATAAGACACATTTGAAAACTTTTCAATGATTGTTAAAGTTTCTAGAAAAGCTTTTAAAAGCACGATTATAATTTAATAATTTATTTGTTGATTGATTGAACGAGTCAAATATTTGTCAATAATTTAACGGGATTTTCTAAAATTTCAGAGCAATCCAATCAAATTTAATTTTTTAAATCTTCATTTAGTGACACTTATTATTTAAAATAATAGAAATAATTTGTTCTTATTTATTTCCTGCTTAAACCAATTTTTAGATGGAAACGAAATTATCACGCCAATTTCATTATTTCATTCGCATGTAGGTATTTTTTTATTAGGAAAATTTATCAATGTTAGTTCTTTGCCCTCACGTTTCTGACAATAGTTAAGCTTGCAATCATCATATGGTAAGATAACACTCGAATGCTTTTTATTTATTTATCAGCAAAACATATTTTTTTCTGGTGTTTTATAATTTCAAACATAATCATTCATGGAAAATTTTCAAAGAAGTTCTTCTGCTTGGTGAATGATCGCATAATAATTATTAATTACAATCATGTAAGAAACAATTATAAAAAATAAAAACTTACCGTTCTGGATATTTAGTTTAGGTGCCCTAATAAGTAATAGCGGAATTTATAAAATTTTTATGGACTCTTCACAAATGAACACTTTTTTCCTCATTTATATTTAATCACTTGATGCACAAAATTTATTTCGCTTATCGCCTTATCAATAACAGTTATGTCAAAAGAATTACTGAATAATTTTTTATTTTTTTACAATGTTATGCTAACTGAACCGATATCGATCAAAGTTAGAGCGAAACTGAATTGAAATTTATTTTCTCGATAGAAGAAATATCAAAAAATTCTTCAGCGTAACTAACACCTTATCGTGGAATCGTCCGGCAATGACGCAATAGTATGAAAGAATCCCATTAAAATGCGCTTTATTTTGATAGCTAACATGATGATTTTGGATACAAATATTAAATCAATATGGTCAATTAATATTTAGTTTGCACAATTTAAGAAATTATTTGAAAATAATGAAACATCACGCGACTGACATCACTTTATGTTTGAGCAAGAATACAAATAAATTTCGCTGCATGCAAATTGAATCTTGAATATTCTTGTTCTGAAACCAAAGTTTTATCAGTCAAACATCTTTTCGTTTTCAACACACAAATCTGAGAGTGGTCAAAACCAGAATTTTTTTTAATTGCATTTTATATTTCTTTTTTTGAATCGCCTTCATTCTTACAACGTAGATTATATTTTTCTTTTTCATGTCAAACAAGTTTCAAATATTACGTATGATTAATAATTAATTAATTTCACGTGATGAAGGACCACATACAAATTAAAATACCTTGAAAAACCTTTGGGGTAATTTTTTACTATCAGTAAGATATCGAAATGCTTCCGCTTACTTATTTCTTAAATACAAATTATGTCATGGTTAGCAGATTCCTATGACATTCAAGAATAGGATGAGTGACATTAAATGTGCTTACTAACTTATAATCAAACAAATTATAAAATCTTAATGTGAGTTGATAACGACGCTTATAAGTCTTTTTGAGGCTCACGTGTTTGTCAGCAAATCAATTAAGTTTATTAATAAAGGCTCTCAAAGTAATTAATTCAACTGCAATCTTTCAAAGTATAATCAATCAATACGTCATATTTATCTTGCATCTAAATTATGTTGACAATTTCGATAAAATTCATCAACAATGACGATCATTTTTATCATTGAAAATTATTTTCAGGAATCAATGTCTGCAAGATAAAACTTTTATCATTTACGATGATAATGTTTTATTGTCTTCATTTTACTTTCGAACTTTGAATCGTTCAAGTAGTAAAATGGGAAATTTTGGAAGACAAAATCCATCGTCAGCTCTAATCCTGCAAGAATTGAAGGCTTTTTAAAATTATTAGCAAGAATATGTCTTTGGTTAGATAACTTTTCCTTTTATTAAATGATCAACAACAAACAATGCTTTTCATTCAGACTTTTCTTTGGGAAATAGGTTTCTACTTAAATTCCAATTTTGCAATCTATAGTGAAAAATATTAATAAATAAAAGCTAATTAATCGTCTTTTTTGTTTGCTGGAGTTGTTGGTGCTTCATCCTCTGCTTTAATGGCTTGAGTTTCGTTAGAATTTTTGATATTTTCCTTAGATTTTTCTTCTAACATCTCCGCTGAGAAGCCAAATTCATTGACACGTTTCATGTCAACTTTGTAAATCCAGCGTTGGTACAAGAAAATGAAGAACACAATATCTAAACAAAAACAAAAGGAGAGAAATTAATAAATTGTTTTGAATTACCAAGAAAAAAGGTTGAGAACCAGTGGTGTAATCGTGATGCTTCAATCAAACAAATATTTAAAAATCTTACCATCTCGGAAAACTCCTAATCGATACAAAGTTGGCATTTTAATAACAAATGCAAATATGTCGTCTATGAAAGTGTTGAGGAATTTGTATGTCATCATTCTCCACGGTAAGTGCGCAACAGATTTGAGTTTATAGTTGATAAAAAGTTGAGGTGTCATCATGATAAAGCCAAAAGCCAATAAGAAACCGTAAAGCATGTTGAGAATGAATGAATACCAGCCACGATGTTCTTGATATAAAAGCGAATAACATCCGTAGCTGATGAGAAGTGGGAAACAAATCCAACTTAAATATTTGAACGCTAAATTATCATATTGTCTTGTGCTTGATTCAATGTATGATCCCTTGTCTGTGAACCATATGCGTGGCAAGATTCCAAACAATTTATTCTCGTAATTTATTGTTACATTCACCACTTTCTGAATCTTCCAAACTTCAATTCCAAGTCCAATGAAACAACTCATTTTAATCATAAAATTCGTTTCATTATCAAGCACATAAAGTAAAACAATCAATGATTGAAATACTGCAAAGAACACAGAACGAACGCTTAAACCTTCCAGTGATTTTCTGTCACGCCAAAATTGAATATCATTCTTAAATGCTAAGAGTTCAAATACTGTATGAAGTATTGACACAACGAAAGTTATACCAAGTAAATAAGGATTCGTTTCTAATAAAGTTTCCTTCAAAGAATCTTGATCTTCATCTTGCTCATCACCACCTGATAGTGCTTCGCCAAACATTGAACTTGTCCATTTATTTCGCATGCCTTGAGCTGCATATAATTGAAACTTGAACAACGACAAAGGTTGGAAAGTGAGAGTGAGATCAAGGATGGTTGTTGTGCTGTTGATTGCCTGATAATCTCGTAGCATGTTCCAATAATCGTTTATAAATAAAATAGGAAGATAGGAATGTCCAGTGGGAAGGAAAGTCACGTATTCATCTAATGGAGGAGGAATTGTTCCTTTAACCCAATTCGTTTGATCAACAACAATATTCACAGTCAGATTTGGATGCCAATGATTGACAATTTCTTTCGACATTATCTCAGCTTTAGCAATTTCTTCTGCTGATTTCTCGCTTGTTCCAGTCAAAAGATTTTGTGTCTTTTGATAGCGAACCTTCTTGAACTTATTGAGCTGTCGTCGATTGTAAGCAACTTCAAAGCCGGCATACTCTTCACCTGCCGCTGGATCTGGCGATCTTCCAGTTTTCACAACATAAGTATGCAAGTAAATAGTTCCATTGTTTTGAAGCTTATCAGATGCTTTAATCTTCATTGATTTACTGTAAGATCCATCTTGATCCTTACCACCATTCCAATCGCCATAGATCAATCCATCTTGAAACCAAACTAAAGCTGCCGGGTCATTAAATTTTTTGAATTCATAATCTTCAGACACGTAAAAATAAATATCAAACATAGTTCCACTCTCAAAATAATTCCAAGCTGGTGAAGCTCGAACTTCTGGAGATCCTGGAATTACATTTTGAGGTTGTTGAGCTTGTGGACGACGAAAGAATGATGTGATGAAATAAATTATAACAGCCCTAATAACAAGTGATTTTGTGATGGCAAAAAAACTTTCCATACGACTTGGTTGCTGTTGCTGCTGCTGTTGATTGTTTTGAGTCTAGAAAAGAAAGCAAAATTAAATAGAGATAAGTTTAAACATTTTAAGAAAATTTAGATGAATGACTCATTGAAAAAAAGATTAAATTGAAAAACCTTCAAAAAATTAGAACAGGGCTGAAATAAATAAAAACCTTGTGACATTCCAATGCATTAGGTACATTTATTAAATTATGACTTTAATAATTTTGAAGAAGATTGTGCGTGTGTCTGATTTTTTATACTTTAGGGCTTTGGTAAAAGAATTTTCATGTGGAAATTATTCTCTTAAAATGGAATTATAATTCACACGTATATCCACTGATAATTAACTTACAGCAACATTGTTTTCGGCTTGATTGTCTGCTACAAGCACTTCTTCATTGTTTGTTGACATGTAAGCTAACGTTAATAACAGTTATCTATTATAAATTAAATATTACAACTTTTTAATTAATTTTCTCTAAAATTCTTAAGAGATAAATTTCGATCTTTCGAACTTTCGAAAATCTGAACATTTGGAATTCAATTTGTTCAGAAAACCGTTAAATTTTTGGAAAAATTTCTCTTTAATATTTTATCAGCATGATGTAGATGATGAAAATGAACATATTTTTTTAACAAACTTTACCAAATGCAAAGTTTATGTTATAGGTAAATCTTATTCGTCCATCTTAAACCTATGCAAATAATTTAGTTAGCCAACTACCCTAAATCTGTGAAACTTCAACATTCAGCATTTAACATCAAGTTTGATCAATGTGTTGATCTTTCCGCTCTTCATTTTTAGTAATAAACTAAAAACACGCAATATTTTCATTAATCTCTTCTCAGATATGAAATCGTCGTTCGAACGTTCAAAGAGAATAAATTTATTATGTGTGAGTATTTGCACAGAATAAAATAGTTAACTCAGAAGCTTTCAAATGTTTCGTTTAGTCTTAGATTGTGATCAATTGAAGAAACTTGACAAAATTTAGTTTATATAATTATTTTGTTTGACGATGAGGGTTCATAAATTAAAATCAATTTTTCATCTTATTTCTTTTGAAATGTACGTCTTCTGCATTTACTACGATTTGGTTGTTTTAGGTTGGAAAGTTTTTGATCCATTTGATCATATGAAACCATATGCAATACCACTGAAAGGAAGGTTGATGTTCCTTACAACATGGAATTTGGTGAGAATAAAATGTCATCAATACGATACATAAATCAAATGTTATTAAAAATATATTTTTCATCGTAAATTTGAAATCAATGTCAACGAGTGAAGTGTTAGCGAGACTTATGTGGCTTATCTTTACATTCCGTTTACGGTTCCGCATTATATCTTTTTTAACTTGAATCACAATGATAAAATTAACGTGTGATAAAATACTTTGCTTTTGATAAACAGTCAAAAAAAAAATACAGAAACACATTTTTAAACAAATCTAATCTTTAAGTTTTGACACGCTTTGACTTCCATAATCAGAAATTTCTTAGAGAATATTAAAAAATTATTTGTTTCATAGCCCGCGAGTGCATAAAAAGAAAACGAAGCATTGTTATTAATTATGAAAAATATTTAAATAAATTCTGATTTGATTTGACACTTAGTTGAAGCAACACTAATCTAAAGAAGACATAAATAATTTAAGCTTTCGAAAAAGCTTTCACATTTCAACAGTTTTCATTGCTTTTCCTGTTTCTATAAAGGAAAATTGTTTACATATAAAAGTGTTAGTGAATGAAAAACAACGCTGAACATTGCATTTACTGGAAAACTTTATAAGTATTTACCCAGAATTCATTATCTGTGTGCGTTGAAAAACATTAATAAAATCATAATAAGAGAAGAAAAAGTTTCCGTCGCAGTACATTCTTGTTGGTCTGAAGAAAATTACGTGAATTTAAAATCGTACATTGAAGGAAAACCAATTATCCACCATTACTCGAATAGTCCATTTAGTCCATAGTGACGAATCTTTAATATCTCCTTGGAAAAGTTTTGTAATAAATCGTAGTGAAACAATGAACTATGAAAATTTCATGAAAAATCAATAATAAAATGTGGATTTGAAAACTTTAATTGTGAAGAAAATTCTGACATTATTTTGTCAAAAAGAAATTTAAAAGATTTTAGAACACTCAAGAATATTTAAAAGAAATACTCAGTAAAAGTCAATTAAACTTTAGAGATGAGCAATTTTCAGTTCTTTGAGTCACGAGTTTTCTCTGCAATATTGCACTGCATTGCAATTGGACAACTTTTTTACGCAATGCATTTTGATATGAATTTGAACATTCCGGACACACCTGGAGTTCCAAAAATGCTTCGACATGGGTATGGCGGACGTTCAAGATTCTTGACGTATTGGTGCTTGGTTAGTATTTAAGTGATGAGTAAAAATTTTATAACGCTGCATTAAGTAAATTATCAGATAACTTGCGCTGTACAAATTTAGTTCAATTTTCAAACGTTATCATTAAGTGACATTAAAAAAACCATTTTTAATTCGGTAAAGTTTGTGATTCGTGTTAGCTATAGGTTCATAAAGTTCAAGAAAGTCAAAGGAAAATGTATTTTTACTTTAATGCTTAGTCATACAATTCAAATTTGTGAATTTCTCGAGATAACAACACTTTGCTGTAGCTTAAAACACTTGAAGTTGTCAAAAGAATTCTCAGAGAAATTTTGCAGCATAAGTGTGGGTTATTTCAATGAAATTTTCAATAAATGGAAATCTTAAGCAAATAAACATCCGAGCGAAAAGAATTTTTTCTGAAAATGTCTGTTCACGGAAGCAGATCAATTTATTGATTTCAGATAAGTTAAATCGATGGCCCGAGATTTGATTATTCTCCTTTCTAAATACTTAATCTTGTTTAGATCAGAAACAATAAATTAAATTATTTCCTTTGAGTGATGTCAGATCAATCATTATCTGCAAAAACTTTGCAGAATGCCAGGTGGACGCAGATGTATCGATAAAAAATTCTATACTATAGTTTTTGTAAATATTTATCATATTTATCGTTAACTGGTAGTTAACTGAAGGTGATTAATTTAAAAATATTTACGCCTACATATTTTAAACAGAAAGAGTAAATACATTTAGATACATTTTAACAAATGAATGCGAGAGAAAATTACTTCAGAAGCTTTTTTTCTTAAATAACTTCCTTTATGGAAATGTGAATGACTTTAACAAAAACTTTTTTTAATCATTTCGGCGTTGTTACTTGTAAGTTTCAGCTATCAATTGTTTTGAACAATTTTTTAGTAATTTTTTATAATTACAATGTGGGTTTAATTGTACATTTTGTGATTCTAGATATCACTTTACCTAATCAAAATTTCCTACATTTATCATTTTGATGAATGCTTTAAAACATTGAGTTGCGTTTAGTGTGTGAGTTAGTGCAAGGTCTGATTGATGAAACAATATCAATATGAAAACATTTAAGCAGCGCTCAGTGTCACAAAAAATATCAAAAGACAAGGTTCATTTAAAACGATTCTACTCGTATTAAAAATCGACAAATAAAAGTTCAAGTTAGATTAATCAGGGCATCATGTCAAAAATTGTAAAACTTTTTCATTTGGTAGCGGCAATACAATTCTGTTTTGCTGTTTACTATGATTATTCAAAAGTTCACGTTCCACAAAATGTTCTCAAAATTAATCGATCAAGTTATGGTGGAAAATTTAAATATTTAACCTTTTTAGATGGGGTAAGATTTACACATTTCAATGCTTAACTAATATATATCATTCAAAAACTGTCATTCATTTATTTAATGATGTTTAATTAAACTTGAATTCACTCCACTTTTCAAATCAATAAATTTCGAAAGCTTTGCGTAAAGTATTGTTGATGTAAAACATTGAGTAAAACATTGAAACATTGAGTAAAACATTGGACCATCATTTAGTAAACAAACAATTCTTCTTATTTCGTTGCAGATTCTTCAATCAGGCTACTTTATTATAGCATTGCTAAACGATTTTGTGGGTTCAAATGAAGTTGCGCCAAAGAAAACTCCATTCATACGACGGGTAAAAGATTACATATTTGCCGCATTAGCTTTCCCGGTAGCATTCAATGTTGGAGTCACTTTCTGGTCGTTGTATGCGGTTGATCGTGAATTAGTTTTTCCCAAAGCTTTGGATGCATTTTTCCCAAAGTAAGATCCTTAAAAAACTAAAGATATGATAGAGCATGAGAAAATTTGTTTAATATTTCAGTTGGTTGAATCATATCATGCATACAAACATCATGATTTTTATCATCATGGAACTGTTCACATCATTCAGGAATTATCCATCGAGAAAAGCAGGTTTCACTGGACTGGGAATCTTTATGGCATCATATCTCATCTGGATTCATGTGATTAAGCATAAAGCTAATATTTGGGTGTATCCAGTTCTTGAAGTTCTCAATTTACCGCAACGAATCGTTTTCTTTATTTTATGTCTTGCATTCTCTGTTGGACTTTATCTGCTGGGAGAATTCTCCAATCAGCAAGTTTGGGTTAAAGAAATCAAACATGCACAAAAGGTTAAAGCAGGAAAATCGAAATAAACGGAAGGAACTTTAATTCAACTTTATAAATGTTTATACGCAAATTGATTGTGAAGTTACTTACTGAACTGGTTTTTTAAGATGAATTAAAGTGAAAGTTTGAATCCACTTCTGCTTTGATGTTCTTAAATGTTAAATTAAAGCGAAACATAAAGAACATTCTAACGTAAGCTGTTGGTTAGAGAACAATTTTATGATAATTAAATTAAAAGTAGAAATGAATTTATGTTGAATAGTTTTAAAGTTCTCAAGCAGAACAAAAGATCGTTGTGACGCTTCTTGATATCATTTTACTCCATGTTTAATATTAATCAAAATAAAATTAACATTTGACACCCTTCACTTTACTTCAATCATAACCGAGTCAGATTTTATACAATTTTCAACTAAATTATTTGCATATTATAAGTAATTTTTAAGCAGAAATAAAAGTACTCGTAAACTTTACAACAATAATGATTTTTTTAAATTAATTTTCAGATTGGCATTTACAGAATCAATTTAACTATTAAAACGATGCTGTAATTAAAATAAAGGATATCTGCCCTTTCTAAATATTTATTACCTGTTAATTATGCTAATTAAATTACATCGTCATAACAAGTTTCAATTTGAAATTTTGATTAATTTAAAAAGTTTTTTGACCCTTAAAATAATTAATGTTCATTGTTCCTTAAATGACTGTCGACACGTCATCCTAGACTTTAATTTAATTTGCTGCCTACTTCTTAATGACTTTTTTTTTCTTTTTGTGATTCCTTTGAGATAACATTAAAGAAAATCGAGATGAATCACGATGACAAAAGGTTCTCTCTCAGAAGTGACTTATCTCTAAGAATAATTATTCTCAGAGCCCTTTTTCAGTCAGTCTTAAAAAACGGAAAAGATTTAAATAGCCATCAATCAAAAATTGTTCTTCAGTCTCAAAAGATTTTCTATTGTGTCAGGAACTCAAGAATAAGTTTAAAAATAAGAACTATGAAATTTTTAAAGAATATTTTCGTGATGATTTTCCATCTCGCAGTTTCCTTACATTACATGTACGCGATTTACTACGATTGGGTTTATGTGTTACCAAAAGAAATAGTTCTAAGAGAATATTCCTTTGGTGGAAAGTTAGTTTACTTAACAGTTCTGAATGTGGTAAATTTTAATTTTTCTTTAAATTGTTCAACAATTTTTATTAACAATTTTTATTTAGATTCTCCAAGCACTTTATTTCTTCATTTCCTTCATCAACGACTTAATTGGATCAAACGAAGTTGGAATGAAAGATCGACCATTTATCAGAAAGCTTAAAGATTATTTCTTCTCATCGTTCGCTTTCCCATTAGCTTTGGATGTGTCGATACTCTTCTGGTCGTTATACGCTATTGATAGACAAACAGTTTTCCCAAAGGAAGTTGATTCATTCTTCCCATCATGGCTGAATCACATCTTGCATACAAATATTGCAATTTTCATCATCATCGAATTGATTGCTTTCCATCGTGAATATCCAACAAGAAAAGAAGGAATTTCGGGATTGTTAATATTCTTATTTGCATATCTCGCATGGATTCACATCACAAAATATTTTGCTGGCAGATTTCCATACCCAATTGTCGAAATACTTGATATTCCTGGGAGAATTGCCTTCTTCAGCTTCGCAATGGTATTTCCTATTATCATGTACTTTGCCGGTGAATACATCAATACACATATTTGGAACGAAAGCAGAATCACAAGAAGAATTTTGAATGGATGCAAATTATAATCAAATTTTTAATTTAAGTTTTTTTTACAATTATAAATCATAAAAAATTCTCGAAAATAAAGTTTCAATTTTTTTCCTAACACGTACACCAAACAACTCCAAAGTTCAATGTTTTATGTTTTTTTCATAACAAAAACAAAAAGATTATTTTAAAGTTTTCAGAGATTTGAAAACGAGAATGAAAAACATTCTCACGCAAAGAGAAAAGCAACAATGATTGTCAGACACACTGAATTCATTCAGTCGCTCTTTACACTAAACTTTGATCAGTCGCTAGCAAAACATCTTCACTGAATATTTATTTCATTCGGTAATGTCGACCTCAGCTACATTATTTCACCTTGTGGCTGTTGTACACTTTTATTTTGGAATTTATTATGATATTACATACGTAACGGAACCAGAAGTGAAATTTCGAAAGTATGAATTCGGTGGACGTCTTGTGTATCTAACAATTTTAAGTTTTGTAAGTATCTCGATGATATTTTTTCATCTCAAGGTCATTGCATAACTCATCATGCGTTCAACGATGTTTTCTTACAGATCATTCATGGAATATATTTTACGATTGCATTGTTAAATGATTTGATTGGGTCAAATGAACCGACAGCAAGAGATCAACCATTAATAAGACGAGTCAGAGATTACATTTTCACTGCATTTTCCTTCCCGTTGGCTTTTGATGTTGGCGGAATGTTTTGGCTCTTGTATGGAATAGATCGAAAGCTTGTTCTTCCCAAGGAAGCTGATGAATTCTTTCCGCCATGGTTGAATCATGTCATGCACACCAACATTATGATTTTCATGCTAATTGAGATGATTCTCCTTTATCATAAATATCCTAGTCGTAAGTCAGTTCGTTTAGGAATGGGAACATTTATGATAGGCTACTTAGGGTGGGTCCACATCATCAAATACAAATCAAATTTTTGGGTAAGACTAAAAATCAAAAGCAATTCTTATCTTCACTTGAAAATATTTTCTTATCAATTATTTTTCTAAATTTATCACAGGTTTACCCTGTTTTGGCTGTCTTAAATTGGCCTCAACGTATAGGATTCTACATTTTCACACTAGCCGTTCCTGTTGTGTTCTATTTCGTTGGAGAATTCCTTAATAGACTGATTTGGCCAAAGTCAAGAATTGGAGAAACAATCACAAAGAAATCAAAGTCAAAGAAATCCAAATAAGGTCAAAAAAAAGTTTTTTTTGTTATTGTCACATGGACATTTTTATATTTTATGCTGATTTATTAAAAATGATGAGTTGAAACATGAGTCAGTACTACTTGGTTTGTTATTATTTACTATAGTTTTAAGGTCGTCGTGCTATCAGATTACTTTCTTCTTTTTCATTTAAATAGTTATCTGAATTTCAGGTAATTTTTAAGTTTTTGCTTCTCTGATAAGAAATTCTACCTGGGAAATTCTTTTTCTTAATGATCTTGAGTCATAAAAGATATGTAATTAAATAAGATCGAGAAAGAATTTGAGAGAAACGTCATAAAGTAATTCACTAAAAAGAAAGTCATTTTGGATTTGAAACGTGTTTATGGGTTGTAAGTGTGTTTAAATATCTGACGAATATTTTTGGACACAGTCGGCTTCAACATTAACTCACGACAGTCGAGAGAAAGGCATCGAAATTCTCAAATATCTAAACATTTGATGACAAATTGAGAGAGTGTCTTATGAGTTCAAGTTCACGCTGTTTAAGATTAATCTACTTTTAGTCGTCTTTCGTATTTAGAACCGAAATTGATCAAAAAATATTCTAAGAAATGTCTATCAAAAGTTATTTCGTGAAAATCTTTCACTTTCTCGCAGCTATTCAGTTTTTGTACGGAATTTATTACGAGTGTGTTCATGTCTTACCAGAAGATGTTAAGTTAAGAAAATTTTCATTCGGTGGGAAATTTATTTATTTAACATTTTTAAATGGAGTAAGTTGCAATGAAATTTGAGTTTAATTAGTGAATTTATTAATTTTTAATTTTATTTTAGATAATTCATGCCGTTTATCACTCGATTGCATTGGTACATGACTTCATGAAATCTGAAGAAATATTTTATCCTGTAAATCCATCAAGGATTAGAAAATTTAGAGATTACATGTTTGCCACCTTCGCATTTCCACTTGGAATGAATGTGGCATTTGTCTTTTGGTTGTTGTACAGCATTGATCGTGAACTTGTCTTCCCTTCAGCTATGGATGCATTTTACCCTTGGTGGCTTAACCACATCCTACACACAAATGTCTTCGTTTTTATTGTCGTGGAACTCATCATTTCATATCATCATTACTCCAATAGAAAAGCAGAGTTAGGCGGACTTTCTGTTTTCATTGCTGGGTACCTTGTGTGGGTCCTCATAATCAAATACAACGCTGATGCTTGGGTATATCCAGTCTTAGATGTTCTTGATCTCTACCAACGAATTGGATTCTTCATCGTCACTGGAAGTCTGCCACTTCTCTTCTATTTTATCGGCAATTTTATCAACGATAAAGTTTGGAAAATCAAACATCGTTTAAATCCTGAAAATGATGAGAACAATTAAGTTGATTGCTTGACCTTTTTTAACGACTTTGAAAGAATTTTTCATAATTAATTTAAAGAAATGCATCATAGATTTTCTCGAAAACATCAATTTTATTATTGTCATAGATTATTGACATTTTTCCTCGTTGTTTGTTTGATTAAAAAAAATTAAAAAATTTCAAACACATAAATTTCTCAATTTGTTTGTTATGAATTAAAACTCGTGACATTATCGACTGTTGTTTTATTGTCATCACATGCTGCAACATAAATCATTAATCGATGAATATTATTATGTAATTCTTCTTATTAAAAATTATGTCATTTAGAGGCACAATTGAAATATTTTGTTCGGTCGTTGAGATTCATTTAAAAGTCAAATAAAAAAAATCAAAATTTTTTGCTTACAATCTAAACTTACGAGTTATTTTATTAAAATATCATCATTTTGATGGAAGCAAGAGAAGTTTAAGCTTCTCAGATTCCGTGAGTGAAGTTTCGTTTGTATCGCGACGTTTCATTGACGAACTTAATGAAAAATGCTTCGAGAGAAGTTTGTGAGTTTCCATTGATTGGTCATCGTCTTCATTATCATCATGAGTTATTTGTTTCTTCGTCTTCTCTTCATGTTCAATGGATGAAAATGTTTCCGAAGGAATTTCCGTTTGAATCCCAACATTACTTCGACCTGATGTCGATCCTTGAAGATTTCCATTTAATATCTTCAAGTCATGAGAAGTTCGAATCTTCTCTTTATCTTTCAATTTCTTTTCCTTTTCTGACTTTTTATCAGTTTTTATTCTTCCCGATCCATTTGTAACTGTCAACAGATTTGCAGACTTTGCAACAGATGATTTTGACGTTTTCCTTATTCTTCTTAATCTCATATTGCCAGTTTTAAGACTTTTCTTACTTCCAATACTTCTGTTACTATTCTTGCTCATTCTTCCCGTTCCAGTGGTGAGATTATCGTCACTCGTGAAGTCAGAAATGTCGACGCTATTTGATTTTCTCACTTGCATTTCCATCAAACCACTGTCGCCGTTGTTATCATCAGACTTAAATTTATTGTCGATAATCTTCTCTTCACTTAATCCAATTTGCTTGAGAATAACATCAAGCTTCGAGTCTTGAAGGTTTAACGAACCAACTGACGACTTTTCATCTTCTGACGTTGTTAAAAATGGCAGTAAAATTTTATTTCTTTCAATCAGTTCATGAATTTGTGCTGGTGCGAGTGATGAAATTCCTGACCTTCGTTTAGCTCCAATAGGGACCAACATTCCACCTACCATGTCACTTTCTGATACCGGCACATGACGAGACCTCTTTTGAGCCATCGCTACAATTTGTGATTCCATCGATGTGCTGCTTTCCTTCCTTCCATTTCGACGCGTTGTAAAATCTTTCCTTTGATGTCTCGATGATCGTGGCTTTGATTTAGATCCACGCGATCGACTTGCAACTTTTGTTTTCATTTCAGCAATCTTCACAGACACTTGAGAATCATTCGAACTTCTTCTTGACTCAACTGACACATGGCGAACACTGAAACTGATTTCACTGTCAATAGAATTCCAACTATGAGCATCACTTGATGTTGATGCACATTCAGTGAAAGCATTCCGACGGGTCACAAATGCTGGTAAATTATTCGCCCAAGTTGTACTGAAATCGTTTGAACCAACAGCTGAATTCATGTCAAATTTTAAGCCTACTGGATCAGTGTGAGAATTATGAAAGCTGATTGACAATCGACCACGATTTTGAAGAACTTCTCTCATTGCATAAGCTTGTTTCACCATTTTATGCTTTTGAAATTTCACAGGTTCTTCAACTTTATGTCCAAGCTTTGTTCGAATGAATCGTCGCCATATTTTGATCGTTGATGGCGTAAACACAAATGAAGCCATGACAATTTTCGATGCAAAGAACGCCAACAATTCAACTTGAAGAATAGCAATTGATGGGCGATTAAGAAGTTTGCAAGTTAAAGAATCGTCATCAGAATATGTTGAAGTTATTTTACATCTGAAAGAATTGAAACGAATTTTTTAAATTTCATTAAAGATTTTTAATTAAACTCACATTATGAAATTCCGCAAGCTTTCACTCCATCCACTAGCATTCTTGAACTCGTAAATATGGCACAAGAGAATTATGACAATTATGACGCCTCTAAGTACACCGCAAATTTCCATTCTTAAAATCCAACGATCAACTTTCTTACTGGCACGTTTCGATATGATTTGTTTGCTTGAATTTTTCACATTGATAAGAATTACCAAACCTCGAATAAGGAAGAATCCTCCAATGATTAATTCACATAGCACCGGTCCTAAGACTGCACCACCACGAATAGCATGATTGACGTATCCAACGAAGCAAATGCCAACAATGCTAATCCCGTCAACTTCTGATATTGCAAGAATCGAGATTGTCATTACCAACGGAATACTCCAAGCAATTAAATGAAAGTAAGAAGCTTTTTTATCGATCCTCTCTTGAAACCTTCCATTTGCATTAAAGTTCATGTAGTAAGCGTAAGTGAAGATGACAAACCAACAAATTTCAGCAATTTGAAAGTAATAAACGAAGATGAAGACAATGATGCATGACAAGTTTTCACCACCACTCGGTTCACCTTGTTTCAATGTGTTGTCAACACGACAAACGATGTCTTCTCGTGATCCAGGATTGAATTGTGCAAGCCAACCAATGCAAGAAATCATGCAACAAAGATTCACGAAGAATATGATGAGAGTTGGATATGAATCGCTGTTTCGCCAATCAATAGCGAATGTAAAGCATGCAAATATATGCAAAACTAAACATAAACTTGCACCCCATGCAATCCATTGTCGTATTTGTCGATGTTCATCATCAGTGTAAAGTGGATCTTTGCATTCGATTCCACATCCTTCAATATCCTTATATGAATTTGCTGGATCTTCAACAGTCACCAAAGGCTTCAAACATTGACCAGTTAAATTAAATTTCATTTCTCTGACATCGTTGTTGCATTTCGACGGGAAGTTTGTTTCATTGCATTTGAGGAAATCGGGGAAGTAACTGCTGTTGTAAAGAATTCGACAAGGTTCCATCGTTATTTTACACATTTCTAATGATGGCAGGTAAACCATATCGACACCATTGATATTCTCACATTTGGGGAAGAAAACAGCACAGAGAAATGGTTGAATGACGGCCCAACATTTGGGAACATGTTTTAGAGCTTGATAACTTATGAGTTGTTCTAATGATTGATCTTGACTGTAATATTTGGTGAGATCTAATGTCGTGCTTGGATAGGGAATATTGCGACCAAAACACTGTTTTGTATATTCTAATTCTTCACATTTCGCTTCTGCTTCACGAACACAATAAATGTAACGTCCTTCACGTCCCTCCCAAGTCCATTTGTCATCTTTGGATTTCTTTCCATGCATTCGAAAGTTTTTCGTTCCATTAATCGGTTCAAGTGATAATTTTGAAGTTTCGATTGAATCTGGATATTTTGAAATAGAAGCACTTGTTGAATGAAGAAATGAAATTAACAGGAAGGCCCATGTGAAAGAAAAGATGGGAAAATAAAAGTACCTGAAAGAAGCGTACATTTATTGTGAAAAACTCAGCAAATTTAAAGAAATCATGATACTCACTGCATTTTGTTATGAAGAATCATCCTTTTGAAAGGCAGAAGAAATTTTATATTCTTTTTGTTCTTATTTGCTATTAATATTATTCACATTTTATTCTCGTTTTTCTTTAAGTAAAATTCACTGAATTTAAAGTTTTTCTTCAACTTCTCTCATCAAAATCATAATAAAAAAGCACTTAACTTTAAATGTGAAGTAATAAAATGCAAAAATAAATGTGATAATTAATATAAAAAACAAAAAACTGCTTTATAAACAAAAAGAAAAATATTGCGGGTGGTCTCGTCGTGCTTGCTTTAAAAATGATTGTGCTGAAGTTAAAGTGCAGTTCTGGGGAGCTTTTGCGAATGCATAAGCAAAATTTCGGAGTGTAGAAGTCAAGGTCACCTTGAGTTTGAGTTTTGCCGATTACAAGTGTGAAACTTTTCAATTTTAAAGCAGCTATCACTTGGCTATCAACGTTCCTTCCACAGTTCAAAATGGCTCTCAATAAATTAAGCATCGAAAACTTGGATTTAGCTGGAAAGCGTGTGTTGATGCGGTAGGAAATTAATAAAAATTATTTCCTTCAAAAAAAAATTTTCCTTCTAATCGATTTTCATAAATTTTCATTTTCGTTAGTGTGGATTTCAATGTTCCTATTAAGGAAGGTAAAATTACCAGCAACCAACGTATTGTAGCAGCTTTGGAGAGCATCAAGTTCGCTTTAGGAAAAGGAGCCAAGTCTATCGTTAGTATTTAATTATGCAATCTTATTACATCTTGACAAGATGAATGAAACTTTACATTAATTAAAAAAGGTTCTCTGCTCACATTTGGGTCGTCCCGATGGCAACAAAAATCCAAAATATACAATGGCGCCAGTTGCTGATGAACTCAAGAGATTGTTAAATAAAGATGTGAAATTCATCAATGACTGTGTTGGTGCTGAAGTTGAAGCTGCTTGTGCCAATCCAGCACCAGGTTCCATTATCCTTCTCGAAAATCTCCGATTCTATGTTGAAGAAGAAGGTAAAGGTGTCGATGCCAATGGAGCTAAGGTGAAAGCTGACCCTGCTAAAGTCAAGGCTTTCCGCGAAAGTTTGGCAAAGCTCGGCGATGTTTACGTCAATGATGCATTCGGAACAGCTCATCGTGCTCATTCATCAATGATGGGCGAAGGTTACGCTCAACGAGCAGCTGGTCTTCTGATGAATAAAGAATTGAGATATTTTGCTAAAGCGCTTGATAACCCAGAACGTCCATTCTTGGCAATTCTTGGTGGTGCCAAAGTCGCCGATAAAATTCAACTCATTGAAAATCTTCTCGATAAAGTCAATGAGATGATCATTGGCGGTGGCATGGCCTTCACATTCCTTAAAGTTTTAAACAACATGGAAATCGGCGGCTCATTATTCGATGAAGAAGGCGCAAAGATTGTTCAAAGTCTCGTTGAAAAAGCTAAGAAAAACAACGTTCAACTTCATCTTCCAGTTGACTTCGTTACAGGAAATAAATTTGGAGAAGACGCTGAAGTTGGAGTTGCAACAGTTGAAAGTGGAATTCCAGCTGGATCAATGGGATTGGATGTTGGTCCAAAATCACAGGAAATGTTTGCGCTTCCTGTTTCTCGTGCAAAAGTCATCGGTAAGCTTCTTAATCAACTTCATTTTTGAATAATTTGATGTTACTTCATTTTTATTTTGAAAAACCATTTCATAATTTCAGTTTGGAACGGACCACCTGGCGTCTTTGAGTTTGGAAAGTTTGCTTGTGGAACTAAAACACTTTTGGACAATGTTGTTGGAGCAACGAAAAGAGGAGCTGTAACCATCATTGGTGGAGGTGACACGGCTTCATGTTGTGCTAAATGGGAAACCGAGTCACAAGTCTCTCATGTTTCAACTGGCGGCGGTGCAAGTCTCGAATTACTCGAAGGCAAAACTTTACCTGGTGTCGCTGCTTTATCGAACGCATAAAACTTCATGCTAGAAAATTTGTCGCATCATTAAGCAGCTGAGCTCAGTAATCACCTTAAATATCCTTATCTCAGTAAATAAAAACGATCTTTGATCAGAATAAAAATTTTTTGAATGGTTTTTAGTTTGATTCTGATGAAAAATAATGAAAATATTTAATGTTAATAAAAACCTAATTAAATTCGATTCCAGAACCCAATTTTATTATTTTATTCATTTTTTGATATTCATTAACAAATAAAAGTTTTTCGTTACTTCCACGATTGGTTTGTTGGTGGACGAACTTGTCGTATTCCAGTTTCCCTTTGAATGACTTCAGCGATGCTCATACTTGGAAGCCATGACTAAACAAATGAAAAGAAATAAATTAAAGAAATAACGAAATTCATGTTTAATGACTCACCGATTCTTTTGCTGCTGTTGCAATAACATTTCGGTTTGGTTCAGCATCGAAAGCTTGCGTTTCAACACCAAACATCGCAGCCAAGTCATGAACTACGTGACGCTTGTCACGATTCATAACTGGAAATGAATGCGATCGTGACTTTTGTTTACTTTCTTTTGCCAACTTCACCAAGTCTGTGAGTTTCTCATGCACCATGTTAACAAATGCCGGTTCTTTCTTGTAGAATAAACGAATGAAGTCAGTGTAGTTGGGAATAAATTTTGGATAATTTATCAGATTTGGATTCTCAACCTTAAATGCAATATCCAAACGACGATTTCTTTCAAGTGTCGCACAATCATTGTTACATTCAAGGATCTTTAACGTTTTTTTATTTCCATCATTGAAAATATCTTTCATGTCAATTCCTTCACCATTTTGTTGCATTTGCATCGCTAAATTCACTCGATGAATTTTACGATTCTCATAAGCGACTTGTTCACAGCTTTTCATTTCTTTTAAATTTCCACACGAACATGTCACTTCAACTAAAACTTTACAAGCTTTCTCAGGGCATTTTCCTTCGTGACATGGAGCGTTACACGAATGATCACATTCCGTTCGTTTCGTTGTGCATAACTGTTTGCAAATGTCTGTGAACTTCTCGCAAGCATTTTCATGACATTTCCTATCGCATTTGTGACGATTACATTTTAAGTCTTTTCCGCATGGCATACCACAGCTGAATGACTCTTGATTACATGGAATCGTCTTTCGTTGTTCATGTTTTCCATAGCAATATTTCGTTGTAAGAAAGACACAAGGTGGACAATCAGTCTCAGTGTGACAATGATGTTTAACTGGATGTGTGCACTTATGACGACGTGTGCAAGGTTTTGTGCATTCAGGAACTTTAACACCACAAGACACTGGCGGATAAACAACAACTTCACCGCACTCGCACCTCAACTCATCGAACGAAACTCTCGGACATGGTGAACAATTTCCAATGTGACAAGGCTTTGTGCAACGATGCTTCTTACATTCCAACATTCTTCCACATTGTTGTGAACAAATATGTTCAATTTCAATGCAACAATTCTGATTGCATTTATGCTTACCACAATTTTTAAATTTCGTGCATTTCTTTTTACATCTCACGTCAGTGTTGATCAGTTCCTTACATGCGATCTTCTCTTCGATTCGTCCACAACGACATTTGACATTCGATGTTTTATTACATGGTGGACATTCGTTGAGATGACAAGGCTTTATGCAAGTGTGAGGTGATGCTAATGGACCACATTTGAGTCGTTTCATACATTGTGATTTACATAATGGAATTGGATCGGAACAAGATTTTCTTTTACCAGCTTCAATGATTGTTTTTCCACATGGACATGTCTTAATAAATTCCGGTGCTAATAAGCAATCACTACACTTCTCCGAATGGCAAATTAAGTTACAACGATGAACTTTGCATTCAAGTTGGAGATCACAAACTTTACCGCACGAATATTTTGTGACGAGAACATTTTCTGGTGCACATTTTTCTAATTTTTTGTCTTTCTCGCAATAACAAATCATTTCAATATCCTTCGTACATGGACTACATGGTCCCTGATGGCAATTATCTTTACATTTGTGAACTCCACAGTTGAGAATTTTCTCGCATATGTCATCGCATTCGAAAACTTCTTTCATTGAACATTGAAAAGTTTTCTTTAATTTTCCACATCCACATGATCGTTCGACAAACGATTGACATATATTATGAGGTCCTGGATGACATCTAAGTGTGCAAGGATGTTGACAATTATCGGTTCGTCCACATTGATCACCACAACTATGAGCAAGATCGTTACGATTAACAGTTGGATATTTTTGCTTACCACAAAAACAGAAATAATCCTTCGGAGTTTCTAAACGAAGATATTGACAAGCAACACAGCGCCATTCACCAGATTCAGTCTTAGAATTTGATATCCAAGTCTTTATACAACTTAAATGTTGAATGTGATAACAATTTGAGCAATTCCATGTTGATTGATAATCTTTTATCTTATCACAACAAATCATACACTCCAAGTTGTTACTTTCAATATCTTTTATAATTTGTTCACGTTGTGAAATCTTTGATGGTTCAATTGACTTCTGCTTCTTAATTTTATTATTATTTGAAGAGTTTGGTTTCTTCTGACCTATTTTAGCACCATTGGTCTTGTGATGATGATCGTGATAGTGTTCGTTGTTCCAATTATCTCCTTGACTTCTCCAATTATCCGATTGGCGATAATGTCGGGAATTTTTATTCTGTTGATCATAATTGTCTTTGTAAAATTTTCTATTTTCGCTAAATTTTGATTCTTCTTTTGGATATCTATCAAAATTTTGATGTCTATTAAATCGTGGAGGTTTTCTTTTATTATTTTGGTTGTTATTCTTATAAAATGTTGATGATGATTTAGGAACTGCTCCTGTTTGTTTTTCCCTTAAGATTCTTTCATTATTTATATCTGAACTTGATCCATTAGCATTGAAACTTTCTATTTGACGTTCCTTTGGAATAAATTCTCTTGCTTCCGCTGATAATAATCCAGATGATCCCGAACTATGTTGAGACAATGAGTAACCTTGAAGATCGTCTACTGGCATATTTATCACTTGATGATAATTCAGCACCTTCTAAAAATAGTCTAGTTAATGGAAATTATGAAATCACATTGAAAAATGGCAAAAATTTACTTTGAATTATGAAATTGATGTTGTTTATTTACTTGAAGGCTTTTCTTTTATTACTAAAATAGCTATTCGCAAATTTACTATTAACTTAAGTATTTATTTAGCTTTAAGTGCTCACTCAAAAGAGCTTAAATTAGCAAAAAAAAATCGTTTAAGCGAAGTAATCTGTATGATTTTTGCGCACGTGAAATTTTGGATCAGCCGACGTATGTTAAAATATTCGAGTGTACACTTTAGCGGGGTGCTGAACTAGCACAGTATGTGTACTCTACCAAAAATAGAAAATTTCTTCTAATCAATGCAAAACTTTAAAATTATACGGTAATTCCTTGCGAAATATAAATAATATCACCTTACACTCTTATAAAGGACTACTGTGCATGCATTAGTGATATAAAATTTAAGTTCGTTAGCTGTAAATTGTGAAAGAAACAGAATTTAAAGGAAATTTTGCCAGAACGAAAAGGCGATGAACACATCAAGTTCAGGAGGCTTAGTGAGAAGGCGAACAGCAGCTGAGAGTTCAGATAATACTTCTAGCACTTCCGCTGCAAATAATGATCACAATGACAATTTTAAAGATGATACAGAAAACGATAATATGGAGGAAGCCTCAGATAAAGAAACAAGATTGACGTTGATGGAAGAAGTTTTGTTGTTGGGACTAAAAGATAAGGAAGTAAGTTTAACTAAAATAAGTTTTGCCTTGACTTTTGCAATGTTGGCAACCGTGGCGGAAATAAAAATGTTTAAAAATTGATTTTCTGGATCAATCAATGCTAGAAATAGCCGTCAAATAAACACGCTAACTAATAACAATGAATAGAGAAAGTGAAATTTTGAAGCTTTTTTTGTTACGTTTGGGATGTGGAATGAAGTGTAGTGCTGGAAAAAAGACTTCGATGACATTTACTCGTTTTCTTCTTCATATTTCATGTCTACTATTTAGTTTGTTACAGTTGTGAAGATGTGAAGAACAACATATTCAAATAAATTGGGCATGTTTGGTTATTAATAAAAAGAAATCGATTTATGGCGATGTATAAACAAGTGGTGCATTAATTAATAAGTAAAATGTATTGAACGATAGAGATAGCGAGGTTGATGAACAGAGAGTCTCTAATGTCAACGTCATCAGAAATTAAATTAAACTCTACAATTTTTAGTTACAAACTTCATAAATTTTATTTAATCATAAAATCGTGATCACATATCACAAGTTTCCTCGTTTTATTTACTTAAAATTAATCACTGCCGTTTAAGCTTTCACATAATATAATTTTAATAAGCAATTATCTACAAGTCGTTTCATGAATTTTTCAATTCTTATCACCACCCTAAAAAACTTAATTTCAAGAAGCATAAAAAAAGTTTCTAAACATTTGTAAATTGTTTTCGTCACTTAGATATCATTTCGAAATAGCCTTTCATGTGTTTTTACTAACTACAAAGTTGAATATTGAATGAAAGCTGTTGAAGAAAAGAAAAACAAGTTCAATTGACCTGTCAACACATGTTCAGTGATAAAAAATTTATCGTGTAATGATTTTAATAATTGAAAACTTTTTCGAAAACTTCTTAGGGCTACACTTCATTTTGGAATGATTGCATATCAAGTGGTCTTCGTGGATGTATTTTGATAGAATTAGGATTGCGAGGTCGTGTTGAACTTGAAAAAGCTGGCATGAGACGACGAGGATTGTGTACCAGGTGAGATTTTCTTTTGAATTTCTATCGAAATTTTTCTTATCTCCTTCTGAAATTATTAGAAAAATTATACTGAAATCTGATACTCCAACTGGAGATGTCTTGCTTGACGAAGCTCTTAAACACATAAAAGATACAGATCCACCCGAGACGATCCAAAGTTGGATTGAATATTTAAGTGGTAAATAATCATAAACATAAAATTGAATACATTTAATTAAATTATCTTTTCCAAAGGTGAAACATGGAATCCTTTGAAACTTCGTTATCAATTGAAGAACGTCCGTGAACGACTTGCCAAAAATCTCGTTGAGAAAGGTGTGCTGACAACAGAAAAGCAAAATTTCCTTCTTTTTGATATGACAACACATCCTTTGAATGATAATAACGTCAAGACAAAGTTGGTGAAAAAGGTAAAATTTCTTTATATAATGTTTGTAAAAAGAAAAGTAAACTAAATTTGATTATTTCCCTCACATCTAACAGATTCAAGATGCCGTTTTAAGCAAATGGGTTAATGATCCCCAGCGAATCGAGAAGCGAATGTTATCGCTTATATTTCTTGCACATGCCAGTGATGTACTGGAGAATGCCTTTGCGCCGCTCAATGATGACGATTATGATTTGGCGATGAGACGTGTACGTGAACTTTTGGACTTGGATTTCGAAGCTGAAGCAGCAAAATCAACCACAAATGACATCGTATGGGCAGTTTTCATGGCGTTCACGAAATAATGATAAATTTATCTTTCTTCACTTCGTCCTTTGTTTTTCTTTTATATTCTATTTTGACGGTTGAATTGGAATTCCACAAATTCCTATTTCAACCAGATTTCACCAATAATTTAGCAATTTTTAAGAAACACAGGAAACTTGTATAACTTATTCCACAAGTTGATTCACGCGTTAAGAAACAATTGAAAATCAAAATGTGATTGGTAAATGATGAATGAAACATCTTTTTTTTACAAGAAAGTGATTACTTATTGAGAATGATTGACATTGAAAGGTGAAATAGTTAATTAATAAAATGAAGGAAAATTTGTCTTTAGTGATTTCAAAAGCAACCTTAAAGTACTATTTGATCATTATGTATTCCTATTTCCTATAATCCGTTTTTCTCAATCAACTTATCAGAATTATTAATTAATTATGTAATATACATTTTCTTAAATATTCTTCCTTCAGCATGTCTTTTGGAATACTTATTATAAGCAAGTACCTTAAGAGTGACTGTTAATGACAACAAAAATCTCACAATCATCTTCGACTCGAGATTTGTGAATTGAGATGAATTTATCGAACTTAAACAATTGTTAATCAGAAAATGTTTGACTCGACAAGGCGCACAACGAAGCCCTTTTTTTATGGTCATCAAAATGTTCGATTTTCTTGGGGATTTTTCTGTACTATTTATGAATCATATGAATGAAGAAACAAACATCTCTGCAATATTTGTAATTTGATATCCCATGAAATCTTTTTTTATTATTTTCTGTCCGTGCTTAAATGTTAAATTATGTTTTAAGAAAAGTAAAAATGAAAATGATTTTTCTGGATTATATCTAATAAACCTTAAAGAATGATTTAATTTTATTAAGTGACTTGCATCTGATGATGAAGATTTTAATCAGAAAAAATTTTCAAAAAAAAAGAAAGAAGAGGTTTGCAAGTTATTTTGCAATATCTCATATTTGTGATGCATAAAACTTTTAAATAATCCCGTGTCACAAATAACTTCCTCTTAATTGAAAAAGAAAATTAATTAAGTTTTTTAAATCACGATTTTATTTCGACATTATTGGAATGATTTGAAATTTATATTTGAAAAGCTCAATCATTCCACGAGTGGTACATTTCCGAAATATAAAATCGACCAGAATGTTTAAGCATAATTGAAATTGTAGATGAAATTGGAAAAATGAACGTAAAGTTATTATAGATCAGGTGAAACGTAATAAAAAATGCGAAGTTGAATAAATAAATAATAAAATGATGAAATATTTTCCGACTTGTTACTTTTATTAAATTTGTAAATCAAGGTTGGTAATGGAAGGTTCTATGAGCGAAAGTGTTCATTATTTGGTTCCAGAAATCATGGTGAAAATGAATTATTAATGATGATAACGATCGCAAGTTAAAAGCTCTTGAAAAAGTTTTTGAGGATGAGTCAATTAAAGTTTTGTTGTCCATTAAATTTCAAACAAATAACAAAGATGATGAACTATTATTAAGCATTTAATAATAAGTTCTTATTAAGTAATTAAACATCTTTTGGAACGTTGAAGTGAAGTTCAAGTGATTGTTCAATTCTCATGCTTAAATTTTTGAAAATATTTGACATTCTGAAAGTTGGTTGAATGTCAAACTCGATAAATTTTTCTTGCCGTTTTATGAAAGACGATCGTAAACTTTTATCAATTTTCACTGGAAAATGTCTTCCTGGCAATCTTTTGCTTTTATCTACACAAAAGTTAGAAATTTGATATCCCAAACGTTTGACGATTGACAAGCAACAGAACGTTGTGCAGTCAATTTCATTATGATAATCACATCCCAAATTATCTGTATGTGTGAAAGGATCTTGCAAAATTGCATTTCTAGCCAAGAAAACTGATGAAAAAGGAAACTCTTCTTGATTAGATTCATTAATTAAACTTCTTTGTAAATGAAAAAGAAGATGCTCAGCTGGATACAAACGAAATTCATTTTCAGTGCCAACATTCTTCGTAATTTGTTCCAATGTCATAAGTCCTGCTTTATAATCATCGTTGTGCATTCCGGGAGCTGTGAACATTGGCTGAATCTCTTTCTCATTCATGAATTCTAAAATTCTCTTTAGAATCTCATTGTCATTGGAAATGCCTTCGAAATTTGTTGATAATTCCATTTTGTGTGTCTTCTTAGAATGAGTTAGTGCATCAAGGTACAAACCAATTGGCAACTCTCCTGGATTGATGATCATATGCATTGTGTCGTAAACACCTTTGGACATGCTGAACTTTGCCATTGCTATCTCAGCAGGATAAATTTTTCCTGCAATGCTATGAACGAAATATGATGTACTGAAGAAATAAAATGTAAAATTGTCCAAATCTGTGAAATTTTAAGTCATTAAATTGATCAACATTGGAATTTGTAAATTCACATAACCATCTTGATGATAGTTTGAGAGAATTAAATTTTGTATAGTTAATTCCATTATCACTTGCTGCAGCTTTTCTGTACGTTCTTTTTCTTCTATTTCTTTTAATGGAATTCGAAAGCTTGTACATTTTTCTTGTTCATATCGTCCGTTGGTAGTTTTACCTGCCTTTTGTTTATATCGATCTTTATCTTCCGAAGACATTTTCTGTTGTAATAAAAATTAATAACCTGGAAATTTATAGAAAAGTCAGATATACCTCCCATACTGCTCCAGACTCATAAACAGCTTCCTCCAATGTCAAATCTTTTCCAGATTTTATTCGGTATTCAAGTGTAAACATTATGAAGCCATTGCTTTTCTTATTTGGCGACATTTTTTTTCAATTTTATCGTTTTCAAAAATAACCAATGAATCTAAATATCTACTACTAAATATAAATCTATTTGATAAACACAACTAGACATTAAGAAATGTTTAATTTATCCATATAATCTTTAACTTTAATAAAACATCAGAGCTTTAGCTGTGTTCAGAAGTTTGCAATTTAGTTTTGATTGTGCATTAAAGATCTAGTACTGCAATTTTTGAATTGTTATTTTATCGTTAGACGTTTACACATATAAAAATTTATAAGAAAACAAAATTAATTTTGCAACACCATCGATATTATTTTATTGAACAATTTCTCTTGTTTATTTTTCTCTACAAATTAATGAATCATATAAGCAAAAGAAATAATTATAAATTTATAGTTTTGATAATTATGCCTGAAGATTGTTGGGATGAAATCATGATTTAAGGTTTCCAAAAATGAATGTTGTGATATATATTGTAGGTAAATAGATTTAACAAATTAAATGACATATATGTAAAGACTCTGGATTTATCCGAGAGTATGAGAAGAAATATTGAAATTAATATAGATATTTATAATTTTTCTCTGATAATGTCATTTGTGAGCTCCTTTTGAAACTCCTCAATTACTCAACATTACCAAAACCTGCTGAATTTTGGTTTTGGTTGTTTGTTGTTGATTATTAATTATGATGGAAGTCTTAGTTGAAACAAAAGCGAAAAGAAATTTCGATGATTGCCGCAGGTTGGAATAAGAGAGAATTGCGATTAAATTCATTCCCAAAGAAAAAAGCTTTTACGCTACTCTCAGCTTTTATGCGAATATTTTCCTTACGTTGAAATTTCCCTTGAACTTTTGTGAGCTACACAAAGCCGCATCGATGACAGTTACTTACTTCGCGACGTCCAAAACACATTTATTCGAAGTTTATTTCTGATTCCAAAATTTGATGTGCTTTGATGTTTCACTTCTTCTTTGATTTGGAATAGAAACGAACAATCTGTTCATATTTGACCGGAATTGATTGAAGAATTCCAATTTTGTTTAATGGATGATTATTCACAGTCGCCGACAGCTGCTGATTCTTTTTCTGATCATCCAAATTATCTCCAGTTAGCAATGTTAAAACAGGAAATTCACTTTCTTCTTCCGGTGAATTGTTGGACACAATAAAGTTTGCAAAATTAACAATTTTGACGAAAATTGAAGTTTCAATGTCTGGGAAATGTTTTACAGTTTAAATTTTAATTCTAATTCTTTATTTTGTTTATAAAACTCACCCAATTTACTTGGAATCTTTACCAAAGGTAAAAGACTTTCAGGTTCACGCTGAGCTCTCATAAAACGATTTCCTTTCTTAAACTCAGCTTCCAACCATTTGATAGCATCTCGAGCCCCTTCTTTACTTTTCTTTAAGTCATCCAAATCTGATAAAACTATTCAAAAGAAATTTATTAAAAATATTTCCCACGAATAAAAACAAAATTTAAACTCACCAGCTTTGGGAATAAGAACAATAAATTTCTTGCTTTTGACAAGGTTCTTAACAATGTTAAGATAATCTGTGAGACATTTGGAATCCAACATGATGTATGGTGTGAGAGCAACCGCAGAATGCTTTTTCGATTCTAAAGTTTGAATTTCACTTTTCAACCACAATTTTCCCATCAATTCATTCTTATCAATCTGTTTGCTGTTGTCATTGCCTTCAATTGCCTTGTTCTTTAAGTAACCTTTACGAAAGTTTGATTGATGTGATTGTTCGATTGATGGATATTCTTCCACTTCCTTCGAATGCTTTCGTATGGCCAAACGTTCAAATCTGTCACAATCCGAATCTTTCTTGTTTCTTCTACGATTTCTTCGCCTTTCTCGACGTCCGCCTCTCTTACGTTCATCGCCATTATTTCTTTGACCTCTGTTTCGACGTCGTCCCGTCTTCTCAATGAAAACCCTCGTACGAGCACAGAAATTGTAAGAGAACTTTTTCATCTTGCACAAATGAAAGCCGAAATCGATGATCTTGAAGTTTCTTAATATGACATCTTCTTCGTTTGTGATTTGCAGCTTATAAGTAACATCCCAATCGAGAACTCGTTGGAGCTCATCAAACATTACGTTCTTCTTAAACACAATATCTTCAAACGTTGGAATTGTATGACGAATGTCAAACAAATGGCGTAAACCTTCACGTACATTCTTTGTTGTCAACATCGAACGATCGAAATAAATTTTTCTGGTGAAGATGTCGATATTCAAGAAATTTACAAGCTTCATTATTCTCTTAATAAACTCAGGATTACTTCGATAACATTCAACAAGAACATCAGCATTTAAACGCAACCAATCGAAAAGAATTTTTAAGCTTTTCATCCAGCCGTCGTTGAGTTCATTGAATCGAATGATAATTGTTGGACTTATTTTTGAATATTTCTTTTTAAATTTTAATTTTATCGTTTTTCCTTCTCCTTCTTCTTCATTATCGTCGTCTGCATCTGCAAAAACAACCTGTTCATCTTCAATTATGACATCATCTTGATTATCTTCTTGTTCTCTTGGAAATGCATACGAATCGACGTTTTTCTTCTTTGATCCACTGCAAGCATCATCGACATTGGCAAAAACAATTTCTTCATTCTCAATAACAACGTCATCACCATCATCATCGTCATCATCAGAATCTTGTTCGTCTTCCGAGGAATATCGATCAGAAAAATCATCTTGTTCGTCATAGGAATCAAAATCGCTGTTCATTGATTCGACATCGCTGCGATCAAATTCACTTCTGATTGACTCTGTGTCTGATTCATCGCTGCTACTCATCGAGTTGACATTCTTGCAACGCTTTCTTCGACGTCGATTGTTATTACCATGAGAAGATGGTTGTGGTTTCTTAGCAATTGTAACAGGGCGAGGATCAGATTTACCTGAAGCTTCTCCCGAAAGTTGTTTACTTTCCAACGAAAGTTGATTACTTGAATGACCATTTTTCTGACTGTTATTGACACTTCCGTTATTCTCACTTCCTGAATCTTTGAAACTTCCGGCTTTTTGTTTTCTTCCTTCAACAACGCGATTATTGTCACGAGCTGTTTTTATCTTTCTGTCAAACTCATTAAATCTTTTATTATAAGCTTCGTGAAATTGTAAATTTTCGTCTTTGTTATCAGCAATAAAGTCGTCAATTTTATCGATTGACACTTTAACAATTTCCGAACAAAAGGCAACTAAAAATGCATTCAAGCTGTGAACTTTTGGTGAACTTTTGAGCTTTAGCTTGAGAAGGCAAAGCATAAAAATTGATGTGAGTTGAAATGTTAAATCTTTTTGATGATTTCTTCTATTGCTGTTGAGATATTCTTTAAAACTGACAAGAACAGATCGACAAATTGTGTTGAATTCCTCGACGTCCTTATCGTAAAAGAAAATATCAATGACGAGGATCATTTGCATGATAAAATTTTTGGTATTAAATCCATCTCCAACTTCTTCCATTTTTTCCAAAGCTTCCACATTCTGTTGAAAAATTCGATTAACATTAGCTTCGCTCAACTCAAATGGAAGCGGTGAACAGAGTGAGTATAAATAATGAAAGATTGAATCGAGTTCAAAATTCACTCCAGCACATAAAGTTCCGAGCTGATTGTGAGGCATTCCGATCTTAGGATTGAGTTTAAAAGCTTCGACGTAATATTTTGCTGCCAAATCTTTACTAGTATTGATGGAGAAGTCTTTTTCAGCAAAATTAAACTCAATGCAGTAACGATGAAGGTCACCAAGGCAGACGAGAAAAGCATGAATCGATTCAACTGCGTGGCTCATTTCATTGACGGTGTAAATAACTTTTTCATTTTTCTTTTCGAATGCATCGGCTCCATTGGCAATGATACTAAAATCGATGATATAACGAATTTCAAGGCCAAACATTTCCTCAAACTTAAGAATTAAGGTCTTGTAGTGTTTAATTGCAAACTTTATGAAATTTATAAGCTGGAAAATTTCATTTTCCTTTAAGTTATCCGCACTTAGTTTCCAAAACTTTTTCGAAATGGAAATCGGATCATAATAAACCTTGCGCCATAGTATATCTCTGGTCTTTCGACCAACGTTCTCAAAGTCCTCCAGCAAAATTGACTCGATAAGTGCGACAAGGTCTTGACGTATTACATTTAAATCTTCAGCGAACAAGTCAGAAATTGATTTAAAATTTCCCTTTTGTTCATCCAGTGTCTTTACAAGTTGAAAGACGCTCCTGAAAAAGAGAGAAATGTGAATAATATTTATATATGAGTACGAGCAACGAGGCGACGAAAATGAAATCAACGCCTGTGACATTTCAACAAAAACAATTTACGTCATAGAATAAAGAACAGACGTCATTAAATGTCGTATTCTTAAGCACTTTTTCACTGTTTATAACCATGAGTTTTACTAAATCAAGTGCTAATCGTTAGTAATGAAGTTAAGACTCACTTTGTTTTCTGCTTTATATCCAAAAAATCCATGATTTGTTTCAATCCTGAACTTCATACGCTTTAAATCAGGAAGTTGATGTTATTGCTATTCCTTTCGGTTTATCTGCCAAAAAAAGCATCTTTTTATGCTTTGATAACGTAATATTACGATAGATTTCAATTATTTCCTTATTTTTTCTCTTTTATCGAAGACTCTCGAATGTTATGTGAGGGCTTGAAACTACATATCGAAAAATGAGTTCATGAGCAACTTGTTAAAAAGCGCTTACAAAACGTAATTCTTTAGCAACTTGACAGTGTTTTGCACATCTAGATGAAAACTCTATGACACTGCGTGTTGTTATTTACTTGTAAATCAACACTCGTGTGTATCATAAATTTTTGATATTATCATAAATTTCTATTAAAATTTAATCAAGTACAAACCATGAGTGAATCATCAAGTGAAGATTTTAGCGATTCAGATTCGGATGTAAGCGAAGAACAAAATTCAAAAGCAGTAAAATCTGAATTGCTTGAAACAAAGTTAAAGCAAAAGATAAGAAAAGAAGATGATAGCAACGATAGTGACAGTGATGATGAAGAGAAAGTTGAACCACCTAAAAAACGTAAAACTCTTCAAGATTATTTAAATGAAAAGGTAAATGAAAGAAATTTTAATTTTACAATTTTTTAACCTCAACTGAAATTTATTTCAGGCAGCACGACAAGCTTTGGAAGAGGCTGAAATGAGGAGAGAAGAAGAAGAGGATGAAGACGCTAATCGACCAAGGTTTCCTGTTATTAATCCAATAAATTACATCAAGAATAAGGAAATTCGACATAAAGTTTTTAAAAGAGATCAAGCAGGAAAGAAGAAGAACGACAAAAAAGAAAGAAAGATAAGAAAGCAACAACCAGGTCCTAAATCCAGAGGACACACAATAGAAAGTTTACGTGAAAAAGATCAAACTACAGTCACCAACATGGAAGATTCAGACAATGAAGAAACTAGAAAAGAACTCGAACTTGATGAGTTTAGCGAATATTACAGCAAATCTTATGAACCTAAAGTTCTCATCACATATTCTGATAATCCCCACTCAAAAACTCGTGGATTTGGTAAAGAACTTACACAGATTATTCCAAATTCTGTTGCACTTACAAGACATCGATCGTCAGTAAAGAAAATTTGTGCCAGTGCAGAACGTGAAGGCTACACTGACGTCATAATTATCAATGAGAACCGAAAGCAAGTGAATGGAATGCTTCTTATTCATTTACCCGGTGGCCCAACTGCACATTTTAAAGTTAGTAATGTGAAGCTCACAACTGATATCAAAAGGAAACTCAGCGATTTCACATCACATCGTCCTGAAGTGGTTCTCACGAACTTCACAACACGTCTCGGTATTCAAATTGGTAGAATGCTTGGAGCTATTTTTCATTATGATCCACAATTTCGAGGTCGTCGTGCTGTGACGTTCCATAATCAACGGGATTATATTTTCTTTCGTCATCATCGTTATGAGTTTGATAAGAATGGAAAGCGGGTAAAGTTGAAGGAACTTGGACCGAGATTCACTTTGAAGCTTCGATCACTTCAAGAAGGACTTTTCGATAGTAAAACTGGTGATTATGAATGGATGATTACAAACAAGCGACATCAAATGGAAGGAAATCGTCGACGATTCTTTTTATAAAAACATAAGTAAACTTGGTCAAAATAATTAAATTACTTTATTGAAATTAATTTTTCTCCTTTTTTTAATTTCCATGTTATTGATTATTGTTCCTGCAACATTTTATTTAATTTGTTTTTACCCACCCACACTCTTAGCTATTTAGCTTTACTACGTTTTATTGGTAACGTTCAACTTTCGTATGCGTGCATCACTCAAAGAAATATAAAAAGAATAGAAAAAAGAAACAAAACAGACAGAGACGATCTACATTATTGAACATTGATCACCAGTGGGAAGTGATCCGTCTGCAAGATTTGGGATCACATTTTCAGCTCCATCTCCGACAAGATCAGATGGAGGTTGGCCAAGTTCTTGCATTTTTTGCATACGATCGAGAACGATGTTAAATCTTTCTTTCTTTACTTCTGCACTGTCATTTGCCTTTTCTTTCTCAAGTTCGCCACAAACTTCTTGCATAAGTTTCAATTGATTTTCGTAACGTTCTTTCTCATCAGCTGTGATTTTAGAGCCATTTTCTGCTAACCAAGCGGGATATTTTGTGACTATTTCTTTGAGACTAGGCAGCAGAACTTCAGCAGATAAAAGACTTTGCATCATGCCTTGCATGAAAGGGAGGAATGCATTGTTATCGCCCGATTCATTAAGATTTACATTTCCAAACATTCCAGCAATGTCGTCAGTTGAAAATGGTTGCTGCAGGTTTTCTTGGCCTTCACTTAAACCTTTCAGAACATCAGAAATGCTTTGGGTGAATGCCGGATCAACTTGTGGAAGTTGTGAGCTGTTTGGATCAACTGCTAAAGCAGCAGCTTCCGCAATACGTTGAAATCCTAAGTTTAGCTGTTCAGGAGTTACTTCCTTATCACCAGCTCCAAAGATATCGCCCATTTGCTTCTCAAACATTTTGGCTTGTTGTGCTATAAACTCATCATTCCATAATGTCTCCATCGGTGGATCTTCAACTTCATCATCACTTTTCTTCTTAGATGACGATGAAGAAGCTTCATTCTTTGTTGCTACTGTATCAAAATCTTCCAATGCACCTTTGCGAAAATTTAATAATAAAAAAAATTGTGATGCAATCTGTTTAAATTTCGCATTTTACATGTAAAACTTACTGTCAAGCAACTCGTCAAGTTCATCATCTTTCACTATTTGATCAACTTTTTTGTCACTCATCTTGTTTACTTATATCGTACGTCTTTCTTCAATTTACTTCTAAAGAAGGGAGAAAGTTTTCTAATGTTGTGAATATTTAAAATTTACGACAATCGACTGAACGCACTCAAATCCGAAATTTCGAATCGGAGGTCGTGTTTATGAAAAAAACTGACATTAATAAATTCGTGTTTATATCAATTAAATAAATACTATTATAGATCTAAAACGATAAGTCGTAAGCCAGAATCACTTGTTTTGTGGTAAGTTGATGGAAAAATGTGGAATTGATAAAGTAGTGAAGATATTATTAATGAAATTCAAAAACTTCCACCTCATCAAAATTTTGTGATCATTAAAGTTGATACTCGGGTAGATTAAACGTGTCCTAATTTGATTTATATAGACTTCATGTAAATAATAAACCTACTTAAGGAAGTAAATTTTATAGGCATGCTAGATAGTAAACGATAAGAAATTTTAATTTTATAAATTTTAAGTTTTCGATTGTGAAAGTGAAATTTCTTCGAATATGATGACATGACAAACAAATCTCTTCTTGTAATAATGATTTAAATATTATTTTTTAAGCTTTACTCGATACATCGTCTAAGATGAATCCTCAATCGAACGCGTACCCTCAACAGCCACCACAAGGATGGCCATCGAATAACGTGAGTTGAAGAAATATTTTTTAATTAGTGAAACTTCAAACAACAACAAATATCATTCAATTTAAGATTAATCAACAAATGGCGAACATGAATTTAGCGGGACCACCAAAACCCGGAATGCCACCGATGCCGCAGCAATATCAACAGCAATATGCTGGATTTAACAACAATCAAGGCCCAACTCCAACTGCTTCAATGTCTGGACCTAGTCCAATACAAAATTTAAATAATTATCCAACAAACAATAACAATAATCAGTTTCCACCTACAAACGGGATGCAAAATGGACCAGGAGCAATGACGATGCCACAATCGATGGCTAATAAAGTTCCCGTTGGACATTTATCCCCCTCAGCGAATGTTGTTGCACCAGCGATATCTCAAATTCCTTCGGGATTTCCACCTACGTCATCGCCGTCTCAGATGCAAATGCAACAACAACCACAACAAGGTCAACGACCACCAATTCCAGGTGAACCATCAATTGCTTTACAACAAAATGGTTACAACAATGGATTAGAAAATCAATCGGCAACAAATCAAAGACCTCCGCAAACTGCAGCATCTCCACCCTCATCAGTAAATCCGCAAATGCAGCCACAACAAGCACCACAAGAAAAATCGCCAATGCAAAATCAATTGCCTGGTTCACAGACATTTTCAAGTCCACCATTTCCAGGCTCGAATCAACAACAATCGTTAGGCATGCAACAGTCGAATCAATTTTCATCTCCATATCCTAATCAACAAAGAACTCCAAGTATGCCTCCAATGCCTGGTCAGCCAAATCAAACGACACCCCAAATGATGAATCAGCAACAGCAAAGATTGCAACAACAACCTCCAATGACCGGTCTTTCACCAATGCCTGGACAACCTCCAATGCCTGGTCAGTCACCAATGACCGGATTTTCACCAATGCCTGGACAACCTCCAATGGTTGGTCAGTCACCAATGGCTGGACAACCTCCAATGGTTGGTCAGTCACCAATGCCTGGACAACCTCCAATGGTTGGTCAGTCACCAATGCCTGGACAACCTCCAATGATTGGTCAATTACCAATGTCTGGGCAATCGCCAATGCCTGGTCAGCCTCCTATGGTTGGACATTCGCCGATGCCTGGACAACCACCAATGCCTGGTCAGCCTCCTATGCATAGTCAACCACCAATGCCTGGTCAGCCTCCTATTCCGGGACAAACAATGCCACCTCAATTCTCACCTCAAAGTGGAATGCCACCATTACCGCAACAGCAGCAACAACAACAGTATCCACCAGGTGCAATGCAAAATCGTCAAAGCTTTAGTCAACCTCCTGGAATGTACCCACAACAGCCCGGTCAATATCCACAACAGCCTGGGCAATTTCCACAACAGCCTGGAATGGGACAACAATATCCAGGAAGTCCAATGCAACAAGCAGCACCAGCACGTCGATTAGATCCTGATCAAATGCCAAATCCAATTCAAGTAATGGTCGAGAATCAAAGAACAGCTGGCGGCGTTTTCTCAACAGCTCAAGTTGGACAAGTTCCGCCTTTGGTGACAACAAATTTTGTAACGCAAGATCAAGGAAATTCTGGTCCAAGATATGTTCGTTCAACGATGTACAACATACCAGCAAACACAGATATGATGAAACAGAGCGCAGTTCCTTTTGCTTTAGTTATATCGCCATTTGCTAGAACTGTTGGCGATGAAATGTCACCGCCAATTGTGGATTTTGGGGAAGTTGGGCCGATTCGATGTGTTCGTTGCAAAGCTTACATGAGTCCATATATGCAATTTACAGATGCAGGAAGAAGATTCCAATGTTTATTATGCAAAGCAACAACTGATGGTAAGCTTGGCTTCAATTTCTTCTTTTTAGATGCAAAGTTCGAGAGATAACGAAACTTATTTCAATTCTTTTTTGTTTTTATTAGTCCCGGCTGAATATTTCCAACATTTAGATCACACGGGTCAACGAGTTGATAAATACGAAAGACCCGAATTGGTATTGGGAACATATGAATTTGTCGCTACAAAGGATTATTGCAGGGTGAGTTTTGACTTAATTTGCTGTCATTAAACTTTATTCATCTTTGATATTCTCAGAACAATGTTCCACCAAAACCACCAGCAATGATATTCGTGCTTGATGTGTCGTATAATAATGTAAAATCAGGATTGGTGCATTTATTATGCTCACAAATTAAGAACATTATTCGCAATTTACCAATCGATCAAGGTCAAACACGTACGAGAATGCGAGTTGGCTTTATTACGTATAACAATTGTGTGCAATTCTACAATGTTAAAAGCACTTTAGCTCAACCACAAATGATGGTCGTTGGAGAAGTTAATGAAATGTTTATGCCACTTCTTGATGGCTTCTTGGTAGATCCAGAAGAGTCTGAAAGTGTCATTGATTTGTTATTGGAACAGATTCCGAAAATGTATGGCGATACACGTGAAACAGAAACAATTTTACTTCCAGCCATTCAAGCAGGTTTAGAAGCTTTGAAAGCATCAGAATGTGCTGGTAAATTGTTAGTGTTCCATTCAACATTGCCCGTGTCAAATGCACCGGGACAATTGAAGAATCGTGATGATCGTAAACTTCTCGGAACAGAAAAAGAGAAAACAGTTTTAAGTAAGTTTTAAATGTTTCATTTAAATTTCTTGATTGTATGTATATCTTCAATTAACAGCTCCACAATCGAATGATTATAACAATCTTGGACAGGAATGTGTCAACGCTGGATGTTCAGTCGATTTATTTGTCTTTAATAATTCATACATCGACTTGGCAACGATTGGACAAGTTTCAAGATTGTCTGGTGGTGAAATCTTCAAGTACACATATTTCCAAGCTGATATTGATGGGCCGAGATTGATTGCTGATATTATCAAGAACATTTCACGACCAATCGCGTTCGATACCGTCATGCGTGTGAGAACATCAACAGGAACAAGACCAACTGACTTTTATGGACATTTCTTTATGTCAAATACGACTGACATGGAAATTGCATCAATTGGTGAGTTCTCGACAGTTTAATTAATTAACAAACCTGCTGATGTCATGAATTATTCCACAGATTGTGATAAGTCAGTTGCAGTAGAAATAAAACATGACGATAAACTTCCACCAGATGAAAATGTTTACGTTCAAGTTGCGTTACTTTACACATCATGCGGTGGTCAAAGAAGATTACGAATTATGAATTTGGCTTTCAAAACATGCTTACAATTGGCGGATCTTTTCAGAAGTTGTGATCTTGATACAACAATATTGTTCTTTGCTAAACAAGTGAGTTGATTTTTATTTCTAAATAATTCTTATTCATCATTCATCATCTTTAGGGTGTCACAAAACTTCTCGAGCACACGCCAAAAGTATTTAAAGATAATCTTGTGAATCGGGCTGCTCAGATTCTTGCATGTTATAGAAAAAATTGTGCATCGCCAACTTCTGCTGGTCAATTGATTTTACCGGAATGTCTTAAGCTGTTGCCACTTTATGTCTCGTGTTTGTTGAAGAACGATGCATTTTCTGGTGGTTCTGATTTAACAGTTGATGATCGTAGTTACGCCATGTATTTTGTATCAACTATGGATCTACCAACGTCGGTTACATTCTTCTATCCACGATTGATTCCAATTCATAACGTTGATCCAGATAGTAACGAACTTCCAGCACCAATTCGTTGTACAAGCGATAAACTTACTGATGATGGTGCTTACATTTTGGGTAAATTCGTCTTTTTTATTTTCGAGTGGTTAATTAATTAAACTTTATTTAAAGATAATGGAATTTACATGTTCATCTATTTGGGCATTGGATTGTCATCAGAATTCACACAATCTGTGTTTGGAGCTCAAAGTACACAACTAATCGATACAGAACGAAGTGGTTTGCCGGTGTTTGACAATCCATTATCGAAGAGAATTCGTGGAATTGTTGAAAGCATTCAGAAAGAACGAACTAGATGCATGAGGGTAATTTGAACATTTTAAATGTAAATTTTCATTCATTATTCTTATCTTACACTATTCAGATTGCCCTTGTTCGTCAACGTGATAAGCTTGAAGCTGTTTTACGTCATTTCTTTATCGAGGATCGCGGTCAGAATGGCTCTGAGAGCTACGTTGATTTCTTATGTTTTATGCATAAGGAAATACGATCACTTCTCAGCTAGAACGATTTAATTCATGAATCACGCAATTTTAAGCATTCTGTGAGATATGAAGAGTGTCGTAGCTACTCACAAATCCGTGCTAAGAATTCACGTTATCGAAAATTGATGGGAAAATGGTGAAAAAAATAATTAACTAAATAAACACAAATTTCTTTTACAAATCATTCAATATTTTATAATATATTTTTTTCTTTTTGAAACAATGTTATGAATGATTTAAATTAATTAATCATTCATTGTTTATGCTTAGAATTATTTCCACTAATTTTTTCTCTGTTTCGTGAACATTTATTAATGATGTTTCATGTTTTATGCAAATTCTTTAATTTGATCATTTGAAAGTTAATTTAATTAAGAAAATACAAAAGCAAAAAGAAAATATAAATGTAGCATGAATGTGGAATGAAGAAATGAAAATAAATGAAAAATCTTTTATTATTAAATGAAATTTCTTTGAATCTTGTTAAACTATAAAAAAACAATTTTATTAAATAAATTCGAAATGGCACATGAAATATTTATTACTAATTTGAACACTGAAAATTAATTTTATAAAGGTGAATTGTCCTTAATTTCTTGTTTCATGAGGTCATTATAAATTTCCAGAGATTCCAATTTACTCTCACTATCAACAACTTCCATAAGGTTTTCGTAGTCATTTGCAATTACTGGATCAAAATGAACGATAACAAGAGCATTTGCTGTGGAAAAACAAGAAGATTTTTAATCTTATTATAAAGTTAATAAACATTTTTCACTTACAATGTAAAGATTGCCATTTATAAGCTTCGTGACAATTCAAATTCTTCTGCTTATTTGAGCAAATCGATTCCGTTTTCATTAGATAACAAAAATGGTTCAGATTATTAGCTAGTGCCAGCCTATCAATAGGATATTCACCATCTTCAAAAAGCTTAAAGAGATCAGCGACAATGATGACAAAACTTCTTGAGATTTCAGCTTTAACGAGTAGTACAGAATTTCCTTTTTCAAACGATGAAAACTTGTATGAATTTGTGTAAGTTAAATAGTTGAGCACCAACAGTGAACGCAGAAGCATCGAAAGACAACTGCAAATGTCTTTCTTATTTATGTTTTCAGAATTGAAAAATTTAATTCCACTTTCCCGCTGTAAAATGTTCAAAGTTATTCTATTGAGATTGAGTGTTGTTTCTGCCACAAGATTCAACTCGAAATTGTTCAATTCTTCAGTGAATTTAAATGCTGTTAATAAGTACATGAAGAATAATTGGAATGTACAAGCAGCTTCTGGATATTGACAACATTTCAAAGCTTCATTTTTTATAACGTTGCAACTTGGAAAGTCGACACAAAAATTCTTGATCAAATCGCTCCGATGAAAATTCTTTGTAGCATTCACAAGAAATTCTGAGAGATTTTTCATGACAATTGCATTATCACATCGACATGAAAGTATGACACGGAAGAATCTCAACAAGATTTCATTTAAACCTTTGCTGTCATTAAAATGTTGATAATGAAATCCAAGATTTGATAGGAGACTTGATGCTGTCATAACAATTCCGTAATAATCATAAACATTGTTCGATTCTGCAACTTTAAATTCGAGAATATCAACAAGAATCGACACGAAATTTTGACACTTCACGGAACCTTCTGCGTCATGATAAACATTTTTTTCTGTCAAAAGAAATTCACTGAATTCTCTTGAAAATCTTGCAATCACCGATATAATTGATAGGAGGCGACGATAATCTGAACAAATTTCTTCTTTGAAAAGATTATCCGCTTGATAAAGTGAAAGAAATCCCTCATCGTTATGAAGAGCGTTGGATAAAGAATCGAATTTTGTTAGTTTCTCTCGAAACAAGGGAATGGCAGAGGAATATATCGCTGAAAACTTTGGACAAGCATCGAACGTTATTTCTTGATCTTCTTCACTTTCCAAGTAGTTAACGTAATTAAAGAACGAAGAAATTACAGTTGAAGTTATGGTAATCAACTCGTTGATCAATGAAGTGCTGATATCAATTCTTGTCGACGTTTCCTTCTGAATCTTAGCGAATGTCAGTTGCATGTTAATAACAAGCTCTAAAATTTCGCAATCATTCAAAATCTTTGCCGGATCGCATTGAAATTTTTCTTGTTCGTAGATCGATTTTGAAGTTTTCAACGATTTCGACAGTGACTGCTTTGGTAAGTTAATTGTAAAGCAATTTTTAATCTTTTTAAACTCGCCGCTTGTATTTCTCGACAAAGTGTTATTTAAACTTCCTGGTATGGTAAATGAAGCTTTTTTATTTGTAGTTTGTACCTTTGCAAATTCAAGTTGAGTTTCAAGATCTCGAATGGTTTGTTGCAGAATTGGTGAAGGATATTGTTTAAGTTGTAAAGTTTTAATTTTGTCCTCTAATATTTTTTTCTCTCGTCTTAAATTGGATGCTTCTCCTTTTGCAGTGTTAACTTTCTGAGTCATATCATTCATTTCCACTTTCAGATCCTCGAAATTCCTCTTGACAATCGAAAGATGTTTGTTAAGTGCCTTGATTTCATTCTCTTTCACTTTCACTTGTTGTGCTGTTATGTTTTCCTTTTGTGATAACAGAGATGGACTATCAACAATAAAATTATTATGAGTCGAGTGTTCAATTCTAATTGGTTTGTCATTGTTTATATTCGGAATATTGATGCGCTGAGTGCTACTCGCACTTATTTGTTTTGAAAATTCTTCCTCAACTTTTTGGCTTGCAAGAATCAAATATTCGTCGTCACTTTCATTATCGTCATACAGATCTTGTATTGAAAGAGGTTGTGGAAGCTGATGTCTACTGATTGGAATCTGATGACTTGTTGATGGTTTGGAATTATTTTGATTTAAATTGTTTTCAAACTGTAAACGATTTTGAGCACCTTTAACGAAATTATATCGATTAATCTTCGTTGTAATACCTTATATTCAAAACGAATTATTACCTAGCAATGGTTGATGATAATGACCATTATTGGAATCATTTCTTGGTTTTTTAATATTATTTTTATCATTGTTGTTGCCGTTACTTAAATGTCGCTTGCTCATTTTTAATCATCAAATGAATAGGAAAACTTGCACTTCTTATAGTTGTCTGTCCAAGACAAAATATATATAATTACTGATTTAACAAAGCCTTAATTCATTTAGGTAGTAAGTCCAAGGCAGGTTATACAATTTGTGCGCGATTTTATAAGTTCGAAATTTATGTTCGAATATTACGCACGTCGATAACACGGCCGTGAAATTGTAAACATTCGAATCAATTCCAATACGAATCAAGTTAGAATCTTAAAAAATGAATACAAATGATGAAAGTGAGATTCTATCAAAAAAACCAAAAATAGACAATACAATGACTGATGAAATAATTGAGAGTTGTCAACATTGGGTAATCCGAAAGAAGAGATTTTGTAAAATGACTGTTGGTAAGTTGCCACACTTAAATTTTTAAAGAAATATTTCAAAGTTCTTCTTACTTTTAAGGTAAAGGAAAGAAATTTTGTGGTGAACATTCAGCAACTGAATCAAATTCTCATGAAGTCAATCGTGTTGTTTGTCCACTTGATCCTAAACACACAGTTGATAAAGCTAAATTGCAGAAACATTTGAAAATTTGCAATGCCAAACAACCACAAATTCTTCCTCCTTACATTACATTAGCTTGTAATATTGGTGACTCAACTATAGAAAATGGAGACAGTTCTTTTCGATTACAAGATCTCCCTTCTGAATTAATTGAAGGAATAGTAAAGATTATTGATGACCTTTTCACAAGCAAAGTTGATAAATTGTGTGATCTTAAATTATGTACACATGAAATATTAGCTGATGAACTTTCTAAAGAAGAGTATGGAAGTGAGAAAAGAAAACACTTAATACAAACTTCAGCGATCCTCGGAATCATGAAATCAGAAGAATTTTTCAATCCACAAACATGCATCATCGAATATGGAGCAGGCAAAGCTGCATTGACGTTTTGGCTTTCAAAAATTGTAGAAAATATCAAAGACAACAAAATTATAGTGATTGACAAGGCATCACATCGCCATAAGAAAGATAATTTAATTAAAAATCGTGATATGGTTGAAAGAGTTCGTGCTGATATCGCTGATCTTAATTTAAAAGGCTTGAAGATGGAAGATAAATATAAATCATTTGTTGGAGTCTCTAAACATCTGTGTGGTGGTGCTACAGATCTTACACTGCGTTGCATAATTCAAGGAAATGAATCCTCAATGAAGACAAGAGATTTCATCATTTGCACTTGTTGTCAACATCGATGTTCCTGGGGAACTTTTGTCGGCAAAGATTGGCTTTTGGCTAACGGGATCGATCAAAAATCTTTTGAAATCATCATTAAAATGGTTGGATGGTATGTTTGTGGTGATGGATTAAGTCGAAATAAGCATGAACCAGCGACAGAAGAAAAAGAACAAAAAAGAAAATCTAAAGCCGAGATTGGATGGAAATGTAAAAGAATTCTTGATCATGCTCGTGTTCAATATATGATTAAGAATAATTATGATGCCAGAATGTGCTACTATGTGGACGAGAGTGTAACACTTGAGAATGTTTGTATAATAGGAAAATATCAAGATAGCGGAATCTAGATTAGATTAATAACTCTCTTCATAGTTTAATATGTGTCGGAACAATATTTTGTTAGAAAATAAAAAATAATAAAATTTATTTCTGATAACAACAAAAATCTTCAATTTGGTTTCCTACAAACTACCTACATAAAAGATTAAATGTTTTGATAAAGTTAGATTCAGTTTTGCATCGGTTCTGAATTCGATCCGGAATCAATGTTATTAAGACTCCGTTGTGCAATTTCTTTCATAAATTGACTTATGAAAGTCTCTTCAAGCCACTCGCATACAGAGTTTGCTAGTTCGTCAAAATCGTTCATTGGAAGTTTTTCAAATGAGAGAAACATTTCGTCCATTATCGACTGGAACTATTAATATTATTTATATTATTTGATTGCATCTGAAAATGTTATTAAATAACTTACAACTTGAAACTTTAAGTCATCACTTAAGGCCTCTGTTTGTTGTTTTGACGTTTGTTGATGTTGCAACATATGTTCATAATTCTTATGTAAAATTCTTAGTGCTTTTACTTCTTTCAACATTGCTGCTCGTTCTTCTTCTTGCTTCAGCTTCTGCTGTTTCAAATATCCGACATATTCAATAGACTTTTGAAGAACAGTCGCTTTGCTTAATTTGTAACCTGAAGCATCGTTTTGTTGACAAGTTGGTACCAATTCTTGGAGACCATCATAGCCTTTCTTGATAGCATCACGACGTTTCTGTTCTGCTTGAGTATGAGCTTCACGACGACGTTCTTTATAACTTAGCGATGAACTGCTCTTGTTTTCTTCTGAATCTGTTGTATGACCATCATCGGAATTATGTGCTGAACTCGATCTTGATGAAATTTGATGTTTTGGTGAATGTGGTTCCGATTTCACGTTGTATGAACTTTCTGCCATTGCTAATAAAGGAAGAATTAAATATCAGGTTTCAAAAAAGACGAGAACGCTTAGAATATACAAATAAATTATATTAAAGTTCATAGATATTTACTTTTAAAGAATATGAAAATAATTTAAATTGATAGAAAACATTCACAGAAAACCTTTCCTAAAATTTTATTATCAATTTTATATTTTTTCCCGTTTTTCACTTACTTTTCTTATTTTTCTATGCTTCAACTTGAAAAACTTATTTCTTAGATTAAAATTATAACAGTCACTACTTTCACTGAATTCTAAAAAAATGTCAACAAAATAATCGAAGTAAAGTCATTTCAAAAATTTGAAAATTGATAAACAAAGGTTGAAAAATAAATTTATTTTTTACACGATACGTACACAGATGAAGAAAATTTCGAAAAATAGAACCGACGGCGTTATATGTTCACAAGAAAAATTGAAGGTTTACAAGAAGGACTAATAAAAAACAAAACTTAAAGTACGTTTTCACTTTAATATACCTACTTCTTCACAGATTTTTCATTAAAATTTATCATTGACATGGCGTGAAATCAATTTCTCAGAAATAATATTTTAAAATTGGGAATTTGAAAATCCCGCTGAAACTAATGTTCGAAATAAAAAACTTTCGAAACCGTCCAATTTCTTTCTCTTTCCTTTTGCACATTCTAGTTCGAAAAACTTGTAAGATTACTTTTTAATTATTTTATCATAGCTATCGATTTAATACTTAGTCCATTTAACTTGTATTCAAATGTAAAAATTATTGAACATCGACAGAAAGCAAAGAAACTTAGTTAAATGGACTTGTTACTTTGAAATTTTATAAACAACTTTCCAAGTTTTCGTTAACCTTTAAAAAAATATTTTTTCTTGTTTTAGGAATCAAAATGCAAATCTTCGTGAAAACTCTCACTGGCAAGACTATCACTCTCGAAGTCGAGCCATCAGATACAATTGAAAATGTCAAGGCTAAGATCCAAGACAAGGAAGGTATTCCTCCAGATCAGCAACGTTTGATCTTTGCTGGAAAGCAATTAGAAGACGGTCGTACTCTTAGTGACTATAACATTCAGAAGGAATCCACACTTCATCTTGTGCTCCGTCTTCGTGGTGGTATCATCGAACCATCATTACGTATTTTGGCACAAAAATATAACTGTGACAAAATGATCTGTCGCAAGTGTTACGCTCGTTTACATCCTCGAGCTACCAACTGTCGCAAGAAGAAATGCGGACACACCAACAACTTGAGAGTAAAGAAGACCATCAAGAAGTAAACATCTTACTTTTCATCTCCCATTTGTCATTGTTTTTGTAGTACGAAATTGGAAACAACCTGCTAATTCAAAAACATTGAAGAAATAAAGATTTAAATGAAGAAATTGTTTCTTTTATTACTAATTCCAAATAATACAATTACAATTGTTGGAAAGTTCCTTTAGAATGTTTTCTGTACATTATTTTTGATCAAAATTTTACTGAACCATTCCAAGTATTCTTCACTCTCAGCTTTATTTGCAAATCTTTCCAAAATATTGTCGTTGATGTTCTGCAGAGATTTCTTGAGGTTTTCTTCATTGCCAAAGTCCATGAGAAATTCTACGAGTGTTTTAACGCAAGCTTTGTGACAATATTCAATTCCATAATCGAGTGCATTTTTCCCAGAATCATCTTCAATTAATTCAACATTATTCAACTGAGGTTTCTTTCTAAGAAGTTCGATCAAGAATTTTAGAATATTTTCATGACCTTCTGTGCATGCTGTAATCATTGGTGCACCAACAATCGACTGAACATTCTCATCAGTGATTTCAAAAGCAACACATTTAGGAAGCAAATCTTCATGAGTGTTCAAATATTTTCTTATTTTCTCACATTTGCAATCAGTTAAAATATAACCAGTGAAAGTCTTCAAAAGCTTTGGCGCTGATTGATTCTTCGTTAGTTGATAAATTAAATAATCAGTTGAACAAAGTTCATATTTGGTAAGAAAATCTTGTGGCACAAATGAGTCTAGTGATATATTTTGAAACGATCGCCACATTCCTTTGCTCTTCTGATCGATTGAAGCTACTTGAGCTTTCGTTGTTACATACAATTCATATTTTGCATTAACATATTGCATGTAAATTGATTTAAGATTCAAACCTTCAATAATTTTTTGTTTCAATGTCGATATTTGAACGAATTTCTCAAAGTCTTCCATAAATCCTTCAGCTAGCAATTTTAATTGTTTCGGACCACCCATAACTTTCTCATCAGCCTTTTTATTAATCATTGAATCTAAATGTTCAAGCAATATGTCAGCAAAACTATTGAACTTTGATTTCTTTGCTTCGGAAAATATTTCTGTACATTTTTTGTGACCCCACAAAAGGGAAAATTGAGTTCTCCAGAATTCCTTCAACAATTTAACTTTATCTGTTCGTTCCATTCGTTCAAAAGTGTACGATGAAGGATTTAATTCTTGGAATAAATTTATTAAATTATCAGGCAGTGTCAGTATCACTCGACATGAAGTATTGTCTTTAATAAATTTTAATAGATTCACTGCCTTCACTCGATCTTTGTCATTCAAATCTTCAAAGTTATCCAAAAAGAAGGTTATTGGCTTTTCGGTCTTGTTTGAAAGCATCTGACGTAATAAAAAACTTTGCAAATGATTTTCTTCATCATAATTGCAAGCTTTTGAAATTAACGTTGCAACAGAGTCGAGACTCAGTTCATTGCCTTTCATTTCATCGAGTGGAATGTCTTTGAAGTTTCTATGAATCACCCAAGACTTTTTGGATTTTCCACGTGCCAAATGTGTTAACGTTGCTGATTTACCTTCACCGTTTGTGCCAACAAGAACAATGAGTTTATTTTCTTCGTCATGCAATTGTTTGTCATTAATCACACGATTTTCTGTTTTTAACTTTCTTTCAATGTATAAACTGTTGTTGAAACTTTTCCTCCAAGTTAACTTATCGTCTTTGATTTTAATCCAATGAACTATTCGATTGGAATTGTCGAAGAAATTCCGACATTTTTCATCAAATTCTTCCAATGTTTTATCAGTACCAACAGTTGTAGTAATTTGAAGTTTCTTTTTGCATTCATTTAATCGTTCAAGATTGATCACAATATTATGATCAACAAGAGATTCTTCATTTGAGTTGTCAACTTGAAGAATTTTCTTCATTTCTCCCGAAGACTTTTCAAAGCTTTCATTGTAAATTCCACTAATGAACAAAACATCTTCATTATTTTCTAAACTTTCGAGTAGAAGTTTTCCCTTCAATTCTTTCTTTTCGTGATCATTTGTGTAAACTGTAAAGCTGTTTTTCATAAATGGATCGACATTCACTTCCAAGTCTTCGCAATTCAAAATGTGATTCATCAAAGTGTCGTTTAGGTTTTCGATTTCAAAGTTCTCAAGTGTTTCATGTCTTCCTTGAAAGTTGATGCCTTTTTTCAAGATTTTCTTCTGAGAATCTTTTGATAAATCATTCCATGAAATTTCTTTCTCAACTTTATAGAAACCATCAGGAATTTTCTCTTTCACTTGCTCACAAATATCGTTGAAATGCAAATTTTCACTGCCACCAATCATAATAATTTTAAATTCGGGATGATCATTTAGAGCATCGATGAGATTTTTAAAAGGATTTCTTGAATCTTCAATAATTTCTACGTTGTCTTCACAGTGGACGATTACTAAGAAATTATTTTGACTTGATTTCAAATACTCTTTGACATCGATAAGTTCATTTACGATTGTAAATCTTTGGAGATCCAACACTAAAATTCCATCATTGCTATATTTATTTTTGAAACTTGAACGTTCCAACTCATTGAAAATCATTGACAATCCATCATAAGATTTTCCATTTCTAATCGAGACTTGTGAGAATTGATTGTTAAAAATATTAACTAAATTAATGGTTGATGGTTTGAAATCCAAAAAGTTTTCTTTCTTGTGTTTTAATCCTATTTTTGTCTCAAATGAAAATATCTTTGCTCTAATTTGAGGATCAATCAAAAACTTTCGAGCTTTCTCCACGATGTTTGGAAAAAGTTTAAGAAAAATTTTAATCAGTGGAATGAAATATTTGATTTCTTCTGATCTTTTAAAATGAATGTCTTGATCAATAATATCAAAAGATTTCAACTTCTTAAAAATCTCTTCGCAATCTTTAATTTCATCAAAATATTCATTAAAACTCGCATATTCGGCAAGATTTTTCAACCATCGAAAGTGTTCCAAAAACATTTTTTCTCGTCTTGAAAAAACGCTGAATGGCTTTGAAGTTCTGTTAAACTTTCTAGTCTTGTATCGAACATAAATTTTCTTCGATGCTTCTTTGATTGTACCTCGAATGTGATAATGATTACGATAATTTGCATATTTCAGAAATTTTTCCAATTCTTGAATTCCTGTAATGCCTTCACGAAGTGGCCATTCAAGAACTTCCTGCACTTGATCTTCATCATGTGATCCAAAAAATTTTACAATGTTTTCAATCGAGTGCATTGTCAAAGTGTATCCAATATTGCGATCCATAAAATTCATTTTCGAAGTGTCAATGAAAATTCGGAAAACTTTTCCAAAAGCTTCATTGCATGTGTTGACTTGATTGGGTGCACTGAGAAAACTTGTTATACTTAAATCTTCGAGACAAATTGGATCATCTGATGTTTCGAATTTACTTTTCATTTTCATTAGCATTGGCAGAGATCCTGGAGAGTCGAAGACAATGGCGAATGTATGAAAAGGTTCGCCATCGTTCGGTTCTCGTCTTTTAAAAGTTTCTTCATTTTGTTTAAGGAAAGCATTCGAAAAATTTGTTATTTGTGCCAAATATCCACCGAGACTATGACCAGTAAAAAAGAGCTCGAAATGTGTATCTTCACTTTCACTTTCAATAATTTTCAAAGCATCTGCAACTTTAGTAGCAAATGTGCAAGCAGAATCCATTTGACCAGCATAATTATTAAACAAAATTCCTGTTATGTCAGTAAGAACAGAACCAAAATTACTCAGTTCAGTTCCACGATGAGAAACAACGCAATGTTGACTTTCGGGATTTAAGAACGCAGCACCAAAATATCCATTCGAAATTTCTTTGTTTTGTGCTGTCGTCAACAATTTCCATCCATCAGGCAATTTTTCTTTCTCTTGATCTTCATAAACTTTCCAGGAAAGGTCAGCCAAAACGTGAGTTGTCGGAAACTCTTGAATATGCTTCAATCGTTCGATGAGTGAAATTTTCCTTATCTTTAATTGTTCTCTGATGTCATCGATAAAGTTTTGATGACTCAACTGCAATTTATTGTCAACTTTCAAAGTTTCATTGACAGCATTAACTTGGTTTTCAAATGGAGTTTTAATAAACATTTTCCTCGAAGTTCTTGGCGGATGATGCAAAACCTGTAAGTTAATTGTGACGAAACATTGGAAAACATTAATTTTACAAGGTCAAAATCGCTGGTTTAAATTTAGAATTTCTCATCAATTTTTCATTATATTTAAGTTTATTTTTTTCAAACTCACTCATCTACTCACTTTAAATGATCGATGACTTAACTTAATTAACAAAAATAAATTTAATCGTACAATTTTGAGTAAAAATTAAAAGTACCTATGAAATAAAACAGGTTCGTTTTCTGTGGAGGTAAAGACACAAATGAACAAAGATTGAAGATCGCGCACAATGTTTTGTGTGTGAATAATGTCAGAAGATGTTTGGCTGTTTTTACAGCCAGCTGATGAATGTTGGTGTATGAGGGTTTTTATTTTCAATCGAAATTTGACAGGAAAATATTTTTTCATCTGATGTCTACAAAATTGCGAAACATTTTTCAGATTTTAATGATGAGTAGAAATTGTTTTAAACAGCAAAAGAAAATGACTGAATGGTTTTGATGTGTTTTTGATGTTTTTTAATGTTCTTTAAAATCCTTGCCTTAAAATCTCATGTTGATCTGTCCCTTGAGCTTCAAAGCAAATTGAAATTCAATTAATCACCTTTTGTTTGAAAAGATTAATTTTGATTTTAATTTAAAAGAAGCCGAAAATTTCGGCCCGAAATGAGTTTTTTACAAATTTTTAACGGTTTTCTATATTTCAAATTTTCTAAAATCTTCCACACCCTGTGGTAAAAAAAATAATTTCACGTGAAATGTTATTAAAACGAATTCATTTTAAAAATACTAATATTAGAATACGTCTGTAATTCTTCAAAATATAGAGAAATTAAAGTTTATATATTGGAAATCATTTTTAACGTCAATTGAAGTGCATCATTCCTAAAATCAGTCGATAATTTCATCAAAATTGAAACGCACGAAATGAGTAAAGAAACTTTTTCGGAAACATGGCGACACTTTAGAAAAAATCTTAATTCTTTTACAATTTGCATTGAAATCTGCAGATCGAGGCAACTATAATGACTACAACGATGATAATGGCGATTATTATCGGAAACGAGACCGAAACACACGAGATGATGATCGATATTACAGCAGCAACTCTAGAAGGTGAGACGAAGATCCAGAATGAATTTATTTTATGATTTTTTTCCTTATAGAGATAGAGATCGTCGACGTTCGCGATCAAGATCTCGAGATGGATATAAAGACATAAATGACGATGATTCGTGGTCGTCATCAAACCGGTAAGTATTTTAGATATAAATCAACGTGAACAACAACTTCAATGACAACATTTTAAGGGATAAACATTACGACCGTCGTAATCGTGAAAGAGATCGGGATAGAAGGTAAACATAATTATTCAATATTTAAAAACATAAAGAAAAGAAAATTTTTCTTTTAGAAATTATGATCGTCGGGATTATCGTAAACACGGATCATCGAACTATGATAGCGATGAAAGTGATGGTGGGAACAGTTACAGTAGTGAACCTAATAACAAAATAATTGTTAGAGGCTTAGCACCTCATATAACTGAAGCTGATATTCAATGTGACTTGATTCAATGCGGCCTCAAAGCAGTTTCCATAAGACTTATCCGTAAAAAACGCACAGGTAATGAAACAAACCTTGTTTATTATTTATTTTCTTTATAATTTGGTGATCAGTCAACTGTAAGTAGAGTCTTAGACAAGAAACAAATGTACAACGCTTAAGAACAAAGATGAGAATTCTCGAATACGAATTTTGTTGTGTTTGCATTATGGCAAGAATTTCTATTTATTATGTTCTGTTATTTGCTCTTATCCCATTCAACTGAATTACAGGAGAATCCCGAGGCTTCGCGTTTGTGGCATTTCAAACAATTGATGAAGCTCGTAAATGGCTCGAGATGAAACAGGTACAAGATACGCGTCGAATCATTTTTTATTGGGCGATCAAACGTCGGAAACATCTGAAGGCAACGAACGCATTCGTATACATAACAAATTGTGTTAAAGTATCCCAAAAACAACCCAAAACATTTAAATTATTTAAATATTTATTGACACTCTCGCAAGTTCCTGCTTTGATATTTTTATCTTTTGCTCTTAAAAAATATTTTTGTTCCTTTAAATGGGCTTAAGAAAGTTTCTAAACGATCCGAAAAAGATAAAAGAATTTATAAGAATCCTTAAAAAAAAGAGAATCTCAGAAACTTAGTTCGGGAAAAGCAATTTAAAAGTCTATCGGAATGAAAGAAGATCTAATCGTGTTGTCGGATTTTCTTTCTTACACAGGGCGTTCTAATCTTGCAAGATCAATTTCGAGCGATGATTCAATACAGCTTTACAAAAGACACAGATCAGTATGATAAAATGCCAACTGATTGGTATTGCAATTGTGGTGTCTTCAATTTTAAGCGTCGTGACAATTGCTTCAAATGTTCAGCATCGAGGGAAGAAAGCGAGAAAGGTGGCGAAGGTTCCGATGAGATCAGCAATATTCTCACAAAAAGTAATCTAAATGATTTCTAATATAATCTAGTATTTATTACACTCTCGACATTTTTTTATTCACTCAGAGATTATGTTCCGTAATTTGGATGCTTTAACAAACGAGGAAAAAGTTTTAACAGCGTTACAAGAGAAAATTCCCGAACAAGTTTCAAAAGTTTCAAAAATACTCATTTGTCGTGATCCATTAACTCAAATTTCACGAGGCATTTGCTATTTAAATTTTGATAATCTTGTTGATTCGATGAACACATTTCAAGCGTTAGAGAAGCTTAAAGGATTACAAATTGAGAATCGTGAAGGTAAATAAAATGATTGAAATATTCAAACATAAGTTTTGATGAATTTTTTTGTTCTAAAGTTTCATTTAGTTATTGTGTTGATTCCGAGAATCGTAACATTGGGAAGCCAACGAATAATTCACGTCGTGAAACAAATAATGTCGCTCAACATCAAACAACAAATGATTCACATCAAAATGCTTACGCTGCTAGCTATCAATATACGTTAGCTGATGTTCCAAAATTAGCTGAACAAGCTGCAAGCATGTACGCTCAAAATACTACCGAAAGACAAAGTTACGTCCAATACTACACCGATTATTATACAAAGCAAATCACACAGGTAAGAAGACATTAAATGATTGTTTAATGCTGAAAATATTCAAATATTTCAATTATTTAGGGACTCAGCACATCACTTCCAGCATACTCTCAATATGAAGCTCATTCAGGTGCATCAATAGCACAATCTGCTATCGAAAGAAAGCATAAGATGAAAGCAACTGAACCAGCGGCGCCACCGCCAGGAACTGCTGCTTTGTATCCAACACAACAAGTTGAAACGCCGAAAGGAAACGATGGCAAAAAATATCGTAATTTTTTACCAAAATGTCGTTCAAGTCTTCTAGAAATTAAACTAATCATAAATCTGATCTTTTCCATTGATCGTTCGAAATCTACAACTCAGCGACACCCGATACGAGCCTTTTCACGTATGATGAGTCATCAGGATATTACTTCGATCCATCGACAAATCTCTACTATGACAGTTCCTCACAATATTTCTACAACAGCGAAATAAATCAGTTCATGTATTGGGATCAACAGAAGTCAACTTACATTCTTGCACCTTCGACAATTGATGGTAATGGAACCAGTGCAACAAATGCTGCTGCATCAAACAATCAACAGGTGAGTTTTCTTGTTATTGTCAATTAAAATTTTATTTAAATGAGATTCATTAGAAACCACCACCACCTCCTGCTGATGAGAAAGACAAGAAATCAAAAGATCAGCCTCAAGACAAAGTCAAAGTCGCCAAAAAAATTGTCAAAGACATGGAAAAGTAAGAATTAATTAAAGTTTGTTGAGAAGTGTGAAGAAGTTAACAAATTTTCTTTGCCAAACAGATGGGCGAAACAATTGAATCAGAAGAAAGATTACACGCCAATTTCAGTTCAACAACAAGCACGTTCTGATGATTCACAATCGCCACCAGCTCCAACATTTTCATCGTCTTCAACTTATGAAGCAGGAAAAGCAGCTGACGTTGGTTTTACTATTCTTGAGAAGAAAGATCGATCATCGTTGTCAGTTCTGAGTGGAAACTCATCAGGAACACAAGCGAAGATGGTTTTGCCTTATCATTCCGACTCAGATGAACACGAAGATCAAGCAGCGAATTCATCAATTGCAGCTGGACATGCATTAAGCGAGAAAGATTACGTTGATTTTGATAAATTGACTTGTATGTTGTGTAAACGCGCATTTCCATCAGCTGATGTGTTGAGTAAACATTTGAAGATGTCGAACTTGCATAAGGAAAACCTTCACAAATATAAAATGACTCAAGGAATTTTAGAGATTGGAGGTGGAAGTTCAGCTCAAAACTATCGAGACAGAGCGAAAGAACGTCGTTTGAAATATGGTGAAGCTGATCCAGTTCCAGTAAATCGTTCAAAAGAAAGATTTCAAAGAGAAATGGAAAAACAAGCTTCAATTGCGCACACTTATCAAACATCAGCAGTCGCCGCAGCACAACCGATTAGTGAAGGAAACATTGGAAACAAATTACTTCAAAAGATGGGCTGGAAAGCTGGCAGTGGTCTTGGAAAGACAAATCAAGGTCGAACAGAGATAATTGAGGCTGAACAACGTGTGAGTAATGCTGGCTTAGGAAGTAAAAGTTCCAGTTATGGAGCTGGGCCTGGTGATGATTACAAAACTTACATAAAGAAAATGATGAAGAAGCGTTATGAAGAAGTTGAATAAATATTTTATTCAGTTTTTCATTTCATTTTTGTGCGATTTACAAAAAATATTTCGGAAATAAAGTTTCATTTGTACTGAAGTTTATTCTGTTTCTAATTGACTCCTAATTATTTTTTATGTTAAACACAAGTTTTTTCAAACAGTTAACAAATTATATTCACAGTTGGAACCTTTTTAACAATAATGCTAGCATTAGAAAGCACATCAAGAGCGTCTTGCTTGGGTTCTAAATCAGAATAAAGTTGTCGCAAATGTGGAAAATTTGATACAAAAAGTTGCGCTTCGTTAACATTCAAATGAAGATCTGAGATAGTTAAAGACTCCAATGAATAGGCGAGTGGCATCAACATTCCAATAATTTCATCGAACGTTAATGGTTCAATATTAAGCCAGACGCTCTTGATTGTATTATTGAATTTGAAAAATTGTGTGAGTTGCTCTAAAGATTTCTTTTCGCTCAACGCCATAAACTTGAATGTTGTCAAAGCTGGAAAGTTGAATAGAATATTCCCAAGTGATTCTGGTGAAATTGTGATGTCCAATGACTCCAAATCTTTGAGTACTTTGATATCTTTAAATTGAGTAGAATTGAGCTCTTTGCATTCAAATCTAAATTTCTTTATCTTCGGGAATAATCGAGTGAATATTTTAAGCAAATCAGATTTGTCATCTTTACATTTGATGTATGTCAAATCAATCATTTGATTATTGACGAATTCAGTATTAAATTCGTTATCTTTAATGTTTTCAGTTGACTTCATATATTTTGTGCTAATTTGAAATGAAGTTAATTGTAAATTTTTCGTAAGCAAATGATGCAATATGCCAGTAAAACTGAGCAATGTTTGCGGATCATTTGATCGAACCCATTCACTGAGACCGATGAGTTTAAGTTCTTTCAAATTTTTTTGAGATTTAAGAAATTTCTCACAAAAACTGAAAATGTCCCATTTGACGTTGTTCAAGGTAAGAACTTCTAATTGAAATGGAACTGAAGAAAGACGATCAGATGAATATGTGCTGTTGAAACGAAAGTTCTTCATTTTTAATTCCTTGAGTTTTTTAAATTTGAGAAGAAAGTTTTCAAATTCTTGAACGTCTGGTCGAGCGTATTCAGGATCGTAAATTTTTAAACTTTCAATATTTTCAAGAAGAAAATTTTCATCGTCTGTGTAATTGCTGTACATCTCGAAATTATTGACATTTGTATGAGATTTAAACAAAAGTAAACAGAAGAAATCACATCGACTCAACATTAACTTTTTCAGATTTGAACATTTAAGTGTGTTAACATAAGAATCAGTTGGAACGATCTCGTCAGAGAACATAATCCTTGCAAATGTACATTCCTTTAAGTTGACATAAGGTTGCAAAAGTGCTACAAAGTCATCTCGCAATACACTGCAATCTACAATTTTTAAATTTTGTATAGTTTCTGAAAGTCTCGTGTTGAATTCCATAAATTCTGATTTTGTTCGATGAGCGTGATGAAGATAATTGTCACGCAATCTAAAAATTGTAAGATTTCGATAGCGTCTCGTCAACGCTGAAGAGTTTTCAATCAACTTATCAATTTTTGCAAGACTACGATCAGTTGGCATAGCAGGAAACTTAAAAGCAACATTAATTTTATCTATAAGCATTGAAGATGACGAAATTATTTCATTCAATCTTGAACACGATTCTGATGCATTTAGCAGACTTTTGACGTCTAAATATCCCAGAATATCGATCCAAATGTTGTCGGTAAGATGTACCCATTCTACAACATATTGATCAATTTCCATACAATTGTCTGAGGAGCTGCAATCGTTTAACAATCCATCAATTTCCATCTACGATAGTCATGAGAAATTATTACTTATTGTTACAAAATTTGAAGGGTTTCTTTTAATATTTACCATTTCGAAAAAATTATATCATTTGTTTGAATTAAGAAACGTTCACTAAACAGTAGTTTTCTTCTTGTATTTCACAATTTTAGTTAATATTCTGATTTTATTTAGGTACCCGTGATAACTTTCCATATTATTGTCAACAAGTTTAAGTCCCCGCTTTTAGCGCGCATGTTTTTAAATGTATTTCAGTTAAAGTTTTTAAAATAACATTTCATGAAGATAAAAATGAAAATTTAACAATCCTTTTGTGTATACCTGAAATCTTAGAATAAGAAAAATTAGAAACTCGACTTATTTAAAGCCACTTCAACTGTCACTTTCAGATTCAACTCTGATTTCCATTTTTTTGTTTTTGGTTTCAAAAAATAAACATGAAAAAGGGACTACAAATTAGATAAAGTTTTGTGATATACAAAATGCAAGAAGATATTTGATAACATCAGATAAGCTTGGACAAAACCCCGCACTTTGTGGTTTATTGTAAACACTCCTATCACTGGTCCATACTTTTTATTATTTTATTACACTCGAGAGCACTCTGTAAAATTAAAATATTACGATAGTAAAACAATAGGAAATTATCAGAAAGTTTAAAAAATAGTTTCTTTAATAATATGACAACTGAATCATTTGATTCAATCATTTACGTATGCTTCGTATACATAGTTTTCCTCTTTTTACGTATATGCATGATCATTTCCTTCTTTATCTCTTCGATCAGCTTTAAAACTTAAAATCTATTTTTTTTTTCGTATACCTAAGTGACTACCTATCTGAACTCGAAATAACAAAATTAAAATTTATCAAAAGTTTTATAAAATTTATAATTTTATGTTGATCTGTATTGACATTTTTTGGCGTGAGTTCTCATGTTCGAACTTTGAGTAAAACGTTGTCCACATCCAGTATTGATGCATATGTATGGTTTGTTTCCCGTGTGATAATTCATATGAGTTCCTTAAGAAATTAAAAACATTGCAATCAAGCATTATCTCGTAAAAATATAAAAATAAAATGTTACCTAAATGATGCTTTTTTGAAAATCTTTTCGGACAAAGTGTGCATGCAAATGGTTTGACACCACTATGCAATCGATTATGTAAAATCATATTTGAGCGATCTGCAAATCGCTTTTCACATCCAGGCTGTGAACACTTGTATGGCTTTTCTCCTGAATGTGTTCTAAATTTCAATAAAACATTTTAATTCCACATAAGTTATGTTCAATGTTTATTATAAATTTATAACATTCTAACCGATAATGTTGTTTCAAAAGCATTTTTCTTGAAAATTGTTTTCCGCAATCATTACATTGGTGAGGTTTTAGGCCAAGATGAATTCTAACATGCATGTTAAAAGCAACTCTTTGGTTGAATGATTTTGGACAATATGGACAAAGATATTCTTTCTTATTTCTGTTGATCAATGGAAATTATTTTGAACTTACTTCAATTATTAAATAAACGATACTAAACAACTTTCTCTCACCTGTGAATTTTTAAATGACTACTTAAGTATCCTTTGTCATTAAATGTTTTTCCACATTCGGGACAGTTAGCAGCAAACTCTTTTGTTCCACGATGTATTGACATGTGGTATTTGAAATTGCGCAACTGTGAGAATTTTTTATTGCATTCACTGCATTCGTATTTTGGCTTTAAATGACACTTTTCATGAACCTGGTGGAATATTTTTTTATTTTTGTTTTCATTTTAAAGACAGCTTTGATGGTAAATCAAGTAGATAAATAACTCACGTCTAATAATTCATTAGAAATAAAATTTTTCGAACAAATCGAACACTTAAAGATTGCAATTGGAACTGTTGATGGAAATTCTTGCTTCACAATGCATTTGTCACTTAAATTCAAGCTTAATTCATTGGATGAATTTTCATTATCACATTTATCGTATACGTTGAATTTGGGAGAAAGATTGATACTGTCGGGAATCGTTTCATTATCAGATGTTGAAGTTGTTGTTGTTGATGAATAAAAGTGATTATGGACGGATGTGAAGTGTTGTGTTACTCGCAAAATGTCGTTCGAATTAATTAAAGGATTGTACAAGTTGAGGTAGTTCGGTGTGAAATTTGTTGCAGTGGGTGAAGGTGGGAGATGCAATTTTCTTGGTAATGGTTTGAATGTTAATTCTAATGGAAATTTTGATATCCACGGGTTATCCAACACTTTATTCATTGGATGAATTGTGGTTGGTGAACGTTGTTGATCACCAAGCTGAGCTTCATTTTTTGATAAAATACAATCAATTGTAAAATTCGTTGGTGGCTTCCTGGAACTATTTTCTGGCATTTTTTATTTGTCTGCTGCGTCTTTCATAACGCCACCAATAACATCAATTTCACGACACACCCGTCAATCACTTTTTCTTTTTAATCCGACAACTTTTTTTTGATAAACATTGAAGCAAGATATCATCCGACTTTATTCCAACTGTTCGAGATGAGATGATGAGAGTGACTGAAGAAGAAGGGAAAACCGTCTCAAAACACATCAATAGTGACGAAAAACTATCAGCCAATGAGAACTACGCGAAATGTTGATCAGAGTTTGTCGCGATGTTTTCAACGATACATGTAAAGATGTTTGTATGACAACACTGAAGAATTCCTAAACTACTGGCGAAGAAGGGGGGACAATTTATGATAATTGGTTGAATCTTCTTCATGCTACGAGAGAGGAAAACGTGTGGCGATCGTAGAATGAAACTGCTATAAAGAAAAAAAGCAACAACAAAACGTTTCAATCATCAATTTTGTTTAGTTTCATTGAGATAAAAGTCGAAACCAGTTTGTAGGAGGTATGTAAATCCCATAAATCAGTTTTTATTGGGCTTTTCTTCACTTCTGATCTTCCAGCTGGTTTTATTGGTTCCGACGTGGCTTTCAGCAAGTGGTTTTCTGTGATTTATGATCGATGGTAGTAAATATTGAATTTAAATATTTGACAGGTTTATTAGCTATTTACTTAACATCAGATTAATGTGTCGATAAAATTAAGCTCAAAAACCTTTTGAAGCAAACCACTGAAGTGATGTGATAACGGCATATCATTTAATCTGGGCTTTAAAAATTTTCCCAGACAACTTCTTGGCATTTCTGCGTTGTTACAAATATTCACGCATTATTTTTAAAATTACATTTACGTCAAAGAAATGAAGCTTAATTGTGCAATTAAAACTATTGCAGTTAAAATACTACATCGCGTAATTTTACCTTAATGACTTTAAAATATTTATTCAGAGACAAACCAAAAATGAGCTCAACAATCACAACTCAAAGGTCGTCACATTTTTTCATATGAGTGAATTAATATTGAATAAATTCGGAATTTATTTTTTATCTATTCATGGCAAAAAAGACTTGTTACAACAAAAACCAGATTTAAACGTTGAAAAAATTATCAAAAAATAAATTTCAACGCGTTTATAAAAACGTAAATTGAAAATCAAAAATCTTTTTAATAAACTTAAAAACATTTTCGTATAATAAATGGATTAGTGAAAAAATTATTGCAAGTGTTGATGACTTTTCTTCTCCTCTACTCTGATAGCTCATAGAGTCAAACATCAATTCAAAATTTATTATGATAAAAAGAGAAGAAACAAGAAACAGCGACGTATTTTGGAGGTGTGTGATGCTTTTGTGCCTCGTGGTCTAAATAGTTAACATACGATACGAAAAAGATGAATCAGGCTTATACGATCTTCTCGTTTGACAATTCTACACATTTCAATATTTATTTTTAATCGATTGAAACTATGAAAATTTGTATGTAAAATAGTAGCATTTGTATTCAAAACTTTTAAAGGGAACAAGAAACATTTCAGTGTTGGTTTTGAGTTGATCTGCGCTGATGAATCTCAATGATGATTTTTGTGAACAAACTTTGTTGTAAATATCTTCATTTTATTTGTAACATGATATTTAAATGATTAAAGATTGATTCTCTTTCCGTTGTTGTTGTTGTTGTTGTTGATGTTGTAAAGTTCAAGCTGAGTAATGATCTTTTGTTAAATGGCACTCATTACATTTCTGCTGCATTTGAAGACCTGATGCCAATCTTTTTATTGAATAAAAAGAAATATTTAAGAAATCATCTAAACAGGAAGGCAATTTTAAAAAGTTGTTTATTTTTTCTTTGCACCATGGAAGGAAATATATAAACGAAACAGAAAGAAATCCCCGTCGTATCAAGTTTAAATATAAATGCACATTTTAGTCATCTTAATAATTTATGTTTTATTTTTTTAAATGAAGCGTTTCAGTGTCACAGATGATTTCAGCAAATAAAAACAAAATATTTACGTTTTAAATTTATTTATTAAATTATGGACTTTTAAAGTGCCGTTAAGTTCTAATTTTCTGGCTATTGTAATAAATATCTGTCGTCAAACTTTGCAAAAACTTTCCAATATGATGCTAATAAGTAGCCAGTAATCAAGTCAAAGTTTCGACTAAAGATAAAAATAACTTGAACCAATTTCAATTCAATGGAATATTTTGTAAAAATTTTAAGCTGACACGTTGGTTTTGTTAAATGGGGGAGAAAAAATACCACTAGTCATCCCATAACTTGATTAGCATGAGATTGAAGTTTAAAATGTTAATTTACTGTATGGCGTTTCAATTATGATTTTTTGATGTAAATTCTGACAAAGTCCGTTTGGTTTTTGAAAATCAGAGAAAATCGATAAATGATGAGACTCGATGAAACCTTAAAAATGTGAAGAAAAAGTATTAAATAGCAGAATTAAATTCCTTCAAAAAAATATGATGATTATTGTCTATCATCAAAAGCTTGTGACATTTTTATTCCAATTATAGATACAAACGGAATGATTTTCGATAGACATCAAGTTAAAATTCAAGTAATTCTTACACCCGCACAAATATTTGATTTCAAGCTTGCCTATGAATGTCATTCTGCATCACGATATCGAATCATGTAGAGCTGATTCATTGATTCCATGAAAATTATGATCAAATTGTTTTTATGCAAATGAGTCTAAATAAAAAAAAACTACAGAGAAATAGAAGAGAAATAATAAAAAACTTAAAACAAATTTAAAGCACAAACAAAAGAAATGAAAACTGATGATGAACCGAGTGAATGAAATCTATTCATTTGCTTCTCGTTTTACTTCTTCTTTGTCTCGCCACTTGATGTTTTTAAGGTGTACGATGTTACCTGCGAACCATTTAAATGTTAACTTGAAAGACGTTTTTTCGGCAACAAATTTTCACCATTGAAATACTTATGTAAACATTGGAAGCGAGTCGAGAGAAATGTCGAAGAAATAAACAATTGAAAAGCTTTTATTTATCAGAATTATTTAGCTTTTGTGTCATCCATGGCATAAAAATTGAAAGAGATTAGGTCAGGGATGGGCTGGAAGTAGTCGAAAAAGTGCCGTCGTATTACATTTTTATTGCGTATGATTAACACGTTTTACAATCGTCAATCGTCGTTTCATTCTCTTCATTTAGAGAAGCAAACAAAATTAAATTGCGCTACGGTAAAGCTATGAAAGAACGTTGATTGTCTTTCTCACAGCATTTGACATTTTAAGAATTTTCATAACGTTCTCTTATCCGCAAGAATACATTTCAACGGAAGAGAGGAAGTAAAAGAATGAGAAACGTTGATGATAGCTGAGAACACATTCCATTCGACCAACCTACCTGCCTAGTAGCAATCATTTGGTGCCGCACATGAAGATAACGATCGGCCAATTAATCATCAACACGTTTATTAATTAAATTAACAGAAAATCTCTTCCCAACTTCCTTTTTATCTTTCAAGATTTATGTGAGATATGTATTTATTGTTGACATCATTAAAAGGAATTAACCACCGTTTTTAAGATGTGCAGCAATCTGTAACAGAATTTCTTGTTTTATCATGGAAATTTAATGTCAGAGTAGAAATAATTTATTCACTTTACTTCACAATCTTCAACGTGTGTTGTATCTGATGTTTGTTTTGTTGACTCACGTAAATAATTGAATTTGTTTTTCTCGGATAATTTAATAATATTAAATAACCACTGTTGGGAGTTTAGTTAATGTTGCTGCGACACTTGTCACTTATAAAGTGTGGACGATCAATTCTCCTTCACTTCGCTATTCTCATTATGTTTCATTGTTATCTAGAGCATTGATTAATTATTATGATATGTCATTAAAGTTGATAATTTAATCAAACGCTTGACTAATTAATATTTTGAAAAATTAACTTTGGGTTTTTTTTTGTCAATGAAAACTTTTTTGTCAACTTTATTAATTTCAATTTCTTGTCTACTTTTCTACTTTTTTTTCGTCTTATGAAATAAATAAGCAAATGTTTGATTAACCTTATAACTAATTATTCTACTTTTGTTACATCCTAAAACCTTTTATTTATAAGTAATACTTATTACTGTGTAAAAACTCTTCACAATAAATCTTCGTCTCATTGCTTAGAAGCATTTTATGAAATTCAATTTCTTGGGTTTACTAATTCAAAAGTTTCCTTTTTTCCTTTAAAAGATTTCTTTTGTTCCTTTGTGATATCTAACCAAAGACCTTTAGGATTCGAGTGGCTTTTATGCTAAAGTTAAGTATAAGTAATGCGAATAAATCTGAAGGATTTTCTTTAGAATTCCAACTTGTTCGTTTAAATACCATGAAGAGCCATTAATTAAAGCGAAAAAACTTTTCCATATTTCTTTCAAAACTTCTGATGTTCCCTCACACGAAAACTTTCTCGAGAAGTTGAGTTTTGAAGGGATTCAGAAAGAAATGCTTCTTACATTGGGATTTATTATAAATAAATAAGATTCAACGTATTTGCAGTAGGAAATAAATGATAAATGAAGGGATTAAATAATTATTTACGTGTTTTGAATCTTTTGAAGATTATTAGTGATGTGATGAAATCCTTGAAGGAATGACTTCAAATAATTATCTGACATAATCTTCAAAATTTCTGTTGTCATCGTCAGTAAATATAAAAATTAGATCAGAAACTGAGAAGGTTAAAATCTTATTCGATAAATAATTTCATTTATCAGTGTCAAATTTCGTTTCTTTCAAGAAAATTAATAATTTATGTTGCCTAATGGCAAGCCTAATGTAATAAAATTTGCTTGAATTGAATCTCATTTAGCAACTGCACAACAACTAAATTAGTTTTTGAAGGATTCATTAATCATCTTTTTCTCGTTAATAAAAATTCTGTGACTCTTCATTTTCCATCGTTTGATAAGTTTCGTAAATATCTTTAAAATGCAACATATTTTAATGTTTTGATAAAATTGCCATGTGCTCAAATTATGTTTTAATAAATCAAAATGTGACTACATGAAATGAATTCCTACTTCAATAAACGACTTGAAAAAGAAAAACTTTCTTACTTTCTTTGCGTTTTCTTATGTGCAATGCAGATATTTTTGTTTTCAAGATTTTATTTCATTTTTTGTCGTGCTGTGCAAAATCAGAAAATATTTTATATATTGAGACCTCCTTTGTTCTTTCTGTTTCTGTTGTTTCGACGGTTCTTAGCTTGTTTTCTACCTTTCTGTATTTGATTGTTTTTGCCACGATTATTATTACCGCGATTGTTATTAGCAGTAGCACCTTCATTATTCCCAGTATGTCCATGATCTCCATGATTGCTTTGGCCATCTTGTGCACCTTCATCCATTTGAGAGAATAACATCATAATTTCCCCGACTTTCTGACCATTTGATTGCATGTCTGTTGACGTTGAAGATGACAATTCATTGATTTTATTCTCGATATTTTCGAGTGCTGCTTGGACTTGTTGCGGAGCGCCATCCATGTGATGCTTAGCTGCTTCGACAATTCCTTTAAGATCTTCAACAATCACATTTTTGTCGAATTGGTTCGAGCTCATCATACTCTGCATATCACTGTCGACCTTTTGAACTGCTTCTAAAATGTCTTGTGGAATTCCACCACCTCCTGGAGGACCTTGAGGTTGATGTTGTTGAGTTGTTAAACTCACAAAACACAAAATTCCAATTAAACTGAAACTTTTCATCTTCAAGCCTTCAAATGATCAAACTGTGATAGTTTTTCTAATCAACACAGTTTATATTTATACTTTTCATCAAGTTAACACATGATGTAAAATTATTAAGTAGATAATCAAATATAAACTGTTATAATAATCTCTATAATTACCAATTTTTAAACACTTTTTATTTCTAAATTTGCGGAAATATTTCCGCTCTACACCTAACTTTATGAAAACGTTTTTTCTTTCTTTTTCAAGCCATTTGAAGAAGTTTTCAATTTCATAAACATTCAATATTTAGAAGCGTAAATTTATCGACTAATACGTAATGTCAGGCACCAATTTATCATTGCTTGTTTATATTAAACATTTTCATTTTCTACCTTCAATAAAACAAATTCAATTTGATAATTAACTTTCCTTGTTGTTCCTTCTAATTTTACAATCACATGGATTAATTATGGGTTGAAATAAAATTTAATTAGTTTGAAATATTCTGTTTCAATGGGCATTTTAAATGCATAAACACAGACATTACGAAGCTAATGTAATCACACTCGTTACTAACTAATTAATTAGGTTCATTGCTAATGAAAGCATTCGTTTAAAGAAATTTTCTATACATAATTGATTTTCCTTTCTTCTTCTCTGTGGATGTGGATAGGATGCGAATAATTTCTAATTTTTGCTATCGATGATTTTAAACTTCCTTCCAAATCAAACCATTCAACTTAATGATCATTGTCATTAATTTGAATTTCTGATCAATACCGTAACTCCTATAACTTGATTTCCTTTAGCTTCTAAGTTCCTGAGCCATTATTATTTTGAGTGTTAGAAGATCGTCGATTGACGACATCTTCGATGTGAATTAATTGCTCTAGAGGTATAAGATTAAGTTCACCACCACCCCCACACATTCCTGGTGCTGACATTGCCTGTTTAGTTTTTAAATAAAATTTAGAGTTTAATAAATGTTTGATAAACTTTCATTTTCACTCACTTTTTCTTGAGCTAATTCTTCTGCTTTCTCTTTTGCCAAACGTTCAGCTTCTCTTGCTCGTCTTTCTTTAAGTTTAAGCGAAAATATTGCAACTGACCTTGCACTTTTCACAAGTTTTTGCTTAAGTCTCGATTTCTTTGCTGCAATCTCAGCTGCTCTTTGCTCTTCTTCAGTTGTTGTAGCTTTTGGCACCGACGGAGCACTTGCACCTTAAGGATGAAAAGAAAAAGATTTTAATCTTTTCAAAGCTTTCATTTTTTTTATTTCCTTTACTTGTTCCAGCTTGTTCAGTTGTTTTAAGTGCAACATTCGACCATGAAGGGGCTGGTTTTAATAATTCAGAATCAGAACTTGTTCCCAAGTCTTTAGAAACTATGCAGTCTGTACTTCGATGAATGGGCGATTGTTCGTTTACTTTAAGACGACGCATCCATTCTGCACCTCCAGATGGACCAATCGTTAATTGATGTTCAGGATGAGCGCTGTCTGTCGAATTTTGTTCAGTTTGAACGAAATCTTTTGACTTTCTTTGTTGAAATGGAGGAATTTCTGATAGTTTAGGGGGAGAGACACTCGATGATGCTGTGCTTTGACCAGTAATTTGATGAAATGGTGGATAATTGCTATGTTGATTCTCATGCTTTCTAAATGGAGGTATTTCAGGAATCTGAATTGGTTGCGAAGTTGATTTCGTTGGTGCAACCATGGATGATGCTGAGCCTGGCGAACTGAAATGTAAATTCATAAGTTTCCTTTCACATTTTGTGCCATTTTCGTTAACATTATTTTATTTTAAAAAAATCAAACTTGAGATAGCATTCAAAATACAATTGGAATTAATCAGCTTTAGCTTTATTTTAATAAGGAAAATGGTGAAAAAAATATGCAAATTTAAATATAAAATTTGAGAATAATTTAAATAAGAAAAATATTTCAATTACCCTGTTGACGATTTCTTTATAGTTTCAACTACTTTATTGTACATATTACTTGCAACAACAGGTCCCTTAAACGGCGGAATTTCTTGTATTTTAGTTTTTAAGGACTTCACAAAATTGCTTTTGCATGCACTATAAAAAGTAATGGAAAAGAAGGAAAAAAGCAATATTGAGAAAAAAGTAATGCAAATTTATTTATAGCAAAGATTTGTTAATGTTTAATTTTGTTTGAAATGAAAAGCTTAAAGGGTGTTGAAAGAAATATTTATGAGAAAACAAAGAGTGGCATGATTTCATTGTGAATTATTCAAGCTTGTTTCAATCAAAATATTTAATAAAAAACACAAAAATTATTTGCAACAAAGCTCATGTATATCAGGATGCGAGCTTTTTTAATTAAAATAATTCGTGTTGCAATGCAAAATTCATTGAAAACACATACAATAGAACAAATCGATTTCATTCTTTTGGAATTTCAAAGAAAGAATGAAAAGTTGTACGCAATGCAAAAGCATTAAATTGAAAAGAAATTTTCAAATTGATACAAAAAGTGATTTTATGATTTATTTTGTTACAGAAACTTTTCTTTATTTTTCATACATCAAAGTAACTTTAATGTGAGTTTTTTTTACTTTTCTTTAAGAAGAAAAAGTTTGAATTTTATTGCATTGCCAATTGATTGATAAGTGTTTGAAATTCAAATAAAACCAAATTATTTTATGAAAAACTGAAAACGAAAAAGTAATTTTATGAATTTTTGTGTGGGTGGTAATATTTATATGAAATATTTCCATCGTCATAAGAACTTTATGTAGGTATTTATGTTGTGCCAAAAATGAACTGGAAACATTTAAAAAATATGGAAATGACGTGCAATTCAACATCATTGCACAGCATTTGTAAATCATGTTAATAATTTAGCTCAATTAATATTGTTGTGAAACATAAAATGAGTAGTAAAAAACAAAAGAAACAAAATGTACGACATTCATAGTCCGAGATAAAATGAACTCATACCCTGAATTAGCTTGCGCAGCTGAATCGAAAGGATTGTTTTGAACAGATTGCCCAGATGTAGAAGATTCGTGTAGTGGTCGCAGACATAAAACAGTACTTGTCTATGATAAAATTTGATTTATTTTTTCATTTTCGTGTTGAGAAGGTGTGGGAGGAAAAAAATTGTTTTATTTATCTTCAAAAATAAAATCCTTTTCATAAATTTTCTTTCTCCATTAAGTGAAAATGTGAGAAATAATTTAGCATTTTACCGTAATAGAAAATGTGTTAAAAGATTTGAGGAAGTTTATTTTACTTAATAGAAAGTTTAATTGAAGTAAAGTGATAAAGAGAAAGAAGAAATTTATGAGTTGAAGTTTTAAATTGAGTTACCTGTGAAATTGGTGAGTCTGGTGTTCCATTGTCTCTGATATGATAAGGAATTTCATGATCTGTGCTTCCACGTGATGTTCGATGATGTTGATTGTAAGAGAATGAATCACGATGTAAAGGTTCCTCAAAGCGTTTTGGGCTGATCGGTGTCATACGTTCGAAAACAATGTCGTCGGGGTCGTGACTAATGAATAGTTTATAAGAAACCTTGTTACTCACACATGTTAGGTAAAAATGTTCGAAAGCTTTCTTTCATACCCGATAACATTTGGGTCGTGTTTATCAAACATGTCTGGAGTATTTTGCTCATGTGACATTGAAGTAGAAGAGAGTGGAGAAGGTGGTGTCGCCCTTGGCGATGGTCCCTTACATTGCATTTCTCTTCGACAATGTTCTGCTCTAGCAATTTCAGCCGCCAACCATTCCGGAAGTTCAGGGAGAATGTATTTCAAAGCTGAACGAAGTCCAAGCATTATATGCTGTGTAACATTATAATTTATAACGAGACAAAGTGCCAATTACTGATTTTTATGTTATTCAATTTTGAACTTTACCTCGAGTGCAACAATCAAAACAACCGTTTGTGTCTGAGTTAAACCAGGCCAAAGTCTAGAAACTTGTCCAGACAATCCAATTAATGCACAGTTTACAATAACTGCAGCCATTCCTAATAATCCCAATGCATTTTGCCATGTTCCAATGTTTGCCACCCTTTGACCGAATGGACGTTGATGAACATGCGCTAACTTGAAAGCATCAGACCTAATTTCTAGTAAATTATTAGCTAATGCACACAATCCAGCTAATGGAAATGCTGACGAGAACAGAACGACGTATCCCATTTGAACAAGCATTTCTAGATGATCATAGAATGTTCCGTCATACTATACAAAGCAAATATTTGTAGTTAATTACAAAGCAATAAATTATGTTTCTCACTTTAAAGTATGCGCTTTCGATTTCTGCTTGGCCAATGCTACGTTTGGGTGTGGGTGGACGGTCACTTTTCTCTGGCTCGGTATCAATTTTCTTAATGTCATCAGACGGTGGTGGCAATTCTCTTGTTGGACTTAAAGCCCCCCACATATTAAAACTTAACGTTGCCAATCGCCATTGCTCATAAATATAAGGACAAGCTGACTCTCTCAAATTCCCAATAATTTGTCTTGATATTAACAAACCGGCCAATTGCTGTTAGAAAATGAATTAATCAGCAATTCATAATCGTATTTGGAATATATTTATGAACTTATTTACCTCTTTAAGCTGCTCTTGATCCCTCAGATAGAACGCAATATAAAACAAAGATAAGAAGGAATTGACAAATTGGAAGAGTGCTACTTTTCCGATTAAATGATTATCGTATTTCGATTGTTCACGATAGTTTTCTGTGTCAACGAAAGATTAAGAGCATCAAATGGATAATAACGAAATTGATTTATTCTAGTGAAGAAAAAGAAAATGGAAACAAACCTTGATCATTAAGCCACACCGCAAGTTTATAATAAAGTTCATCCATTATTGTAATAGCAGCAGCTAGCAACACTTTCGGTATCACACTCAACCAACTAATGACACCACTTTCCGGTAACTTGCTGTCCCACCAGTCCTTTTAAAATGAAATGAAATTAAAATCATTAATTAAACTCCACTATAATGAATCATGGCAAGTCATGGTAAACATTTAAGCGAGATTTAAATTTGTCTTAAAAGTGATTTCAAATGAGACAACTCTCGATAAAATATTTAATCAAGTCAATTACCTGCAATCGTAAAATGAGAAACATCACGATGAAGACGGCAAACAAGCATAATCCGATAATTGGGAAACTAACTAAATATCGAAAAGTTCGTCGCTTCCATGCAGGAGCTTCTTTTGGTTCTAGTCGTCCAGTCACTGAACTCTCTTCAAGCGGTCCCTAATCATTGACACAAATATTTAAATTATCAACATGACAAATGATTAAAGTTTCAATTTTAACTATACTTTGTAAAGAGGCCGCGGAGGTTCTAAAAGTTCTGGTGGGGTTGATAACGTTCCCCATCGAAAGGCCAATTCTGTTGAATATCGTCGCCATGCTTCCAAATAAAGTGACGCCCAAGCAACATTAAATAATGAGAACAAAACATGTCCGATATCTTGTGCTGTCTGTTAACCATATAAGAAGAATAAAGTAATAAGATTAAGTTAATTAGCTTGTAAATTTAGGTATTGCATGATGTGAATGTTAATAAATGAAAGATAATGAGAAAAGGAATACGTGCCTGTCCACGTCCGTAGAGACCAGCCCATAACAACGATCCTAAAATAGCTGGCACGCATAAAGCACACGTGTAGTGACCAAGCCATGCGAAATAAAGCGCAACTTTAACACCGAAATATGATGCAATGTCATCTGAAATTTCCTCAATGATTAATGAGTTCAGAAATTTATTTTTCTTTTTTTTCTTAATCTCACCAAGAGGCTGCGGAGCAAAAAACTTTCTAACCCAACTCGATTTTAATTTTGTTAAGGCATTTGTTTCGTGAAGGGGGAAAACTTGTTCAATGAGTCCGCACTCTTGCCATGCGGCTATAATGCTTTGTCCTTCTTCCACTTTAGCACGCCCTTGAAATACGGACACATCCAACGATGTCGCTCGAAGACCTTGAATCACTTGAAAAACCAACCATTGACGCTCCTGTGACGTAAACAGAGTGACTTTCCCTTCATCGCCTTTTATCTGTTCAAAGCAGTGACTTTCACGTGTTGTAAAATCACGCAAAGCACCACCCAAATCGGAACGTAGACGCTTTGGTAGTCGGTATACTTCGGCAGCTTTGAAAAGAACATTTGTGGGGGCGGATATATAGAAGGCTGTTCGTTTTGTACTTTCATGTGCCCTTACTAGGCACTGAAGACCTAATCCTTCAGGTTGTGGAGATCTTATTCTATTTAACAGCCATCGCAGAGCTTCATCTGGTGCATTTTCTGCTTTTCAATAAAGAAAATCATTTGAAATGTTATAAAGTGGAAAGTGTCATAAACTTACCAGGAAACTCAACAACTACATCACATTGTGTCGGAATTTTATTCAACCATAAACGTCTTGGTGTCATCAAATGTCCCGCAGCTGGCACACGCCTTCTGATTAATCTGGAAGCTGTTAAAATGACATGAGTGTATTAAATTTCTTCAGCGTCATCACTCGACAATAAATGTTTTTATTGTGTGAAAAGCTCTTCTTATATGTATCGCTCTGAAGAATATGAACATTAATTATTCATAGATACTTCAGATTCACAAAATATAACGTTGAAGTGTTTAAGGAAGCGTTTTCAAACCAACCGGCAATATTTTATTCCTTGCTTAATCAAGCCATTTAATCTTCATAATTTATAACAAAATCACACGAACATGAGGAATTAAAATAAAATGTTAGTAATGTTTAACGGAAGTAAAAGTAACAAAGAAAAGCTTTAATGAGAATTTTCTATTCTTCAACATATTTAGCCTAAGGAAAGAAACAAATTTTCTTATTTAGAATGTTTAGAATGTAGGAATCATTAGTCAACAGGGAGCAATGTTTTCTTCACCACATACAGCTACGCAAGCTGTTCCTGTAATATTATTCAATTTTAGTTCAGACCAAAGACATTAGATTATTAATTTAATTATTTTTTAATCGAAAAAAAGCTTTGGAAATGTTCATTAACATCTTAAGATTTTTATAAATAAAGCTATAAGAGGAAAGTTATCTAATGACTTCAACGAAATATAAATAATGGAAAATATTCGGAAAATATATACAAATCGAAATTAAAAATAAATATTTTCAGTATCAATTCGACACGCTAACAAAAATGTCACACAAAGCAACAAAGAAAGTTTGGAATAAAGCGTGACTTGTAAAAATAATCTAATGGATATGATCGTCCTCTGAGCCTGAAGTTGAGGTGAAGAAAAGTCTTTTATCGATTTTATAATCACAATAAATCATCATTGTATTTATATCGCTATTCGACAAAAATGGAGAATAAAATATTTAGATTTTCCGAATTTTATTATTTTTTCATACAGCGAGATTGAATTTTTAATTTTGTTCCATTTTAATTTATTTTAAGATGTCAGAAATATTTAATTAAAGTTTTCAAGTATTCATGGAGAATGTGCAACTTCTAATACATTTTTATAACTTAAGCTTTGACAAAGTTGTTAATTTCTTATGACAAATACCTCAAACAAAACTTTATCATGTCATATACACTTGTCGTCGTTTTCGATTGGAAAAGTTTTTCAATATTCGTGCGTGTAATTGCCGTTTGATTTAATTTATACAGATTTTGTTGATGATAAGTGCAAAGTTTATTAAAGCTTCTCAGGACCTGTAATTGATAAAAAAAAACTTCCGAAAATGTGTTCACTGAAACTTTACTTTCATTTTTCGCTTCGAAACTTTATATAGGAAAAAAGTTACACAGGTGAAATCAAAATGAATTTATCACTCCCGCATGGTTACTTTTTTGGTCAGTTAAGCATGATTTTTGTGATGAAAAGATAAATAATGAAAGTTTATTAAATAAAAGTTGTTAGATGAATTGTCGTTAATTCAACACAATGACCAACATTTATTCTTCCATTTCAAAATAGATGAGATTATAAATACGTCAGTGAGAAGAGCGTGAATAAATATACCCAAAGAGCCACAGAAATTTCAGAAATATAAATTTGTTTTCAAGAAAATGTATTACTTTGAAAATCCTTATTGCCATCATCAGACATGAAGAAATTTCCTGCATCAGTGAATTCTTCGCGTTACCATAAGAGAAGAGAAATGAAAAATGTTGTTTACTTGAGCTTATTTTATGTTTTGTGTTATGAACGCTATTCATCATCACACATAATAAAACTTATAAAAGCTTCAAACAAATTTTCATTGGTTTCGTTGAGAAATGGTTTTATTACACTTTTACCTAACAAATGTAGCATTAAAATTGCAATTTTTGTGTGTTTTCTGTGTCTGTGGGAAATGTCTTTAAGCTTATTCTAAAAGCAGAAAAGTTTAAAACATCAACAAGGGAAATAAGGAAGAAATAATCTAATAAAACTTTTGTGACCTTGTAGCCTTTAACGACATTTTAAAACTTTTTCATTCTTCCAACTCAAATCGAGGATTATATACCTACTTATAAGATTATGACGTGAAATATCAGAACAGACATTTACGATAAAAATGTTCATGAAATATTTAATTCTCCTGTCGACATTGTTGATTACGAAACAGAGGAAATGAATTTTTAATTAAAGCGGATTTCGCTTTGTATAAAATCTTCGTTAAAAATTCTATCTATAGTCATCATCAGGCGCCACATTTACACCCACACAATTTTGTGGAATGATGAAAAACTTGACCTGACCTGACCTACGAATACATTTGAATAAATTTTCGATTTTTTTCTTTCACTTAAAGATACAACACACCAACTTGCTTGTTTTTATTTTCTTCCAAACAGACAACGCTGCAACTAAAACAGAACATAAAAATATCCTCAATAAACTCAGAATTTTGTGTTTCACAACTTGTGTAAGTCTGAAAGGAAAGTTTTGTGATATATTTATTCGTTCAAAGCACACGCATCCTAAACTTTGTTACAAGTTCTTGTTTTGATATTTTTCAGGTCATTTTCATATCAATGTTATGGAACCATTGAAGAAATATTTCTGTCTAAGAAAATTAATTTTTCATTTTTGTTTTACTGAAAACGAATTGTAAATATTTTGCTCCAGTTTTGTAACATTTTGTCGTGTTAACATGGAAGCAATGGAAAATTTATTGTTTCAAATTTAATAGCTAATTTTATTGATTTTTCCAGCCGCATGTAATTTTTCAAAAACTTCAATAATAAAATTTCCTCGCTTTGTAAATTTTCATACCATAATTCACTTCATAAGTGGTTTGAGAACGAAACTTTTGAACACATATGGAGAAAACTATCAAGAGATGAAATTTTTGAAGATTATGTAGAATGTGAATAAGTTTTCCTCTTTAATTAAGCAGATGCTGTTGTCAGTAAGAAGCTTTAATATTTTCTTTAGAATTTGTGCTTTCCACATTAGAATTTACATTACAAGCAAGGGTATTCGTCTATTCAATCTTACAATTTGAAGTCTTCCTGATCAATTTTTCTTCTTTTCATTTCCTCTTTTTTATAAAAGTTTTTATTCATCAATCTTTTATACCTTCTTTCGAGCTTCAAGTCTTTCTTTTCATAAGATGCATAAGCTTTGTGACGAACAGTTTGCATTATGCAATTTGACAGTAAAAGATTTCAGTGATGAAAAATTAATCACGAATCTTCCATCCATTTTAAATCAAACAATTAATTTTAAATAAGTTAATATAAAGTTATAAATAATGTTAAATGCTGCATGCATTAGAATGATTTAAAGTACTTGCCATGAAAATTCATTCTTTTGTTGCAGATTCCATTTTATCATTTCATTTGAAATCAATAATCGACTAATCTGATCGACACAATTCTTTGATTTTATCGAATCATATAAACTCAGATGGGATTTTTATGAACTTGCAATAAAATGAAATGAATTTTGGCCTTGATGTTCAGGTCAACCAAACTCTTCAACATGTTTCGAATACGATTAGATGGCCAAATTTCTTTCTGAGAGAAAATTCTTACGATTTTATAAGATGTGAGTATAAAAATCTCTTTGATTACTTCAAGTTTATGATCTCAAATTGTTCAAATAATTGGAAGAAGTTTCAAGCCTTTCTTTAAGCAACATTTAAAAAATAAAAAGCGTAGAATTTGCAATCATCTATTATTTCCAACCCTTATATTTAATATTTTTTATCGTGATTTTCTTGAAGTGGAAATTCAAAATACTTGGAATGCCTCATAAATATTATCAAGATACGTACAAATTTAATGACAATGATTTCCATGTTTCTTTCTAAGCGTACAAAATTATTATGTAATGGAACAACCCACTTAAACATGAGATTAAAATCACATTAAAGGCACTGTAAGACAAAATAAGATTAAATATTTATTTGAATTATTTAAGGTATGAGATTAAACTTTTAGTTAGCTGAGTCGACCTGTCAGTAACCTAGGCGGGGAGTCATATTGAATCAGTGCTTTATAGCATGAATTTCATGTTTCTTCAACAACGCTTTCACAGATTTACTCAAGCGACATAATTTTAAAGCCAGAACTTGTATTGCCAGGTGCTACTTACATTGCACCAAGTAAAATTATAATAATTCCATTTTCAGACGAAATATTGTTTAACATGCACTTAGTTATAAATGCAGTCAACTGAGGCTATTTATATCTCGAATCTGACTAAACAATTGCAACCCAGAGACCAATAAAAAAAGGCAATAAACATTTTATATTATATTAAATAAACTTCAATATTCCAGGTTTATCGCAATTATTTTAAATTCATTTCCGTTGTCTTTATTTTGTTGGAAAAATTAATTTTGTAGATTTTTTACTTAACTCATTGTTATGTAGACATTGAAAGTATGTAATTAGAAAGCTTTTAAAATTAACGTGATTCATGCATGCTTGAAAGTATTAACTCAGCAATAAGGATTAAAAAGAATTTTTTGACAAAATTTAATCGTTGTTAATACTTTTAAACTTAATAACAACAAAATTAGTAAATAAATTAGGAACAATGCTTGAATTTATTAAAATTTTGTTAGAAATGCTGTGCAAATTTTCCAACTTTTTCTATAAAATTCAACAGTTTTATTTTATTGGGAAACGTCGCTTATACCACGAGATAATCAAATTTTTTCTGTATTTTGATTGACCATAGTTTTGGCAATGTTCCAAGTATGAACATACATTTGAAGAGTTTTCCGGAAACAACATTCATATCGATTAGAAAAAAAGGAAAATTCAAGAAGAAAGGAAAAAGGTCTGTACAAACCGAAAGCTATATAAAGAAAAGAAAATCATTTGGTAATGCCAAAAAAAAATATCCTAAAAATATCACAACTTTGATTGAATAATTCAAGAATGTTCTTGATAAGTTTTGGTTTTAAAGGCATGAAAAGTTTATGTGAAGTTATCATGAAAATTGAACATTTTTGAAGAAAGATTTCTTCAGTAATGAAAACAATTCTTTTAATGTTAAATAACTCAATTATTCGTCATAGTTTTGTGATAATTATAGCGATCAATAGCAACCACTTTCAATTATATAATTAATTAATTTGATTAAAGTTCTGTAGTGTAGTAGTATTAGTTAGAGAGTTGAAGATGTCGGATTAAAGCGTTACAATATCAGCGAACAAATAAATAATTAATTACTTGATAACCATTGAGTGTTTCTTTATATTTACGGCCGACTTTTCAGGACATTACATTTGGTGTGAGCGGTGGGATGGAGATTTCGATGAAGGCTGCTCTCGAATGGAATATTTGCACTGGCTTTGTTTTGGATATCGAACGTTGAAATGTCTCAAGAGGAAATTTGTCTTGGATTATGATTTGAATTTTGCCATGAATTTTGTATTGAATTTTGTCTTGAATTTTGTAATGAAGTTTGATTTGAATTTTGACATTGAGATTTGACCGAGAACTTTAAAATGAAAGCTTAAGCGAGTTATGAAATGAATTTTGAATTTAATTTTGATATGGCGGACGAAGTAAGTTTGTATGTGTAAATTGCAAAAGAGAGTAACGAGAAGTTTTGAAATCGTGATTTGCGTTAGTGTTAGTTTCAAAGAGAAAGAGTAGTTTGTGCATTCGTATTTGAAGCTTGAAAGAGTTAAGGCGTCGGTTGAAGCTAAAATAAGATTTTTTGCGATAAACGAATTAAAAGGATATTAAACACATTAATTAAAGGAAATAAACATCAATTGAAGTCCTTTTGTACTTATTATTGCTGGAAAACAGGTGAGCTCGAAGTAATTTTGCGATGATAATGAAATTTGAAACCGTTGTGGAATTTGAAGTTTGACGCCTCGTTTTGTATTTCTATTAGCAAAATGTCGGCGGGAAGATACGTGAGAAACCCGAATTACCATCCTTCAGATGACAGTTCGTCTGATGACGACTCTGAATCTGTTAGTTCGGAAGAAAATGAAACGTTGACGGAGAAAACGGCGAAAAAGAAGTCAAAAGAAGGTTATGAAATGTCGTCTTTGCGTATTAATCCGTTGATGTTAGTTGACCAATTCCCAGAAGATCCAACAATGGAAATAGCAAGAGAATTTTGGGTAGATTGGATTGCAATGCTGAAGCGACTTTTTAAATTGAACCCGAAAGCATTTAACTCGGATGAAATACAGATTACAATTCTTGTTACTCGAGGTGGAGCATTTTTACGAAATATTCTAGCAAACTCAGAGCATGAATTCCCGGAAACATTTGATGAAGCAGTCGATCGTATTGAACAATTTTTGAGAGCCAATTCTAATGCTTTGGCTGATGAAGCAAATTTTGGAACATTGAAACAAGAAGGTGGAGAGACGTTTCAGAAGTTTACAGACCGGGTTCAAAAGAAAGCTCGCGTTTTTCGTCTCGAGGAAAATCGTGTGATTGCGCAAATAACTCAAGGTGCAAAGCAAAGCGACAAGTTAATGGATTTCGGAATAAGAGGAAAGACGTCATTGGTAGAGTTAATTGGATACGGAAATCAGTTGGAAGTTTTGATGCGCGACAAAAAAGCTGAAGCGGGAAAAGAAAATTTGCTTGCTAGTGAAATTAATGCTGTCAAAACTGAATCGACTAAGAGATATCATCCATACGAACGACAATTTGAGGGCAATCGAGTTAACATTAAGCGGTCAGGAAATGAACGCATGAATGGAAGAGATTGCGAATATTGCGGATACAAACACGCTTATGGAAAATGTCCAGCATTCGGAAAAACTTGTGACGCATGTAAAAAAAGAAATCATTTCAAATCGGTTTGCCGTTCTAAAGGAGTTATGTCAAAAATGGAAAACAAGTTGGAAGCAAAGGTAAAAGAAGACAACGAAGAAATGTAATTCGTATTTTTTGTAGCTAGAAAAGGAAAGGAATAAATATTTGATTGCATAAAAAGATTGCTTATGATTGTTGATTATTTCTTTGGTAATATGAATAATTTTGTTTTTGTAAATTCACAGTTTGTCATGGAAATGAATCCTGGGTTATGCTATGCTCAATGTCAATTATGTGATGTTACAGTGACTATGTTAATCGACTCTGGTGCAACTTTAAATATTATTCCTGAAGATGTATGGCTTGAAATAAAAAGTTTAAGCGTAGCGGACGGAGAAAAGGGATGTGCACGGAATATTTCTTATAACTCAAATCGGAGAATTGAAGCTTTCGGTGGCTCGTTGATTGATGTGTTAGTGACATTTTGGACTTGGATAAAAGTTTTGCATTCAGATAAGCCTCAAGTATTTGCACAATTCTTTGTTGTTCGAGGTAAAACTCAGCCAATAATCAGTCGGGAAACTGCAGAAGAGTTGAAGTTGCTCAAAGTGGGACTAAATATTAACGCGTTAAAGGATAGCGGCGAAAGAGTTAAAATTTTTCCGAAGATACCTGGAAAACCGATTAAATTAGACATTGATCGTTCAATTGAGCCTAAGCAAATTCCGAGAATTCGAATTCCTCTTGCGTTAGAAGAAGCGGTGAAACTGCGGTTAAAAGAAATGGAACAAATGGGAGTCATTGAACGAGCACCACGAACAAGGTCTTTTGTGAATCCACTGAGTGTTGTGGCAAAAGGAAAGGACGATTTTCGTATAGTAATTGATATGCGTGAAGCAAATAAGGCTATTCGTCGAAAGTTTCATCCATTGCCAATTGTAGAAAAACTTTTTGCGAAGCTAAGTGGATCAAAAATTTTTACTACCTTGGACTTGAAGAGTGCTTATCACCATGTTGAGCTTGATGAAGAATCTCGTGATGTTACAACTTTCATGACACCGAGCGGAGCAATGAGATTTACCAGATTAACATTTGGAATGAATGCGGCGCCAGAAATATTTCAGGAAATAATGGAAAGATTGTTAGATGGCCTGGAAGGAGTTTTAATTTATCTCGACGATGTACTAATTTTCGCTGAAGATATTGAACAACTACGAATTAAAACGGCAGCTGTAAAAAAAGTGCTCGAGGAAAATAATATGATTCTTAATGCGGAAAAGTGTCAATTTGAAAAGGAAAGCGTTCAATTTCTAGGATTTACAATTAGCTCGGAAGGAAGACAACCATCGAAGGAAAAGCTTCAAGCAATCGAGAGTTTTATGGAACCAAAGGATGTAAAAGAACTGAGAAGTTTCTTGGGATGTGTGACATTTTTGGGATCGTTTATTAAAAGTTTGGCACATGAAATTGAACCGTTGAGAAAGTTAACCCGAGCATCCGAACCATTTATCTGGGGAAAAGAACAAGAAAACGCTTTTTATCGAGTTAAAGAATTACTTAAGGAGGACACCAAGGTCCACAGATATTTTGACAATGTATTGCCAACTAAGCTATACACAGACGCATCAAAGAAAGGTTTGGGAGCAATATTGGTTCAAGAAAAAGACGGAATTGAAAAAGTTATTGAATACGCTTCTAAGACATTAACTGAAACCGAGACAAAGTATCCTCAAACGCAACGAGAAGCATTAGCAGTGGTTTGGGCAGTGGAAAAATTCAGTTACTTTTTATTAGGCCGCGAATTCATTCTTGCTACGGATCATGATGCTTTGCGATATTTATACGGTGGCGAATTTCGGGATAATCAAAGAGCAATAACTAGAGCTGAAGGTTGGGCTTTGCGATTAGCTCCATTCAGTTTCAAAGTTGTACATATTGCGGGCGTTGAAAATGTATCTGATGCTCTGTCAAGAATGTGTAATCTTCCGCCTGAGCCTTATGAAGAAAATCGCGAGGTAATGGGATTGGGAAGAGTTCACGCGCAAATAAATGCTTTAGAGCTTGAAGGAAGCGACCCAACAAATGCAATTCGAATAAAGCAGATTCAAGAGGAAACGAGAAAAGATCGTGTTTTGCAAGGTGTTATTAAAGCAATCGATGTAAATGTTTGGCACGATATAACGAAACCGTATAAGCCATTTAAAGAAGAGCTGACGGTGAAAGATGGAATATTACTTCGTGGTTTTCAAATAGTTTTGCCGGAGTCATTGTGGAAGCAGGCATTAATAAATTCTCATACTGGCCATCCAGGAATCGTTTCAATGAAGAAAACGCTCAGAGATCGGATGTGGTGGCCTGGAATGGATAAAGCGGTTGAACAGTTTGCGCAAAAATGTATTGGATGTACTGCTGTGGCTCGAGATAATCCACCTGAACCGATGATACGCACACAATTACCTGAACAGCCTATGGATTTTGTAGCAATTGATCATTGGTCAGCTCAGATAGTTCCGGTTAAAATTTTAGTGGTTACGGATTACTTTTCGCGATATCTTTGGTATGGTTTAGTTAAGGATACATCGTCAGCAGAAACGATCAAAGTGCTATCGGATATATTTAAAACATTTGGTAATCCGAAAACTTTACGTTCCGATAACGCGACATGTTTCCATTCAGCGGAGTTCAAGAAATGGTGTGAAGATAGAGATGTCAAACTAATTCATAGCGTACCATTATGGCCCCAGCATAATGGACAAGTTGAAAAAGCGATGCAATTATTCAACAAGAATCTGACGATTGCAAGAACGTTGAAAAAAGATTGGAAAGATAGCCTCGAGAAAGCTGTTCAAGCTTACAATAACACCAGAGTTCATACCACTATTGGCAGTACACCAGCTGAGGTGATGTTCAGACGGCGATTACGGGATAACTTACCAATTCTTTCGGCAAAGAGAAAATTGACTGACGAGGAAATACGCGAACGAGATGTGGTCGAGAAAATGCAAGGAAAAGAAACGGCTGATATAAAGAGACATGCAAAGATAAGCGACATAAATGTGGGAGACAAAGTGTTTATGCGGGGAAAAGGAACGAGTAAACTTTCGGCAAAATTTGACGTTCGGAATCCGTGTCTTGTACTGGAAAAGAAAGGTGCTACTGTTAAATTGAAGACACCGGAAGGAGTGATTTTTGATCGTAACATTACAGCGGTGAAAAAGAATTACATCGAGGAAAATACACAGATGGAAGTATGCGAAGATAATAATATGAACAAAAATACGTCAGAGCAGGAGGAGGCATTGGCAGGAAGAAATTTGCGTGATCGAGCTAAGTTGAAAGCGCCTGGAAAGCTTGCATATATGACAAAACTTCAAGATTAAATGAAAATAAGTAGGAGGGGAATGTAGTGTAGTAGTATTAGTTAGAGAGTTGAAGATGTCGGATTAAAGCGTTACAATATCAGCGAACAAATAAATAATTAATTACTTGATAACCATTGAGTGTTTCTTTATATTTACGGCCGACTTTTCAGGACATTACACATTGATTCCGTATTAGGAANAAATTAACGTGATTCATGCATGCTTGAAAGTATTAACTCAGCAATAAGGATTAAAAAGAATTTTTTGACAAAATTTAATCGTTGTTAATACTTTTAAACTTAATAACAACAAAATTAGTAAATAAATTAGGAACAATGCTTGAATTTATTAAAATTTTGTTAGAAATGCTGTGCAAATTTTCCAACTTTTTCTATAAAATTCAACAGTTTTATTTTATTGGGAAACGTCGCTTATACTACGAGATAATCAAATCTTTTCTGTATTTTGATTGACCATAGTTTTGGCAATGTTCCAAGTATGAACATACATTTGAAGAGTTTTCCGGAAACAACATTCATATCGATTAGAAAAAAAGGAAAATTCAAGAAGAAAGGAAAAAGGTCTGTACAAACCGAAAGCTATATAAAGAAAAGAAAATCATTTGGTAATGCCAAAAAAAAATATCCTAAAAATATCACAACTTTGATTGAATAATTCAAGAATGTTCTTGATAAGTTTTGGTTTTATTTTAAAGGCATGAAAAGTTTATGTGAAGTTATCATGAAAATTGAACATTTTTGAAGAAAGATTTCTTCAGTAATGAAAACAATTCTTTTAATGTTAAATAACTCAATTATTCGTCATAGTTTTGTGATAATTATAGCGATCAATAGCAACCACTTTCAATTATATAATTAATTAATTTGATTAAAGTTCCAAACCTCAAAACCGCAATAAAATAATTATCTAGTTGAGAAATGAAACCAACAACCATCTGATACAATTCTCTAATCGATTTTTGTGTCAACTTAAGTTTGCTTAAGAATTTACTTGAAGTTACAAGAGAACTTTTCTTATAACTTCACCCTGAACTGAAGATAATTACTGATGATTAGATAACGAGAGTGAGTTGGAGATGTTTGTTATTATCTTAAGCAATTATGTTTTGATTGAATTATCTTGGCGAATGATTGAAGGGATATTGCACATGTCGTTCATATTAGTATTTCATTATAGAAGACAACATGAAGTATTCGATGGAGATAAAAAGATTAAAAAAACTTTTATCATGGCTAGAATTGCTTCAAGCTGTGCAAAGAGTAAGAAGAAGTTTCCTATCGCGAATATTTATCCACAATCGCCTTCAATTTGGAATACATTAAACATCCTTGAAAGTATCTTGAAGAAAAGAAAGAAAAAAGCAGAAAAATGTAACATTTTTTTCGAGCGTGTTGGCATCATCGTGAATCTGAAATGTTATGCGAAAAGAATGAGACAAAGTATCTGTATTATTGTCACAAAAGAACAGTGTTGAGCACAGTTTGGTAAAGAAGGACTGACAGCTTCTTTCCCTACGATTTGGCATTCCCGCAGTCCCTCAAAACTCTCAGGGACATGAGGGAGACTGGCAGAAAGCGCCCATCACTGCATAAGAACAAGAAAATTTTCCCCGGTAGACATATGAAGCAGGAGAGAGAGAGAGAGAATAATATCTTTTTCATGTTGTTCCCTTGACCATGGCTACGAATGGAGAAGAATTCCTTCATATTAGCAGCATGAACATCACATTACACTTTAATCTTTCTTGTCAGAAAAGGGATCGCAAACTTTCATCCTTTCTTCCTAACCTTCCTGTTTCAAACCTTTTTAACTTTCTCAACATTCGATTTCGGGTGAAAATTTGTCAGTGGAATCATCTGTAAAGTCTATCAGAAGATGATAAATAAATCGATTGGTTTTCCATTTAAACATTTCATTTCATTGACGTTTGTCACTTGAGTATTTACGTCATAATCAAGCATCTTATTAAATTATTCTTTTAGGTAAGATTCAGAAATAAACTTTTAAAAGTTTTTGACTTTTTCACTCTCACATCTTAATTTTCATTTAATATTTATTAACATTAAAATCAGTGCTGCCGATGTTTCAAAACACTTTATTTTTAACCTTCTGATTGGGGAATCGATTTGTTTGTTATATATCGAAGCCTGTTCATGATAAGACATTTCTCACGTCTCATTTTAATATTTATGTAAATGCATTAGAAGCGTATAAATTCAGTCGATTTGCTTTTTCGTTATGAAATTTTACAATGTTTTGCGCGTTGGGCCACCCACAAAAAAAGAGAGAAAGATGGAGAGATCAAGGGAAGGGTGAAAGCAATTTATATTTGTGCTTCAATGTGTGAGTTTATGCAAACAATAATCGAATATCCAAAATATGAAGAAGATGAAAAGAAATTCTTTTCTTATTTTACATATCTTATACGTAACGATAATTCTCCGTCAAAAAGCATGACGAAAAGAAACCTCTATGGACAATGAATGAATGAATGAATGCCTAATTCAAAATGATAATCATTATTCTCACGGATAATGAGATTTTCGCGAACATAAAAGATTAAGAATGGAACACAACATCTTAAGAATTTTATGAAATGAACATTTTTTATCGTTACAACTATGGCGATTGTCGCATGAATTTATAAGTTTCTATCAACTTCTTAAAGTTGTTGATTAAACAATTCTGATACAGTCATAAACTGTACCATAAAAGATACTTTCCCTCATGTTACCACTGACAACACTTGCCACAATGCTTACATGTTTATGAGCTTTCATTGATTTTTTTTTTTCTTCGTTTCTGTCTTCTTTCAGTTCCTTTGCTGGAAAGCTTCAAATTCTGAAGCTTTTGCAATGAAATGAGAACAAATGTGAGCCTAAAGAATAATTGGAGTAGAAAAAAGCGTGAAGCAAACTTTTATTTAACAAACTTTCACTCGACAATGCATTTTCCTTTCCTTATATGTAGATATGTATAAAAATGCTTTCAACATGAATTTCTACATTTGTGAAAGGTCTTTGAAGAGTAGATACATAGATTTTTTGTAACAAAGGCTTGAAAGTTTTTTTTTAGTTTCCTTCTAACCCATTTTCATGCTTCGACAACTTCTGCTGTCGTTATGAAAAAAGAAAGTATGCTTAAGATCACCCACAAGCAGTGTAAGGTGGGAAAATGTTCATAAAGAGAAAGAAACAAAAATTATTTATTCATTTGGTATTTTTCCGGAAACAGAATAACGAACAGACTGAAGAATTAAATATTTCATTAAGCAGTTTCTCGAAATGGAATGCAATATGGAACTTGTTGCCGCCATCCAACCCACTAATCTATCTGAGTTTGCTTCGAAGCTATTGAAGTGTCGGAAATTATGTTTATTCAATTATGCTGAAATTGAGAAGTAAATTTCTAGTTCATCAAACACAGAAGAAGATAGAGGAAAAGATTTTTCTTCTTTCAATTCAACACCACATCTTGAAAGAAATAAAAATTCCGACATCATATTCATGATTTACGTGAAAAAAAGTTTTTTTTGATCATTAAAAAAGAAATCAATCGTCTGGTTAAAATCGTCAGTGAGTCAGAAATGAGGAATGAAAGCGTTTCTGGTTTTCAGTCTTCTTTACTCTTTCAAAGCACATTTTTTATGTTTTTGTTACGTTTTTTTCTTTCTTTCTTCCTTTTCTCCCGCCTGGTGACGTAATCAAGAAAAGTTTTTATTTTTCCATCAGTGTAATGTGGTTCAGAAAGAACAAATTCTACAAGATCTTTGGAAATTTGTTTCTTTGCTTTACTTTAAATTTCATTATGCCAACGATAACTTTTTATGATCCGCGATACTTTTCACACATTTAACGCGCATAATTTCTGTTTTTATGAAAATCGGACTCAACCTACCGTTTTCGATTGTCTCTTTGGCACTCGAAATGATTTTAGTTTTTCGCTTACGTAAATTACTCAAATCCAAACTTGTTCCTGTACCGGTTGTTGCATCATCAAGGACAACATAATCCTCTGTGATTTCCAGCTCGCCGGTATCGTCTTCAAACTTTTGTTCAACATCCATTTTGAACTAATTTCTTTAATTAAACTCAACAATTATTTGGATGTTTTGCAATTTTCCCTTTAACTGAACTTTTCTTTTCCCTTTACTTTTTTATCTCATAAATCATTAAGAAGAAAAAGGAAATAAAAATCAGACACTTTGATTAATGACACGAGCAGCTTAAAATTCACTCAAAAAGTCAAGATGCTTTTGTCCACGAAATTCCCTTCCAGCTTTTCAACTTATCGGGATAATTTTCACATTTAATTAAACACGGAAAGGGAAGGAAAATTTTTTACTTGTGCTCATGAGAATGAGAAAAGAATTTTGCGACCACAACTGAATATGATTTTTCTCGACTGACGGAAAATATCGATCTGATGATTTTCCTGCGTGTTTTGGTGAAAGGAATTTAAAACTCAACAAATATCGTCAAATGCGCATAATCCAACATTTTGTTTATGTTTTGATGTCGTATTTTATTTTTATATATCTTCGCATTGTTATTGTTATTATCATGTGATTTACACTTAAGACATCTTTGAAGAAAATTAATGAAAATTGTAGCGTAGAAATAAATTTGTTTAAAAAATGTAAGAAAATTACGCTTAAAAATTAATTTATCTGTAAAAAGTTATTTTTTTGTAATTTCAGAAGCTTTCGTAGCTTATTTTTGATTTCAAGTTGGAGAAGAAGTTTTGATTGAATTTATTAGTCGCCTTTGAATTGCTGCTCTACCAGTCTTCATCTTCTTCTTGTTGACCTGCACGAATATCTTCGCCACCAAAAGCATCGCCTGTTGAAGTGCCGCTTCCAAATTCCTTAAGAAATTGTGGTATTGGTTGGTTAGCTTCCTGTAAGATTCGAACGAGATCGGCTGCAACTCCAGAGTCACTTTTAGGATCAAAGAAGCTTGTTGACTTTCCTCGATTACCAACACGACCAGTTCGACCAATGCGATGAACATAATCTTGAATATCTTTGGGAATATCATAATTAATGACATGTGTGACTCCTTTAATGTCAAGACCGCGAGCTGCAACCGATGTTGCAATCAATAATTTACGCTTTCCACTGCGAAATTCCGACAATGCCAATTCACGTTCACGTTGCATACGATCGCCATGAATTGATGTTGATGATAATTTTGAAACTTCACACATGTATGAAGCTAAGAAGTCGGCTTGAATTTTAGTATCGACAAACACTAAGATGCGATCATTATCGCTATCTTCAGAATATCCTTGAATAATTTCCTTTAATTTGTCTTTCTTCTTGAACTTTGTGACTTCGAGAATTTCTTGTTCAACATCAGTTGAAGCACCACCAACAATACCAACAGTAAGGAAAAGATAATTCTTCAGATATTGACCAGCTAAGCGTTGAATGGCTTCTGGAAATGTTGCTGAGAACATCAAAACTTGAACATTATCTTTCGTCAATGTTTCATGATTTAAAATTGAGTGAATTGTATCTTTGAAGCCCATGTCCAGCATTCTATCAGCTTCATCCAAAACAAGAAACTTCAATGATTCGAACGAAATCACGCCCTTGTTAACAAAGTCCATCAGACGACCTGGTGTTGCAACAAGAACATGACAACCTTTTGAAATTCGATCGCTTTGATGTTGTGATGATGTTCCACCATAAGCTAAGCTAATCTTTACCCATGACGACAAAGCAAATTTTCTAGCTTCGTCAAAGATTTGAATGACCAATTCACGTGTTGGTGCGACAATCAAGCATTGAGGTTGGCCAATACTCATTGTTTCATTGTTGGTCATTATTGCATCAAGAATTGGCAACACAAAGGCTGCTGTTTTTCCAGATCCAGTTTGTGCGCAGCCCATCAGATCACGTTTAGCAAGAATGATTGGAATTGCATGTTTCTGAATAGGTGTAGGCTTTGTGTAGCCAGATTTTTCAACATTTGTTAACAGAAAATCACGCAATCCACTTTCTTTGAATGATTTTAATGGTTGAATGCTTTTTCCATCTTCTCCTGATACATTCACTTCAATCTTATCGAATAAATCAAAGTTGATTCCAGCTTGAATTGCATTCCCAAAGATTTCGCTCTATTGAAAAGAAAATTTGAAGATTAGAAGTTTAACTTAATAACAAAAGCTTACTTCATCTTCAGTTGGTTCTGGTGGAATATATTTTTCTCGTGGCTTTTCTTCCTCTGTGGAAAATATTTCAATTAATTTGGTCGTTCTCTATTAATTACTTAAATGTATACTTTTTTCAGTGTCATCATCGTCGCCATTTTTTTGTCTGCGTTCTGAGTAGTCACGTTTAGGTTCTCCATCTCCATTATCATCGTCTTTGAAGATAAATAAATTAATTTCATGTAAAAGAAGCTTTCTTAAATACAATTTTACCTCGACGAGGGCGATCTCCAGTACGAGAACCGCCGCGGCCTCTTCCTCGAAAACCTCCATCACGATCTTGTCTATCACCGCGATCGCCAAATGATCCACCACCTCTGCCTCGTCCACCGCGAAAGTTTCCTCGGCCACGATTAGAAGCTGTCGAGAATTAAAATAAAACAAAACTGGCATGTTGATTAACGTTTTTCAATGCTTACAGCCTCCATGATCAGCATTAGCACTTATAGTCGGCTCATCTTCCCAATCATCATCACCCTTTTGCTTTGGGACTGTTTCTGCTGATTTTACTTTCTGAAGATTTTAAAAACACGTTGATTAGGAGTGAAATTACGTTAATTATTCGAAATTGTTACTTACCGTTGTTTGTGTGTCATCATCAGACCAATCATCATTACCATTACCCATTTTATGATCACAAGTGAGAACTGTTAATGATATTTTGTTTGATTAACTTGAGACTTTAAACAATAATAGGAAAAATGGCTTCATAAATGAAAATTTCCAAGAATTTTTATAACGGAATTTTGCAATTTTTACATTTTTGATGAAAAAATGAATATTACTCACCTTTTTCACTCAAATTTTACTAAAACAGTTATTTGAGTGTTGAATATTTGTTAAATGATTACTCTTTTGAGAAAAGTAATGCGAAATGAGATTTACTCAATTGCTTGAACGTTTCTTAGCTTCAGTAACGTTTGAATAGGAATAGTTGACAAGTAATGTAGCATCCTGTGAATTTTTCGGCCAGTTTGATAATTTTTCGGTCACTTTGATATTTCTATTTGAAAATGTTTTTATCAGTTAAATATAATGCGATCATCAACATGTTTAAAAATGTATTAAAATGATTTTTTTTTTATTCTTGTAGTTTTTAAATATGGTTCACCACAAGCTTAGTAAGATTTGCTGAAAAATTAAATTGAATGGGAAATTTTATAATAATATTCAACAACTTTAAGTTAAAATTAAGACAGTTTTTGTTTGCTTTTTAATTCATTCTTTTATTGGTTTCGCTTTTAAAATTTGAAGAGAAAGAAATTATTAATAAATTGAAACAATTAACAAGAAAAAAAAAACAAATATGATAAAAGACTTTTTCCTAGCTTATAAAATTCGATTAAAATAAAAATGAGAAAGTGCCCAAGTGGCAGCATCAACCTTTCCATTCACTTTTCCTATCAATTCTAATAAATCCATTAAAAAATCTAATTTCTAAAATATGTATCAATAGATAAGTAAGAAATCTTAGAATTATCTAAATACTGTTTAGAGATCATTCGTTTCCGAGTATTTTTGTGTAACTTAATATTCATTAATATCATATTTTTCCTGATCAAAATAATAATCATCGTCAAGCATCATCTGAATGGAAGTCAAATCAATTTTATAACGCAAAATACCTAAAATAATGAAAAACAAATATTAAATAATCTATACGTGCAAATGATAAAATAAATAGAAGAAAAATATGGAAATTGAGAGAGAAAATCAAGAAAAACTTTATCATCTGAGGAAGGAACTTGAAACAGTTTTTCTTTGACTTTAATGAGTATCTAAATTTTCCATAACTTTCTAATGAACATAAAACTTTATAAACTCCACAATAAAAGCCAAACAAAGAAGATCAAACCCACACAAGACAAAGAAAAAGAAAACTGAATAAAATCAGAAAACTCTTACAATCAACATCCACTCGATGAATGGAAGAGAGACTTAAGCATAGTATATAAAAATTCTAAAGTATTCAATGATTAATTTGGACTAAATGCGACCTGTTTGATAGAAGCAAATTGCTGTGAGATTAATAATTAATGTAAGCAAAGTAATTAAAAAAGTCAATGCTCAAATTTAGTATTCGTCAAGATCGACATCATCAAGCGGTTCTTCGTCGGCTTGCATCGATTGGAAGTCAACCTTGTATCGTAAAATACCTTTTCGTGTGGTTTTAAAATAAGTTTTAAGTAAAAGTTAAAATTAAAAATATTTTTTAATATTTTACCTCCAATTCCGCCAAATCCTCTCACAAACTGACTTCCTTCTTGTGACTTGTCAGTTATGATTTCCAAAGTGGCACCAAAAGTCTTGTAATTATTTGCTAGCCATTCCAGTAGTTGTTGCGATTCGACAAGTTCCATTTCAACCCCGCTCTGTGAGAAAAAACATTAATAACAGAACAATTTTAATTAAGAATATTTTCAGCTCACCTCCTTGTCAGTGAAATGTGATTTGTCCTTCTCTTGTTCTGGTGTTAAGTGTAAGACGGTTGTGGTATTTGTTGTAGTGTTTTTCAGAACATAGCGTTGAATGTCCAAGTTTTCCCAGCATATGAGGATTTCAACCGATCCTAATTCTAAAGCTCTCAATGTGTCTTCGACTCCAAAGCAGTATTTTCCCGTATCTTGTGAAATTTCATCAAAATATCGTCCAATAAGCTTCTTTTCCTGAATAAACTTCACATTCTGTAATGACTCGGCTGCCAACTCAATTGCTTGATTAAAACCATTTTCCCCGCTATAAGAAATATCGACAAGCTTGATGACTTTTGATTGTAGACGAGGATCAAACATATCAGATTGACTCAGTTCAGTTTTGAAGTCAGCACTTCCAGCAAGAATCATTCCTGCGATATTTGGTTTATCGCTAGTAATGAAAAGTGTTGTTGCTACTTCAGCAACTTTCCGGACGTAGTTGTGACGTTTTTCCATTCGAAGACGAGCAAAACGAAGAGCTGATTGACCACCACGTCCATGTTTCTTGGGAAGTTCCACAGTGAATTTGTGAAGAACCTCACGAGTATTGCCTTGAAGTGTTCCAAACAAAGCTCCATTACCGTCCATAACAATGAAACCAAATTTGTTATCGTCAGCCAGAAGTGCCGTTAGAGCTTCCGTATGAAATTTGTTGTCACACAAATAGAGCGAGGTATTTATTGGCTTAAATGGTTCAAAGTCAATATTCACTTTCTTTTCTTTTCCTTCTTCCGTTACAATCGTCCCGCAGTAGATCACGAGTCCATTTGGAGGCACTGAAAAGATAACAAAATTTAAAACCTTACTTTCAATAATTCTTTTACGTTAATCTTACCTTTGGTATATAATTTTAATCTATGTTGGACCGAAGTGATGGCGCCGAGAACCGATAGACGATTGACTCGAGACTTGATATTGGAAGCTGTACCGAATTCATCTGCTAACATCTTACTGACTCGAGATATTTGATCTTTTGGTGGAATAATGAGTGAAATCATGCTTGTTCCATTTCTACAAATAAACATTAATAAATTTAAATAAAGTTAAAATTAATATTAACATATTGTGCAATAAGAGGAGAGAGAGAAAGGTAAATGAGACAGAAAATGCATTGATGGCAAAATGATTTTCAGATTTAGGTCATATTTAAATTTTTCATGATTTTCGTCTTAAAACTATTCCCAACTCTCTTCTACTCGTTAATTTGGTAAATTTCTTTTGTAATTTTTTATTTTATGGATGATTGACTCACCCTCTTGCCAGCTCTAAGCTCTTTATGAGTTTTTTGATTTTCCAAATCTCGACATTTCGATCTGCGCTCGTATCCTCGAAGCTCATTTTAGTCGCTTTTTGTTTACACAATCAGAGACACTGATGCTATATGACCAAGTTAAGCAAGTAATAAACTCAGAAACTTTTGTGATTTCTGGTTTAGAAGCGAATTATCTGATCGCTTTAAAACTTGTTACCACGTTGAAATTCTTTTGAAGAGTTGTGGTGAAAGAAAGTGATGTAACCTAAATTTAATATCTTGTACCGTACGTTCAACAGTTGTCTTTGAAATAACACAAATAAATTTTTAAACAAAATCTCAAAACAAAGGAAAACAAATATATTTGCTTGAGATTATTTGTTAAATACCAATGACTAAATCAAAAACATTAAAAGTTTCAATATTTGTGACGAAATGATCAAAGTAAGTCAAAGATGCAAAAAGTTTGAAGCCCCTTGTCAAATCCAATGAAAATTAAAAGAAGTAAAAATCGATATTTATATGTATTTATCATGAAATAAATACAACTTTCAATAAAATATTATTTCTTTAACATATTTCAAATAATTTCAGTGAAAATATTAGAAAGAATCTTTAACATAATCAACCATTAAAATATTCCAGACAAAACGTCATATACTTGGATCGTTTTTCGAGGGATAAACACCAAACATATTTCTACATTGTGATTTTAATTCATTTAAGTAACAGAACTCTACTCTTTCCTCATTATAAATCAGGTGTTCTTAAGGTTAATTTAGAAGTAATCTTGATATTATCTAAAAAAACTACCGAAGTTTAGTTCAATTCGAATATTTCTTCAACTTTGCTCATTGCTTGAATAGAGAACATCAAAGCGACATGAGTTTCGAGGATACAAGTGCAGACAGAAATGTTGAAATATGGAAAATCAAAAAACTTATTAAGAGTTTAGAATTAGCACGAGGAAATGGAACAAGCATGATCTCACTCATTATTCCACCAAAAGATCAAATATCTCGAGTCAGTAAGATGTTAGCAGATGAATTCGGTACAGCTTCCAATATCAAGTCTCGAGTCAATCGTCTATCGGTTCTCGGCGCCATCACTTCGGTCCAACATAGATTAAAATTATATACCAAAGGTAAGATAAGAATGAAAAGATTATTGAAATTTTTGAAATTTTGGATTTCGATTTTAGTGCCTCCAAATGGACTCGTGATCTACTGCGGAACAATCGTGACAGAAGAAAATAAAGAAAAGAAAGTGAATATTGACTTTGAACCATTTAAGCCAATAAATACCTCGCTCTATTTGTGTGACAACAAATTTCATACGGAAGCTCTAACGGCACTTCTGGCTGACGATAACAAATTTGGTTTCATTGTTATGGACGGTAATGGAGCTTTGTTTGGAACACTTCAAGGCAATACTCGTGAGGTTCTTCACAAATTCACTGTGGAACTTCCCAAGAAACATGGACGTGGTGGTCAATCAGCTCTTCGTTTTGCTCGTCTTCGAATGGAAAAACGTCACAACTACGTGCGGAAAGTTGCTGAAGTAGCAACAACGCTTTTCATTACTAGCGATAAACCAAATATCGCTGGTCTTATTCTTGCTGGAAGTGCTGACTTTAAAACTGAACTGAGTCAATCTGACATGTTTGATCCAAGATTGCAAGCGAAAGTCATCAAATTAGTCGATGTATCCTACGGAGGTGAAAATGGTTTTAATCAAGCAATTGAGTTGGCAGCCGAGTCATTGCAGAACGTCAAGTTTATTCAGGAAAAGAAACTTATTGGACGTTATTTCGATGAAATCTCACAAGATACGGGAAAATATTGTTTTGGTGTTGAAGACACATTGAAAGCTTTAGAACTTGGTTCTGTTGAGACTTTGATTTGTTGGGAAAACTTGGACATTCAACGTTACGTGCTGAAGAACACAAATTCATCGACTGCAGCACCGACAATTTTACACTTAACACCAGAACAAGAGAAGGACAAGTCACATTTCACTGACAAAGAGGTAAATTGATAACATAATTCAAGTAACATTGAAATTTGAGAATTAATTTTATCGTCTCGTTTTTTTCTACAGAGCGGGGTTGAAATGGAGCTCGTTGATGCTCAGCCTTTACTCGAATGGCTTGCAAATAATTACAAGACATTTGGTGCCACTTTGGAAATCATAACTGACAAGTCACAAGAAGGAAGTCAGTTTGTGAGAGGATTTGGTGGAATCGGAGGTTAGTTGAATATTTAAATAACAAAATAACAACACTAAATGCTTTTAATTGTTGATTGTGAATGGAGGGAGTTGAGTGTTTGTGGAACATAAAATTAAGTTGTTCCAGTCTGCACTGGCACTTTGTTTTGTTCCATAGCACCCTTTAACCAATCATAATTAGCTATTCTCCTTATTACAAATGCTAATACCTTGTTGAATAACTAATGAAATTTGTATCGCAATCGATTTTTTTCTCCCCTTTTTTTCTCTCTCTCTCTATGTCTTTCTCTCTTCCTTTCTATAATTAATTCACTTACAAAAAAACACACATACAAATGTTAAAAACATTGCTTCCACCCACGCTTGACAATTTTAAATTTGAAAGGAATTCTTCGGTATAAGGTTGACTTTCAATCACTGCAATTGGATGAGCCGCTTGACGATGTCGATCTTGATGACTATTAAGCAAATGTATGATGAAAACAAGCAAAGACAAAAGAAATTAAATTAAAAAATCACACGAAATCCTTATTAATCATTTAAGATTAACTAACAATTAAAAATATCATCGAAATGGAAAAATAAGAGAAAGATAAGAAAAAGTATATTTTAACAACGTTAATGATTTTCCATTTTGAAGACAATGAAAAGCTTTTAAAATAGTAACTTTTAAGGAAATCAGTTCGAGATTATTTAGAGGTATGCGGTTGATATTGCTTGAGTTGATTGTCATTTTTTTATAATCTTTTTGGTTAATTTAATTACATAATTGGTGTACATAAATTCAAACTTAAATAAGTATCTTAGCATATTTTTTTTTCATTTTAATAGGAATTTTACGCTATAAAGTTGATTTCCAATCAATGCAATTGGAAGATGGACTCTACGATGATGAAGACTTTGACTTAGAGGATTACTAAATGAGATCATCAAATGTTTTAGGAGGTGCAAGAAAAGTAATTTGAAACAAATGAATGAAGAAAAATAAGAAACAAGTAGCTTCCAATTTCGCTCAGCGCAAGAAATTTATAAAAGATTCCTTCAATTTGTTATCAAACAAAACAAGAAACAATCAAAATATGATGAAGAAAAAAATATAACAAGAAACATTCTAAATGTTCTTCATTCTTCACTCAATCTTATATTTATGTTGACACATAAAACAATAATTATTTAAATAATTGCAATCAGTTGCCAAGAAATGTTTTTTTTTATAATTAGTGGATCTTAAATCAAAAACACTTTGACATTAAATTTTTCTCCCAGTTAAGTTTTTTTTATTTTTAAATCTGCACATTTTTGGGGAAGTTTAATTTGATAGTAAATTATACTTTTTCCACCTTTTAGTCAATAATTGTTGGAAAACTACTCCAGTATTCTGACCTTATATCGACAACAACATTTTGGTTCTTTTACAATTTTTGGAGTGTTCATCGATTAATTTCTCAATTTAAGTTAAGAATAAACAAAAAAATTTATTTTCCAACCATAAAAGTTTGAAGAACAAAAAATAAAAGAAACTTTCCTTATTTTAATTGCTTCCAGCTAAATGAAAAAGAGAAAAAAGAAGATTTTCTGTTATTACAATAATTACAATTCATGAATGAAACAAAAATTATTTAATTAGAAGCTCAATGAAACTTTAAACCATCCAATAAGCGTCATGCTTTGTCGTAAATACTTCTCACATAAAACGAGTATAAAAAAATTGAATTGTCGTAGTTAATTATCGTTTATTTCCTTTTTTCCAATTTATTTGACAAAGTCTTACATTATGTAACGTTTTAAGAACGAGAAAAAGCTCACATTTGAAACAGAAGAAAAATATTTAGTTAGACATGATATTATCTGAATGAAAATTAATTTTTTTAATGTTCTTATGTTCGTGTCTTCAACATTTTGTATATGAATGTTGAAGGATAAGTAAAGGTGCGACATTAAGTCAATTGAAGTCGTCTGAGTCTTCATTTCGAAGACATCGTCCATCTCCTACTAACGAAAACAAACTTAATCTAAGTTTTTACATTTTTTCTTATTAACTTTAAATAGAAAGTTATGAAGACTTCCATGTCCATGTTTCATGCAACATAAATCGTATGGAATTTTGTAAAACGACTGTTGCCTAATTCGTGGATAAAATCAAAATAAAGGAAGATAAAGAAAATGTAAAACTTCAGATGAGCTGATGAAAAATAATAAAAATCAAAAGTGGTGAATTTTTTAATAAATTTGAGCATTTTTTATTAAAGTTTCTTTCAGTTTTTGATTATTTCAACCAAAAAAGATAAAACATTTACATAATAAGATTTATAATTATTAAATATGAAGTTGAGCATTAGCTCCTGGCAAAATGTTTGTGATTTCAAGGCCATCGTTAGTTTGCAAAAGTTCAACAGCACCTTTTTTCGACAGAACTGTGAAACAGAGACAACAGAATGATTGAATCAGCAAGAAAATTCTCATGAAAAATAAACTTTCCCACACTCAACTTACCCATTAATTCGAAAAATATTCCAGCAGCAGTAAAGCGATTTGTTTTAGCACAGAGCTTTGACATTGTGATAGAATGTTCGTCTTGTTCCCAGAACGTCTTAAGAGTCTTCATAATGTCTTGCTTCGACCATTTCGTTCTGGAGGTTGAAATGTTAAATATTAAATCAATTTTTACAAAAAATTTCGCTTACTTTGCATTATATTCATAAAAGTCTTTTTGTTGCTCTACTTCTGGTTGAATGTCAGGAATTTGATTATTAAATTCAATTTGTAAATTGTTTTCTTCTCCTTGAATATTTTCTGTTCGTCTTCTTTTCGAAGGCACTTCTTCAACTACATCGACATTTGATTCCAATTCATTAAAGTTATTAATGTTTTTATGATTTTCAGCGATATTTTCGCTCAGTTTTTGTTTCTTTGCCGCTATCAAAACATCTGATGGTGATGGCGCATTAAGTGATCTTTTCAATGAAATTCTTTTCAAGTTTCGTTCAAAGAGGGGTAAAAGATTTCTTGCTCCATGCTTCAATCGTGATGAAGGAGAAGAAAGAAAATTTTCTACCGAACTTTTGATATAAAAATATCTCATTGCAAAAGAATCCAAAGGTGATTCAAAAGTTAATTTGTTCGTGTAATATTCAGAACATTTCTTGTTATATTCATTGATGCTAATGTTCTTATCAATGATGAGACGTTTCTTATGACTTCTTTTGTCACGATCAATTGGAGTTTGGAATTCAGATAATGGTAAGAATTCTTCAGAGTTATTCGTTTCTTCGGTTTCCTTATGTTGTATGATATCATTGGATGGAAGATCACATAGCTCGTTAATTTGATTGACATAACCATTCTCATTTGAAGCTTCAAATGGTGGAATGTCAATAAAAGTGACCGACTTTTCTCCTAAAGAAATATTTACTTCTTTGACATTTTCAGTCTGATTTGAAGATTCAAATCGTGAATTGTCATTTACTACCATCGGCATTTCTTCTAAGGAAACTTCCGACCCTTTAAACATTTTAGGAGATTTTCTAAGTTGTGAAGAATCTTCTGGTGTGAAAACTAAACGACGCTTGTGAGAATCTCTAAATCTTGCAGACGATACTTGATGACTGCTTAAAATCTCTTCAATATCATTTATCAATGAATTTTGCTGTGGAATATTCACAAATTGGTCACTGTTATTTCTAATCTCTTCTAAAGTTGACTGATCTTGGCGAACCATGTCGTCGGTGAAACTTTGTGGAAAACTTTTCCCTCTGGTGGTTTCAAATTCATCATAACTTTCATTAAGATTTATATTAACAGAAGAGAATCTTTGATTTTCTGTTAGAGTAATCGCATCCATATTTGTTGCCATTGTAGGGTCACAATTATCTGGCGGTGGCATAGAAGAATCGCGTCGTCCATTCTTCTCAATATTTTGATCAATCTCTGGATCTTCTTGAATTGTAAACGCCTGCTCAATCAAATCAATACTCAAATTTTTGTTAGTATGAGAAACTTTATCTTTAGTTTTCTGCTTTCGATTAGATGCATTTTTCGTTTGATTTTCGTTTTTAGATGTGGAATTTTGTGTTAAATTGCTCAACCTTAAGAATGGCTAAATGTTGAATTAGGTTATGATTTAATAAAATTTATTCTTACCAGTTAATCTCATAAACAGTTTTGACACTTCTATGTAATGCGATTTTAACTTGTGCTGTAATTATAAATTTCATTAATAGAGTTACATAATCATGAAAAACATCATACCTAAAAGTTTATCGATCTGAAATCGATACAACTTTACAACACCATAAGTTAGTTGTGTAGAAAAATAGAATTTGTTTCGATCCAGATCATTATCAACCATTTCATTCATAAGAAGATTGCTTAAAATGTGAGAAAAGTTATGATAATTCGAAAGAGTGTAACAATATCAAACTAACCATACTGTAATGATTGATATTTCATCATTTACAGATTTAAAGTTTTTTGTAATCGCAAGATTCCATAAGGTCTCATATATTACACGATTTTCCGATGTTGAAAGAAAGTTATCGATGACATTAAGAATCATAGTTAATATTTTGAATCAAGTCTACTTGAAAGTCAAATAGGTATATTGTAGACATTTAATCTAAACAGCACGCTATCGATGCTTATTATGCCATTGAAATAATGAAATCTACTGATTTGGTAGAACTATGACGAGTAGATCAAATGTAGATTTCAAAAAGCGTTTTTTAGCAAATTCCTTCAAAAAGCTTTTTTTTAGCAAATTCTTGTGGAAGCTTTTTCAGAAAATTCTTTGAGCCTCCCTACAAAATCTGTTAGCAATATGCAACGGAATCATCTATCCCCAGCAATTTGTGATTTTAACAATAATTAAAAAAAGTCAATAACAAAAACATTTAAATAAAGGAACTTTTATTTTTTGTAAATTTTTAACAAGATATTTATTTGAACAATTCTGAGATTTTTATGATTTAATCATTCCAATTCCAAATCCAACAAATCCTTTGAGTAGTTGAATTATACTCCAGCTTACAACTGTCAGAGCTGTTGACACCAAAAATGATAAAACCGTAAATGATGGGCTCATCAAAAAGCTTAACGCCAGCAAACTGCCCTTCAGGAGAACAAGAAACAATCCGGCGAATATTGCAATCGTGAAAACGCCAAGAAGAATTGCAATTTCAAATAAACGAACGACAAGAACTTCTAATGCCATTATTTCAATGGTTTTTTGAATTTTCAATCTCAAAATTTTTATTAAAAAAGTTTAAAATGAATTCGATGAATAGAAATTAGAGGAAAATTTACAAAGTTTGTTGGGATTGAATTTCTAAGAAACATATTCGATAATTTCAAGGAGATTGCTCGGTTTTGTAAGAATTTCTGGTTGAGCTAATATTCATTCCTACACGATACCGACAACATAAATTTCTTTAAAGTTTAAATCTTAACATGATCTCTGAAATAATAAAGTGAATTATAAATCTTCAATTAGAACGTGTCATTATCATATCTTAAATGTGAGATTTATAAGAAAGCGGCCATTTATTGTTTGAATTTGTTCTTAAGTATTTCCCACTTCAGTCAGTCTAAAATTTAAAATTCAGATTTTCAAATCCATGAATTTTTAATTATGAGAAATATTTTTTTTTATTTTGCGCTGTCTTTTCTTACTTTTCTTGTATAATCTATTTAATCCATTTTATTTTTAACAGGGAAGGTGATATGAATTGATTCGATGAAAGAAGAAAAGTCCTTGAGAACAAAGATTGAACATTTTAATTTTCCTTCACCAAAAGTATTCAAAGCAAAATGTTTTCAAGACTTTGCTTGAAAATGAAATAAATAAATAATTCTTTTCATAAGATTTTCCCATGCCTTCATGCTAATACATTATTAAAATGAAGAAATATAAAACTATAATCAGATTTAACAATGTGTACATACACACACAAAAAGACGCAAATAAAATGAGATATTAAAGTTAATAATAATAATGGAAACAAAATAAAATTGTTATAGCGGATTTCAAACATTTTTTCTTTAAAGTTTTCTAATGAAACCCGTGAGAAAAGTTCTGAAACAAACTAAAGTTGATTCGTAAAATGTTAGAGGAAACGCTGACAGTTGTTTCGTTGTGATTTGTAATTAGTAAAATAAAAAAAGAGAACTTTGGATTTAATAGAAGTTATGAGATTGAGATTTGAGGTCATTTAAAGTATGAGTCGCTTATACTTACATGGAAACAAAAAATATTTAAGTGACTGAAAACAAATGAAGTCATTAAAACACCGTCATCATAAAATATATCAACTTTCACGTGATCTTTTTGTTTTTATTCATTAAGTCTATTGAAGTAATATAAATTACTATCATCATAAACATCCTTAAGTAAAATAAGGTTCCAAAAAAATTTAAAAAATACTTTTTTCATCTTATGTACAAAGCTATCTATCGTCTTAAGAATTGTTCCTTAAGTAAGTCATGAATTTCTTATCCTTTTATGGAACAACATCGCGTTATGTTTGAAGAGAATATTTTGAGATTTGCGAGTGTGTCGTAAAAAAAGCGACACATGAACATACAGCGACGTTAGAAAACCGAAAAAATATTAATTTTTAAATATTTAATTACAATAAATAATTAATTTCATTTATCAGTGAACTCAGATAACGAAAGAGTCGGCAGAGGCAAATCTTAAAAACATTTTCATTCTTTTTTTAACATTAAAATGGTACAAAGATTCAAGATTAAAATTATTACAGAAATTAACTAATCCTTAATTAATGACTTGTCTTTTTCTGTTGAGTTTGATTTCACTTTGCATTTTCTTGAATAGTGTCCTGAACATTAATTTCATGCATTTCAGGATTTTCGTTCTTTGGTTGAATGAAAAATTATTCGTTTTTTTTTCAATTTTCGATGTTTTGTTACATTTTCAATGGAGTCATCCCTGATCTTAATTTAATTGTCTTTTTTCTTACTTTTCATTTTCCTTTTCATAATATTTAACAAGAAAAAAATGTCAAATAGAAATATTTAATTACAGAAAACATTTCTAAAGTCATGTTTGTCATTGATTTGCTATCACTTACTTTCATATTTAAGTCCACTACCTGAGCATTTGAGCATTGCACCGGAGCCTTAAACTTTATTTATGATCATTGATGGCTCAAAAGATTTAAATTTTCCAATCTATCATCTTCACTATTGAAGACCGCTGTGCATATTCCACGATGACATCTCTGATATTGACGGTAATGATGGATAAGATTGATTCAGACTAACTGGTGACATTGTTGCTGTCGATGGTGTGCTGCTGCTATTACTGCTCGGATTATTATTTGCTGTGCTGTTACTCGGACTATTATTGTTGTTATTATTGGCGTTACTTTCAGTTCTTGTACGATTTTGTGATGCTCGCATTACTTCATCAGCTTGAGGAAAATGTTGTCGTGGCCCAGGTTCAGGTGTGTAAGTAAAAGTTAGACCAGTCGCGTAGATAATTCCATCATTTCGTACAAGCGAAACAGGTACTTGAGTGGGTTGCCGGACCTATGCGAAACATAGAAAGAAGACGATGATAAAATCGTAAGATTTATGCAAACAATTGTAACGACTAATTGACTTCAGTTAATTAAATCTCATGATCAATTGACTGTTATTAGCAAATTGAATAATTATTAGACGACAAAGGTCGTCGTAACTTACCCACAACCATTCGCCTCGAAATTGTGAAATGTCGGGAACAACACATAAAAGTGCTTCCGCACATCTGTACATGGTTTCAGCTTCAACATCACCAAACCAGACTTGCAGTGCAGGTGTGAAATTATCGCCAGTTAACTCAAGCATCGCAACATCACCGCCACCATTGAGATTTAGTGCGTGTACAATTGGAACAGGCGTAACTGGCGTTCTTACTGGTCCCATTCCTTCATAAAACTGATACTCAGCTTTGTCAGTCGAAATTATTGTCCAACACGCTCCATCATTGATCATTTCTTTGTTGGCTTCTTTGGGACATGGCGTTGCTTGGAATTGAATAATTTTCTCTTGCGATAGGCACAGATACATTCGTTCCGTATCTTTCATGTAGAAAGCACATTTATGTAGCTGCGAGACAGGATCGTCAGCTTCAAGAAGCGCCATTTGTTTATCAACTTTACGTATAACTAAACGAGGCAAGGCCATTCCTGTGACACTACAAACAAGCTTCACAGTAGCACCATAGTGAACGTAACCATCACGAACCTGAAACAATTTAATATCTTTAATTTATTAAAAGAATATTTATGATAATTCAATAATAAAATCTTACATTAAACTCCTCAGATTCACTCTCATTGTCATCGAGTAAGTGAATGGTGAATGCACCCCATTGTGTCGAACTGGCATGAAAGTGTCCATTTTCAACATGAAGATATCTTGTTGATACAGTCTGTGATCTCAGTCGATTGAAAAGAGCGACTTTTGTTCCACTAGCTATACAAAGATCAGCATTCTTAAGCGATTGCTTCTTTTTCGATGGCTTTGAGATGACTTTAATTCTTTTTGAATTGAACACGCCGATATCGTGACCATTTCCGTAGAACATCTTTACGCTCAACATAAAGTGCTTCCGTTTATCGGAATCTGAGATAAATAAAGTCTTTGCAGCGCAATACTGCTTTCCATTGTTAAGATCCAGCTGTTGCATGTCATGGTCCGAATTGCCGATACCAATAAAGGCACAGAGTTGTGAAGATTGTTCACTTTCCCCTTTACGAATCATTTGCTCCTGCCGAAGACGCCAGCCATCGCCAAACAAGTAAATGCATGGTGGTGGACAGAAGAAACGTTTTTCATTGCCATATGACTTTTGAGCCACCTAAGTTGGAGTAAAATTTATTTAGCTTTTAAAACTTTGTGTTTACATAACAAAATAATCTTAAAATGATGATCAAAATCTTTTTAAAAATACATTCATGAAAATTGTGTCGAAAAAAATGAAGATATTAGATAGAAAATTCCATTTTAGAATAAGATTTAAAAGAAGATATTAAAGTTATGCTGTTCAAGTCAGTCATGAGTTGACAACAATGAACACAAGCTAATTTTGTTAATTGATTTTTTCCAACTTTATTAGATAGCAGATATCAAAATAAAAAGAAGAGAAAAAATAATCCGATTTAAATGCATTGAAAACTTTTTTCATTTCACATCATCGCAAACAAAACGGGAAAAATGAATCTGTGGTGGCTTATTCAAATTATGGAATAATTCGAGCATAAGATACTGGACGGAGTGATTTATGCAAAAAGCTTTGTGACAAAATAAGGATAAAGTCCAACGGCAAACATAATTAATTGAAAAGTTTTTAATTCTCTTTCCATTTCTTTCTTTTTTTTTCACCCAAAATCAACATCGAAAGTTTGTGAGTGTGGAAAGTTATTACAGAAGGAAGAAAGTCTCTTGTGACTATAGATAATCCAGCTTCATGATTTGAAAAATACAAACAAACAAAAAAATTGGAAGCATTACAAAGCACTTGAGAATCTAAACAATTGTTGTTTAATCAGCATTGGAAACGCAAACAAAAATAATGACTTCCAGTAGTCGTTTTTCAAACAAATAATAATTACCTTAGCATGTAGTACGACAATAATCATGTCATTGCGATCTTGCAGATATCTTTCCATCGCTTCACGTGTAAGTCTCTTCTCTTCACCTGTTCGAAAGAGTGAGGACGTTGATTGTGAGGTGGTTTGAAGAGCGGTCGAGCTAACAGCTGCGGCAGGACTGCCGTTACTTTCAGATCCAGCATAAATTGCTGTATTGCCACTACCAATGTGCTGTTGAATTAAGGATCCAGTGTGTTGCAGCGGTGAACCAATCTGTGGCGATTGCCCATAAGCTGATATTCCGTAAGGCATTATTCAATTTCCTTCCGCTACTTAACACATCAATATTATTTATTTACAAAATATCCACCATCATTAAACGTTTCTTTAGGTTTGCTCCAAGATAATTTTTTTAACAACAATTCTAGATCTTCATAAATTGAAGCTTTTAGTTAGCGAATCTAAAAATTTCAGCATAAAAACTTCAGATACGATTCCCTAACCTCAAAATAATTCGATTGTTTTTGTTAAGAATCATTTGATTTTTAGTTGATCTGAGCTATATATCACTATTTGATCATAATTAAGAATTTTTTTTAAAGCAAACAACACTTTTCAAATCACTTTGGAATATAAGTTTATGTCAATAAAATTAAAATTTGTTCCAGCGTCTGTGTTATTATGTTTTTAATTTTATTTTAAACACTTCCAATATTTTTTAATGTGTATTGTTATATGCATCAACTTCACAACGCTACAGTCTTAACAACAATGTGATGAAGACTTAAATATTGTTTAAAGTTATTAAAATCTTTTAAAATTTTTGTTTAGACAATAAACAATGACTGGCCGTCTCAGCGGATTGACGTTAAATGAAGTTAAGATTGAAATGTTTCTCAATTGTGAAATTCTCTCATGTTCTCTCTCGCGAAGAATGGTGTAAAACTGGTATAAAAGCCAGACTTTTCTCTCTGCCATCAAAGAAAGGAAGTGAAAAGCTTGAACATATTTCAGAATAGTTCCTCAATAACGTAATGGAAAAAAAGAGAGGAAATCACAATCAACTAATTTTAACATAATACGTAATTAAAAAAGAATTTTCTAAAGATAAATGACATTAGGAAGCGCCATTAATTATTGACAAAAATCGTATGTAATCAAGTAATATCGATTTTACATTAAGCAATACATTTTCCACTCATGGATCTCTTAAACTGAAGCGTGGGAAATTTCCCTTTTAAACCACCTGTGAAAATTTTGTTCGCTTTTATTTGTTGTTGTAGAAAAGCAAGTCACTGATGGGACTTTTTAATTTCACAATGAGTGCTCAAGTCGCAGTTAAGGGATGAAGTAAATATGATTTCTAAACTTAGCAGATTTATTTTCTGTTTGACTTATTAAAGGATTTATTTATTTATTTTCATAAGAATAACAATTTAACGCCTCCAAAGAATTATTCTGATATGAAATAAATTATCCCTTGGAGCATAATAGATAATTTTGTTAAGGATTGATCCAAAAATGTCTCAAAAATGCGTGGGAAAAAATGAATCTAAAGATGTGTTGGTGTGAAGTCTCAAGAAAACGATCAAAATCTTTTTGTTCTTATTATTCTTCATCATATCCATGTTTCCCAATACAACATTCTCGGCCGATCGTGAAGAAACCAGTTGATGAAGTGTTAAAAAAGCACCAAAACTATTCAGACTTTTTCTTCTTTATATGGTGAAAGAGAAAGAAGAAAAAATCGTAAAATTAATGACCATTGCGATAATTTATATTTTATTTTATCTATTTATACTTTTTTTTAAGATTTAAGAAGAAGAAATTTGTTCTCACACCAGTAGTAGAGTGTAAGAAATTTAAAAGGAGATTCTCAGATTTCTTATCATCATTTTTTTCATTCTTGAGTGATTTTTTCCCATGAAGTTGCTTAAGACAGTTTTTTATTCGCGTTGATGATTGTTAATTTATTATTATTTTTCTTCATTCTTTCTGTACTTGGCATTTAAATACCCTAGAAGTTGAGAGCTTTAAAACCCTTGGATGAGACACATGTAATTATAATTATGGAGAGTTTGGAATTTAAAAAATCTCACAGAAACAATGCTTCCTGTTAACATTGCGTTTCTGCTTCTTTCTTATAAGACAAATGCGAAGAACGTCTTGAAGACGAAGAAGTGGGAAAACAAAATTGTAAATTAATTTCATTCTTGTCTTTTGTCTATTCTCTTTTGAGAAATTAAAGTTTTGATCGTTATCTTATCTTATTAATGCCTGTAAGAAAAGAAAAAAAGCATTGCTTTTTAAATATGTAACTACTTACTAAATCAAATCCTAGTTATAAATATGAATTTTACAGAACATAAAGTGTGTGCTTATCAATTCTTATCAACACAATTCATACTACATAAGAAAAACCACATCCTGACATTGCAAACAATTTACTGACCCAAACATCTAATTTCCTTTCCCTCTGCTATACTCAAAGTTTATTAATTTCTTATCACTTCGAGTGTGTTTATTGCTGCTATTGTTACCTCTTTAGTATCTTCATTGACGAAGAAAACTTTATCCATTCAATATGTATATTCTTAAAGACAATCTACAATTAATGTCTCTCTAAATTCTAATATAAATTCAAAAGAAAATATCTTAGAAGACATAAACATCGCACAATTCCCCTCTTACATTTTATTTTATTTTTATTTACTCCAGTTCTTACTTTATGGCATTCTAAATATTCTTATGCTACGAGCACATATTCAATGTTGATATGTTTGTAGTCGTGTTTACCATACAACATAACAATAAAAATACAATTTGAACTCATGGAAAAAATAAATATATGAAAAAAGAAGAAAAAACAGCGTGGGAACCTTTCAGATGTTTTGCGATTCGTTGTATCTGATGAATGAATTAAAAATGATATCTTTAAAAGTTATGACTAACGTTGGTAATACCAAAGTGCTTTTCTCTGTATCTCAATAGACATATCAAATATTCAACTACCAGAAAAAAAAATCGAATAAATAGATTATTTAAGCAAAGAGACATTTAAAGTTAATACAAGTCAATGGTAAAAATCCAGTTTATGTTTCTCTGATGATCCAAATTATATTTGTGAACTTTTCATGTTAGCTATATAAAATATTCTCCTACCTAGCTATATAAAAAATTGGCCATTTAAATTTCAGAGAGATGAATAAATTCGGTCCTTTTCGTTAAAATTTTCTTTTAAATCCGATTGAAATTTTAAGGGATCAAGGATTAAATGTTTCAATGTGTTGAATATTAATTGAAATCTATCAGACATCTGGATGCTGAATTAGAGTAAAGAGGGTAAATAGAGAAAAATTTTAACGGACGTCTGATAAACAACATAACACACACGCATACGTACACATAATGCAACACTTATGATCAGATGCGAAAGTTCCCATAATGTTATCGCCATTCAACGATTTAAATTGACATACGGGAAACAAGTAACAAAACAATCGTGTAAATTTCCTACATATCAACAGAGCAGCCCATTGTTTATCAAGGGTAATTTACATTCAATGAAGCGTTCAACAATGTTTTTTACTTATTTTCTTCTTTAACGCAAGGTGAATAAGAAATGCATTTTTGTCAAGAATGTTGCGTTGACGTTGTTTCTGTTGTCCGTGTAGCCCGCCGAAACATTCTTTTCGAGGGGCTAAACTACGTCAAATTTTTGTTTTATTTACCGCTCGGTCGTTCAACCTTCAAAATTCTTCCTATTGCGAAATTAATCAAAATATTAGTAATAAGTGCAAAATAAAAGAGCTGATTAGTCTTATTTTACTCTTAGAATAGACATAACGTGAATGCAAATTGAGAAATTTATTATTTCGCAATGGAACGTGTGAAAATTGATCTAACAAAGTACCTTGAAAATACAGCTTTAATTCATTACAGTAGTGCTGAAACCAGTGACTTAATTAAATACAAAGATTTATTAAAACAAATACTCAAAGTTGGTCTTATAGTTGAAGAAGAGAATTTATTAAATACTGAATCAGTAGCTATTGGTATCTTGTGTAAGAAAAATCCTTCAGCAGTTACTCTTGCACTTGCTGCCATTGAAGCTGATTTCGCTTTCTGTTTCATCACAAAAGACGATCTAACTCCTGATGAATTGAAAAAACTAGGAATTAAATATATTTTCAGTGATGAATCATTGTACAATGAAAATACAATAGCACTGAGAAAATCTTTTGACATCTTTGGGAAGAAAATTCGCTTGTACTCAGCGAATGTCAATGATATTAAAACTTACAACGATGTGAATGATCCAATGAATCAAATCTGCTATGTTATAACTACTTCAGGAAGTACAGGCCAAAGAAAAATCGTTCGAGTTACCTTCAATTGTATCACGCCAAACGTCATTAGCCTTCAGAATATTTTCCGCCTACATAAAGACGTCATTTACTCATCAGCACCATGCACTTTTGACGTCTTTATTCTGGATTTATTTCTCACTCTTCATTCCGGATCAGCTCTTTTAATAATTGATGAAAATCTTCGTTTTAGCGATACATCAATAAATTATATTTTCGGTGATGAATCAACAAGTGCCACATTTATGCAAATTACTCCTTCATTATTTCAACAATTCGGGATAAAAAATATTCAAGATAAAATTCTTCATAAGAATTCAAAATTGAGGTAATATTTCCACTTATAATGTCCACAATATATTTGATTAATTTATTTTTAATTATTTCTAGATATCTTGTTCTTGGTGGTGAAGCATTTCCACCCACAACAGAAGTTTCAACATGGCAGAACTGGAAGGATCCGGAACGGAAAAGAATCTTTAACATTTATGGAACAACGGAAATGAGTTGTTGGGCAACTATTCATGAGGTGACTGAAGAAGATTTAACTTTCGGTGATGTGCCATTAGGATCAGATTTACAAGATACCGTCATAGGATTTTTGCCTGACCTGAGTAATAATCTCGGACTTGAAGAAGTTGTTTTGACGACTCTTAAAAGGATTTGCTTTGTTGATGACAGCGATAGTAGTAAGCAACGCGATAAAGAATGTCGTTTCGCTCAATTAACTGGTGACCTTGTGAAACATTCCAACGGTAAAGTTTTCTTTTATGGACGTAAAAATGAGAACATTAAGAGGTTTGGTGAGCGTGTTAATCTCAATAAAATTGAAGTTGCTGCTTCTGATGTGACGTCAGCTCTCGCATGTATTTACATGAGAAAGAAAATAATTTTATTCGTACAAACAGAAGACGATGAAATTTTGAAAGCAGTTGAAAAGATTCTAATGGAAAAATTGAAGAAGAGTGAAATTCCTGATGAGTTTCGGAAAATCGCTTTCCTTCCATTATCTGTTAATGGGAAAATCTGTAAGCATCAATTAAAACAAATTTATAAAGATTTACTTAGAGAAGATCGTGAGATGCGAATTGAATTGGAAGACTCATTTTTGGAAGCAATCAATCAAATTTTGAATCTTAAAATAGAAAAAAATGTTTTCTCGTCAAATGATTCTGATGAACCGGATGGAAAACGAATGAAAACTGAATTGGATTTGACATTTAAAGCTCTTGGTGGAAGTTCGTTTGATGCTTTAAGAATTTCAATGAAGTTGGAAGATCAAACTGGATTATCAAATGGACTTTTACCGCAACTTCTTGGAGATCGTCAGTCAATTCGTAACATTTGTGACTACTTAAGAAATCTCAAGACAAAAACATTTCATGAAGTCGTTAAATCTTCAAATCATCACAGCTCAAAGATTGTCACGAAAATTATTCAACGTTTTAATCTTGAGAAATGTGTTGATGCATCACCAGCAATATTCACGACGACTTCTGGAACTTTTCTTTCTGTTGGCAGTCATTCTCATCAACTTATTACAATTAACGTTGAAAAATTGAAATTACAATCGAGAGTTTTTCTTACCGATCGAATTGAAAGTAAAGTGACATTTGCTGATGATTATGGAATTGTTGGATGTTATGATGGACAAATTTATTCATACGATTTTATGACTGGTGCTATTAATTGGAAATTTCATTCAATGGGAATGATTAAATCAAAAGCATTGCTTATTGACGATCTCATCATTTTTGGTAATTATAATTACGAGAAAAATCTTTGGTGTCTCAAACGTTCAAATAACACGAAAATTGAATTGGTTTGGAACAAACTTGTTGGAAGTCGAGGAATTCTTGCAACTCCTTTGGCTTTAAATAATTCATCAATATTAATTTGCACACTCGATGGAACGTGCGAACTTCTCAACGTCAATCAAGGAAATTTATTATGGACAAGAAAATTCGATTCACCAATTTTCTCATCACCACAAATCATTCCAGGACGAAAAGAAATTTTAATTGCTGAAGTGTCAAAACGAGTTCATTGCATTGACTTTGACGGAAACGATTTATGGACATTCGATGCTGATGGTCATATTTTCTCATCATTTGCTTTTCATAATGAACAAGAAATTGAAACGAAAATTCTTTTTGGATGTCACGACAAAAAACTTCGTTGCTTAACTTACCAACATCAAAATAAATCTGTAGCCATAACATGGAGCGTCGAACTTCAATCTCAAATTTATGGGAGTCCAAGAAAACTTGAAATTAATAATGAAATTTTCATCGTTTCATGTACCACCAATGGATTTATCAACTTTATTAATTTGTCAAATGGAGACATAGAACATTCTTTCAAACTTCCAGGCGAAATCTTCTCAACACCAGTGATTCACGATAAAACATTATTCGTTGGATGTCGAGACAACTTTTTATATTGCATCACATTTTAAACTTTAATCAAGGATGGAATTTAGAAATTGCGTTAAATAATTAAAATTCAAAAACTTTCAATCCTTGACTTTAATTAATTTATAAATTTCTAATAAACATAATTTGAATCTCAAAATCAATTTTTTTATTCATTCACTTTCTAGAAGATTTTTTAGTACTTTTAAATATTTCGATTGCTTTCTTTTTTGCTTTTTCTTGTTCTTCTTTATCCTTTTCTCGTTGTGGAATGATTTGCTTTGTTTCAGGAATTTTTGGTGGACGTTTCTTCATAGTTGATGATTCTTCCACATCTTCAACTGGATTTTGTTCATTTTGTTTTCTTTTTCTTGTCACTTTTTTGGGCTTTTGTGCTTTTGGTATGATTTTTGAAGTTCCAGCCTCTGATGTTGATGGTACAGGAGATGATTTTTTAATAGTTGGTGGTTCTAATTCATCATCACTTGATATAAGAACAAGTTTATCAGTTTCTTTCTTCTCAACTTCAGTTACTTTTCGCTTGCGATTCTTCTTTGGTTTTTCTTCTTTTACATCATCAACAACACCGCTCATCTTCCCAACAGCTTTCTGCACTCGTTTACTCAATTTATTTTCGTCGAAGAATTTCTTTGTGAGTTGTGACTTAAAATAATCTTTGATAGTCGATTGTTTCTTTTCATTTAATCGTTTCATTACAGGTCCTAAAAGTTCTTCAGTCTTCATTCGTGTCCATCCAAGTTTTGCTTTTGAAAATTCAACTAAAGATTCGGTGTCTGGGATTCCCCATGTGAAGCCTTCAGTGTTCGTATCGACAATCGGTTCCAAATACGCTTTAGCGACATTTAAATTGGGAAATCCATCGAATAATTCAATATTCTTTAATTTACTTTTAAGAACTGTTTTTCCACCAGGTCCAGATTGCTTTCCACTTCTAAACCATTCACGAAATTTTCTCAAACTCGACACAAGTGATTGATATTGATCAGTTTCTCCATCACATTCAGCAGTTTCAGGAAATGCTGCCAGAATTTCAAGAGCTGTTACTGCACCAACACCATTCAAACCAACCGTGTAATCACTTCCAACAAGCATTGCTAATTGAATTAATTTCTTTCTATCAAGATGGAACATTTGCTCAATGTTTTCATAACGAAATTCCATCACAATCTTTTTCTGGACGAAGAAATTTTTGTAAACTGTTTGACCACCAAACAGCCAAATATCAGAATCGTCAGAAATTGTTCCATCAGTGAGGTTAATCATGTTCAAGAAAGCACATTGAGCTTCAGCTTCCATTGGTGAGTCAATATATGGAATGCCAAATAATTTTAATAAATCTTTACAATCGCGACTCATTGTATGTGTAATCGAAGTTCCCATACGATCCAACTTATTTCTCTCCTGTATAAGGTTTCTCTGTTCATCCTCGAGATTATTTTTCATTTCTTCAAGTTCATCTGAAGTTTTCTTCACTTTCAACTCATCAGCAGCTTTCTGAAAAATTAAAGTCACATTTTCTACTTTTTCTGTTTCTTGAAATAAATTCTTGGAAACATTCACGGCATCAACATCAATTTCAATGACATTTTGATGATTTTTCTTCTTGGTGCTTGGCGTTTTTCGATTGACAAAAAAAGGAGTTGCAACTTTTGATGGTGTCGGTGAATATTCACGATTCGATTTCTCTGGCGTTTTTAACTCTTGCTCGCCAAGATTTCCATTCAAATTTTGTTCAGATTGTTGAGGTTTAAAAATTTCTTCAGAATCTTCGGTTAACGTTAAGTCAATTTTTTTCTCCTCTTCTGTTACAATTTCAATATTCGATTCTTGAATCTTTTCCACTTCTTCTGAAACAAATCCGGATTCAACATCTTTATTAGATTCAATTTCATCAAAATCCTTTTGAGAAATTTCATAAGGTAACGTGTCATCATCGGAAGAAATCGATGCAACTTCAACATCAGGAACTTCTTCATTTATTGGCGACTTCTTAAAAACATCAGCAAATAAATCATCGTCGTGATTATCTACATTGGGCTTGACAGTAATCACGATGTTATCTGTAACTGGAGCATCAGATTTACTTTTGGTAATCTCTTCAAATTCATCATCACTTTCACTATCAGACACAAAATGAATGGATTTTTTGCTTTTAATTTCTTTTTCATTATCTTGACTTTGATTGATCTTTTTAGGTGTTCCATAAAGAACATAATCATCAGTATTGGGAAATTTTACACGAAAAGAATCATTCAATTCATCATCGCATTTTTTATGGACTTGTGTAGCTTTCATTAAATCTTGAACTTCATCACCGTTCATTTCAGCATATTCCATCATAAATCCACGGATCAGTCCATGGCTTTGAATTGTGCTGGAAAACTTTTGGCGCTGTTCTGGATTAAGATTCAGTTTTTCATCAACTTTCACTTCTTTTGGTTCTTCTTCAACCTCGTCACCATCAGCAAGTGATAATTGAATTGCAAGTTGTAAATCGATGTCTTCTTCACTTAAAATCTCATTCGACTCGATGAATTGCTTTGAAGTTGAAGGTTGAGGATCTTTTGAAGTCGATGGTTTTTCTTCTTTCTTGGCTTCATTCATAGCTTTAGCGATATCGCGAACGAGAAGAAATCTCGTGTTTTCGTTACTGGCAATTTTCTGTCCTTTTTTATCAATCACTAACACACCATCTTCGGTCAGTAGCGACTCAAGTTCACTCAGTGACCACGTTTTTCCCCCCATTTCCTTTTCAGCTTCTTCCAAACTTACTTGAACCTGTCGTCGGCGAAGTAATCGCGACATTTGGTAAGTACTAAAATCATTTGATTCAACAGGTAGTTCTCGAAGTTTTCCCCATGAAGTTTGTTTACGCGTGTCTTTAATATCGCTGAGTATTTCATGTCGTATGTCAGCAGGAAGACTTTTGAAATGAGAACTTGTAACATCGATTTTATTTATATTCACATCATATGATCGTTTTGGACAAAGATCTTCATCTTCATCTTCATTTTTATTCTTTATTTCGATGTTTTCTTCTTTCAAAGGTGGCAGCTTAAACATTTCATCTCGTTCTTCCGTCTTTGTTGCTGGTTTATTTTTTAACAACTTTGTTGGTGACAAACTTTCAGTATCTCCGAGAGCTTGTTTAACAATCTTTTCCTTTGCCAGAGATTCAAGTAAGAGTTGTTCAAGACGTTCAGCCTCTGTTTGAATCTTTGTTTTCTGATAAGCTCGTTTAGCCTGAAATTATTATTTAGTAATTAGAACGGAAAATATTGAAATTTCGTTTCTCTTACAATTGTCTGGCGCTTAAGCTCAGGGCACCCACCATCAAAAACAAAGACTGGTTTTATTCGAAAATAAAGGAGCTTACATATGCGATTAAACAATCCCAAAAGATGAGCATTTGGCAAATTTCCTCCTTTGTTATCTTGATATCCTTTCACAACCTGATGTAGCCAAATACTTATATCTATAAAGACTTATTTTGATTAACAAAAACATTTCATAAATTTATGAAAAATGTAAACAAACCGATTGCTAAGACTTTATTCTCCAGTGTTTCTAATGCTACAGGCTTTCCTGATGCTTCAATCAGTTTCCATAGTCCAGTAACTCCCATTTTAAATAATCAAAAGTTTTATATTGTTGTATTTATTACTTAATTTTAGTTTAAATATACGAAGTAAACAGACATACGAAAAACAAATTTTTGCCGCTTTTAAAGCAAAATCTTACATGTCCGACTGTTCAAATATAAAAAGTTGTTTGCCCTCAACAAAACTGCAACGTCGCACATTCGTTTTATTTTCACCTCCAGAATAAAATTGAAATTGAATTAAATTTAGGTTTTTTAAACAGCAAAATGGTAGTGAGTTCTTGTAACTTAAATTCATTAAATGAAACTTAAGATCTGATAGGTAAGGGTAAATGATTAATGATTTCATAAAAGACAAAAGAAATATCAATTCTTTCGAGAGTAATATGATAGAAAATACAACAACAGAAAAGCAAAAACAAAGTGATAATGAACCCAAAATAACTTTAGTGAATGAAAGAAAAATCCTAAACTTAACGCGTCATGAAACAAAGGAAATTTTTGATTTAAGATTAACTTCAAGAACATTTCTTTTATTTGGTGTTTTCAGACTTAAAACGTGTGATTTCTTCAATCGCTGTTTTTTACGTATCGTGTGTGAGATGGAAACAAAGAAAGTATCTGATGACGAGGGACTGGTGGAAATATATGCGGGTAAAAATGGAAATCAAGGTAGTGAAAACGATGACGATTCAGATACAAATGACTCTGTTCATCTACCGGCAACATCACCAATTAGTTCATCGTCTGGAGTCTTTTCATGTGGATCTGCTTCGAGCTCGAATTTCGCTTCAAAGCCAACCACTCCCACAAATCTTCAATTGACTGATAAAAGCGATGACGAGAATTTAAGTCCAACAAACAATAACAGAAATGCTAACGAAGTCATCGCATTAAAAGATAACGCGGAAGAAGGTATTGGAGCATTAGTAATTACGAAAAGGTGTGATAATGAAGAAATTGACAGTGATAATAAGAACAATAGATATTCATCATCAATGGGCAAGGCATCAACATCAAAAAGTGTTAAGATACGTTTAAAACATCGTCACACACGTAAATCGTTTGACGATGAAATCGTGATTTATGAATCTGACTCTTCACTTCAGATCGATCCGCGACGTCGAAACGTTCACACAATGTACAGTAATCGAACAACCCACCAGAACACAAATCGTGATGCAATCAGCAGAAGAAAAAGCGAAGAAAATTCAACACAACCCTCAAATCAGATTGTTTCAATTCTTAAGCGTAAAGACAGCTCAACAAGCTCAAATGCGAGTCTAGTCACTTTTTCACCCAATGTCATCGACATGGAGCCAACGACATCATCACGTCGTACGACACATCGACAGGGAATATTGAAGAAACGTAGTTCACTGGACGAGTCATTACGGTTTAGTCGAAGTCATTCACCATCGTCAGCATCATCCGAAAGCGAGAAAGGATGTTTGGTGAAAAATAATCGTCGTAGAAACAGTTCAGAAGAGATTAATAATCATGGTATTTTGAAGCAGAAAAGTTATGATTCGAGTGGTGGTGGCAGTGCTGCCGGTTATAGTTCAGGAATTGGAGGATCATCTGGTGGTTACAACACTCCAAATTCATCGTCTTCAACAGGAGTTCAGGGTATTCTCAAGAAGCCAAGTTTAACGCCTTCCGATCACAACGAACAACCTACCAAACATGTGTCCATCTCAGAAGCTGTCATTCTTGCAGCTGCTGAATTATGTAAAGACATGATAATCATTGATGATATTCAAAGTGAGTCTTCTTATATTAAGCCAATTTTAAAAGTTGAAAGTGATCATTCGCAACCGGAACGCAGACCGAAACCAATCTTAAAGAAAAATCATTCATCGGAAAATGAAGAAATCCGTTCAATATTAAAATCACGTAAGAGTAGTCGAGAGGAGTCATTGCAAGATGATTTATAGGAAAGAGCATCATTTAGCGGCGTGCAAATTTTTTATATCGATATTTGCCGTACTTATTCAGCTTCTTTTTTCATTTATCATATTAAAATTATTATCGTCAAATACTAGCAGACACACAAATCATTTTTTATTATTATTATTATTATCACGACACAGATTTTTGTTGTCAACTAGAAAAAGATGATTGTGTTAGGGAAACTTTTTCCCCCTACTCTTCATTACTTGTTAATCACAGCTTTTTTGAAGTAAAAATTAAATTATGAAGAAAACAAACAAACGAAGAAGATATTCACCAACCGCTCAGAGATTCATCTTTCGGGATTTGTAGTTAGTGCATAAGAAATGTTATCAGCAAAAACAGGAAAATATTTAAGTTTTATAATTTCTCTCAACTGCCATAATAAATTAATGATTAGATGGTTAAAGATTATGATGGAGAAACAAACTTCAATGTGAGAAAAAAAAAGAAACAAAACTTGTGATTGAATGAAATGATGAGAGAGAAAATTTCATTTGGGCTCGAAGCCACATAAATATGTATTTAAAAACGCAAAGACAATTTTTTATTAATGAAATTAATAATATTTGGAATCTCTAGGATTCGAAAGTTAGATTTGGAGTAGCTTGTTGTGAAGCTTCTTCAAATCTCTTGTGCTGTTGCATTTGTGCTAAAATAGTAAAGAGAAGAGAAACAAAATATTTCAGTGTCCAAATTAATGGAATTATAATAAAATTAGCAAAAATCTAGACACAATTTAAATCAAGTATTCAATTTCAAGATCACAATTTATACCAAAAATTTAATCGCGCGCGTAAACATTCTAAAGAACATGCACAACTTTTTGCGATTAAAAGCTGATAAAGATTTGAAATACGTGATTCAACTTCCTATAAAGTTGAAATAGAAGCAAAAAAAATAAGAAGAAAAAATTTATTAGCGGAAAATTTGGTGAGAAAATGTCGAACTTTACGGAAATTTAAATATATTCGAATATATTCATATTGACAACCAACCACAAACGAAAATTAAACTTAACACAATTTTTACACTTACAATACATCAAAACAATATTTGAAACAAAAAAAAGAGTGAAAAACTCACAAATTGAAGAAAAAAAAATTGCTTTGGTGCTTTGAAAAACTGAACAAGAAGAAACAAAAAAAACATTAATTACTCTTAAGCATTAATCTAAATAAATGTTGTAAAATTTATTGTGTGTTAAACATTCACATTTTCTTTTTTCCACATTCGGATGTAAACCGCGAGTGATAACAATTTTTTTAATTTCACTTCACAACTATCGTCTGGTGAAGACTTACATTTAAATTTTAAAAGAAGCTTTTTAAATAGCGTGAAAGACGCTTTTTGATACTTCAATGTTGAAAGACAAAATAACATAATAACAATAATGATTAAATAATGTTGTATTTAAGTTGATTAAATGAAAAAAAGAAAGAAGAAATTACACGAAGTTGATTGATGGCGACTAATATTAATTATTTGTCTCTTCGATTAATCTCTCGAGGCTAATTCTTCATTTCTTCTCCTCCTACATAATCATCTATTTAATTAATCCATTTTTAAGGATGACCTGTCAACATTTAACATTTTCCATGACATATCTTCTAGATGTGTGTTCATAATTGTGGCGCTTTTACCTCTAAAATAACTGAGAAAATAATTTCTTAAATCCTTCCAAAAATATTTAAAAGCGATGTTTGATTTTTGTAAACTTTACAAAAGGCAATCAAAGTCAAGTTATTGCCTTTTCATTTGCAGAGAAAGACTTGTAACAAATTCTACTTCTTTCGTCCATTTTTTTGTTTATGTTTTTTAATGTGTCAAACTGAATGAGATTTTTTTTATAAAAACGCAAATATTTTAAATGCAAATCTCGTCGAATGCTTTTTGAGTGAAACGAAAACTTGTAGCAAAATTGATTTGTTTACAACTTTCTGCAAAAAACTTTTGCTATATAAAATTGTTATTTTATTTTTGGCAAAGGTTATCGGAAAGATTGAAAAACTCGAGAATTTGTAATTTAATTCTAAAAATGCGTAAAGTCGAATTAGAGCGATAACGAGAAATAAAATGAATGTTTTTGTGAAATCGAATTTGTTGTTTTGTTTTTAGTTAATTTTGGTAGCTTATTTCAGACCAGCAGTGGCTTTTTCCTTTTCTGAACGAGTTCACAAACACAATGACTTGGAAAATAAAATGGTTGATCAACGGTTTCATCAAGGGTTTCATTATTCTTGTAAGCTTTCATAGTAATTGTAACAAATTGTTGTCGACATAAACGTAATTGTCCTATCGGTGCAGGTGGTCCACTACAATGCTCGTTTCTTGTGCTATCATTTCAAATAAATAAAAATTTAGTAAAAATGTTTTTAAGACAAACTTTTAAAAATACTAACCCGCATTCGTCAATTTCGATTGCTTGTACAACTGCAATGGTCATGAACTGGTTGAGAACATTGTTGAGCGCCCTTGGTCGTATCGTCTTTTTATTTGATGGGCAATCGCTCCTAACGGATTCATATTCATCGTCCTCCCCGAATCTCGTGTCCAATTCCATTGGTTTCACTCTGGAAGAAACACTGAAAATACTTGACATGTTTTAAAAATTATTATTAAATTAATACAAGCACAACATGATTGTTAAAACCAAAATGTTTATGTTCTCTCAATTCTCAAAACCAGCTGACAAAAAATACTCTCACAACCACCGTTCAAAAAATTCTCTCGCTTTGAGATATTTTCTTTTTTTAAATATTTTTAAGGAACGAAAATAGAAATATTTCGTCTTACTCTGTTATCGCTTCATAATCATCGTATGGATCCTCGCATTCGAAGATCGTTTGTTGACTTTTTGTTTTTGAAACAGTAACAACCTCATTCAAAGAATTCAATGATCCTTCTGCATTCTCATTTGATTGTTCATCATCCAAAACATATTTGAAGTCACATTGAATAGCGGATGTTATATTCTAAATGCATAAATATGAACTTCAAAAGAGATATTTTAGATTTGAAAAAATTAACATTGCTTACAATTGTCATGGTCACAGTTAATATCATTATCACAATATCAGATTGGTTCGTAATCACTTTCAACATCCTTTAAATAATAAAAGGCACGATCAATGAATTCAACAACAACTTATTAAGAAAATTATCACATTTAAAGTTGATACAAACATCAACATATGCCTTTCATCTTTGAATGGTCAACTTAAACTGAGAGAATAAATCGTTGATAAGCTTCTGGTAAATTTTTTTCTGTTTTCCGTTCTCTTCTTTTTGTTTGCTGTGAAGTTGTGTAAGTCAATAATAAAAATGAAATTTCAGAGAATTATATGATGACTGTTTTGGTCTTTTTTCTTCTACGTCACACAACGAGACGACGAGAAATTAATAATAGAAAAACATGATGTTTTGTTTATAAATCTTGAAAGTATAGATTAATTTTATTTTATTATAAATTTCATATATATCTACTACAACATATTTAAAAGTGTTTAAATTGATATTCATTTCGCTTTGATTTTGACTCAGTCTTGTTTCGTCTGATCACCTTCTTCTTTCTCAACAATCATTTTTGGTTTGTAATAAGAACATTCACAATTACTTGGTATTGTGAACGATTGTAATTCTGATAGAGTTTTATTCTGATTCATGACTTGCAATTTTATTGACACAAATCGTTGTACGCATTTTGCTTTCATTATTGGATGTTTGAAGCAAAATGATCCTGGATTTTCGCATAACTCAACTTCAATAGTTTGAGAGAACTTTGGATCAAAGTCCCATTTGTCTTTAGATGAAGATTCTATAAGATGTTCCGGACGAATAAATTCCTTTCGGGTTTGACACAATAAAACACTTTCATAATTATTATCGTAAAATTCATTTCTTGATTCAATGCACAATTTCGAGTTCTTCGCGTTAGCACTGCGACACTCAATAGGACCACCAAACGAATGAACCGCAAAACTCAACAAAATATTCAAAATAAATATCTTTGAAATCATTTCGTACGTTTTTTATATTTCTTGTGATGTTTACTTTCAGAGCTTCTCACTTCGACTGAGATGAGAGACTTTTTATTCTCATTATTTTTATATAAAAAATGAACAAATGTTTTGATTCATTTCCTATTTTTATAAGGAAAAAATTTCTTGATTCTCTCGAATTGTTTTTTATTCTAGAGAAGAATTATAAAATTGAATGTTATTAAGGTTTTCATCTGATGATAACAAGATTTACGTTCTTATTTTATTATCAGTATGTAAAAGTTAAAGCATAAATTTGATAATTGAAAAGATTAAATTAACAAATTATCAAAATTTGTATGTCAAAGTGCAGAAATTTTCAAAATATTTATTAAATTCCAAACAACACATAAATTTTATCTTTCATTATTTAGTCACTTATTCTCGCTATTAATTTTGAATTAATATTATTGAAATCTTTATTTAAACTTTAAAGAAACTTAATAAATTTTTAGTAGGATCTTTAAACAAATCTGTTTTTAACTTTTATTCACTTGCTTTTCAACTTTCCAGCTTTGTATCTACTTAAAAGGATTTATTTGCATACATTTCATTATTGAACTTTGAAGTTCTTTTTTCTTTTTAGGCTTAATCGTCACAAGTTCGCATACACAATGAGAAGGATAATAAAACTGTTCATCAACAATCATATTTCCATCATCTTCTTTGATAGCCTTCAAAGTAATTCGAACGTGCTTTTGACGGCAGATGTAAGTTGTTCCCGTCGGAGCATTGCTACCGCTATTGCATGGCTCATTTTTGGTTCTATTCAATTATATGTTAATGAAATATTTTATAAAATATAAAAAGAATATTTGAAATCACTTTAAGTTCACCTACACGCACTGCTCGATATGAATTGATTGTATAAAGCTTGCAGTATTTACTACTTTTGTGAGTTTATTGTAAATATTGTTCAAAGCTTTTGGTTGAATCGTTCTTCTGCTAACTTGACAAGTTGATTCTATATCTTCAAAGTAATCCTCATCAGGAAGCGTAAAAAGATCTGGTTGATTCTGATTTGAACTGGCACTAGGTCTGTTAGTTATAAATTATTCGGAAAAATTAATTTAATTATAATAATAACTCACATGGATGATCCACCAACATTTTCAAGATTTTCAATTTTTTCGTCACATTGAAAAATATTTCCCGGACCTACAAATTTTTGTTGCTCCGAGATATCATTCAAATCTATTCGATCGAGATCTTTGGGGTATTGCGGATCAATTTCTACGAATTTAAAGTCACAAGGAATCGCGACAATGAAATTCTGTCAATAAAATCATCTTGTAAAAGAATTTTAATCAAATAATCACTTTTAACTCACAATTATTACTACCAGAGATATCGTGAATAGTGTTAATTTCCTACAGATCATTACTGAAACTACAGAAGCGTCACAGTGTACCGTCAAAAACAGAATGTTTGAATATCGCAATATGCTTCTGAATTATGAGCAGACAGGTAAAGAGAAAAAGCGAGAATAATATCAAATGCTTACAAGACTGATACGAATAAAGAGAAAAACTGAACAGAAAATTTTCAATTAAATTTTTGTCTCAAATGATAAAATGGCGAGAAAAAAAACTCGAACAGATGACGACAGTTGACATTGATTAAATAGCAGCATTTCTTCCATTATATTTTTATTACTTATCTTTATTGAATTTATTTGAGCAAGGATATCTTATTTTAATATATTATGCTTTCTACATATAAATTATTGGAATTTTCTTTGAGCGTTTTACTCGAATTAATCGACATGAACAATACGATGGGTAATAAAAATCTTCTTCGTAAATTGTTCCACCAAATCTTACAGCTTTCAACTTAATTATAAGATATTCTTGCCAACAGATATGTCGATAATTTGATGACACAGCTACTTGTGCGTGACAAGGTTCACGAAGTGTTCTAGTAGAAAGAATTTTTTCAATTCAAAAACTTGTTTCATATCCAATAAAACTACTTACCGACACTCAGTAATCTGAATTTTTTGAACAAAGGAAGCGTCATTTAAAACTGGTGTCAAGACATTGTATATGCTGTTTAACGCCTTTGGTGTGATGAATCTTTTGGTTGCGATGCATGTTTGCTCCTGTAGTTCATGACTTTCATGAGAGTTCAGTCGATTGACAAGATTTAATGGTGATGATTTGTTTACAAAAACAAACTGAAAGTCATTTTCGAAATATTGATGACAATGGAAAATGTTATTTGATCCAACTTGCGGTGTTATGAGATGAATTTGTGCATCGCTATAAACGGAACTATTTGACTTACTTTCGATGAAAGTGAAATTACAATCAATCGTTTCGACACTCTGCATAATTAAGCAACGAAGACATTTTTATTATGTCTTACAAAGTTATGATGAGAAATTTCTTATCTTAATACTCACAATGATCGAAGTTGTTGATAATATCACAAAAGACAGAAAAATTAAATTTTCAAACATTTCTTTAAATTATTATTAATCATTAATCATCTAAACTTAAAGCTTAATTGTTTTTGAACAACCGAATCTTATAGCAAACGATCACTTAATGAACAAAATATTTGCTTTTGAGAAAAATTTGTAAAAATTGAGAAAAGAAATCTGCTATAATGAGATACAAATGAATGTGTTTCTCGTGGACGTGATCAGTGAGAGATGTTTCTTCAGTTTGAATAAACATTTCATTGAAGAAATGTTTGAGCGAAATGATAAGATATCTTTCGTCTTATAGTCGATGAAATTTCCTACTGAATCAAACGCAACACTTTTCTTTTAAACTATTTAGCTGATTTAAATTCCTTAGCTTAACTGAAGTCATTGAAACTTGTCAAAGATAATCACCTAATTATTTCTTTTTTGTAATGACGTATGCTTAGTTCCAAATTTAATTATAATAATCTTATAACACTGAGAAAAACGAGATGTTTGACGTCAAGCTTAGTTGAAAGAAACGTGTTACAAAAAAGCAATGATTTAGTAATGTCAAATACCTTAAATGGAGAAATCTTTCTACCGTAACTCCATCATACAGACAGCAATTATAATTCAAAGTCTCTTCTAACATCACTGATTAACTTAATCAATTCCTAAACCAAATAACAACCGCATAGTGACGGGATGTAAAATTCTTCATCAAAAATTTTGCCATTATGTTTAACTTGCATGTTAATTCTTACAAATTTTTGTTTACATTTCATCACAGGATTCTCAGAACATTGCTGAAAGTTCATTCTACACAAGAAACAATCATTAACAGACAGGTGTCAACAATTTTTTACGACAAACTTACGTGCACTCTTCGATATCAACAGCTTGAATTCTTTTCTTGTCTTGAGTGATTTGAATCATCTCGTTGTAAATATTGTTTAGTGCTTTTGGGATGATTGTTCTTCTCCTAATATTACATACCGGAACTGTTTCATATCCATCATCCTCTGGTTTAAAGCCTATGAAAGAATATTCTTCTCTACTCTCAGTACGAGACTCCACGTTAAATCGTGATTGAATTTTTATGCTTGTTTTATTCTCCAACTCTGGCCATTCACACTCAAAAGTTTCATAGTTTGTTTGATTATTTACAGGTTTTAACAAGTGTCGTGAAAGTTGTGCAATAACTTTAACGTCGTTTTCATAATGACTTGGAATGTAACGAAACATGCACTCGATAGCTGTTGAAAAATCCTTCGATAAATGAAAGACGAAAGAAAAATTAAACTTTACTCAACTTCATTAAAAGAAATTCAAATCAGAAATATTCTCACAAGCATTAATAAAATTATTACGAGTGTAAACACAAACTTCATGCTGATGAATCACCACAAAAAATGATTCGGGAAAACCTTTTTGAGAAACACGCTGCCTTCTCGAATGACAAAATTGTACTGATTCAAAAAGAAACAAAAACAAAATAAAATTGTATTTTAATTTAATCCCGGCACTTTCTTAGTATCTGACGTCACGCCAACTAGTTGAATAGAAACTTTATGTTGTCAGAGTGAGACAAAGCATGTAGTTAAGACCGTTATTCTGTTGCAGAAAGAAAATGCAAATAAATATTTTTGTTCTTAGACTTTTTAATGTTTTATTGGTGGTGGACTAAACGTTATGAATAATATGAACTTATGATAACTTATACATAGAATTGGAAGAGAGAGAATTGCTTCACCACTGGCGGTAAAAGACACACTCACAATTACTCGGAATTGAAAATGTCTCGAGTTGAGATTTTGTTTGATTTTTGGCAACCACTTGAAGTTGAATTGTCAGATATTTCTGTCTACACATTGTCTTCATCTTTGGATAATGTTCTGCACATGGTGAACCTTCGTTTATACAAAGCTCAACTTCGATAGTTTGAGAAAACTTTGGATCGAAATCAAACTCAATTTCTGATGAGTTGATCAGATCATTTGGGTTAATCATATGCTTTTTGCTTATGCAGAGATCGGTGCTTTCGTAACTTTCACTACATTCTGCGCTTGTAAATTCTGTGGCTTGGCTGTCAGTGCTAATATCTCTTCCCATTTTGATCACCATGCTGAGTGTGAGTGTCTGAAATTGGTGAGTATCTGAAACATGCTGATATTGTTCATGAGATTCAAGAACTTACAGCTAGCACACCGAGAAAGTAAACGATAATCAGTGTATATCTCTCGATTGACGTCATATTATTTGTGTTCGGTTTTAATTTCACTAGAACGTGATGTCGTCGGTTTTGTGTGCTTGGCTCAACTGAGAGCGCCTTAGCAAATGTCGATTCGATGTACTCCCAGTCTACCTCAAAAAAAAATTTCTCATCAATTATTCATAATAATCAACATCTTTGGAGTGTGTATCGGAATTCGTCTTCTCTTTGTTATTTCTCTCAATTCCTTTTCGGGTTTTTCCAGCACAACGTGCAATCAACCAACATGTGTTTTGTGTTTCAACAACTTTCGTGTATTTAAGCTTCTGTTACTTATGATAACATCTGCATAAACACTGTTAAATCAACTTCTTATCAAATTATGTTTATTCAGTGAATTAATCTGTTAGTTACTGATGGTTATGAATGAAAAGCTTATTAAGAAAATTTCAAAACTTTAAACTCTTATTCGTGGTCTCGATGAATAAACTTTGCACTCACAACCTGAGGGATAATAAATTGACTCTGAGATTAATTCGGTTCTTGCAGCATTTAGAACTTTAAGTGAATGTGTTAAATATTTCTGTCGACATTTTGTTGTATATCCAAATGGAAAATTCTGTTGGAACATGCAAGGTCTGTTGGGATTTCTGTAAAATAATATAATAAGAAAATAAAATTAGAGAATGAATCATTCTGATCTGCGAAATTAAATTTCTCTGAATGAATGTATAAAATTTCTACGACGTGAATTAAAAATTCTACTCACTTGCATTCTTCAATCGCTACAGTTTGAATAAATTCTCCGTGATTAATCACCGTCAGCATTTCATTATTTCTTATGCTCGGTAGAGCTTTTGGTCGAATCACTTTTTTTACCGTCAAACAAAGTGATTCCCCATTAATTTCGTCACCAACTGGGGTCGCTGAATCGCCAAAACGATTTCTTGTGACTACACGGAAGTTCGAAGAACTAAAGCCTGGATCTAATCCGTCATTGCACAGAAATTCTTTTGGCTTTAAAGTTGATGTCTGATTTCCTAATGGTTTTTTAACAATTCTATCGATTAAACGTCGAGGATAATTTTTATATTCTTCAGTGTATCGAAATGCACATCTTATTGAGCACTGTAATTAGTTTTACAAACATTAATATAATGAAATTAATTACTTAATTCAATTGACATACACATTGTGTAATAAAAGCAACATTTATAATCATCACAACAATACGTCTCATTTTTAATTTAATTTTACAAAGTTCCACTTGACTTAATCGAAACCAAAAATAAAATTAATTGCGGTCAATTTTTCGTCACTTGTTATGTTAATAGCAGAACAGCAACTGAAGAGAATTCCATAAAAGAGAAGTGTTAATATATCTGTTTATATTAAGAAAATAAATTTCAATCTCAATTCATGAATGGACATTCGAAATAAAGCAGTTGAAACAACAGAAATATTTAAAAGTTCATTGGGGGAAGTTGATTCACTTATAATTAAAGAAGAAGGTTTATGCCGTGATGATTATACAAAAGTAATCTGAACAATGTTTCAACTTTTTTTGCATTTATTTTATTTTAACTTTAAATATTATTTACATAATTTTTGAATGACGTCAAAAAAATTCAAGATACGATCAAATTGTAAATTTATTAAATGTAATGAAAACGGGACTGTTGATAATGACACACCCTCAAGGTCGTCGAAATTTATCCTCTTTGTCAAATTTTAATAATCATTTTCATTGCTAATTATACATTCACATGATGATGGTATCTTAAATTGGTCAATCTTGAGACAATTTTGATTTTCATCGTAGGCCAAAAGTTGAATAATTGAATAATTTTGTCGACAATGGGATTTTACACTTTTGGGGTAAATGTTGTAGGTACATGGGAAGTTTTCACTGGAACAAGTTTCAAATCTGACGATTTGCGTAAAATTTTGATGATTCACGATTAATTTCATTTCTTCATTCACGTTTTTTAACTTCTGTGGTCGTATGAATGCAGATTGAGATTCGCAAAGTTTTCGTTCGGTAAAGATTGAGTTGTGTTGTAGTTCCATCGATCGTTTTTCTTTCGAAAGGTTAGGCCAAAGAAGATTGAATGTGTTTAATATCTTAGTAGGATATTTTGGAAATTCTTCACATGATTTTGATTCACATCTTGAATTGTTAACTTCACTTAATTGAACTTCAACTAAAACGAAGCAAATTGAATATAAAACTAAAACTTCTTTAATCATCATTTTGTAAATCCGTTTTCTTCAAACAGCAAGTTATAAATGAGATCACAACTTCGCATATGCATATTTAAATTCCATTCTTGTGATAATGATCTACATGTCAGATGATTCATAAACAAACAATCGAAGCTTTCATATGTAAGGCATGTTGATCGACATTAATTTAAATGATCGTCGATGAACTTGAATCTGTAATTTTTCAATAAAATGAAATATTAAACAAAAAGACATTTTTCATGAAAACAATTTTCTAGTATAATTTATTTGACTTCTTAAGCAGCTTCAAATCAACTATAATCACTAAAATATTACAAAGGCTTGACTATTTAAAATAGAGAAAATACTTAAAAATAATTAGATAGTTAGTTGTTAATTAAAAATCTGCTGAAATATGACTAAATCTTTCATGACATCTCATTAAAAAAATTATTCGAATTCCTCAAATTTCTTTTTATCATTTTATGTTGTAACAGTTTGACAGCATAATTTTTGGCAAGAAACTTTGAAAGAAAATTAATGCTGGGAGAAAACTTTGTCACAGCTTTAGTTGTGAATGTTCATCAAACGGATTATGTGGAACATTTGTAATTCATGTAGAATAATTAACAAAAGAGGGAATCAGATGTTGATGTTGTTGTATCAAGTTAGATATCTGATTAAATATATCAAACTTAATTTCCCAACTTTCCCTCTCAACAAGTTAATTCAAGTACAAAACATTCTCATAATTGAAAATTTCAAAGATAACGTAGCATATCATACGTTTTCAGTTAACGTTATGTTTACGTTACGTCATCGACAAGTTAACAGAAATAAAATTTTAATAAAATTAAAAGAAGAAAACTTTTAGATATTTTATAAACTGCGAGATTTCATTCTTTCTTTCATAATTTATTTATCCATCGTCAACTTTTCATGTTTCACCGAATTATATTTTTCTTTTTATCACAGTCAATTACAGAAAAATCTAATTCTTAAAAGTTAATTAACATCTTTCATTAATACACTTACAATTGATTGAAGTTTATTTTCTTTTACTTTATCATTTCTGGCTATGATTTGACATATTTTAAGGCCACTAAATGATGTAAGGGATGCGTTTAAGATAATCATTTAATTATTCATTCATAAAGCAAAGAGTTTCTGTCTTAAAGTTCCTTGATAATTTTTTGTTTTACTTTACATTGTAAATATTCTAATTCTCTTTGTATTAAGCATTTTTAAAACTAAAAGCTGGAGAGGACGAAACCTATAAAAGCAGTCTGGTTAATTTAAAATCAATGTCGTCATTTTGATGTGCGACTTTGATTCCTTTCTTTTCATCATAAATAATTTTTATGGCAAATACTTTAACAGTGATCTTTATTCTCAAGACTTTTTCAGGCTCCAACGTAAGTCTCGTAAATTTTTAATTATTTCTTCTTTCTTTTGCTCCACACCCTGAGAGATTTTTTCCTTTCTTCATTTTTCCCCAATCTTAAGCAATAATCAACAATTTCCCTTGATTTCATTACCATTCTCGTTGACAAAAAATCGATTTAAGCTCTCAACTGATTGTGCTTACAATTTTGTTCTTATCGTGATTGATTCTGTTAAGAAAAAAAAATGAAAATAATTATTTCAGATCTTCAAAACGTCCTTTTAAAAAAAGTTAAGTGAAGTTGCCTTAAATAAAAGTTAAAGTGAATTAAACAAAAAATTTCTTGCCACACAAATAAAATTAAAATTTTATCTACATAAGAATAAAGAAAACTGTGTGCATGTGTGGTGCCAAAATGAAATTTTTCATTCAAAATTCACCTGAATATCGACGATCTCGATGTCGATCGACTGGACCATGATGTAAGAAGATTCTCACCTCTTTTATTCTCACGACGCATATCCATCTGAACTACTATGTCATCACTCGGTCTTAAAGTATTCTTTAGTGTTCTTATAAAGCAACGAGGCAAAAGTGCAAGCACAGGTGTTAAGAAAATGATGAGATAGTAGATCAGACATGACATGGCGTCGTGTATTGTCTTTGCCGTATTCGGAAGTCCCAAGCATGATGTGCAAATTGTATTGTAGATAAAAGCGAAAATATAAAATGTTCCCAAGCTTACAGCGATGGCACCGACGTGAATTATTGTCTGGAGGAATATCAAGAATGTTTATAAGTTTTATGATATTTTTATTCAGGATTACAAATATTTTTACGAGATTAATTTTTTGCAACGAAGAAGATAAAAAATTTATTTATAAGCCAATGAAATGCTTTTCTTTAAGAAACTCACCCAAGTTCTCACTTCCAATGCGAAATGACACAACATTGTGACAAGACATGATGACACAATTGTTGCTCCAAATTGCCAAATTCCGATATCTAATCCATCATAAGCCTTCACAGCGATAAAGAATATCACGAGACTTTGCCAAAGTGAATCCAACATCACCCACCAGAACTGATTACGATAACCTTTTCCAAGTCGCCCCTGTAGATGTTAAGAAAATATTAAATTTATAATTTAACTTATGATCAATTGAGATACGAAAACTTACATAACGATAAAGTCTTGGCGACTTTGACAGTAAATTCTCATGAAGACGTTTCTCGTAAGCTCCAATTGCAAGTGGCGGTGCAGCTGTGAACATGAAGTTGTAAATCATCACATACATTTGTTCCATCATCACCGATCCACTAAAGCCACAATAAAGTTGAAACCAAAACAGAACAAACACAAAAGTCTGTCGGAAGAAACAAAAACAGAAATTCACGGTTCATTAAATTTAAAACCAGTTGTGAATTCGAAAAAAAAAAGCCAAAACATTTCAAAGAAAATCGAATTGAAGATTTCCATTGAAATTTAAATTCAGAAAATATTTCATTTTTCCTGATAAGTTTTGGTTCAATGCACTTTAATTAAAACCAAAAACACTTACAGCATTTTTGTAGAAGAAATAAATAATTAGTTTCGCTAAGCGATCATAATTAAGATGACCGTGAATCAAAAGAAGTTTCTCAAGAATTTTGAATTTTGCTATAGCAAAATCTGACGCCATCACAGCTTGCATTCCTTCTTGTCCACATATACCAACGCCAACGTCAGCCATTTGAATCATACTGACATCATTTGCACCATCACCAATTGCAAGTGTTGACATTTTTAATTCTTCCTTTACAACTTTCACGAGAAAGGCTTTTTGAAGTGGTGTCGATCGACAGCATAAAACGCTTGAACAATATCTCGTCAGTTCAAGAAATGGAGCAGTTAGATTCGATTTAAGGTCAAGAATAAATGTTAAAGTTTTTCCATCAATCACTAAAGCACGATTTCTAAGATTCACTTCACCTAACTCAACTAATTGCTTCTCAATTTCACCGAGGTAAAATTTTATACAATTTTCAGCAGCATCACGTGATCGTGCTGTAATCTTTAAGATCTCCATTTGTGAGTTGAAAAGTTTTGCTGAGAAAGCAACGTTAATTGCTGTTTCTGTCTTATCACCTGTCAATACCCAAACAACAACTCCAGCTGATAAAAGTGAAGCAATAGTTTCCGGAACATTTTCTTGCAAACGATCTTCAATACCAGTCGCACCAAGAAGTGTCAGATTCCTTTCCAACAATCCAAATGATTCTCTTATTCTCTGTTCGCGTCGATCACTTGACATTTCACATTCCTGATGTTGTGAATACCATTCCGAGAACTCAACTGGATTTAAAATTCTCTTAGCTATCAACAGAACACGCAAACCTTGACGTGCGTAAAGTTCGAGTTGATTTTCAGTTAATTCTCTCAATTTAAATTCTTCTGTTTCCATGGTAATTGGTGCAAGTGCTGGCATTATTGTACTATCAGCTCCTTTCGTATACAGAACAACTTCATGTCCACCAATCTTTCGTACAACAATCGACATGCACTTTCGATTGGAGTCGAATGGCAATACCATAAGAATATCGTATTCGATCGGACCTCCATTTGAATCATTTAATAATACCGTGTTAGGATTTCGATTCTCTAAAATGAAACCATAAGCATAAGCTGAGTTAACTAAAGCCAATTCATCTGGTGACTCCGCTTCATAAATTGGCTTGTGAGTTTTATTTCGCGTTTTCTTTGCGACTTGTAGGAACTTTTGTTTCGTGTTGATATGAAATTTCTTAACTGAACGTCCTGTTGCAAGAATTTGTGGCACCATTGGTAGCTTCGAGACGATTGATTTGACACGTTCCGTTGGTGTCACAGCTTTAATTCTCATTGGAGGTGAATCAGATTCTGGTGATGATTCAGCTGAACTGCTGATAGGTGAGAGTGAAGGAACATGCTGAGGTTTAAGAGGTAAACTATGTGGTGGTGGTGGTGATGGTGTAACAGAACGAGATTCTGATAATCTCAAGTAACTGTCACTTCCATTTATTAATGGATCGGACGGCTGAATTTGTGTATTAACACTCGACTCTTCTTGTACTTCAATTACTCCACTTGCATTCATATTATCACGATGTGGTGAATCAGACACAACAACAGTATTGCACAAAGCGAGAACACTAAAGAATTCTCGACAACGTTGTGCATGCTGTGACAATCGTCCATTACCATCATATTGTGAAAGATCTATTTGAAGATTTGTATTCGGCACAACTGGTGGTATTGGCGCATGTGGCAAGCTTATCTTTTCCTCTTCACTTGGTGGATGATTGTAATCAACACCAGCAATTGTACATCGTCTGAAAATCATTCGATTCTCTGTTAAAGTTCCTGTTTTATCACTGAACACATATTGAATTTGTCCAAGCTCTTCAGTTATGTTCATTGCACGACATTCAGTTCGTTTATCAGAATGTGGATCGTAAAGGTCCATGCTGTTATGAATGTTGAAAACTTGAATAAGTTTACAACATTCGATAGTGACATAAAGTGCGAGTGGAATTAAAATCTACGGAAATGAATGAAAGTTAATTAAAATTTTAATTAAATTAAAACAATTTGAATTACTTGAAGAATAATGACTAGTCTGAAAAACATCCAGAAACCTTCCCATGGATCAAAATCATCAAGAATGAAAGGAACATTTTTGTTGACGTAGTTTCTCATCCACATTTGACAGCCGAAAGCACCAACAGAGCAGAGCAATATAAGAATAATTACACACCAAACGACGTCGATATTCATCTTCTGTTCTAGTTGTGAACGTTTGTAGCGTGGGCCACTGTTGTTAAGCATAGCCTTTGTTTCATGTCCTGCGTAAACGACAATACCTTCAACGTATGATGTATTCTGTGATGAAACAATTTTGATAAATATTGCACACAGGTTTCATTCATAAACAAAAAAAAAAGGGAAATAAACTCGTCATCAACTCACCTTGATACGACTTTCTCTCAACAATAAACTGTCGGTGGAAACTGGAACGCGTTCCCCTGACGGATGAATCACTGCACCATGGAAACGATAAATTTTCGTTGTTGGCGAGTCAATTTCCAACTTGCTGATGAATTTACTTGGTGCGAATGTTGATTGTTTCTCAGAAAATCCTCTAATGACTTGACGACGTTTTAAGCTTGTTTCACCATCAAGATCGCAAGTTTCGATGTAACAAATTCCTTGTAAATCCGAAGACTTTAACAGTAAAATATCTGCGGGGACTGTTTCATTATTTGATAAATGTATAATGTCACCCACACGTAAATCTTGCCAGCGAAGTTTCACGTATCTTTCCGTTTCTCTGAAATTAAAATGAACAAATTAGATAATTTCAGAAAATGATGTAAAATTAACATTATAATAAATTATAAAAGCTTGTAATTGATTGAATTTCTTAAATATCAAAGTAACTTCGTGTCGTAAAAATTCAAATTTCTTTCAGCAAAATGTCAGAAGCATGCAGAAAAGAAATTTTCCTTTGCATAAATATTCAACAAGTTTGATGAAAATCACTGATAGGAAAAAGGAAATTTTTGAGGCTGAGCGCTGCTCATAAATAATTTGCGACGCAATATGAAGGAAAAAGAAAATTTCTTTTACGCTAAAATTGTGGGCGTCATAATTATTTCGCGGTTTATGCCAACATGCAAAACGCGAGACAAGAATTTACTCTTTTTATCAATTATTTCATTACAAAGCAATAATTATTAGTGAAATCATTTTCCTAGAAATCTTTATTGAAAGATAAGCAAAACATAATTTCCTCGTTGAATTGAATTCAATGGAAAAAGGTGAAGTTTTTCTATTAAATGTTGATTCTGTTGAAACTTTGCAAACCACAATGGATTGAATATAAAGAAAATTCATTCATATCAAATAGAAAAGACCTTTTGAGACTCGTTTTGATTTTCCTTGTGGAAAAGTCTTTGGGTCTGCAAGTTTGTGCTTAGTCGCAATCAAATCACTTCATTCATCCCAAAGTTTCCCAAACTAAATACGTGACGTTATTATAGAATAATTTTAAGTTCGTCCGCAATATTAGCCATAACGAGTTTGTAGTTTTTGCCAACAAAAATATTGATGACATCACGAGTAACCAACTCATGCATTCAGTTATTGCAAAAAAAGTTTATAATTCAATGACTAATGCTTCTTCTTTCTTTTTCGTTAGCAATTGCGATAATAAAACGCTCAATTTTTGACACTAAAGATAAGAGAATGTGTGAATCATCGCAGAAAGTCTTTGGCAGTTTATTCTCTATTTGAGTGATGACTTCAAAAAAAAAGTTTCTTCCTTTCTCAAAATGATGACACCCATAGCGGAAGCAAATGAAAAGAGATAACTTTCTTAGCTTTATTGATGTCAAGAGCTAATTTTCACATTTGAACTTAATTGTTAACATCAACAATGCTTTTAAAATAATATTTCTATAAAAGTACAAAAGTAAGAAGTTTTTCGAAAAGAAATTAAAAAATTCACGAACTACCGCCGCCATTCGATGGTGGCTTGTACAAATTTACCAAATTAGGTGTGAGAAATATCATCATCAGTAAGTATTTAAGAAGTCAACAAGTTCTCACCAAATAAAAATCTCAGTAAATAATTTTCTTATTCTTTTCATCGTGCTTAAACAAAATTCGTGCTTGTCTAAGTTTAAAAAGTCGACAATCTCAAACGAATGAACCGCAAAATCGACAAATTTAATTAGTAATCGAATTATTGTTTTTTTAAAAGGAAATGACAGAAGGTTCCGAAACCCGAAATCAGTCATATTGAGGCCGAATTTCTATTTGGAAATGGAAGAAGAAATATTTTTTGTATTGCTGACTAAAGCAACTTTCGATTTCTTTTTTTCCATAAGACGATCAATAAAAAATGTTGCGGAAATATCACTTTCGTGCTTTTAATATCCTTGTGCGGAAATTCGAGTGACTTCATTTTCATAGAATTCTCCATCTAAACACGAACATTCATTAGTTTGAGGGTGGAGTTAAATTGAACTCTGTTGTCAGTTTATGTTATTTTTCTAAGCATTTATTCCAACGATGCACTACGACCATGACCTATATCAGACTTCTGTATCTTTTACTTTAATGCTTGAATAATGAGACACTTAACTACCAACGAATGAAAGTTCATCGTTGATGACTTTCCAATTTATTTAATCATCATTACAAGCTCATCAGAAAAAAGGAAAACTAATCAAAGCTATGATGTGACATAATCAAGAGGGTTGAAAAGTTGTTTAAGCACGACAAGTGCCATCAAACGATAATTAAATTTCGTTTAGTGATGATTATGATACTCAACTTATCAGATGTGCCGATCAATTAACGTTCTTTTGGGTAGCTTTAAGCTTAATCAAATTTGAATCTTTAATTTGCTTAACCTCGAAATTTCACACAATTCAATTTGAATTTTTTCACACAACTTGAATACTTTTATCTGTTTCCGCAATGTAACAGAAAGAAGTCTGTTGAAATATTCAACAAAGACAGTACACGACCGGTACATAGTTGTTGAAATATATGAAAAATAATTTCGCAAAATCTTGTATTACTTTGTAATGTTTTAATCTTAGTTTTCAATGGAGAGTTACAGCTGCTTTCAATATTTATTCCAGACATATTTAATTGACACAAGCCTACAACAGAGAATTCATTCATTCTTATTAATTCCATGTTACATTAACATTTATGGATTTTTGTTTTCTTCTTGAATCACACAACATACATAGCAACAACAGAGTCAGCTGGAGTTTTATGAACATGACAAGTTTCACAACAAACAGAATTAAATCGACATCGTGTGCTCGACAATGGAACCAAAATTGAATTGAATATAACAGAAAAAATCATGGGAAACATTTTTTTTTTGGTTTTCAGCAATAAAAAGCGATTAATTACTGTTCATAATTGTTATTCAATTGTAAGCGGAAATAAATGAACACAGCTGCTTAATTTGATTGCATGAGATTCACATTGTGATTTATGAGAATTTATTTTGTCAGAAAATTCCAGAAATTTTCAGGTTGACTGCTTGTCAATCAATTTCAAGCCTTTCTATCAAAGACTCATAAATAAAAAGTAATCGTAGGAATTTCTTCCATTCACATCACGCATCTACTTGTCATTTGAAATCAAATAAACAACAATTGAAAGTGAATTAAAAATTTATCAGTTTTATCGCGTGATTGACAGGCTTTCTCATTTTTTTTATTAGGTTTATCAGGTTCATTTCAGAATCATTTCGAATGCAGATGCAATTTAATATGAAAGGTATGCATACTCGTGTCAATCCTAATGATAAAATAATAAAAGAAGTGAGTTGGCTAGGGAAGTTCTATCGATTATCCCATAACGATTAAATTAAATAAAAAAATAAAAGCCACACTGCTGTGGTTGCCATGATCTTTATTTTACTCAATGTCAGATAGAACATAAAAAAACATTTCCTCGAAAGCTTCTTGCCATTTTCAAGCTTTTTCTAAATCTAATAATTTTCACACATACCACCCGCTAGAAAAAGAAATAAAAAGACGATTGGATAAACAGACAAGTTGAATGTCAATAGAAATTGAAAGCGTCATGCTATGTGCTATGCTAGCATGGGTCAAAGTTATAATCATGTTAACAAATGAATTTTCTATCGATCGATTGACATTCTAAGCCATTAGGTTTGGCTTTTATCTAATCGAAGGAGTAATAACTTATCAATTAAATAGAAGCAATCTCTGCTATGCTTGAAATAAATATAAGAATACAAGAATCTCATAGCAAAGAACACTAAAAAGTTAAGTAATTGATGTGGAATTTTTACGGCAAATTTATTCTCCTTGAATTAAATTTGTTTTCTTTTTCGAGTGATTTTTTCAGTTCATTTTTTTATGAAATATTTCAATTAATAGCGAACTCAACCATGAAAATTGATCTTTTCTTAATTTTTTTTTTGAAATTCATTGTTAAGATTGCCAAATTTGGCAACAACCTTCAAAACACGTTACTTGTGATTTTAATACTATTCCATTTTTAAAATATGTATCGAAAGAAGCGATTTTCAATGGAAATTCTTCGATTCCATGCAATATTCTTCACGTGCTGCATTTACAAGAATTTCATGATATAAATGTTTCAGACAGAATTGATTTATGTCGGTAACTTCACACAGTTCATCTCGGGTTAACAGTTCCAAAATGAATCACTTTGGATGGAAGAAATCTCTTAATATGTACAGTGATCGTCATGTCGCATATTTATCACGTTTTTTCCTTACACCAAAGAAAAGAAATTTCATGTCATTCCCTTTTTGATGGTATCGCATCATCAATCTCGTTCTCGTCCCATTTTAGCTGGCGAATGAGTGAAAGAAACTTTCTATCTTTGACATTCACAAACGAAAAACAAAATAGTCGTTTTCCGTGTCGCCTTTGCCAGACCGAATAACTAGCAGAAAACGAAATGAAATCGACGAAAAGCGTGACTCACCATCTCGTGTCTACATATTATTTTATTTATCATTTCGCAACCTTCAAAAAAATATACATTCACATAATCACATACGCTTTTACTATGTTGATTAATATTTGCAAATTTCGTGTTTACCAACAATTTCTCAAGTGACCAATCCAAGAAACAATTTCGACGTTAATGCTTCAAAATGGATAAAAGGGAGCAGCTTTATTGGAAGCTTTTGCTATAAATTTATTGCGCATAAATGTTAAATCATGTCCCGATTGACAGCTGATGAACGATTTATGTCGAACTTCTAACTCAAAAATAAAATAAAAAAAATCATGAAATGTTGAAGAGAAGCAAACAGCAAGTAAAATCATTGACCTAAATGTATTCACTCTTTTCGTGTTCGTTCGTCGATTGACCACAAAAAGTCATTGTTGCCAACTAAGCATGTAAGCTTTACAATACTTAAGGCTTTAATCTCAATGAAGATTTAAGCTTTTACATTGTAATTGGAGTTGGTTACACTTTCTTGAATTTCATAAGGCAAACGCTGCAAATGGCTATAAAACTAAAACTTTAACTGCATTTAAGTTTTCAGTTTTATTGTCGTTCTCGTTTCATACAAAATTTTCATGTTCGTGGAATTTTCGCTTTCATTGATATTCGTTAAGACGAAAGGTCGTCGCGCGTTTACATCAAGATTGATTTCTGATTTTTTTTCTAGCACAACGTCCCACATTTTACTTTTTCTTACTCTACCTTCTTCCATATACCGCAGTTGTCCGAGCTACCTCAACGAATAGTTTGCACACGAACCAAATGAACTCAATAAATGGCAGAAAATTAATTCTGTTTCAGGAATAAAACGACGGAGGGCAATTACATAAAGAGTTTCTGGAACACATGAAATTGATCTTTAAGACACGTCACGAAGGGAGGTTTACTCAATCACGTAATGAAGTAGCAAATTTTATCGCTTACCAAAGAACAATAAACATTAATCATATGATAATTAAGATGACGACCCATTTGTGGTAATTTATTTCCTTGCTTTCTTCTTCCGACTGTTTATCATTCTGACGAGACCAAAATTTCTTTCTTTACATTATTTCTGTTTACGTCATTTGTTTTATTTCGAGTCAATAAACACTTTGAAGCCATTTAAATCAAAAGGATTCCTTCAATTTGACAAAGCATCAATCATTCGCCTTTTATGTTGAAGATTTCAACTCAAATAATGAAATTTTAACTAAGCAGAAATTTCATAATGATTTTAAAGATATTTAACGTAATTTTCTTTTAATGAATTTGAGAATTTTTCACAAGAGGATTCAACACATAAAACATTAATGATCGATGAAGAAGAGCATAATCTTGCCCTTTCAAATTAATTTATTTATAATTAGAACCAACCTTCGTGAACCTTACAGGCTTTCAATTTAAACCACTCGGACAAAAAGAAAATTAAATTGATCAAAAATCAACACCACACCAAATTCGTGATGGAAAAAAGAAACATTTCGATATCGTCCACATGTCGAATTTCTCATGAAATTTGTAATTTTAATGACAATTTCGTGTTCCGTGTGATTGAAAGTCAACAGAGAATAATAATGATTGTTGTTTCTATTCAAATAAATTCATTGAAGCGAGATGAATTATTTATTGGACAACATTGAAAGCTTTGGCGACGCTTGCTCAAATTATAACCTAACGATTAAGCTTTAATAACATTTTTGAGTATTCCAAATATTTTACAAGCGTGGGTGTTTGACTGAAGATGAAATTTGTTCATTACTGTCAGAGCTTGTAATTTTCATGACATAAGCTCTTCTATGACTGCAATTTGTAAGTCATCAGGGTCTTTGTAATCGTTAAACTTACGTGATCTTGAAAATTCAATTACTGTTGGATGATGAACAGTTTTGCTAAACCCACGAACATAAAATTATTTTGAATGACATTTCATTAAATTTAGTAATGACAATATGATGAGAATGATAATATTGGAAAGATTAAGATATCTAATCAAAGTAATTTGAAACGTAGATAATCTGCGAATATTGCTGATAAGAAATATAATCTCAGATTTTGTTAAATATCGGTTTAATCTAATTAGGGGTATGAAATTATATCTTCTACAAGCAATTCAAAAAGTTCTTTCAACCTTACAAGTTACAACTTTCGATTTCGTAGTGTATAAAACTTCATAAATCATTTGAAGTTGTGTGTTAAAGCTGTTTAAGAATTTCCATACAATTGCAATTCATTATATCGCTTTTCGTTGTTGGAAAAATGTTTTCATTTTCTTTCGCTCTAACTCTCTATATAAACAGTAATTCGAACGACTTGAACAGACAAACATGACTGTTTCAGTTCACATCTTATTGATTAATTCTTTTTTTCCCTCCGTTTACATAAAGCTTACGATTAATTAGTTTCACAAAAAGAAAGATAAAAATCTGTTTTCCTTCAGCATTTATCGATGAGAAAAACACATTCAAATTTGCTCATTTTATCTTTAATCTCATTTTCATTTTGAATCATCATCGAAAGATTGTAGTTTAATGAACTTCTATCGACTTTCTTGGAAATATTTTTCTTTTTTGTTTCAAACAATTTTTTAATGTTTTCATCATAGCGAACTTGATTTGTGAAAGGTCATACGAACCTTGACCTTTTCCTTTTCGAAAATGAAGAAGAAGCTCTTAAAATCAACAGTTGCCTATTTTTATATCCTGAACGTGCTCGGTTCATTAATTGACAAAATTTCATTACATTTCTTAGAAATTAGATTAGAACCAAAACAATCTTTTAAGGAAAATTTTGTAATTTTATGTGTTTTACTGGTTTTGTTAAAAACACTTCTGGCGACCCTACGAACTTGCTTATTTTAATCTAAAATTGTTTACTTATTCAACATAAAGTGACCAATGGATGTTGGACAGTAAATATTTGTTAATGAAAGCTTGTTTATTGATGCGAAGGGCAAAAGTAATAGTAAATGACTCCATAAGAAACATACTAATGTTAAGCGTGCTGAATATTTTCGTAATATCAAAGTAAATACGAGCAATTCAAGGTGATGAAAAATAAACACAAAAAACGACTATGGCGGAAAATACCGACGGTGATAAATAATCGAGTTCACGAGCAACTTTTTCTTATCACATTTGGTTTGCTTGCTTCACAACAATCTATTTGTTTTAATATTTCTATCAATATTTATAATCAAATACTCCATTAATTCAATTGTGATTGAATCAGAATGTCAGTATTTTGATTAATTTCTCAAATTAATAATAAATCATTAATCAAATAGCCTAAGGGCAAAAGGATTAATAATTGAATGGGAAACACTTGCACGTAGACCTTAGCATCGGGAAATTTTAGGGGGGAAATTTCCTGATTTCCCGGTCATTTTCCTATTTCCTATTTTCCTATTTTAGGCATAGGAAAAAATAGGAAAATAGGAAAAAATTTGCAACGAAAAACATAAGATTTTGAGCCGTTTTTCGTTCTTTAACATTAAAATATTTTTTCCCCCCTAAAATCCGTTTTCCCGTTCCTATTTTTCCTATTTTCAATTTCCTAGGAAAATTGAAAGGTCAACTTGCACGCCTTATCTATAAAACTTTTAGCTCTTGCAACAGCATAGTTCACACCGTTGATAAGCGTTTTGTTAGTTATTTCCACATGAATGTGAACAAAAATTTCTAGAAGAATTGTGAAATCGTGACATAATTAAAAAAAGATAACTCATTGTCGAATCTTCTTGAAATTTTATGATAATAAACATGATACATTAACATCAACATGACAGAATCTCGACAAAGCAATGAGAAAAATATTTTCATTTGTGTACAGGTTTTGTTATGTTAGATATTTATTCCCAGGAAAAATCAAGAAACTATCGTCAAGAATCTAATTCTCATGAAAATTGGAACTTTCTCCATTTAGCTGTGAATAACAACTTTGTCCCAAAAACTTACATCAAAGCAATTTTTGGCATATGTTTCACATAAGCATATTCGACATAAATCTTCTAAAATCGTGTATCTGCATTAATCTAAAATAAAGTTCAATGGAATGAAATTTCTTGATTGGCTTCTGTTTATGATTGGAACGAGAAGAAAGTTGTGTTTAATAAGATGAAAGTAAAGACAATAACCGTCCTTAAATCATTTGTAGAAGTTTTTAAATGAACTTCATCACAATAAATTTCAATTGTCGGGCAGGGCAAAAAGCCAAAGAGTTTTATCATCAATTTCTATTTCCACAATCACAATAGATACAATGAGACATAAAAACTATTTCCGCACAACTGAATCGATTGCTTTTAGATATAAAAAAAGAGGAAATAACTTCACAATCCAATCAAAAAAGTGCACTTGAGAATAAGATGAAATCTTTTATGAAGAATGGTATAGCGAGAAGCTTAAGGAATTCTTTATAAATAATTTAATGGTCATGATATCATTGATAGTAGGAGGAAAAGATATTGGTTTCAATTTGTTCAACGAGATACTATTAATCTTTCTCATAAAAGCTTTTCTCCATCAGATTTTTACTTGATGACAGCAGTGACTGAACCGAACGGTCAAAGAACATTTGAGATTAAATGATTTCCTAATAATTAAAGAGATTATTTATTTGAGAAGATAAAAGACTCATCGCGATCTAAGATGTCTTGAAAATAATTTGCTTTAAATCGCTTTTCGAAAGAACAAAGTAAACAAGCGTTTGATGTCACCAAATGAATGAGAATAAATATTCTAAAAAATAACAAAGAAGTTCAATCACAAAGAATCCTTCATCCGTTTAAAGTGGTTTCATCTCAAGAGAGACTTCAGCAAAATGAAAAATAATCGGAGAAGATTTGATGCTTTGCCTCACTTACAATAACAATGCGTGTCTTTCTCAATAACTTCAAATATTTCCTATGTGTCATCAAGTATTTATCAGGTTTCGTAAGTTAGAAAAAAGAAACTTCGTCAGCGGAAAACTTTCCGTCACATCCTCTAAGCTACTCTGATTTGTAAAGTCAGCAAATTTGTTCGATTTGATGAGGAAATTCTCTAACTGACTCCATTCATAATGCTTCTAATTGAAATTTATGCAAATTGCTTTGATTTTGCAAGTCACTTTTATGGCACAATCAATTAAAGCGTGTCAAAAAATATCTTTTTAAATATTTAATAATAAAATCGTAATTTCAGTTTGCAAAGTGCCAAGAGCAAAGCGGTAATGAATGAAGAACTGGCGAGCCCACAACGATTTTGTTTTTTGTTTTGTTAAAATCGGCATGAACTTCTTTTAAATAAAATTCGAATTCTTTAATGAATTTGACCGTGAAATGTTTTTGATCATACAACGTTATATTAAAAATGAAAGCTTCTTTCAAGCGAAATGAATGTCATTCAATCAATAACTAGAAGGAACAAAGTCAGCTGAAGTTTTATTCTCGATGTCAAATACATATCGATTATATTAATTTGATTGAGAATATTAGCAATATTTGTGGTCTCGCCATTTTCGGCTTCTTTCGTCTGCTTCATTACGTCACCAAAATAACATACATAAATCAGCTCACAAGTCAAAATTACTTAATTGAATTTGTGCAATTTTGGTTTTCGCTTTTTTACTTATTATTAAATAATCGCACTTTTTTCTCAGAAATGCTCAACAATATGTAATCAAATTTCTACGTTTTAACATTCTTCATATCGATATGAAAATCAATAGAATGTTATCATTTAATTAAGCTTTTTCTTATCACGTTGTAACTTTTTTATTTTGTTATACATATTGGATATTTACGAGATTGAAAGCTTGCACGTTTTTCCTCGTTTGTAAAAAAATATTCGTTGGTATGGAAATGTTTGCATATTACGTCAGCTTGTAAACGCTACACTGCCTATGGTCTACAAAACCTCAATAAAAACTAGACCTTCTAACATATAAAATGAAGCTTGTCTAATGGAAAAAGGATATGATTTATTTTTAGAGCAATTCAATGTGGAAATATTAACAGAATACCCGAGCGACACAAGCAACAACTCCAAAAAATTAACTTGAAAGTCACTTTATAGGAAACTTTCCATTGCAAGTTTTCTATAAGGTACCTAATATTTAGGACATCTAATCAACGCCGCTTGTAAGACTTTATGGAATCCGCTTTAGGAAAACTATACAAGCTGAGCAGTTGTGTCACTCGGGATTTATTAGAAGGCATGACTTGATATCAAAGAAATATTTTCGGTTTTTTAAGCTTTGGAGACATTGAAAGTTTTTATCATTATTTTATTGTCGTTAGTCATTTGTGGTATTTATTTAAGTAACAACATAAAAGGTTTAATTTCTTCTTTTTTTGTCAAAAATTATTTACCGAAAACAATTTTCATAAGCGATGTTTCATAAATGTGAAATGTTCATTAGGTACGTTTAAATTTAATTAATGATGTCGAAAGGGTTAAAATTGTAAAAAGCTTGTTTATTATGAAAAGCTTTCTATGACTTTCATTCGTAACTGGCAGCAAATTATTTGCTTATTATATTTATAAACTTTACGCTTCACCTCATTTAATTCATTTCCGACATTTAATCTGAAAAAATTGAATGAATGTCGATTGAAATGTAAGATTAAAATAAGTTAAATTGAATTCTACGTCATGACATTTTTCATCGCATTCAGCCTATAAATAAATAAATAAATAAAATCTTTCTGAATAATTAAATCTTTTGTCGACATTTCAAATTAAATCTTGCACAAGAATCCGTTTAAGGGCTTACATCCGCTGATTAATAATGTTATGTCTACATCTCGAAACTTTTCCTCCTTTATTTTAACAACAATAGCGTCTCAAGGATTAGGTCGACTGTGTGTCAGCAGGGAAATAATTGTTTAGAAAGTATTTAGAAGCCGAACTTTCAAGGAAACACAGAAGTTAATCTGCCAACAATTAGAAATATATTTCTCGTAAATTTATCTAATTTCAATGAGAAATTTTACACAAAAGGCTTTTCTATGCCTAAGTTTCTGCCTTGATATTTGATTAATTATTATTAAATAATCTTTTGTTAGTGATAATTTTTCTATCCTTTGTCTTTCTTCATTAGCCTTGGTGCAAGCTTCTTTCAGTCTGCTATTCGAAACAAGATGAAAAAATTAATTCACGTCATAATTTTCTTTTACACGTTACTATCAGCATGTTGTTTTACATCTTGATTCTATTTTTAAGATATTTTCTCTTTTTCTTTTCATGGATAACGAGAGAAGAATCTCAATGGAAAATCGGGCAAAATTTTCTCAGATCAGCTTATGCTATTCTTTACTATTTCATGCCTTTCATCTCTCCTTCTCACTCTTGTGAATACATGTTGCATAACAGTTTCATCATAGACTATTAAGGCATGTCTTCTGAACTAGTTTTTCTGCTTCGTAGAATAATTGAGTGTACAACATAAGAAGAAACAAATCAAACAGAGAAGAGTATGATTGATTTTGCTTCCTCGTCTTCCTCGTCTAGCCGCATTACTTTTCAAACTAGTCTAACATCAACCGACATATATCGTAACTTGAATTGCAGCACCAGTCACAAAATTTATTAAGTTAACAGTTGTTCAATCTTCTTTTCTTTCTACTTATTTCTTCATTAGCTTCATTCGAAATATTTCATGATACACGCAATATTGAGCGGCAGGGGTGAGGGAATTTGTTTCACAGTTTCTAGCATCAAGACTCATATGATGTGGGCTTGCCGTTAGAACGTTATGTAGCAACACTTTTTATTTTGATTAAAAGATTTTCTGATGAATATTTATAACGATGAAAACTTCAAGTCTCTACTTCTTATTAGTTGTTACTATACTATTCACGTTAATTATATTTACACGTGCTTACAACTCCCTAAGCTTTCCGTCCTAATGTCATTATCATCCAATATTGTTTTTTTAAACGTTTGCAATCGATTGTGTTTGTCAAGGTGGATAGCACATGAACATGAACAAACATTTGCGGTATTGAGAAGCAAAAGGCAAGTTTAAAAACAGATATTTTTTGTAATAAGTATGGGAGAGTAAGCGTCAGAGTAAAACACCCAATGTCAAGATCGTTTCAAGTACTGAAAGTGCAGGAATTTTTCTTTAACTTATTGTAGGTGATTTATTGAAATTATTTCATGCATCATCATGCTTCTTTTTTTTTCATAAAAAGAAGTTTAAAATCTCATTTAATGTATGGAAGAAAAGTATTCAATGAATTCTGGCAACGCAGCACATTTTCATCGCCAAATTGACGTTTGCCTCGAAATTGTTTTCTTCTTACGAAAACTTTTTCTTTCCTTTTCATTACGTATAAGAGAACAACATCGCGGAACATTAAGAAAAAAATTGATTTAGCGGATAATAATGAATGACGTTATCTCAAGAACTTCTGCAACACATTTTAGCACGTGCGATGGAATTCATGCTTGACATATTTTAAATCGAAACCTACACCGTGTGTTTCGCTGATACAGATTTATAAAAAAAGAGACGAGGAATTTTACAATAAAACAAACAAAGTTGTCAGCAATCCATTGAAATTGCGCCCTTAAATGTATTTTTTTTGTTTATGTCGTCACCACAAACCTTTGTTGCGCATAAGAACGGATAAAATTTTGTTATTTAACATAAAAAAAATCTAAAAAATTCCAACAAAGTTTTGTGAATTTTTTGTCGCAATTGTTACGCTAGAGGATAAATCAGTAAGTGAATGTGAAATTGAGTCTACAGCTATCGTTCTATTGATATTTGAATATCTACTTGAGAAGGGGAAAAATCTTCAAATGCTTTTAGTTGACATGAAAAGTTCATTCGTCATCCTACATTTAAGCTCGGAGAAAGGACTTTTTCTCTTATTGAGTTTGAAATTCAGAAGTCTATAAGTAGGAAGTAAATGAAAATTCCGTTAAGTTTAATCCCTCCGACTCATCCTTCAGCTACATCCCTACAATAATATAAATAGCAAAGATGTAAAAGTTTTCATCACGATCTAGATGGGTAGTGGGCCGTACAAATAAATTATGTATCAAGGAATAGACTCAGGCAATTTGATGTTTACTTGGAGAGAGTATCAATGAGCTTTTCATCTAGATCATTAAGCGCTGATATTTATTCATTCAAAAGTAATTTTCATCATCAATTTTAAATTGAAAATGCTAAGTAAGTATCTAAGGATAGCATCTTGTTTTATTTTATCGTAAATAATTCGAAATGACAATGCGATTTCCTTTCGTTATTTCGTTAATCATTTTCAAGCCTTCTGACATTTCACTTAATCTCAAAATGTTCTTACAGAACTGAACTTAATTTAAAATCATTACAGTTTATGAATCAAAGAAATAATTTTATTTATTAAAATTAGCTTTCAAGAAATATTAAAGTAGCAATGTTGATTTTTAGGAGTTTTACTTTTTTTAAACTCACTTCTTGTTTACAGATTAAATTACTGGAAAACTGTTTACAGTCCAATGAATATTATCTAAATAATGCTTGTTATTTTTTCTTGAAGAACATGAGCGCGAGTTTATTTATCAAAATATCTTTCAACTCAAAATAAAATTAAAATTTCAGATGCTTCTTTTGATCCTGAAAATGATTTTACGAATCGCTTAACACGCCAAGTCAAACGACCTTGCTCATGCAGTCGTTGTTTAACTTGAACCATCAGGTTCATCCTTTTTGATAGAAACAAAATTTCTTTTCTGCATCTGCTGCCGACATTCACAAACAATTTCAAGACGAAAATGATTCAGAAAAGGGTTAAAAGAAATTCTTGTTTTTGGCTCGTTTATGAAAAAGCTTTCAACGGTTTTCTTTATGATTTTGATTTCGTTTTTAATGTAATTTTTCTCATCGCCTGGAGAGTTAGAATTATTTAAATATTTATCTAAGCTTACAATGAGCTAGTAGTTGTAAAGTCAAGACGATTTACAAGAGATTTTTCATTTCCGCACAATCAACTCTCGTGGAATTTACATCAATGTAAACCTCTTCGTTATGCTCACCACTAATGAGCGCTTATGTCAATATTTATACCCGATTAGTTGAAATATTAATGAAACCACACACACTTTAAAGATTTTCAGCGCGTTTATATTAATTAATCGTTCCATTGAAATCATAAATCGTTTCATTCTGAGATTTGAGTATGGAATATCTACTTGAACCTGAATAAACTTTATTTGAATACAAAGAGCTCGAGTAAATCCTTGAAGAATAAAAGATGTGAATAAACTTTTAAAAGCTTCTTACTGAAAATAATCAACTTTAAGCTTACTTATGTTCGAATCACTATGTAGAATTATTTATTTAAGCTGTCAGCTGTGACAACAACAACATTAACAAATGTATGAATTTACTTTTTTTTCACAATCCTTAAGGTTTAGATTGTCATAAAATATTATTTTTTATATTCTGAATGGTCACCCAATTTAATTCAAGCTTTCAAAACAAAAGTAATATAAAATAAACATGGAAAATCCCACAACCACACACCTCATAGTCAATAATCAATTATTAATCTATTTAATATAATGTTTGCTTCGCGCGAAGGTTGTAGGACTAAAAACGATATCAGAAGAAATAATGTGAAATGACACGTAAACTCACCCGTGATATACTCGACATGTTGAGTTGTTTATTCTTTTATCCGATGCAAGACGTCTTCGATCCTCGAATAAATCTTTTATAGCTGTCACTCCTAATACAAAAAGCAACGGTAGCATCGCAATTTCCTTCCCAAAAACATTTAATTTTTCCACCCAATTGAGACATTGAATGAAAATAAAATAAAGATTGGCAACTCGATGAAATTGCTCGAGAAGATTTTTTGGTAGAAATGTCAGAAGCGTGTATTTGGTCGTTCTAATTTTATTGTCGACATATTTTCCATTCGGATGATCACGCTTTGGTGTTTTAGCGGGCACTGTGTGATTGGGTACGACATAACGAAAGCCATGTTCCTCAAATTTACTTGATCGACCGAAAGGTAAACGTTTCCACCATGGTGGAAGATCTTGTCGTCTCAACGTATAAATTGATTCAGATCGTGACGCTTGTCGTGAATGTCCACGACCTGACAAAGCACTTGTCGCATTTGAATCAAGATTCTCATCAGGATCTTTATGTGTTGGTGGTAGAATAAAATCGGTTTTCGATCCAACACGAGTATGACCTGATCTTGGCGGATCATGAATTTGGCCTTGAGATAACGCACGTTGATGACCTCCTTTCATCGCCGATTTAAGTGATGGTCGAAGTGGTCCACCCACGGATCCTCCACCATGACTGATAGATCGAGAATGTCCCGAACCGATACGAACGGCGCTTGGCAAGAGTCCCACATTTGGTTGACCTTCGCTCACATTTGATGTGAAGATATAAGTTCGTTCAGCTTCCGACAAACTTTGATGTCGTTGCAGTGGTGGATTTGTGATGGTTTGAGATATATTTGGTGGTGCGTTAAGCGATGATTTTCTTCTTAGCTCATCCATTATGGCGCATACAAATTAAAATTATGATTATTATGACGTTCCATTTGACAAATTCTCGTCGTCGATTATCTGCTTGCGTTCATCTGATGGTCTATGGACGAGAAAGTAAAATAATCATCATTAAAAAGAAAACTTTTACTTTATGGTTGGTAACTTAAGAAGTTTCCTTCATGAATAATTAATCAAGTAGATGAGATTAAATTGTGTTTGATATTTATGTTTTTATACTCCCACATCAAAGAAATATCTTGAATGAAAATGAAAGTAAAACAAAACTTCAAATGGTTTATTTGTTCTCAAATCAATAGACACTGACATAAAACCATTTAAAAGGTGTTCAGTGTTTAGCTAAGAAAATTCTATTGAAATCATTTAATTTTCCTTCTCTTTCAAAATGTTTTCCTTTTATTTGAAGATAAAAAATCTTCTGAATACTCATCAAAAGATCCTAAAGCGTATTTATTCATTTAACATTTTCAATGTCAAAGAGTTATTAAGAAACTCGCTCGCATATTTCTTAAATGTTCTTAACTCACTTCAACAGGACATTTGTGAGCGTTCAAAGTGTTCAAAGAATAATAACAGACGAGAGAGAGAAGAGGGTGGAGGCAGTTGAGTCAACAACAAACCCAACTCTCATTAAATATTCATATGCAAATAACATGCTGTTCATATTCGACTCAAAGTAGGTTTGCCAACAAGCTGAGTGGTGGAGTGAGTCAAGTTTGTTTCATTCCTGCTTATCATTTTATTACTTCTGGTGTTTGTTTTTTTTCTTCTCGCTTCGTCTTATCGTAAACATTCCGAATTCAGATTGAAGTTTGAAACTGCCAACTAACATAATTTCTTCTATTTTTTCGAGTGAAAATTTCACTTTATTGCATGAATAATGTGATGATAATTAGAAGATGATATATCAAGTACCTAGTTTTAAAATTTGATGTATTACACCAAAACACTTGAAACTGTTATTATATTTACGAGATAGAAAGTTAAAATCTTAATTTATGACATGTTTTGCAAATAACTTTACAGAAATTATTTAGAACACACAGGTTTTTGTGTTTAAGGATTCAGTATCTTTACAATAACATAATTTACATTACCAATGGACTGCATTCTCTTAAAATTTCTCTTCTAAATATCTAAAAATGTGAAACGTGGTAGAATAAATTCAACTTTAATTTTATTCTGTACGCGCTTTGCATTTATAAATATGAATAGAAAAGAAACGGTTGATGGGTAAATGAATCGGTAACGTATGTGATTTGCAGGTTAATGAGCTTGTAATAAAAAAACACCATCGAGTGAGATGAACGAGATGCCGTTGACCCATCAAGCTTACAACTTTTTAATTCCTTAGAAATTTTGATATGAAAGCATATCAGAATAAATTTTTTTTTTATTAATGGAAACTTTTGCTCGTAAAAAAAGAATCAAACAATAAGAACCAGAATAGTGTGTCAATTAAATTTAATTAAAAATCATCGCCCTAAAAAGACAAATCGCGTAACTCGAGTTGTTTCTATGATGATTTTAAGTAGCGTTCTCTAAGTAAAACAGTTCATCTTTAGAATGCTTTCATTGTTTGTTGATTATGGCATGAGAAGAATTCTATTCTACATATTTCAAGCTTTTATTTATCTCAAGAGATCAGCTATTCGAGCAAGAGCTGCATGTATAACTGTTCAAAACAGAAAAAAATAAAAATTAACAGTTTTATAAATATCTTCAAACAAAAAGCTCATTTCAAGCTGATGTTGTTTTGAGGTCTTATTTCTCATTCTTTTATTTAATTAAAAGTAGATGTGTCGCTTGTTTCTTTTCTATAACAAAAAAAAAGTAAAATAAATTAAGTTATGTGACCTCATGAAGCCTTGAAGCTGCTTCGTCACCAGTCATTGGCTTGGCATTGACTTTTGTATCGCTTCTTATTTTTTAATACATACTTCAGCCGTTATAAAGACTCAAATCGGTGTTATGTTATCAACTTTCAAGTTCATAGAAATAAAATTTTCAACACGTTGTTTCTATGTCTATGGAGATTAACCAGCTGGGGAAGTTAATGTGGTTTTGAGTCAGCTGAAGTTTCAATAACCACAAATTTAATATATTTTTACAATACTAACAACCTGTGCATGATTCGAGGAAAACTTGTTTTCTAAATAAAATAAATGATGAAACTGACATTTTCGGTGTATTTAAATATAGAATATTGTGCTTGAGAACATGTAGAGAAGTCTTGAATTAGATGTGGTCATAAGCAGAATCATTTTTTATGAGATTAGCATTTTTTTTCCGCGACCATTGCAATGCATAAGCTGTCAAGAAAAACAGGTTTGTTTAATATTGCCTTTGTAAAAGAGCAAAATATTATGAATCATGAAGCATCATGTAATGAGATCATAGTCCTTTATTGAGTTATTATTATTCAGGTTTCATGTTACATCCATATCAGACGTGAGACATGTATCGACGGAAGTTCGGTTTTGTTTATTTAATACATATCCTGTCTATCATTCAATATGTTGTTCTACTTCTTTATCTAATCATTCTTTTTCGCATTTTACATCAGGTGTAGCTAATGTATCAGAAGAATGAAGAACATCACATAAATGGTTTTCTATTTGATTAAATTTCGTTGTCTCTTAACACATTTTTTCTGATTTCTTCTTTCTCTTTCTTATCAACGTCATCAAAACGTGGCAATCAATTAAATCTTAAATCACACTTATTTCACAAATTATTTTGACTTATGGTGTGTCGCAAAATTTATTTTCGTTTCAACACATAGAAATTGAGTTTACATGACTTATTGAATTTTTTTTCTCTCTTTTCCTCTTCTGCTCAGGTCTCCTTCACATTCAAATTGCTCTATGAATATCTCAAATATCTTTGCTTCAAGATTTCTTTTAATGTTTGTTCGCTAATAACGATTTGCTAAGAAGAACGATGAGCTAAACTGGTTTTACGTAGATATTCTATGAATGAAGTATGGGAAATTTCCTAACTTAATTTAGAATAACTTTGTTTATTTATTTTTGGGAAGTTTGCTTCACTAATGATTCCAGAAGTATGCAATGTGTAAATTGTTTTGAACAACATTTGATATTTTGCAGATAACTGAAATATATTTCGAATGAGCAATTTATTCACCTTTTCTTTTCCTTTTGAGACTGCAATCTTTAGTATACTTAGAAATAATCCGTAGTGACTTTTATATTTTTTATTTATAACCTTTCACTTTTAAGTAAACTTCTCTATATTTTCTAACTTTAAATTTACTTTAAATCTTGCATAAAATAATATTTGATTCTTGTATTTTCAGATATTTTAATATTTCACAATTACAAAATACAGATTTAATACACATGTGTATCTTTTATTTATTAAAATCTGATTAGATATTTCTTTAAATTAATTTTTTGCGCAAAGCATTCAGTAACCATGTACCTACATTCATTCACAATAAAATAAGAACTGAACGACTCTCAATTTTTTTACCAACGTTACAAAAATTTCTCTCTTAAATAATTTTCACGATGAGACAAAAATCAAGTCAAGATTAAATTGTATTTCACCTGTGTTGTACATCATATGGCAGAATTGGAATAATTGAATAAGATATTTCCGTGATTACTTTAATTAATTTTATTTGACCTTATTCAGCAGAAAACAACTAACGAAAAATTCGTTTTCAAAGTTTTTCAATATTTAGAAAATTGTATTTTGTGAAACGTTTTTGTCTCTACTAAAGTTTCAAGCCCCTTCGAAAGTAACAGAACCCTGTGGAGTTTCATTAAACCCTGCAAAGGAAAGAAAAAATTTCGCATTTAAAAAGAATTTAAAATTGAATTTTAATCTTCAACGCGTGATAAAAGAATCTTTAAACAAAAATGGATGAAGAATATGATGCAATCGTTTTGGGAACAGGGTTGAAGGAGTGCATTTTGAGTGGAATGTTAAGCGTATCTGGTAAAAAGGTACTTCATATCGACCGAAACACGTATTATGGTGGCGATACAGGTAATTATCGTTTTTCTTCGCTTTTTTCGGCACATTCTCTTTGTTCATGCATATAAAATAGTTTAAAAGCTCTTTTTATATCCATTTATTATGCAAACAGCTATAAATTGTACAAAGTTGTAAGATTATCGTCACTACAACAAAAATAGTTTAAAACTCCCATATTTCTTTTTTATATTCATCTTCCAGCCTCAATTACTCCTTTGGAGGAACTGTTCTCAAAGTTCAAGCAAGAGAATCCCGGTGAGAAGTACGGCCGTGGACGTGATTGGAATGTCGATCTTATTCCCAAATTCTTGATGGCCAATGGATTGCTTGTAAAGTTATTGATTCATACGGGCGTTACAAGATACTTGGAGTTTAAATCTATTGAAGGATCTTATGTCTATAAGCAAGGAAAAATTGCGAAAGTTCCAGTCGATCAAAAAGAAGCTTTAGCTTCGGATTTAATGGGTAAGTCAAAATTTAACTTCACATCTTTCGATGGTTAAAAATTCTGACACGACATAAAAAAAAGAAAGAAGGAAAAATTGCTTCTTTTTTCATCAATACGTGATTTATGAAGTCTAAAATGAAAAACGGAAAGCTTAATGTAGAAAAGAAACAAAATCTACACGATGATTGCATTCAATTTTTTGATTTCTTTTTATAATTATTTAGTCGTCATTAAATGTTATCAGCAAAAAAACGAAGTTCATTGAATTATCGTGTCATTTTAAAAATATCTCACCTTTATAAAAAGAAAAAAAATAGCATTACAAAGAACCATTGAATATCTACTAGTAAAAATCATCCAACTGGAAAATTTTCCGATCAAAACCATAATTTTTTTTATTCCTAAGTTTGTGTAACAAAAAATGCTCGTTTGCAAAAAAAGTAGCAAACTTCCAAAGTTTAATTAAGCAATTTTTCAGCTGTTCGCAACTTGTTTTGCTGTTCAAAACAGACGCTTACTGTAGATAAAAAATGAAAGGTTTATATGAATATATGTGACCATCTAATACTTATTCATTATAAATTACTCATTTATGACATTTTATGCGTTTATCAGTTGAAAAGTTTTTTTTTTCTTTCCCTCTCTTAATATCAGTCACAATCTCTACATGATGCTCATATTCAATGATTTATTTCTTTTATTCAAGGCATGTTTGAAAAACGTCGCTTCCGAAACTTCCTGATCTATGTTCAGGACTTTAAAGAAGATGATCCAAAATCGTGGAAAGATTTTGATCCGATGACACAAAACATGACAACACTGTATGCAAAGTTTGGATTGGATACAAACACTCAAGATTTTACTGGTCATGCTTTGGCTTTGCATCGTGATGATGATTATCTTGGTGAACCAGCTGTCAATACAATTCGTCGTATTAAATTGTATTCTGACTCATTGGCTCGCTATGGAAAATCTCCATATCTTTATCCAATGTATGGATTGGGTGAACTTCCACAAGGCTTTGCTCGTTTGTCAGCTATTTATGGTGGAACTTACATGCTTGATAAACCTATCGATGAGATTGTCTTTGAAGGTGGACGAGTTGTTGGTGTTCGTTCAGGAGCTGAAGTTGCTAAATGCAAGCAAGTTTATTGCGATCCATCTTACGTTCCTGATAAGGTAAATGAGACGACAATTAAATGAATTCAGTTTGTAAAGAATGACTTTTTGATTTCTTTTTCCAGGTTCGTAAAGTTGGCAAAGTTATTCGTTGTATTTGTCTGATGGATCATCCAATAGCCAACACAAAAGACGCTTTATCAACGCAAATTATCATTCCACAAAAGCAAGTTGGACGTCGTTCCGACATTTATGTCTCGTTGATCAGCTACACTCATCAGGTATCAGCAAAAGGTTGGTTCATTGGAATGGTATCAACAACTGTCGAGACAGATAATCCTGAAAATGAGATTAAACCAGGCTTGGATTTGCTTGGATCTGTTGCACAAAAGTTCGTATCCATTTCGGATTATTATGAACCAACAGACAAAGGACTCGAATCGCAAATCTTCATTTCGCAATCATATGATGCAACGACACATTTTGAGACAACATGTTTAGATGTGTTGGATATCTTTAAGCGCGGAACTGGTGAAGATTTTGACTTCTCTAAAATAAAACAGGAATTAGGTGATGAAGAGCAGTAAGTTTAAAGCCCCCAAAACATACACACACAACACAAACATACACACACATAGAAACATCTTCTTCTTTTTCTGCGATCTTTATAATCCTAAAAGTGCGCAATTTTTTTTTCTTGATGAAATTTATAATAATCTATCATCAAATTTATGTATAAACAAAGATATGAGAAAAGATTTGCATAAATAATAATTTTAAGCGCCAATGTTTAACTTCAAGAATTTTTTTTTTGGATAAATTTATAGCTCTTTATTATCTAATTATCTACCTAAGTAAATGAAACATCGAAGACATTCATTCGCTTCCTTTTTTACGTTATTATGGCTGTTTGACAGAAAATAATATTTTTTCCTTAAATTTTCACATTGATTACTAACAAATTGGTATTGGAGAAGACTTTTGTCTTGATTCTTTCATTTTATGGATGATGTAATGAAAGATATTAATTGTCAATATCACGATCACATCTTCATTCGAGGTCAGCATTATATTGGCAATTAATATAATTTATTTAAATCATCGATGTCATAAAAATTTAGAATTTCTTTAACAATATTCTCCTTTAACTATTGAAGTATAATTTTATCAACAATTTATTTTATAAAGAATGTAAAAGATGGAAAGAAAAACTTATATGCGATAATATAAAAGTATGATAATCCCTCTTTTGCCCCAAAAATAATAAAATTAAAAAATAAATAAAAATAAGAAGTAACAAAGTGCACCAATTTGCACCAATTTGCAGCTTAACACCATAAAGCGCGGAATTAAAATGAAATTATTCATTGATGAAATTATCCTTGAATATATACAAGACATTTTATAAATGATGAACGATTAATGATTCCGCTGCCTCATTCGTTTGAAGAAAAATAAAAATGCTTTTTAACGATTTTGAAAAGCTCAAAGTTGCAAATAAATAATTTATGAAGATATTGTGTATCCCAATTTGTCTCCTGATGAAATTAAATACCTTTTTCAATACATTTTATTCAATAACATCCAACGTACTTCTAAAAATTTTATTATGCTTGCAGCGCTTTTCCTTTCTTAAAGAGAAGAAAAACTTATTTCTAAATATCAAACTGAATGAATAGTTGTGAATTAATTTTCATTTAGAGCGCCGAATATCTAAAATAACTATCAGACAAGTTCATTCCAGATACATGCATATGTAAAGTTGAGAAATTGAAAAAAGGAGAATAAAGTAAAAATTGCTGTTTGTAATGAGAAAGAAATAAATTGATGAGAAACATTAAAAAAAATACAACAAAAATTTACTTTTAATTTCATTTAACAATTTTTATTATTTATTTAATGATGACCATTGACTTTCATAAGATTTTCGTTTTCATTTGCTTTTTCAAAGTTATTTTTAATTTGTTGGAGCATCTGACGGTCGCTGTTTGAGAGTTCTTGAAAGTTAATATTCTCTGAATACTTCAGAATATTCTCAAGTTGCTTAGAGTGGCGGCTGTGGCTTCCTTCCACGCTTTTGAGTTTTTCTTCAACTTTTTCACTTTTAATTGTCAGATTTTTTGAATCTTTAAGAATTTGAAACTCTTCTTGGTGTTCCATTTCAGGTTGAAAAGCTTCGTCGTAAATGAGATTCTTTGATATTTCAGATACTTCACGCAGGTAAAAGTTACTTCCAATCTTCTCAAATGTCAATCGTTTAATAAAATTTTCGTTGTCATTAACTAATTCGTTGAGTTCTTTTGTCAATAACTTTGTTATGCCAAGATGATTCTTTGAAAGAGGCATTAAATCGAAAATCAAGTCGAGTAATTTTAATTTTATTACAATCGGAATCATTGATTTTGATCGCACGACATTCAAACTGTCATTGAATTTCAATAAAAATTTTAATTTTGTTTCTGTGCTTTCCGTTTTTATGATTCTATCAATAAGAGCGATTATCAAGTCGGAATGTAAATTCCAATCACATTCACGAGATATTTCAATGAGATTGTTGATTGTTTCAATAATTTCTTTCCTAAGTTGACAAGTTTCCTTCATACTTCGAATCATTTTGTGACAACTTTCAGCTGTTTGTTCTTTCATGAATTGAGAAAAAGCTTCATTTAATGGCAGATAATTGAATGACCTTCTGGGTGAGGAGCATTGAAAATAGTTTGGTTTTAGACATTTAATGATGTTTTTGATATAAAATTCTTTTAAGCTTTTTACTTCGAACATCTTGCTTGATGATTTGTTGGAAGCTTTTTCAAAAAATTTAAAATAAACTTCTTTCAAGTCTTCTGATTTTATGTTGTTAATAAACATGATGAAAATGGAAAAGCATGTGAAACTCAACCAGAAGTTGTCAACCATCAAACCTTCGAGTAATTTCTTTTCAATAAACTCAAAGTTTCTCTTCAATTTCCTATTAAATAGAATTTCTTGAACTTTTACATGCAAAGTGGAATGAATAAATGTAATTTCAGGGTTTTCCGACATGAAGCGAATGATTTGCCAGCAGAAATTTGCCTCTTCATTAGGTGAGTAAGCAGCAAGAAATTTTTCATCATTTAAATGAATTTCCTCGACAATTTCCATTAAAATTTCATGAAGAACTTGTGATTGTTGATTAATGGAAGACGGAGTTACTTTACATAACAAGTTTTTATAAAATTGAAATGAAGTTTGATGCAACCAAAGAATTCTTTTAAATTCTTTTATTATGCTTTGAACTTCATCACCGACAAGTTTAGACTTTTCAAAGCATTTCAATTTTAAAAGTGTCTCCAACATAAAGCAACTACCGCAGAATTCATTAGGAAACATTATCATGAGTTCAGAAAAGAACCGTAATTGAATTGTCAGTAACTTAAAGAATGCATCTCTTAAGTTCTTGTGATACTCCAAAGTTGTTATGTAGAAATCCTCACACAAAATAACAACAAATTGCTCGATGTGACATTCAGCGACAATAGTTTTGTTTGTTCTCAACTGACACATTATGATCTTCGCCAATCGACTGTAACTGATGTAACAAACTTTAAGGGACATTGACATTGCTTCAATAATTATCCTCAAAACTGAAGAAATGCATTCATTAGTACTTAGTTAATACACAAACTTAATTTTCCTTACCTTCAGTGAATATTTCAACATCCGTGAACTCAATTTTTGCCATCTCTTGCAAAGAATTTCTCACACTAACAAAGAAATTTTCATCGATTCTATTCAGTTGTTTTAACTTTAAATTTACATGAATCCATTTAAAGTCATTTAGATTTCCAACAAGATTTTTATATTTTAAAAGTTTTAACAGTTTGTCATGCAGCTCGAACCAGCTAGAAAGCCTATTCTGTATTTCAATTGACTTTGATTCCATTATGAGAACCTAAATACTTTTAATTTCTTTTATTTATGATAAAAACATGAATATAAACCGGCGCCAAAATTAACGTAAACAAAACAAACATTTCAACTTAGAGAGGTCAACATTTGAGCAGATTCGTTCACATTAAAGAAAAAATTCATAAAATTCTCGATTAGCAAATAAATTGAATAATTTTGAAATTTAAAGGTACTTAAAAGTTTCTTGTGACTAAATTGATGTAATAATGTTATTGAATTTCCTTAAGTTTAAAGTTTCGCCTGGACTGCTTGTGACAAAAAGGCTGCACAAATATGTTGTAATAAAAGAAAAATTATTGAGAGAAAATTTTCGCAACTTTTAATAAAAAATTTGTCGTAGATTTCTTTAAGAATCATGGACGATCAACATAACAACGAACAGAAGAGAAGAAAAATGTCTTGTGAGTTATAAATTTTCCACATTTAGTTATGAAATTTTTCATTGATATAAATTTTATTAATTAGACAGAGGTCGAGGAGCCTCATCGGGGAACCTCAACAAAAATTCTTCACACAGTTACAACTTCCAAAGTCATCGACAGAATGCTAAACCATATCAGGATAAACATTGTTGGAACAATCATCAAGACATTTGGGAGCATCAACAGAATGCAAGTCTGCCATTTCTTATGCTTCAGCAGGCTAGTCAACAGTTACAAATGAATCAAGAATACATCAACAGAATGCAAGCTATTGATCAAATCCCTAAAACAATTTTTACAATAAATTGTGGAGAAGTCCGTCCCAAAGATGAAGGTGCAAGAGTTAAGATATCAGGAAAAGTTGTGAAACGTCCTCGAACTGGAAGATTTCTGGAAATTCGTGATTGTAAAGGATCCACACAACTTGTGGCGACAGATGACAAACCAGAAATTTCATTGAAATTTAAATCCATAGCTCCTGACACTTACATCACTGTCGTTGGAACAGTTCAATTAAGACCAAATAATTTCATCAATAATGTAAGTTTTCCTTCATTTATATTGACAAAATTTAAAAAATTTCCATTTCTCAAACATTCACAGTCAATTTCAACAGGAGCATGTGAAATAGCAGTCGAAGAATTTTGTCGTGTTGTTCCACCAATCACAGAAATAACTTTAAACGACATTCCAATGTCGTCACAACATCAACAACGAAACTACTCAACGATAACTAATAACAAATCTCATGGAATTACAAGTACAGAATATAAGAAATCAAAAAGTGAAAATATTATGAAATATTTTGTGAATCGTGAGACGACTTGTGGCGATCTTAGACGTGATGATGTCGGTCGTATTGTGACACTTGTTGGATGGCTTGATTCAAAGAAGCATGGAAAATTTCTTCAACTTAAAGACGGTTATGGATTGACACAAATTATTGTGGATTCTGATGACATGAATCTTCGAAGCACTGTCGCAAATGTTCAAGAAGATAGCATTGTGCAAGTGAAAGGCCGGGTCATAAGTCGACCACCGAATATGGTTCGAAACAATCTCGACACAGGTGAAATTGAAGTTATGGTCAGTGAGTTTACAATTCTTGACCCTCTTGTTGAATATGACGATAAAGAAGAGACATGTGAAGTGTCATCAGGAATGGATGTTGAGATTGAATCAACTCCTGACATTCCACAGAAAATCTCTCCAAGAATATCCGATAAAGCAAAGCTTAATCTCTTTACATATCGAACTCATACTTGTGGTGAATTAAATGAATCAAATATTGGGCAAGAAGTGACATTAACTGGGTGGTTTGAATTTCAAAGAATGAGAAAGTTTTTCACACTTCGTGATGGTTACGGATGTTCACAAGTTATTATTCCTGATGAACTTTGTAGCACTTACAACATTGAAGCGATTCCGTTCGAAAGTGTTTTGAAAGTTCATGGAGTTGTCCTTGCACGTCCCATTGGAATGAAGAATCCAACAATGTCCACTGGAGGTATTGAAATTGTTTTGAAATCGCTCACTCTGTTAAATGAATCGATGAAGAACCTTCCAATTGAAATCAGAAACTTCAATCGAGCGAAGGAGAATCTTCGGCTTGAACATCGTTATCTTGATCTTCGATTTAGTGACATGCAGAAGAATCTTCGAATTCGATCGAAAGTTTTAATGAAAATGCGTGAATATCTCATTCATCATTGTGGATTTATTGAAGTTGAAACGCCGACATTATTCCGACGTACCCCGGGCGGTGCTCAAGAATTTGTTGTTCCATCGCAAAAAGCTGGAAAATTTTATTCGCTTGTTCAAAGTCCACAACAATTCAAGCAACTTCTCATGGTCGGTGCTATTGATCGATATTTTCAAATTGCACGATGTTATCGTGATGAAGCAACGAGACCTGATCGTCAACCTGAATTTACTCAATTGGACATTGAACTTTCGTTTACTGATCGTGAGAAGATTATGGCACTTGTTGAAGGCCTTCTTGTACATTGTTGGCCGGAAAGTAATGGAACGTTATCAACGCCATTTCCAAAGATGACTTACGATGATGTTATGGATAAATACGGAAGTGACAAACCAGATTTGAGATTCGACATGCAATTACAGAATGTCACAAATCTTTTAGCACTCAATGAAGAATTATCAAATGAAAGTCCGGATTTTGCAGCTTATGCAATAATTCTTAAACATCCGCAATCGAATATTCGCAATGCATTGAAGAAAGATTTAAAAGCTTTGGAAAAAGATTTGCAAGCGAAACTTGTTGTTAGTAATATTGCTGTGGAAAATATCATGGATTGGGTGGAAGGTCCTTTAAAGAATCTTTTAACAAGTGTCGTGCTTAAAGCTCTCGCTGCAAATTTCCATCTCGAATCGAATGATTTGTTAGTTATTGGCTATGGAAGGAAAGTTGACTGTGTAAGTGAAATTAATATTTCCAAAAAATTCTTTTTAATTAATTTTAATTTCACAGCAAACATTGATGGGAAAAGTGAGAACTTCTTTGTATAAAGATCTTGAAATTCGTGGATTAGTTGAAGAAAGAATCAAGCAGGAAAATAAATTTCTTTGGGTGATTGACTTTCCAATGTTCACAAGGAATGAGGAAAAGAATATTTTAGAGAGTACACATCATCCTTTTACAGCACCACATCCTGATGATGCTAATTCAGTTGATGATCTTTGTAATGCAAGATCACTTGCTTATGATTTAGTTTTAAACGGACAAGAGATTGGAGGTGGATCGATAAGAATTCATGATGCAGAACTTCAGAAACATGTTCTCGATGAGGTTCTTAAACTTCCAAGAGAACATTTGAAACATATGATTGAAGCATTGAAATCAGGCGCACCACCACATGGTTCGTTGTTGTTAACAGTGATTTTTATAACTTTAATTTCTTATTATCTTCTCACACCATTCACAGGTGGAATAGCATTGGGAATTGATCGAATAATGTCGATAATTTGCAACACAAATTCAATTCGTGATGTCATTGCATTTCCAAAAGCTTTCGAAGGAAAGGATCCAATGTCGAAGGCACCTTGTGAGATCTCAGAAGAAGAGAAGAAACTTTATCATATCAAAATTATTGAAGATGAAGAAGCAAATGAAGATGAAGCAATGAGTAGTGAGAAAAAAGGAAACTGAAATTGTTAACATTGAAATTTAGCAATTATTTTGGCGTTTTTGTCTAGTTAGAATTTTGTTTATATTTACAATCGTTTATAGTCATTTCAAGCTACTGGAATGCTTTCATTGAGTCCGCCATTAATTAAACAAAGTACGAAAATAAAGAAATAATTCTTCCTGTCATGATTAAGAAATATTATGAATAAAAATTTAAAGTTTAGAACTAAGAAAACAAGTCAAAATTATTTATCATTTTAATGTAGGTATTTCATTTTATTTTTAATGAGATGATTTTGAATTGTAAATGCAATGATTGCAACATATGTGACAGTTTAAAGATCAGGAATTGCTACCGGAATGAGTTTCAATTCATTCCGAGAACATTCAACTTTAGTTTTGGCCGTAAATTGTTGATGATCCTCCTCTGACAATGTCAAAGATTTGAGCTTTTGTAAGTTGCATAGCAATTTCACAGACTTATTAACTTCAGCGAAATTAAAAATTGTAATCGATTCGAGTTGAGTGAGAAAGTTGACAATGAGTTGGCAAAGATTAAATGAAACAAAGAAGTAAGATCGATCTGAACGACTGCCAATAATGAGATGTTTAATGTTTCGATGACGATGAAAGAATCCTCCAAAGAGATCATCAATAAATTCGCCAGTTTTTCCAGGGACATATGAGAAATTTACTAACGAACCTGCATACAGATTGACAAGTGAGCGAACAGAACTGTTGGTGATTTCCAATGTTTTAACTTTCTCCAAAACTGTTCCTTCATTGAAGCAAATTCCACTGTTGGTATCTTCACTCTCCTCAGCCTTAAAATGAATTTCCTCGAGATTTGGAAACATTCTCACGAAAACTTTGAACAGCTGTGATGATTTATCTTCTGCTGTGACCATATACGAAAGTTTTTTAACACTTCGATTGACGACATTGGATAGAAAACCATATTCCTTAATCTTATATCGAATCTTTTCAATCTTAATTGAATGGAGATGTCTGTTGTACATGACAATTGTCTTTAACAAATTGTTATACCATCCAAGATTGTCCAGCCCTCTAACTCTCTCGTTATGTAGTTGAAACTGAATCGTTCGTAAATGAATTTGATTGCGAAAAAATCTTGTGGCGATATCTTTGTCAGCAAAGAAAACGTTTTTTAAGACAAGATGCTCCAATCTGAAGATGATTTCATCAGTTCGATCAATTTGAAATAAGCGTGGATATTGAAGATTCTCCAAACGAAGCTCTTTCAGTTTCAACTGATTTATTAAGAATGTTTCGAAAGAGTCAATGCCTGGATTTCTTGATGTCCAAAAAGGTTCTTTGACATTGAGTTTTGTTAATCGCGTACACGATGAAAGGAGATCAAAACAAAAAGCATCGCAATGCGATACTTTGAGCTCTTTTAAATTTGGAAACGATAAAATTTGTTCGTTAGCTTGACGAGCACGTTCTAAATGAACGTTGTATAGAGATAACGTTTGAATGTTGGCGAAATATCGAATAAAATGGAAAAACTCATTGTAAATATCCTCACGGGCATTTGCCACTGTTTGAGTTGCAATTGTATGTTCGATATGAAGATCCATGTGGCCACCTTCTCTATTTTCTATTCGTCTTCGATTGACTATTTCAAAAAGTGACGTATCTCGTGATCCCATGTTGTTACTCCAATCGACTCTCAAAGTTCGAATCATTTCTCCAAGACGAGGAAAGAGACGATGCGTCATTATGGGATTACTTAGTTCACCAAACCTATCACGAGATTTTATTATGTGTAAATTTCGGTATCTTCGATCCGAATCCAACATGGTATCTGCAAATGAATTTAAGTCTTGTGGGTAACGTAAGTAAAGCGTAAATTTCTTCGTGAGACGTTCGCTGTTTGATACAATATCGTTGAATTTTCTCGAGCACTCTGTTATTGTGGCTAAGCTTTCTGTGTCAAGATAATCGAATAGGGTTGTGAGCACTTCTGGTGGTAAATTATACATATCTGTTTGTTGAGCCATTACGAATTATCCGTTATAACTGTGAAGGACAAGAAAAAGTTGTTTTAGTGATAAATGTTTCGATTTTCGGGAAAGCAGTGGAAAAAACTATTTTTCGGCATTCTGAAATGATTCATATAGAAGCAATATGGAATCGTAAATACTTGTAGCAAATATTACATTTATTTACTGTTAAATTGGTTTATTACTATATAATTACCTTATTAAATGAATTAACTTAAAAAATTTAGAAATACTTTTTCTTCAATGAGTCGCGTTTATAGGAAATATAATCAGAATAGTTGTCCGTAACTAGTAGTTTATAATTTTATTTGAATAACCGAGCTGTTGACAAGGTTTTAAATGTGAAAAATTAGACACGAGATGCTATCTGAGTTGATAAAAATGTGTCGCGAGTAGAAATTTTATAATTCAACATGTTCGAAATGTAGTTTCGAAAATTAAAGGGGGTTTAAACTAAGACAAAATTTGAATGCAATTCAGTTTTTTTAAATTCCCGTTACAATTTTGCCTATAAAAAAAGCGGCACCAAACTTCAAATTATAAATTAAGAGAAAAAAAGAATGAGTTGGTAATAACAGCTGTTCTAATTGTGGTATAAAAACGTTTATCGCTCACTTCCGAAAAGTGTGAAGGTTGGTAGGTATTCGAAAAATATTATTTAGTTGCAAAAACAAGTTTAATCACTTCAGATCGTGCACTAAAATTCCTTTCAAAGCTGTTTTTACATTTTAAAAAATATTTAGACATGTTAATGAAGTTTTCTTTGTTCTTTTTACTTTTATTAGCAAATATTGTAAGCGGATATTCGGAGATGAATTCTCACACAGTGCTTGGTGGTAATGCTGAAGTTGAAGAAGATGAAACTCAAGAAATTGTTAATAAATTAATCTCAAACATGCATCTTTTACAAGAAGAAAATTTAAAGTAATTTATGCATATTAATTTTAATAATTAAAGTATTAATGACGGGATATTGCAGACTTCTCAAGGTTATTGGAGTCACCAAGCAAGTTGTTGCTGGGATGTCATATACAATAACTGGAATATTTGAAGATGGTAACAACGATCAATTTACATGTAAAATCAAAATTTGGGATCGTCCATGGCTTGATGAACCAGAAAATTTGATAATTACGCTTAAAGCTAAAGAAAAATTTGTAATCGAAGACAACACAATATCGCAACCAATATCATCGAATGGAGGTTCGTTTTCAGGAAAATTTTCGACAGAACTCTAACAATTTGTAAATTTTCAGAGCAATATGTCATCAAAAGTGTTTTATTTATGTTCACGGTCTTGTTAAGTGTTTTTGTGTGAACAACTGAAAATTTGAAAATAATAATAAAAGTTTTGTAATAATTAAGTAATGAATATAAATTTTTTATTCATCTTCCATTGATGGAAGCCAAAATGCCAAATTTGTGCAAGCTGATACAAGCATCATATATTTGGGATTGAATTGAACGCATTGAACTGGGTTTGGGTGGTCACCGTTCAAGACGCACAATTTATATCCACTATCAGCATTCCAAACGTGAACACGGCCATCAGTGCTTCCAGAAAAGACGAATTGCGAGTCAGGGCTGAACGAGGCTTCGATTGGGATTCCTTTATTGTTACTGTGACCTGAAATAGATTAAAATGATAACTAAGCAATAAATTTCTTTTTAATTCAATATGTTAACTCACCAGTAAATGTTTGCAATGGTGTTCCATGAAAAGCATCAATCAATCGAATAATTGATCCATTTGTGCTGATCAGAATTGTTTTTCCATCCTTTGAAAATTTCAATCCTGTCCAATCGCATTCTTTCTCTTGATTCAGCAAGAATGTTACAAAAGGCCCTTTATCGAATGATCTTAAATCATAGAGCTTAATAGATTCTGAGTTTACTCCAGCGGCAAAAATTAATCCTTCAGGGTCAAAGGCTGAAACTGGTCTTCCCTGTAAATGCATCACTCCTTGACAATTTGGCGACCTTAAATCCCACAATCGTAACGTTTTGTCAAGCGAACCCGAAATAAAGGTGTCATCGATTGGTGAGATTTTCAAGGAAGTAACTTTCTTTGTATGTCCAGGAAAATAACGAAGATATTTGTTGTCATGTAAGCTCAAATACCGGATTGTGTCGTCAACCTTTGTTGAGCTGTGGATTGCTGTCGAATTTCCATGGGCAAAATTAATCAAATCTACACCATATTTTTTTGAATTAACTGTTCTTGTTTGAGTCCCTTTCTCACAATCGTACAAAACAATTTGATCATCATCGCTGCAGCTGCATTTGAATATTAAAAAAATGTTTTAACACACTATTTACAAAAATAATCAATTTTATTACCTTATTAATTTTTCGCCATTTGCTGAGAAGTCAATGCTGTTGATTTTATCTTGATTCTCTCGAAATACCTTAAATTTTAATAAATAAAATTAAAACATGTTTTCATAGATAACTTTGATGTAAACTCACTTTTGCAACTTTAAAACTTCGTACAACTTGATCGGTGAGCTTCATATCAATAATGTAATATGATGCTGTTGCTGAAATTGATGGTTTCTCTTAGTGTAAATAAGTTTTAATAACAAGGATCTGCTCTTTTATTAATAAATCGTATATTTTTCTAATTTTAGATCATTTAATATTCCGGAATTGTTTACAAATGTGAAACGGTTGGATGAGAAATTTGAACCGTTTGGTTTGAACCGTTAACATGTCTTAACCGATTCATTGTCATGCTTCTTCGTGAAGACATTTCAGAAATCATCGAATAATTTGTGAAATACGCTTTTTAAAAGATATTTTGTATCTTTATCTAAGTAATAATTCAACACAATAAGCTTCCTCAGGTGGAGATTTAAGACTTTCTGTCTCACAAATTGAACTTAATCAACATTGTGCAATTTGCTTACGAGAGCAAAGAAAAGTGAAAGGTAAAAAGAAAAAAAATTGGAGCAAGTAAATGAATTTCATATTCTAATATTAGTTTTCTAACATAAAAGACCATGGATACTTCACTCACTTCAAATCAAATCCGTCAAATGTTTATTGACTTCTTCAAGGAGCATGAACACATATACGTTCATTCATCATCGACAATTCCATTGGATGATCCAACACTCTTGTTCACCAATGCCGGAATGAACCAATTTAAACCAATTTTCTTGGGAACAGCTGATCCCAATTCTGAAATGTCAAAATGGGTTCGTACAGCAAATACTCAGAAATGTATTCGTGCTGGTGGAAAACATAACGACTTAGATGATGTTGGCAAGGATGTTTATCATCACACCTTCTTTGAAATGCTTGGAAATTGGTCATTCGGTGATTACTTCAAGAAGGAAATTTGTACTTGGGCTTGGGAGTTCTTAACTAATCGTCTTAAGCTTCCAAAAGAACGTCTTTATGTAACTTACTTTGGCGGTGATAAATCAGCCGGACTGGAACCAGACGTAAGAGTTAATTGACTTGTTTATTAAGAAAAAAAATTAATTTTTTAATTTACAGTACGAATGTCAAGAAATTTGGACCAGTCTTGGTGTCCTTCCTGCTCACATTCTTCCAGGTTCAATGAAAGACAACTTCTGGGAGATGGGCGAGACTGGCCCATGTGGTCCATGCTCGGAACTCCATTTTGATCGAATTGGCGGACGAAGTGTTCCTGAAAAAGTCAATCAGGATGATCCCGATGTTCTTGAAATCTGGAATCTTGTTTTCATTCAATTTAACCGTGAAGCAGATTCAAGTTTGAAGCCTCTGCCGAGAAAACACATCGATTGTGGTATGGGATTTGAACGACTTGTATCAGTGATTCAAAACAAGCGATCAAACTACGATACTGACATTTTCATGCCGCTTTTTGACGCAATTCAGAAAGGAACAGGTGCACGAACTTATCAAGGAAGAGTTGGCGTTGAAGATGTTGATGGTATTGATATGGCTTATCGAGTGTTAGCTGATCATGCAAGAACAATAACGATTGCGTTAGCTGATGGAGGATTCCCAGACAATACAGGTCGTGGTTATGTGTTGAGAAGAATTCTTCGTCGTGCTGTTCGTTATGGAACTGAAAAGCTTAATGCAAAGCCGGGATTCTTTGCAACTTTAGTCGACACTGTTGTGGGTTTACTTGGTGATACATTCCCAGAACTGAAGAAGGATCCTCTACACATCGTAAATATTGTCAATGAAGAAGAACAACAATTCTTAAAGACTTTAACGCGTGGAAGAAATCTGTTGAATCGTACAATTGCAAAGCTTGGTAGCGGCACAAAAATCTTACCAGGAGATGTTGCATGGCGGCTTTATGACACTTATGGATTCCCAATTGATTTGACTAAACTGATGGTTGAAGAAAAGGATTTAACAATTGATATGGAAACGTATGAGAAGGCAAAACAAGAAAGTTACATCATTTCGCAAGGAAAAGCTGCTGATAAAATCGACACAATCAACTTAGATGTGCATGCTTTGTCAGAGCTTCAAGATAAAAATATTCCAACAACAAATGATTCGTTCAAATATCGTTACAAAGCTGCATCAATCGAACCGACAGCTGAATATATTTTTGAAGGATGTAATGGGAAAATTCTCGCAATTCGTTACAACAGTCAATTTGTTGATGAAGTGAAAAGTGGACAGGAATGTGGACTGATCTTGGATCAGACAAATTTCTATGCTGAATCAGGCGGACAAATTTATGATCAAGGATATTTTGTGAAAGTTCAGGATGAATCAACAGAATTTTCTGTTCGTTTGGTTTACAACAAAGGCGGCTACATTCTTCACATCGGTGTTGTTGAAGGTGTTTTACGTGTTGGTGACGAAGTTCAAATTCATCTCGACACAATTCGTCGTCAATTGACGATGAAAAATCATTCTGCAACTCATGCGTTGAATCATTCGCTTTTGAAAGTTCTTGGGAATGACACAGATCAACGTGGGTCGCTTGTCGTACCTGAAAAGTTGCGTTTTGATTTTACGAATAAAAATGCAATGACAATCGAACAAGTTGCTGCTGCTGAGAAATTAACGCAAGAAGTTGTGCAGAAAAATGTGAAGATTTTCTCAAAAGAAGCTGATTTGAAAGTTGCAAAGGCGATCAATGGATTGCGATCAGTTTTCGATGAGGTGAGTTTATCTAATGAATTGTTAACTGCAAAATTTGTATGCAAATTAAAATTCTATTTGCCAGGTTTATCCAGATCCAGTTCGTGTAATTGCTTTTGGAGTTCCAGTTGAAGAATTGGAAAAGAATCCGAAAGGAGATTCTGGTGTTATAAACTCAGTTGAATTTTGTGGGGGGACTCACTTGCATCAATCAGGGCACATGGTTGACTTTATCATAACCAGTGAAGAAGCAATTGCTAAAGGAATTCGTCGCATTGTTGCTTTAACGGGACCAGAAGCAGAAAAAGCACGTAAAAAAACAAATTTACTTGAAAGCGAATTAAAAAATCTTCAATTAAAAATTGAAGCTGATAAGAACTGCGAAAATTCAAAGGAGTTGGTGAAGGAAATTGTTGAGCTAACTGATGATATTTCACATGCTGTTATTCCTTATGTCAAGAAAGATGAAATGAGAAACACTTTGAAGCTGATGAAGAAGACTTTAGATGATAAAGATCGTGCTAAAGCTGCAGCTGTTTCAAATGTTGTCATTGATCAAACTAAACAATTGTGTCAAGACAATCCTGATGCAAAATTCCTTGTTCATCGTTTCGAAGCCTTCAACAATACAAAGGCACTTGATTCTGCATTGAAACAAGTACGAACAATAAATCCTGACACATCAGCTTTGTTTGTCTCTTCTGATCCCGATTCGAAGAAAATATTTTGCTTGGCAAGTGTCCCAAAATCAGGAATCGATAAAGGCTTGAAAGCTAATGAATGGATCCAACAATTGTCAAGTGTCATAGGTGGGAAAGGGGGTGGAAAACCCGAATCAGCACAAGCTTCAGGCACCAACTATGAAAAAGTCGACGAAGTACTGGAATTGGCTAAGAAATTCGCCTCTTCAAAATTGAATTAAAATATTTAGAAGAAAAAGATTTGCATTTGAATGATTTTTACACAATTTTTTTCTTTTAATTTTTCATTTTTTATCATCATTGTTTTTATCTTAACCGAATGCTATTTAAAATAAAGTGCTAATTGCGCCATAATTTTCATCAAATTTCATCTTTTTCCTTTCTTAACTTTTCACTTTCCATTTGCTCATCGTAGTTTTCTCTGATGACATCTAAAAGTTGAGTAATATTTGTACCAAACTTGGCACTGATACCAACCACAGTCAAATGGCTGAATTTTTCGCGAAGAATTTTCAAATTTTCTTCAGCGCCAGGTTCGTCGATTTTATTTGCTGCAATTATTTGTTTCCGTGTCATGAGTTCCTCACTGAATTTGTTAATTTCGTTAGTTAAAATATAATAAGCTTCCCATGGCTCATCTAAAGACACATCTATCACAAAGAGAAGCGTATTACAACGTTCAGCGTGTTTGAGAAACTGAATTCCTAGACCACGATTATCAGCTGATCCTGAAATCAATCCAGGAAGATCAGCTACAGAAATCTGTTCATAATCATCGTAAGGAATCATTCCCAAATGTGGTTTGAGTGTTGTGAATGGATATGATGCAATTTTAGGTTTTGCTCTTGTTATCATACGAAGAAGTGTTGATTTGCCAGCATTTGGTAATCCAATGAATCCAACATGTGCCATGCTTCGTAATTCTAATGTGTATGCGACATCTTCGCCAGATGCACCATATTCACAAACTTCTGGTGTTTTATTTACACTTGTTGAAAAGAAATGATTTCCTTTTCCTCCTGCACCACCACGTGCAGCAACAAACATGACTCCTTCTTTCTCCAAGTCTCCCACAACTTCTCCTCGAATATTCTTCACAATTGTTCCAATTGGAACTCTAACGACTTTATGTGGTGCATTCTTTCCATGACAATCTTTATTCATTCCATTTTCACCATCAGGAGCTTCTAACACTGAAGAAATATGTTTAAAATCGTTGACATCTGTAGATGCTTCTAAGACAACATGAGCTCCATTTCCACCGTCACCACCATCGGGACCAGCAAATTCGTTCGCCCACACACGTAATAATGAAATGCATCCATCTCCACCTTTTCCTCCAATTGCTCTGATATATCGTTCGTCTATAAAATATTGTGACTTTACAAAGGAAATTATTAAAAATGTGTAAACTTTATCATTAAAATATTGACATCTTACCACTTGATTAGACGACTTCTTTTTCATAGCTTTCAACGCTACAGGTCTAGATTTATTTGTCACAGTTCTTATTTGCATTAAAAGGATTTTTCTAATTTGTGAAAGCATTTTTTATTCAATTTCATTGAAATTTTTGACTATTTTGTTTACATTTGGTGTTTTTTCTCCCCTTGGTATCCCCCAAATGGTATTTTTCAAATTTCCCCTTGTATCCCCCAGTTGTTGAGATTTTTGTGAAAACATTGAAGAAATGCTCCAAGCCCTGTTTTCAAGGCAAATTTCCATTTGTTTGGTTTAAAATAAAGCTAAATTAGCTATCTGTGTGCTCAGTTGGTGTACGACTTCCTTTAAATTGTAAAAATTATATTTTTTTAAAAATAATCAATGTTTTGTGAAACTCATCAACCAATGTTTTTAAGGCTACCTCGAAGTTGCTCAAATTTTCCAATACAAATTTTTGAAACATTTGAGAATCCTGATGTTTTCAGCTAAACATGAAGCATTGAAGAAAACATCAACTGAAACATTGTGAAACACCGGTAAAAACATCAGAATCACTCACTTAATTCAAAAAATTTTTTTGATTCAGTTGTGGGCTGCGGTTCTACTAATTTACATCGTTTTTCATTATCACGATACCGCGAGTCATCGAATTTTTTGTCATATTTTTAATGTAAAATTAAAAGAGAACTGAAGAAATTATTCTAAAAGCTTAAATTTTTTTAATAATTGACTGAAAAAAAATTAAATTAAAAATATCGTGAAAATTAGGAAATGTTATAAAAATTTATTAGTGATAAATTACGTTTTATCATAAAATACAAACAAAAATATAATCATAGTACAAGTTTAGTGTTCTTCAAGTTCCATAGGAGTCATCAGCTTATTTAGTAATTACGCAATCAATCTTTTATCAAACTGATAATGACATGTCAACGGTTCCGCCAAATCGCAGCTCGAATTTCACGATTATTCACATACTCATGAAGCAAAAAAATTGAATTTTTATCATGAATCTCGAGATGGTGTTAAAAGCAATTTTATCAAACCGTTAATTAAATAAAAAGAGACTCGTCTCTCTAAATTGCCGAAAAAAGTGTCATAAGAACATCAAGCAATCAAAACAGATTTTAGAAGAAAACTTTTCTACGAGGTTATTTTTAGAAAATTTAGAATTGAAGATGATGCCGAATTTTTGTGATCTGCTTATTACCTTAATAAATTGAAAAATTCCGAAAAGAAAAAGTCGAGCAACTTTAAAATTATGCAAATTAAACTAACAATCATACATCTTGTTAAAGATAAAAATATCTCATGGATTGATACGTTTAAGTCATACACGCAATGTTTGACGTAATTTTTGTTGATAGTGAAATTTTACGACCTACACACGCACTTATGAGCTTTGCTTTTAACAAATTTTTGTTTTTATGCGTGGTGGAGATGAAGTTTTCCCATTGCTACGTCGTACGCATAATGGGGGGTCACACTTTGGTTGTGCATTTATAGAATATTTATTTTCATTGTGAATATTTATGAAAATCTGTCACAGATGTGAGTCAATCGATGTAACGATACGTCTGGTGTTCCCTAAAAGCTTTTGAGCTGACTTTTATAACTGATAAAAAATTATTTGTTTATGTCTCAGAAGTGATTTATATTTATGGCTAACAAAACTTTCTATCAATTCAGAAATGGATATCATCATGCCATGTTCAAAAAGACTCTCAAATGAAATTGCTGCTGTCAACACTATTGAGATGTGTTCTAATCCGATTCCAGCTGTTCAATTTTCGAAATGTGAAATTCAGAATTTCTTGTCTGTAAGTAAAACGATTTGTTCCATTCCAAGCTTTCGTGAGTCGCCACATCTAAAAAGTTATCACATTGTATTCATAAGTTCAAGGTCGATTTGAGTCCGCAATCACTGCAAAGTTTCGTGTTTTTATTTTTGTTTTTGTTTCACTCTAATTGCGTTTAGACATAAATATTAATAAAGTTTAATTTCGTAAAGAATTTTGAACAGAATTATGTTCTTTATTAAGTCCCATAATCTTTTTTCATAAATTAAATATTGTGACAAGATTGCTTAAAGAATGTCTTCAAATCTTGACAACCTTTCAAGTCATTATTCTAAATATTTCACTACATGTTGTAGGCACGAGTAAAGACGAATCAAGAAATATATGAAAATTCAATGTTGGAAGACGATCCAAACGCAAACACACAGCTTAAAAAGGAAGAACCACGTTGGGGTCCAAAGCATAAAGGAGCTCAAACACTCGCCAATTTTTATAGTTCTGGTAAGTTCCTTCTTTCTCTTTGATTGAAATGTTAATTAATTGATAACTGTGAGAATTCCATGTTTTGAACATCAAAAGACAAAACTCCAATCGCGTTTAAGTACTACACATGAACTCGATAGACACGCAAGATAAACCTTTGCTTCCACCATTCACTACTTAATAAATGATATAAAATTTCAATTTGATTTTTCACTTTTACCTTCGGTTTTTCATTAATTCTTCAACTATGTACATACAAGTCTCCCGTTAAAAAGTATTTTCCTAAATACTTTTAAAAATTTCAGTATCAACTGTAATTGGATCGGTCAATTATGAACTAATTTCCAAGGCAATTTTAATTTAAAATTCCAAAACGATTAGGGTGGAATTTATCTATTTATTTGTCACAGCAGTCCCGCAAATAACGCATCAAGGAATCTTGAGTGACCGACCCCTAAATATAAGCAAGAAAATACATCTGATGACCTATAAAAATATCAATATTTGGAATCCTACAATGCTAATTTTAGATTATTACCTAAAAACATGCAAACACGCTTTCTTCTTCTTCCCCTTTCCCGCCTTCATTTAAGAAAGCTTCGTTTATTGACTTACCAAGTTCAAGAAAAGTTTGGGGGTTGCATATGGTCGATTAGCTTTTCTTTATTCTCTTGTTCACTTTTTGATCCTTTTTACTCGAATAAATATTGAATAAACCTTCAATTTTATGTTTGTTCGATAAAATTTACTTTCTATTTTCGCCCTTTAATTTCTTTTATTATTGAAAAACTGAGCTTTTGTTTCATTTGGAGAGAAATCAAAATTAATAAAATTAATTCTATTCTTTGGTGGAAATTCTATATTTAGAACATTAGGAATGAGTGCGACGGTCACATAAACGGTGAACTTTTATTTTTAGCATAGAATTATGCAAATAGATTTTTAGGACGCTTTCTCTTGTGTTTATTTGGTGGCGGACGTTTTACTGGTTTGTTGGTGAACTTTGATTTAATCAATTTCTCAAATTTATTACAAACAACACCGCGAACAATTAAATACTGAGATTGCGTAAAGTTTATTTGTAAAAAGGTTTGTCGAAGCTTAAACGATTTGTAAAGGGAGAAAATAGGAAAGATCCTAAAAGAACAGAAAGTAAATGAGAAAAGGGAAAACGAATTTGCATAAAAGCTCATAAATGTTACAATATTTTCTTTCTTTCGAATATTTTTCGTCGTTATACTTGCAAAGCGTCACGTACGTATGGAAATCGATTCTTCCTTCAATGAAGTCTCGTGTCGCACTTTAAGCTTCAACTTGTAAGAAATTTTCAGAAGCTTTTCAAAAGAATTAAGCTTTAACACGTTGAAATTTCCTTACAAATTAATGAAAGTAAAAGAACAAAAAAAGGATCAAAAGTTTGTTGACGGCAACATTGAATAAGTAATTTTCCCTTTCCATCTGTAAACACCTGATGTTAATCTTGTAGTAAATTCATGTTTTTCGTGTCGAAAACTTTGACCAGTACTCAGTCTAATAATTGATTGTTAACTCTCTATGGCGCCACGCGAATTGGAACAACCAAGTGGCATCTGACAGAAACTTTAGAACGAGTTTTGTTGTTGAATTTTGTTGGGTAAAATTGCAGACTTTCAGTCACCCGAAGAAGATTTTTTAAGTATGGAACTAAAACTAGGAAAACTCGCAAAGCATGAGAAATATTTATTTACTAAGTCAATTAAGATAGCGTGTCAATTAAGCTGGCATAGCATGTTATTTACATACTATACATTTATCCAACAGTCGCATTTGATGTGGCAATCAATTGATTTTTGACATTAAAGGTATCGATTCTCTTTATTTGATGTTCTTTGTTATTGTTTAATATAGGAAAACGAACTCAAGAGATCATTTGCGTTTATACTTGCATCGCTCTCATGATAATCAACTTTTATCTAATAATCAAACACTTTCGATTCGATCGGCTAAGTGCGGTAATTTTCTCCGCTGTGTGTGGTATTCTTACGGCTGATTTTGGATCTGGATTTGTTCATTGGGCTGCTGATACTTGGGGATCCATTGAGTTACCAATTGTTGGAAAGGTTTCTCAACTTTTTTTAAATTCTTTTAATTAACATCATGAAAATAATTTTTGATATTTTTTCAGAACTTTTTACGACCTTTTCGAGAACATCACATTGATCCTACATCGATCATTCGACATGACTGGATTGAAACGAATGGTGACAATTTTATGGTTGCATTGCCAATTCTTGGAAAATTGACTTGGATTCTCTTCACTTCATCACGATCGGAGATTCAAATGGAATATCCTTTCTGCGCTTATCTATTTCTATGTTCAATTTTTGTTGCTGTTACAAATCAAGTGAGCTTTTGTTCCTCAAAATTAAATATTGTTAATTTAGATAATTAATTAATTCTTTTGTATTCATGTAGATACACAAATGGTCTCACACCTATTTTGATTTGCCAGTTTGGGTACAAGTTTTACAAAACTATCATATCATTCTACCCCGCAAACATCATCGTATTCATCATGTTTCACCTCATGAAACTTACTTCTGTATAACAACTGGTTGGCTTAATTGGCCTCTTGAAAAGATTAAGTAAGTTATGCTGATTTCAACATAAAAAATATTCTAAAGAAATTATTCTTAAAAATATTTAGATTTTGGTCAACATTGGAGTCAATCATCGAATATGTAACAGGTTGTAAGCCTCGAGAAGACGATCTTAAGTGGGCACAAAAGACTTCGTAATCATTCATCACAAAATAGTTAAACACAAAGATTTTACAGCAATCGAAAAAATATCTAATTTTTCTTTTTTAAGGCAATTAAATTCTTTGTATATATATGAGCTTTAAACATTTTTTAAGGCTGTGCATCGTTGATGAAAAGAAATTATAAGAAACAATGAATAAAGTTCACGCAATTTTGAAAATTTTATGTGGCTATAAATGTTTAAGTTTCAAATAGTTTTATGGTAAATTAATTCATGTCACTTCATTTGCATAAGGTTTACGCGACATCATTCAGTTACCCGTAGTTTAGATTCCTTGTTACCGATAAGGCAATAAAAAGCTAACATGTTATATATTTTTTCCACAAACCAATGCTTTTATGTGTGAGGAAGCATATTTCATTCACATGGTAAGAAAGCATTCGGAATTGTTTCCGAGCATTTCCCAGAATTCTTCAAAGCATATTGGGAAATTCCTTTCTTCGGATTCCTTTTCTTGCGAGACATAAAACAATAAAATTTAGTGCGTCTTTGGCTGAGACTTTCACAAACAAATAAAATCGGAAATACTCAAAAAAGTCATAAAATAAAAAAGTTACTCTTGTTGGGTGAAATTGTTTCGATTTTATATTTCGATAGAATTTCTTTTTCATCATAGTTAGTTATGTAGTTTTGTATGTAGTTAGTTGCCTTGCGTATGGATGAATAACTGAATAAGAAAATGTCAAATTTCATATGTTGTTGTCTTATGAACTCGCTAAAGTGCTTAACATTCAAATTTTGTTCATTAATGTTTAATGATCACGGATAGAAAATCGATCGGTGGAAAACTAATAGATTTTTTTTTGAAACAATTCATAAATTATTCAAAAGTTTGCCGCAGTACAATTCATAAATTAAACAAACATAAACTTTACTCGAAGATTAATCAATATTTGCTTCAAAATACGTGTCGTTTAAATGACCTGATATGTTTACACATAACAATATTGAGGTGATTTCATTTTTTTATTTACGAGAAAAAGCGTCTTTTGTATTCGTCGATTATTAACCGAAAAAGCTCAGCATTGATAACACAGTTTTTAATTTTTTTCGCTGTTAATTAAATGTAAACGATGAGATCATATTTCACTTCAAAAACTCCACCCTTGTATTTATTTGACGGTTTCGCAATATTCAATGGTGAAATATAAATAATCATCGTTTGCTTATGAGTATATCAATGGAGCTTAGTCTGGAGCAACACATTTCTAATTAATATTGTTAGCATTACTTTCGTAAAATTATACAAAATCCGAATTTTCTTTGTGACTTCCTATTTTTTGATTACCTAAAAAGTTCGTGGAAATGTATGAACATTCAAATAACTTTCCATGCTGAGAAATGATTTCGTGAAAGGAAATTCAACAGTTTTCTTTTACCGTCTATAAGCGTGCAGGTAATGACCGGTGGTTGTTCACATATTTCTTTCTTTCCTTTATTTCACAGCATAAATTAATTATGATTTCTTACAAAACTACTTCTGGAGGAGAAACTTTCTAGAAAGAGAATTATTTCCCTAACAATGCACAAAATGATTTCCATTTTATGACATTTCACATGCGACTTTTAATCTTTGATTTATGGTCTTACATTTGAAAGGAAAATTATAAGATTGCTTCAAAAAAATTCAAGGTGAAAAATAAAATTTTTCTTTCTGAATTTTTTAAATCCAAACTTTCTTATCGATTTATTTTTAAAAATACATTTTTTATTATGTCTCAGTTCTCGTAAGTCGTAACATCTTGATCACTTTTTCAACAAGAAAATGTTTACTTATTTTTATTTATGATGCAGAAGAGCAATTAAAGTAAAAAGCAAAATTAAAAATGAAATGAAAGTCTCAAAATTGATTCGAAAGGAAGAATTTCCTGTTACAGATTGCTTAGTAATAAAGTTTAATCTTTTTGACCATTAATGGTTATGGTTCACATTAAAATCACCATCAGATTGAAGGCCGGAACTGATTTGTCACTTGCATGAGCTATTTGTGGGTTTAAAAATCAAAAATTAATTAAAAACATCAAAGAAAAAATATTTTTTGTACTTACTTTTTGATTCAATTTCATGTTATGATCACGAAGATAATTGATCAAATCAGCTTGTTTTTCCAAAAGTTCTGTTATATCAGCGCCTCTTTGCATTAAACCTACAGATCCAAGAACAGTATTTATGCCTTGAAGAGCATCTGGAGGCATTTGTGATGTGTTGAATTTATGTACGCGATAAATGTATGTTCCATGCTGGGGAGAAAGAAAAGAATGAAAACTTAAAGCTTTCACACTCAAAGAAACTTTTAATTTACCACAGCAAAAAGGACGAAAGTCTCAGCAACCGTAAAGGCAGTCACATAGACGACTGGACTTAAGAACGATTCCATGCATTTAATGAAGAAATTATCTCCATAATAATGATGGATGCCAGCTGCAACAGTAAGAAGTGCTGTATTCCAAAGACTAACAATTGTTAATGGAACAGACTTGTGAGTTTTCGTCGCTCTACAGACATGGATAAATATGTTATAAAAAAATTAATCAAAGAATTAATTAAAAATATTAGATACCTGTAAAAATCATGGTATCCATTGAGACGCAGTTGGTCATGGTGATACTTGACTATATAATCAAAAACCTGAGGTAAAAAAATGGTAATTAATGAGTCGCAGATGGGTGAGTCATAAATAAGTCATTGAAGTCACCCAAGTTATGATCCAAAATCCAGCTCGAACGTAAAGCATAATAAAATATGCTTCACATCTCTTTGAATCAGGCCATGTTGCAGCAAGAATGATACCGAAGATTGAAATTATGGTAGAAATTAAAAGATGAAGGCTTTAATTGTGAAGAAAGGAATTGAAAATTTTGTAAACAAATGAAGCAAAACAATTTAAAATCTTTGATTCTTACCTAAAATGTGGAATAGTTCGAAGTTTTTTAAATCTACTGAAGTTTTCTGCAGCCAAAACTGGTACTCGGTCATCCATTTTCTTGATGATTTAATCTTTTTAGACAGATAATTATTTAAACAAAAGAATTTTGAAAACAAAATAAATTTTCTTCAATGTAAAATTACTAAACGTAACCATGAGAAGGAAATAATATTACTACTGAACACACAGAGTGCGTTTCAAAATATAATAAAGAAAACAAATCGTCGTCTCTAAGGAAAATATTTAGTAACTCAGTGTTAATCGTTCAATGAAGCTGATAAAATGAAGTGGACTTTTGTAATTACTTTATTTGTCATTTCCATAATATCAAGAATAAGCTGTGACTCAGAAGATTGTCATAATGTAAGTAAAATAAATCAATATGTCGAACATTTCTTTTATTGCGATTCATGTTTTCAATGATTTCTTTATCAATTTAACTTGTATTACAAATCAAAACGAAATGATTTTTTTCCTTGTAATTTAAAAAGGATAAAGAAGAAGTAAAGTTGAAATATGAGATACAGAATGATCAAAATCAAGTAAGTCAAACTTTCCTCTACTTTCTTTAAAATTGCACAAATTTTCATGGGAACTTTCGTTAATATTTTAAGTAACATACAAATGTAAATTAAGAAAAAATGATATTCATCAGTGTATGTATATTGAAGCATCAGCATTTTCTTCGTTTATATGCAAAGAGCCTTTATGACGCATCTATCATCGTGTCATTAATATACAAGGTGAAATGACCTTAAACAAAGAGAGCGAGAAAGAGAAACAAAATTGACAAAAGACGCACGCGGTTGCCTGACAATTAACCGGGATATTTGTTGCGCAAATCTATTATCTCCAGCTTGAGCCTTTAATGAATTACATTATGAGAGTGTATGTATAAACGTCCGATGATATTTACTAACAAATAGTATGAACAACTGAATGAAACAATTCTCGTTAATGAAACACAAGTTGTACATGCTGCTGATTTCTTATGTGTAATCGGGTTGCGAAAAAAATTGAAATGAAATAAAAATCATATTAACACCCGCTTATCACATTATTTACGTTCTTTTTATAATTCTGCCAACATGTGGATGAAATGTTTCGAACTAACGTTGTTTATATTTTTTCAAATAACTTAAGTTAAATAAATGCTTGCAACTGTTGGGTGGTGAATGTTGGAACATAATTTGCGTGTTAGTAATTACAATGTGACTCAACAGGATAATCAATCTGATGAGAGATTCGTTGCTGTTCATGTCGATCAAATTGGCATTGATGAACTTAATCCCCAAAGAGCCATGATTGAAAACATAGTAAAACCATTTATTCCGGCAAACTTCAACTATTTATACACTTTAAATGCGACACGAGAAATTGTCCAAGGATTTAAATACATCATAAACTTTGTAATGGAGAAAGAAACTGGAGAAATTATCTACTGTGAAATAGAAGTTATAGAAAAGCCTTGGTTGATAAAAAACTCAAGAAAATTTCAAAAAATGACATACAACAATTGTTCATTACCAAATTCACCAGATGAAGACGAAAATGTGGGATATGAAATCAATCCACTCTTTGTGAATCAAAGAACAGAAATGAAAAGCAATGAAATGATTGAAGTGGAAGATCAAATAGTTGTGACCAAGCCTAGAATGACGTTAACATCGTCATCATCAACAACTTCGACAACAACAACGACAACAGAAAAGGTGGATGATGTCACTTTATCACCGCTTGATCCATTATCATTGATGATGATACACGGTTTCTTAAACAAAATTCATGATTCAGCACCCTCTCAAACATCTTCCACTACCACAATGTTGCCATTATCCAATTCAAACATGCAAGCATTGGATGAAATATTTAATGTTCAAAATGTTGAGAAGACGCAAACACAGCTAGAACTTTCCAACAGTGAATCATCATTAAACGATAATTTGCAGAAGGAACAAATCCATGTTGACAATGCCACACCGCCGTCAAGAATTGATGACAATAAATTTGAATTTATCGAAGATGAGATCAAAAAAGTTTTCAGTGAACTTTTTGAATCTGATCCTGAATTTCAAATGAATTTTATAGCTTTAATTAATCGAAAAGATGATTCAACACTCGAGAGAGATTATAATTATGTAGTAAGCGTTTTAGCAAATAAATTGAAGGCTAAATTTGAAAACGTCAACGGGAAACAGAATGATGAGAATGAGAATGATGCGTATCAAGTTACAGTCAATCCTTTAATCATTGAAAGCGATATTAGTAGTCGTCGTAAAAGATCAGTAAATGATAAATCTCATATTTGGAATCTTGCTGTAGACGCGCTTGACACTTTAGATAACATCGATGCTGATGATGAGAAAAGAATTTTAGTTGAAATCTTGCGATTTGATGAGAAACAAAATGCAGTTGCGATTGATGTTAGAATTGTGAATAGTTATTGTCAAGAAAGTTCCCATGAAATAACACAATGCAGAAAAAAAATTAAACTCAACTCAATGAAAGTTTGTTTACTTGAGGTAAAAATTAAATAATTAATTTAATGTTTTTGTGAATTTGCTAACGATTTGAATTATTAATTAACGAATAAATTGGAAATTTACTTTGATTTTCAGATTAATGAAGCTGACGGTGAATTGACAAAATCTCAATGTGCTCCAATTAATCGTAGTCGTCGTCAAGCTCCTGGTGGTCCATTGCAATTGAATGTTGATGACGAGGACGTCAAATTATTTTTAAATGAAGCTTTGACTGAAGTTAATGCTAGCGAAGAGCCAGATTATTCGTAAGTTAAATGAATTTCTATTAATTAAGGTTTAAATCAATTTTTTATTTCAGCATTAAAGAAATCACTGAAGCAACATCACAAGTTGTTGCTGGTCGTCTCGTCAAATTCACAGTGAAACTTTTGTCAGGCGAGAATGAAGTCGAATGTAAGTTTGAAGTTTGGGAACGTGTATGGCTTGAAGATGGACGTGAAGTCAAAATCAATTGTGATAATGAAAAACATTATAAATTGAAGCAAAAACCACAAGGTAAAAAGGTTCGTGAACGTCGTGACACTCTCGTTGGTGCACCAGCTGAAATCGACAATAATGATGAGAAAGTTTTAAGTCTTTTGTCAACAAACTTAAAACGATTAGACACAGGAAGTGATTCAGCATTGGAACTTGTGTCGGTTGATAAAATAACACGACAAATCGTGTCGGGATTAAGTTATAAAGTCAAGGGAACATTCAAAAATGGTGAATTAACACCATATGCTTGTACAATTGATATTTGGAATCGTCCGTGGATTGAAGGTGATGATGGAACACAAATTAAAGCTGAATGCGAGAATGGCGTTCGTTTGAAGACGAAGAGAGTTAAACGATCAATTCGTCCAATGTCTCCGCATCATCATAAATTTCATTCAAAAGAAACTTCTGAGTTGAAAGCTCGTGAAATAAAAAGTGAAGTTTTATTTGAAAACTTTGTAAAGAAATATCATCGTCGTTATGGTAATGACTTGGAACATAAAATGCGTCATCGAATCTTCAGAAAGAATCTTCATAAAATTGATATGTTGAATAAACATGAAATGGGAACCGCAAAATATGGAATTACGCCATTTGCAGATCTTACCGAGAAGGAATATCTTCACAAGACGGGATTGTTGATGCGTGAACGTCATGAAAATGACTTGCCAAATCCACTTGCCGAAATTCCTGACATTGACGTTAAAGATTTACCAACCGAATTCGATTGGACTGAGAAAGGTGCAGTGACGTCTGTGAAGAATCAAGGAAATTGTGGATCATGTTGGAGTTTCTCAGTAACTGGAAACATTGAAGGACTTCATGCAATTAAAACTGGTAAGCTTGAAGCTTATTCAGAACAAGAACTTCTTGATTGTGACACAACAGACAATGCTTGCAATGGCGGTTATATGGATGATGCTTTCAAAGCGATTGAGAAGATTGGCGGATTAGAACTTGAAGATCAATATCCATATAAAGCTAAGAAACAAAAGAAATGTTTGTTCAATTCAACATTGAGCCATGTTAAAGTCAAAGGTGTCGTTGACATGCCAAAAGCGGATGAAATCGCTATGCAGAAATATCTCGTTGCAAATGGTCCAATATCAATTGGAATTAATGCTGCTGCTATGCAATTTTATCGTGGCGGGGTTAGTCACCCATGGAAGATTCTTTGCCGTAAATCGGATTTAGATCATGGAGTGTTACTTGTCGGTTATGGAATCAAATCTTATCCGATGTTTAACAAGACTTTACCGTATTGGAAGATTAAAAACTCATGGGGACCAAAATGGGGCGAGCAAGGCTTCTATCGCATCTATCGAGGTGAGAAATTTATTTGATTTTCTAGAAATTATTCATTAATTTCTTTCTTTTTATTTGTTTCACAGGTGATAACAGTTGTGGCGTAGCAGAAATGGCATCGTCAGCTGTTCTTGAATAATTTTCTTCCTTTCATAACAATAAAAAAATACTCGAAAGATAATAACATCGAAGAAAACTACTCTAATTAATATTTTGCCAAAATAAGGAAAGAAAACTCGAAAATATCATAAAAATTTTTATTCTTAAGCAGTTCGCATATAATCGTATGGAGAGAGTATTGTGGAAGGGAATGACGAGAAGGAATGAAAGCTTTTCAAATGCTAAAGTCGAACTATACTCACAATGCGAACCATTTCCATTCATATATATTGCTATAACATTCATTGACTTCAATTTTAAATCTTGTTCCAATTTTTTGTTTATGGCTGAGATCAATGTTTGTTTTTGTAAAAATCCAGTTGAGAATCCAGTTGAGAAATTAAGGTGTGATGAAGTTATTTACTTAAAATTTACTCATATGCGTTTGTTCAACTTATAATCGTTTGAATATTTTTTTATTAAAAATTCTCTGTAGAACACGTTGCCTTTAGGCATTATTTTATTGATCAAATGTAAAGAAAAACAAAATATGAATAAAAAGTTTCGAAACTTTATAAGAAATGAACATTTTTAATGACAACAAGCCAAATGTTTGCAAATATAAATCATTGGCTTAAATCCATTAAACTGATTGAACGCCAATTATACAGCGTAAAGTTTAATTTGAAATTCTAAACCTCTTAAAGTTGAAATCGATGAGAATCATGTTGATAAACGTGATTCTCGCTTGACAATAAACGACGAAAAGAAAACGAGAATCGACGCTGATCTTCGTTTGTTTTTTTTCACGAATTTTATTGAAGCGTTATGCAAATGTGATAAGAAGACAAGAAGTAGAAATGTAAGAACGATGAACTTCATCGACATCCAATGGAAGAAACAGGATTTTTTTACGATTGGGTGACATGTGCGAATAAAGTTTTCTCCCGCCACTCACATCTGAGCTCTGACGATCGAGTTTCAAGAAACTTCGCAGAGAAATGAGAAGTTTTTGATTTTATTCTTTTCATTCAGTCGCCTTTGGTTCTCCGACGCTACAAGTTCAGTTCTTAAGTGATCTCTTCAACCTAAAGATTCCAACATGAAATATATTTTCTGCGTTGTTCTTCTCTGCTGCCTATCTCAGGTCTACTGCGGTGTAAGTTCATTAAACTTTCTTTCCTTTCACTCACAATAACATTTTATTTTTCGTTCAAAACATTTCTTTTAATTTAGATTTATTCGCTGTATGCTAACAACAGAAATATATTCCACGACCTTACGAAAAAAGACAAAGCTCAGCGTGGAAATATTGTTGGGGAGAAGAGACAAGTCGACATCAATGATAAGCATGTTACTGACTTACTTAACGAACATCTCGGTCGCTTGATTACTGAAGATGATAGCAAATTTCTGTAAGTTTCATAACGTTTCATAATAAATAAATATGCAAATAATATTTTTATGCAAATTATTAAACTTAGCGTGGATCAAATCGATGAAATTTCAAAGCAAACTGTCGCTGGCGTCTCTTATAGAATCAAAGGACATTTTCAAGTAGAAGGCGACAAGAAAGATTGCACGGTTACGATTCTTGAGCGTGTCTGGCATGAGACAGAGAAGGTCATAATTTCAGCTAACTGCGAGGATGGAAGTTGCTATGTTACTGAAACCTACACCTGTCCGCCACAATCCTTCGTGGCCTTCTAATTAATGGTTAATAACTTGAAATAAAAATATAGAAAAATAAATAGAAGGATAAACTTGTTTTTCAAAAAACAAAAAGAAGACGAAGACAAATTATTTATCAGACGTTCTGTCGTCAATTCGATTTTTGTTTTGCTTTTAAAGTTCCACATTTAAAGTTGTTAGCATAATGTTATGCCGATTCTTGAATTAATTTGATGTTCTGACGTGCGTTACAGCTTTTCTGATGTTGATGTTTTTTTTTCCTATTTTAATTTTTTAAATTCAATTCTAAAATGAACTTTGGATGATTCGATTTATCTCTGAAAAAATTCCACCGGAAATACTTTGTTTTGAACAGCGTTGTAGGGAGAATGTTTGTCAAAACATGTTGTAATTGAATTTCTGAAATATTGAAATCAACATTTCCATTGTAGATCAATTCGTTTAGATATTCATCAAGCACATGAACAAAGTTAATTTATCCTTGCAAATAGAATGATGAAAATATTATTCGTAACATTTGCAATTCTCATTGAAAGATCTTTTTCCGTAAGTATCGCATGCAAACTTGAAACTCTTTTTTAATGTCTTTAATGTTTTTTGATAAAGGATGATCTCGAAGCAACAAACATGTCTTTAAACGTTGGTGATATTCATGAGTTGTCTGTAGATGATCAAACAGCAAACGATCTTCTGAAGGGAAGCTTAAATCGATTATCAAGTGGTGATGATTCCATCTTTGAAATGATTATGATTGATAGAATCACAAAGCAAGTAGTCGCAGGGATGAAATACGAAATTTTTGGTATGTTTAAAATTGAACATAAGACTGTACAATGTAAAATAACATTGTGGCATCGTGCATGGATTGAAGATGTAAAAGATAAAATTAAATTAAGAGCGACATGTGGAAGCGAAGACTTTTCAGCAAAAGACGATGACGGTCAATGGTAAAAACTTTGTTTTCTCAGCATTTCATGTGGAATTTCCTGCTTAAAGAAAAAAATGAAATAAAACAACTTTATTCAAATTTTGATTCATTTCTGGTTTATTTCTTTCCTTTAAACTCTTCAGTGAATTTGTGTTAATTAATTGAACAAAAAAGAGATAAAAATGAATGCTACAAGAATTTTTGTTTTATGACATCAAAACAAAGAAAGAAATTAATTTTAAAGATCGGAAATCTAATCAGATTTTAAAAGTTCTTTTTAGATGGTCATAAATATGAATGAAATCAAATGATTGCAAAGTGTGAAATATAAAAACGCAATTCAACAAATAACAACATGAATGTTTCTATCATCACGAAAGATTTCAAGAATCGATCGCTGACTTTGATTTTTTTCTTAGTCTTACGAATTTTTTATTTCTTTCAAAAAATCACTGCAAAATCTTTTTTGTTTCTCTTTGTGATTCATAAAAAGAAATTTTTATGGGCATGTTTTAGTTTTTTGTTAAAAGTTTGTGTTCATTGAAAACGTGAATTAGAGGAAAGCATCAAATTTGAACAACGATCAAATTTCAAGCTTTATTCTAATAACAAATTAATTTTACATAGAATAGAAAACAAAAAAAAAGGGATTAAATAGGAGATAGACCGGTATAGACAAGGATGGAAATTAAATACATAATAACTCTTTTGAGATCCACAAAAGATAAGAAAAAAAATTAAATTTGATATTTAAGAACTTTGACTGATGGATTTGAGATGTCGATTAATTATTTTGGTTGCATTAATTACTAATTATTCGCCAATTGCCAACACACTTTTGTGTATATTAAGCACGCTTTTCACTGGTTTGAAATAAGTTTTTGCTTCTTTATTATTTTTGGGAGTCTGATTTGTAGTAGAAAATTAATTATCGCTCTAAAGTACAAGCAATGCTTAGTAAAAGATAATCGACATCTCTTTTGTGATTATCAAAATTAGCTTGACATCTGTACGCTTAAAACTTGTCGCTATTACTCCATCTGATCTAACTGAACTTACAAGAAAATCTTCTGAAGTTTAATTTAAAAAAATATCATAATTTAAATGGCATCTGGTTTGAGATGTTTTCGTGCTTGTAGTTTAATTAATTTTATGTGATGATGGGAGAAAGGGAAAGGAGTTAATAAAAGTTATGTACAAATCTTAGAGTTACGTTGAGGACATCATTTACATGATCATCAGTTAGATTCTATTTCTTTTTGCGTGTCTTTTTACGGCCGCCAGCTCCAGTACGCCTGCGTTTCACTGTTTTTGGCGACTTCTCATTCGAATTGCCATTCGTCGTCAATCCTTGGTTTGCATTTGGACCGTTTGAAATCACTTTCTTCACAAGTAATTTTGATTTACTTTGTCGTTGAAGCATCCCAAGCTTTCCTTTCTCTCTTAAATGCTGCTGAACCAATTCACTTAAGGCACCTTCTTGTGCGAGCATTGTGAGAAACGTTGTGATGAATTCGTCATAATTGTGTGTTCGACGACAATCGTCAACCTATAAAATTAAATAATTTATATTAATTAACGTTGATTTGCTAAGCTATCAACTCAACAAACCTTATATTTATGTCGTTTATCATTTTCATCATCAAGATGCTGTTGTGTCACTGAAATCTCATGCTCAAGATTTGCTAGCAGCGTACAAAGATAGTTAGATGAGAAGGCAGTTGACTCGAAGACATTTGGAGGTGTTGAAGCTGAATAATTTCCACTCGATGTTGAAGATGCTGACGATGAAGATGCTTGATGATTGTCATTCTTCATCATAACATTACATTCATTAAAATTCTGATCGTCAACTGTCGTTTGATTGTTTTGTAGATAAGCTTCTGTTCCGGCTCCATTGCATGGTATACACAATGCTGAGTCAACAGACGATGGTGCGGTTATAGACATTGAAAGATCCATAACAACATCATTTGTATTCTGTTGAATAAATTGATTATCACATGAGTTTGACGCTACTGCTACTGGTGCTGCTGCTATTCTTGATGTTGTTGCAGCTGTTGATGTTGATGAACTTGACGCAAGTGGCGGTGGCGGATTTTCTAACGTATTGTCACTAGAATTGGTTAATGATGCTAGATTGGCTAATTCTTTACTAAAATTATTCGATGAGAGATTAAGTGTGGATAATGTTGCTGATGATGAACTGTTTGCTGTGTGATGAATATATGGAAGAAGTTCCTGCAAAGAAAAATTAAATTTTAAATTAGTTTCTTTATGAATTGACAAAAACTTACATTCTTCGACTCATTATCGTCAGTTTGATCACAACATCCGATAGACACAGCAGTTTCTTGCTCTTCTTTAACCACCATCTCTCCATTTGTACCATTGACTAATTTCTCCAACGCTTCTTCCACAATCTCTTTATTTCGTCTTAGAATTTTGAGTTTGTGTGAGATGGAGATGCGACGATCAGGAACGACAGCCATAAGATTAAAGCGAATGTCTTGTTCGCCATTGGAAATGTCTATTCTATTAGTGATTACTCTACGGAACTTATCGGTCCAATCTTCGTTAGCTTCCCATGTTCCATGATCCATCGGAAATGGTTTCAATCCATCAAGTTCAAAAAGATGACCACCAATAGGAACAAAACTAACAAAGTGAAATGCTTCACATGCTGAACGTCCAGTGGGAATTCCTATTCTTGCGCTCGTTGTAGCACCAGCATTTCTCTCAAGTCTTCGTCTCGCTTGCGGCATTGCATGTGAATTATGTGCAAATGCTAATTCAGGAGTGTTTCCAATGGCATATCCTTTGTTTTCCGGTGTCATATCTTTTGTGTGATTCTTCAGTCGTGACAACGTTGAGCCTAAATCAATATTTGAACAGTTTAAGAGAATGGATAACAGTGCATGTGTTGCACAACTGTTCGGTACAATCTGGTGAGCGAAGAAAATGCTGTTGACGATACTTTCATCACGTTGATATATGTCGGTTGTCTCAGCTAACTTTCGTCGGGCTCGTCGCTCTTCAATCCAACGAAAGAGAAAAATAAATCCATACACAGGACTTTCTATTGGTTTCTTTAAATCATAAATCTCTTCTACTTGAACACCATTTACACCGAAATCCTCCAGCAGTAGAGTGAAAAGACCTTCAAATATAAATTTAATTAATTTTAGGAAAACAAACCTTGAAGTGAACTTTCAACTTTTTCTAATTTTCGTTAATCTTACCTGGATCACTCTCTAATTCCAGCCAGCCTTCTGTCAAACTTGTTATGTCTGCTGGCATAACTAAATAAATATATTTTCTTCTCGAAAAATTACACAAATCTTGTAATTCTATTAACTCTATGAAAATTGCAAAACATCTTTTCTGATAAAATTGTCTCGACTCTCTACACGCCAAGCTTCTAAGTTCTACTTTAAAAATCTATTTTCACTTTTAATCAGTTCTAAGTTCGTGGTAAATTGCTTAAATCAGCTCAAAAAGCCATCAGCTCTTAGAAAAATTGTTTTCTTCTTTTTTTTGATTTTTTTTTGTTAGCTGTGTCAATCCTTGATCAGTGATGTACGAGCGGATGTTTAAATTTTATTACGTTGCGCAAAGCTGACATCACAATTTTTTTCATGCACGTACATATCTACTTATATGACGATTTGTTCTTGAGTCATAAGGTTTTCCCAGCTTTTCTTTTCACTAACAGTAATTAATCATACAAAAATTTCTCATTCACTTTAAATATTTGACGACGTTAACTCGATTTTAAAACCACACGAATATTTTTTTGTAAAGATAGAAAATAAAGAATTGCGCAAATTCCACACTACAAATTCCTTGATCAACAATAACAACATAGTCCAGAGAAAAATTCCCAATAAATTTAGGCATTATGATAATTTTTCATAAGGTAGTGAACAATAACAAAAATAACCAAAAGAATTTATTGAAAAGTTGAAAGAAAATGAAGCGTCGACAGGGAAAAGGAAAAGTAAAGCATCGATCAAATCATCGTGATCTTCCTGAAAAGATGTCAGAGTTATCAGTGCAGGAAAATGATTCAACCGACTCAAACGATTCTGATGAAGTTGAAGAAAATGGAAAACCCGCCGATTTTCCGGTTGCAATGTGGGATTTAAATCATTGTGATCCAAAAAAGTGCTCAGGTCGAAAGTTACTCAGACACTCTCTTATTAAGAATCTCAAGCTTGGTCAAAGATTTCCTGGACTTGTCTTATCTCCCGTTGGAGTAAATTGCGTCAGTCCACAAGATCGACCAATTGTTGAAAAGTCTGGCATCGCAGTAGTTGATTGCAGTTGGGCAAAGATTGATGAAACTCCATTTAATCGAATGAAATCACCACATCCTCGACTTCTTCCATTTCTTATAGCTGCTAATCCAATTAACTATGGAAAGCCTTGCAAACTTAGTTGCGTTGAAGCAATCGCTGCTACATTTATGATCACAGGATTAAAAGACGAAGCAAAATTCTATTTATCAAAATTCTCATGGGGACATTCATTCCTCGAGTTAAACGAAGAACTTCTTGAAAAATATGGAAACTGCACTTCAAGTCAGGACATTCTTGATGTTCAGCAAAAATATTTAGAAGATACCGAAAGGGAACGTAATGATAAAAATCGTGATGACATGTGGCCAACATCATCTTCATCAAGCGAAAGTGAATATGAGAACGACGACGATCCTCTCACTTCAAAAACAACAATTAAAACAGCAATTACTGAAAAAACTTAAAATTTCTAGGAATTATTTTTATTGATACCAATTAACATTGAGCTCTGAAATTCATGATTTCAAAGTTTCCAAATATAAGAATAAAATAAAAAAAACTGTTCATGGGGAGATGATTGATTTTTATAACAATTTAATCAGAAGATCCGGAGTGAGTTTGTGTCTCACCAAGATTTTTAATGTATGTCAAAAGAAAAAAATTAATGTTTTAAAATTTACGCTGGACATTTCATTTCATTATTTTCATCAAATTCTTTTCTAGCAGCTTAGAATATGTCCAGTGAGGATCATAAAATAATGAAGAAAAAAATGTGGAAAATTAGATGCAAAGCTTCGCGACAGTTAAGTGTAATATTTTTTCTTAAACGACTGATGCATATTTATGGATTTATTCTTCACCTTCAGAAACTTCTTCTTCCTCCTCCTCTTCGATTACTGTTTGGGAGGTGGTTGTACCATTCATAGCATCCTCTTCTTTCTTTTTATCGGCATAGCTTACGTAGGGCTCAAGTTCGAGTTCATGGAATTTACCATCGATGCATGCTTGTTCGATGCCATTGATGTCAACAAGCTCAACTTTTGAGTCACGAGTGGAATCTTTTCCAGAGTTAGCAACACATTTGACTTTTACTTCTAGAAATTCATCTTTGCGACGATCTTCCCAACACGAATAGACCATTGAAGAGTTAAAATAGATTGAGTTGCCCTTTGATTCTTTGTCGCGAAGATATTTTTGAAGCAAGGATTGTCCATCACGGCGCCATAAGCAGATATTTGTGTTTGCTCGTAAACCATTTTTTAAGTCGCCTTTGTATGCATAAAGCGAGAAAATTCCTTGACGATCAGGGAAGTTTCTTGCATCTGCTTCTGATGGTGCTTTCTTTGATTTCTTTGCATTGGACTTGGAGCTCTGAAAAAGGTTATGAGAAAAGTTTATTAGCTTCTCTAATGTTGTTTTATAAAGTAACGGCTTACGGTGTCCATGGATTCGTCCTCTTCTTCATCCTCTTCGTCCTCTTCATTTTCTTCCTCTTCCTCTTCAGAATTTTCAGATTCTTCATCAGAATCATCCTTCTTTAACTTCTTCTTTTTAGCGGAAGTCTTTGTGGCTGTTATTTTACGCTTGGGCGTCTTTTTCACTACTTTTTTAGTTTCCTTTAGGAAAAATTAACGAAATGAATCTGTTATTCCTACTATCACATTTTGAATTTTTTTTGTTATTCCGCCATTTCCACTAACACAAAAATGAAAAGCGAAAAATATGATTTAAGCTACTCTTACCTCAACTTCTGGCTTCCAGTCATCAGATCCGTCATCTGCCTCAAATTCTCCTTCGTTTTCATCATAATCAGATCCAGTATTGCTGACCATCTTTGTTCTATCTCGCATAACGTTTTAACCCAAATTGTTGTTGTGTCCACTTCTGTTGAAAATGCGCACGAAAAGAAGCTAATATTATTTCAATAATTTAGTTATACAGATGTACTTACAGATGGATTCTTTTATAATAATGCCGTTGTACTCTTATTGTCGGATGAGTTGCTGATACTTTAATGACAAATAATTGTACTCACGCTGCTTATTTAAGCGAAAACGAAAAGTTTCTTGAGAAGCGGCTTCGAAATTTATTTCGAGAAATTGTTAATGGACTAGATTGGTAAAAATCTAGATGGTACAAATTCAGGAGTGTGTACATATTTCAAAATGAAAAAAACCGTTATTTTCTTTGAATATTTGTCACATTTAAAACTTTTTATTGGTTTGTATATTTGATATTGAATACGTGTTACTAAACTATAGTTGGAACTACCATTCATAATTACTGACAAGGTTCTAAGAATGCTTATTATAAAATAATTTTGAAAATAAATAATATCGTACTAGATTATATCACAACATCTTAATTTTCTATGTTCATTGAAATTAAATATCAAAAAGTTGTCTGTAAAAACGATAATGATGCAGGGAGACAGCGATTTAATTCTAGAGAAAGAAGTCAGCAACAATCGATGGTCAATTCGTCCTTGTCAACTTTATAAAGGTAAAATATAAAAAAGGATATTTCGCAGTTGAAATTTCTTTGTGTATCCTTTTGGAAAGAAAACAAAGATGGGAAAATATTTTCAAGTCTACAATCTTCGTTCTTTTCTAGAGGAATATAAGGACTGCAAGAGCATAAAAGGAAGGTTCCATCAATATTTTGTTCATGGTGATTCTTTAGATTGCTCAAGTTGGGAGCATGACTTTGAAAATTGCTTGAAATATGAAAAAAATGACGACTTGAAAGCTGCAAAGAATGTCATAGACAGTGAAGCTTCAAGACGAAAAGAAAGAATGAAAGCTCATTACGAGAACAATATATGGACAAAGAGGGCCAATCCACCTGAAGACTGGGCAAAACCACTTCCAGATCATTTAAATCAGCAATATGAAAATTCATTTTTAGACTTGAAGTCAAAGGAAATGAGAGGAATTCCAATATCTCCAGAAGCTGCCACCAATTCATCACTCCAATCAGCATCATTTTGTACTATTATGTAAACTATTTATAACCCTCTTAGTGTTAGCTGACATATTTATAGTTCGAAGTTTACTTTTTGGATTCATGTTAATTGTAGCGAAAACAAATTGAAATAAAAGAATTTATGTAAACAAAATAGCTTTACAAATTTAGTTTTTGTTTTTCGGAAGCTAATTTATTTCTGTATTTATTAAACAAATTTTATTACAATTCAAATTATTAATTTCAAATTAGAAGAACCAAGGATTAGATTAAAGAATAAAAAAAGTTTGTTGATTAATGAAACAACGAAAGAAATTAAATTATTAATTAAAATTCATTCCAGATGCAAACAATAAAGTTTTTTTTGCCTTCTTCTTTTTGCTGTTCGACTTTGGTGTTTCTTTCAAACTCGCAGACTTTGCAAGAGCATTTGCAAGGCAATCACCAAGCTGATGCTTGTAAGCTGGAACTTTCCATAATGTTTCATCATCATCGACAAGATTTTCATCATCATCAGAATGTGATTTAAGCTTTTCTTTGTTTTCAGAAACTCGAACAACTTTCAAGTCACCAAAGAACGATGTTGAAGGACCATCAGCAGATGACAATGAAGGCCAAAGTTTCTCAGATTTTTTACCCGTTGGTGAAGTCAACATCTGAGAAAACAAAAATCATCAAAATAAGAAATTAACTTTAATTTTTAGTGCTTACAGTAGCAAACGATGGTCCAGCAGGTGATGATGAAAATATTGGTGACACTGAACAGTCGCTGACACTTGAAGGAAGGGCTGGCATTTCATTGAAGCTTCCACATTCGGGGAACTGCAAAGAGGAGCCAATGTCAATGTTAGCTGAAGCCGCTTTTCTATGTTTTCCCATCTGACGCTCATTGATCTCGTTGATTGCTTTCTCATGCTTTCTTTCATCACGTTCACGACGTTGCCGAATTTTACGACGATACAAAAGTTCATCTGGAAACAGTCAATTAAATGTTTAAAAAATGAAAAAGATAAGAAAACATGTAACTTACCTTTGAACATGTCAATAACATTTGAAGATATCAAATCAGACTCGAATTCAATTTCAACAACTTCAAAGACAGATGAAACAGGTAAATGTTGCAAATATTTCAATCTTTTCCTTAAATCTTCATCCATCGTGCAACATTCAATTTGGACAATCCGACCTTGAATCTTTTGTGGCGATTTGTCCAACGATCCAAACATTTCTTGTAACATTCGACTGTTAATTGAATGAAGGAAAACATTTTGTGCATTTGGTGCTTGGTAGTAAAAGAAATGTTTAGATGTTGAATTATTTGCTGCTGGAACAATGTCAATATCATTAATCGTAAGATTACATTCGTTATCAATGAAATCATCGCGTGATGGAAGCGAATCTTCGCAAACATGTTCAAACTTCTGCATTGGAACAAATTCAGGAACTGATGGATTTAATGGTGATGAATTGATTTCATTTAAAACTTTGTCACAAATGATCTTTTCCAACTCTTTCTGTTTTTCTTCAAGAAAATCAATTGCTTGTTGAACAAAAATCGATTCAGGACAATCCAAACCGTCCTCAATAAGTTGTGATTTAAGTTCACTTTTCTCTTGATTGATGATATCAAAAATTTCATTTGGATTTGCCATGATAAGCTTTGAATGTGTCAATCGATCTTCATTATCAGAGAAATTAGGAAAATCATTGATAGAAATTTCATGCGCTTTTGAAACATAAAGTGAGCCCTTTTCTCTCGTCATTAATTCCATTGAAATTGTGTCACCAACTTTGTAAGAACGATGGTTATGCTTTGATGTTGCACTTTTAAGATCCTGAAGATGAACGCTTTCGTAACAAATTGGACATTTTCTCCAGCTTTTATCCGACAATGACAAGTAATGCAAAATACAAGCAAAGCAAAAAATGTGACCACATCGTGTCATTCTAGCAGCTTTTGGTGGATATAAGCAAATTGGACATTGACTTTCCTCAGTACTTGACACATAAATCTTCACCACTTGATCCCATTCAACAAGCGCATCTGGTGAAATTGTGAAACGACGATAATCATAACTGACATCAGTTTTGACTACAAATTGACAGTTTGCTTGCAAATATTGTTCCTTGTTGAAATTGTATTTCTTAAGATTGGATCGATGATGGTGATATCCGTGTTTCGAAAAAGTACCAGCGCGAACTTCATTTGTATCCCTCGCAGTATAGTAGTGGAAGTTTAGCAAATGGTTCAAGTTTTGTTTTCTACTTCCATGATTAAAAACCGAATTTAATTCGTTAACTTCCATCAATCCGGAGGTCTCGCATGAAGTAGAAGTCGATTGGTCCAATCCACCACCACCTTTTCTTGCTGGTGGACGTTTGTCATAGTAAAAGTTGTTGCTGCGATTCTTATTAGATTGTTGTTTGTTATTATTCTCCGATTGATATGATTCACGACGACGCTGCCGTGGAAATTGTTTGTTGGAAACATCTGACAAAATCAAAATTACATAAAACTTTTGTTGTTTTTGTTGTAATGGATGTTCGTTTTTGTCTTACCTTGGTTCTTCGACTTGAAATCAGAACTTGATGGCCCATTTCGGGCAATCTGATTTCTTTTCTTTTCCATTACAAATTATAATATTAAATAAAACTAAAGAACTGAACGATTCAGCTTCTCCGATGGAGACAAGCTCACAATTTTCGTTTTGAGTGTGAAGTGGATTCATTTTTTTAGAAAGCCATGTTGATTCTCGGTAAGACGAATGAAAATTTTCTTCAAATTTTCAATCACAAATTTTGGCTTGGTAGAGCTTTGAAAGACACTTGAAAGTAACGAAATTTCGTTTTGAAGGCCTTAAGAAGCCTTTTAGCGTGTTTTAAACTTTGGGGAGGCGATAGAATTTGCCCAAGGGATTTTTAAAATGCGAAATTATTTCGCTCAAACTTCGGAATTAACTTTTTGATAGTGTTAGTAAGTGGAAATGAGCTTGTGACTGTTTTTCGAGTATTCTTAGATTTTGCCCATCTCTTAAACGCAAACAAAACAGAGCTTTAAATTGCATGCTAACAAGGCTCATGTTTGCGTGACATTTTCCAATAATTTTATTTTCACACAATCTTCAACCTTATTTAGACGCAACGAAGGTCTAAGTTTCATTTTAGTACCAAATTCTAACTTAACAAGACTGAAAAATTCTTTCTCAGTTCCATTCGATTTTTTCTCTGATTTCTGCTTAAGTTTAGTATTCCTTGAAAGCTGAAACCATCGAGTCCAGCCTAGGAGTAGCTAGCTCAATTAAAATCAAGTGCAATTGAGGAGTTTCTCTTTGAATTTTAGTAATGAAGTGTTCTTGATAATTTTTTCCTTTGCAAATTATAAAAGAAACAAAAGATTTTATTATGGCACACAAACGAACGTATAAAGCAGGAAATTCATCGTTAACAAACAACAGCAATTCAGATGAAAAAGATGTCAACTCTGAGGTAAGTTTTAATCAATTTTAATGAATGTTTTGTCATTTTGTTTGAGTTTTTTTGTTTTTAAAAGAAAAAAGAAGAAGAAGAAGCCGCGAATAATTATTCAATACACGATTTTATGTGTTATCGAAATTAAGTTCTTTAGCTAAACATAAGTATGGTTATGAAAAAGTAAAATATATTTTAGTAGAATCAAATAAGAATGTTTTCTTCCTTGTTTCTTCACCTTAAAGTCAACTTTCATAGTTTTCAAGAAAAATTATTCTTTCCTAAATGCTTTGACTGACCCACATACTTCTCCCAAATCTCAAGAAGCATCTAAACATGACATCCTTTTGCAATTCTATTTTTAAAGCACATTCCGTACATTTATTTGTGTTGTTTTGATTATGCGAAAATAGGAAAATTGCATGCAGCACGCAGGTCAATCAACTTTCATCGAAATAAAAGTTTTTCGGGTATTTTGCTCTCGTAATTTATTCGGAAAGGTCGAAGCCTTGAAAGATCATTACTCTTTATTTCGGTAGTGATTCAAGTTCAACAAAAGACAATTTTGATTCACCCACATTTTTTATTCTAAGAAATATGATCTCAAATAGAGATAGCAAAGAATTGATTTCAATAGAACCTCTTTAGAAAAAAACGACGAATATATGTACAAAACATAGAATCAATCAATTAATTTAATCCGTCACGATGCTTAAGACATTAATCAAATTATTGATCAATAAAAAATCAAATGCTCGCAATTATTCGCAGTAATATTTCACGCTTCTTTTTATGGCAGAAAATCCTTGAAAAAAATGAGAATAATGAAACCACATGTAATGATCCTTTGTTCCATCATCAGAACCAGAATGCCGGAAAATAAAAAAATATTCTAACAGGTTCTGGTTTGCACATTAATAAGCTTCTATTTATTAACTGTTGATTGTTATTGGCAACCGAGAACATTAACAAAGTCGGTCAAAACCGTCACCCCCCAAAAATATTTCTCCGCACCCGCTTTCCAAATATGGTAAGAAATCCATTTAAGATTTTTTGTTTACTGACGTGTGTATTGTTTGTTTCCTGGATGAGCTTACGAATTATAATCAAGGCGAGAACATGACCTGAAATACTTTACACAGTAAATAATCTAATAGTCTTAAGCTCGGGCTTTTAAGCAAATACCCAATGCAAGTCAAGTACAAATAAATAATCTGCCGGTGTTCTGCTAACAATCGCAATGTGATTAATCATTAATGTATAAGGAAATTACGATGTACGAATCTGATCACTGAAATAAGCATCCATGACTTTTCTCGTGATGCTTGATCTCTTCTCTTGATACTTTTTTATTCAATATGATCAAATCACATTTGGATTTCAAGCAAATCTTATTTAAGACGGTTTCTAAATATTCTAATGAGAAACCTGAGGAAGAATCATTGATGACAGCTTGAAACTTGTCTAGAATTTCTTGTCTCTCGAAAGCTGTTCCATTCCTTATTTAGGATGTTGATCAATTATATTTGGCATAAAACTCTTCGAAGCATTAGTCAGCTAATAAATAAATTATTGAGAATTAATAGATTGAACTTCGAAGCAGTGAACAGCAACATCATTGTCTGTTGATTTTTAAAAATTGTTAAAAAACCTGATCAGGTTTCGCTTTGCCATTGTAGCGCGAATTCTTTTCTTCAATTCTCAGACAGTTTATTCTTAGATAAGAGCCTTTTGTTTTTTCAATAAATTGCACGCGTATTCCATCGTTTCTGTTCATCACGAATCGAAAAGATAATAAAAACTTGAGAAAAGAAAATATTTTTGTTTTGTTTTAATTGTATTTATTGTAAAAACCGCCATCGGATATTCATTTTTAACGATCACATTTCTACTTCAAACTGAATCATCGCGGTTGAAATATTGAAATTGAAAGATCATTTCATGTAGGCCAGAATCGAGTACGCCACCACATAAAATAAATAAATAAATAAACTTATTTGCCGAATTTTAATTCTGCTCGAATTCAAGTCTTGAGTGAGAAAATGTTTGGAAAGAAAAAAAAATAAGAGTTGACGATATCTTAAGAGAAAAGATCTAAGAAGTTGACTTAACGGTCCAATATGTGTGTATAGGTTTGTCGATATTTATATTCAGACAAATCAAACTTCAAAAGTTTTAGCAGACAGTGTAAAATTAATTACAAAAGCCGAACGCTTTTTTGTCATAACAAATAGACGTGTGTCCATAATTCGCTTCAATAACTGATGACGATTGTGATTAAAATGTTGATGGATCACGAAAATGTTCCGTTACTTCCTCGTCACGATTCGATTGGTACTTAAAAGTTCCACCAATGTTTGATCATTTCATTTATACACGCGTTTAACTTACGTCATTCAGAAGCAAATATCTAAATATCGAAACGTCAAAGTTCAATGTCAATAAGATGTTGCAGAACAAAGACAATGACTTACATTTTCTTTTCATGCTCTGAATTCATTTTATTTTTTCTTATGAGGGTTCGTTTGTTAAAATATTTTTTATGTCTGCTCTGTCTCTTCTCAAATATCTTGAGAAAAGGATCAATGAAGTTTAAGGATAATCTCAAATGAATTGCGGGAGAAAATGAAAGTATCTAAATGAACCGAAGATGAACTCAAGTTTTGATCTGAAAATAATTCGATGAACTTTTCGATTGCAGTCGCGTTAGAATGTTTAAGTATGCTAATAAGAAGTGTTCTGCTTTTCTTGTTTAGACAAAGGGCAAATACCTATTTGATGATTTATTCAAATAATAACAGAAAAGTCATCAACCAGTTAATTATTCCTCACTTGAAAGTCTTCCACGCGTCTTTAATTCTTTAATTCTTGATTTAATCGACTTCTGTCTTACATATTAATCGAATATTGAAATTTTAATGAATCTTAAAATAACATTTCATTGAAATATCATTTGTTAATTGGTTGAATGTCGGTTGTTGAGAAAATATTTACAAACGATAATTAACATTTAATGACTTTTCTTTTTCTTCTTTATCATCAACAAACATCACAGAATCTTATTGATGTTTTCCGATGCTTCATCTGTATGGAAAAGCTTCAAGAAGCACATCTGTGTCCATTTTGCAGTAAACTCTGTTGTTATGGGTGCATCAGTCGATGGCTTGTAGAACAGAGAAAGGTAACGAAGAAAATTATTTCGAGTACAAAATTCAATTTATTTGAGTTTAATTCCTTTTTATTCACAGCAGTGTCCGTACTGTCGAGCACCATTACATGTCCATGAGTTGGTAAATTGTCGTTGGTTTGAAGAAGTCGCTGTTCAAGTTGAGAATCTCCAAATAATGGCCAACAAATCATCAGTTTTAACAAACTTAAACGATAAAGATTTGTGTCCAACACACAACGAAGAGAAACTTTCAGTTTATTGTTGGACATGCAAGATTTGTATCTGCCATAAGTGCGCTCTTTGGGGTGGAACGCACACAAATCATACATTCAAGCAACTTGAATTAGTTTACGAAACACATTTATCACAAGTGAAAGAAGAAGTTAGTCAATTAAGATCACGATTAGTTGAGTTAGTTGGCTTTGTATCAGACGTTGAACAAAATGTTGAAATTGTCCGAGGTGCAAAAGATGAAAAAGTTCGTGAGATAAGAAATGCTGTGGAATTGATGGTCAGCAGACTCGACGCTCAACTTAAAGTAAAGTTGATTAGTCTAATGAGACAGAAGAATGCTTTAACACTTGAAACCGAACAACTTGAGCATCTTTTACAAGAAATTGAGCATCAACTTAATAGTTGTTCAAGGTAAATGATTTCTTTGATTTTGTTACTTATGTCAGTGGTTCACAACCATTTTTCCTTAACGATTAAAGTATTTTAAGCAATTGAGAACCACTGACTTAGAAGTGTTTTTTTCATTTTCATTCTAATAAAATATTTAACAGATCTCAGCTTATCAGCAAATCACCAGATCTCCTTAAAATGATCAATCAAGTTCGATCAAAGCCGATGTCAAGTTACTCGTGCACACCAGTTCCAGCGGATTTTGTCAGTGAAATTGTTCCGAACTACGACACGGGAGTGTTTTTAATGAAAAGCTTCACAAAGTTACAACTGAAAGGTGATGCGATTTATTCATCACCACTTCATGTAAATGGATTGTGTTGGAGATTAAAAGTCTATCCAAATGGAAATGGGAGTGTCAGGAAAGAATATTTGAGTGTTTTCCTAGAACTCAGCTCAGGTTTCCCTGAAATTAGCAAGTAAATGTTCATTCTATTTCTGTTTTACTTAAAATTATTTCATATTCTTCACCTAGATACGAGTATCGCGTCCAAATGATTCATCAAAATTCCACAAAAATCATTCAACGAGAATTTGTGTCTGATTTTGAAGTTGGAGAGTAAGTTTGAAAGTGTAAACATTTAAGTGAAAGTTCAAAGAAGAATTTTATATTTTGGTGAAAAAAATGCTAAAAAATTATTTTTTTATTGTTAATTATTAAATTAGATGCTGGGGCTACAATCGCTTCTTTCGATTGGATCTTCTTGCTGATGAAGGTTATCTGAATACAACGAAAGACACTCTCGAGTTGAGATTCCAAGTCAGAGCATCAACATTCTTCCAGAAGTGTCGTGATCAACAATGGTACATCAATCAACTCCTTCGTCAACAATCACAAAACTTATCGCAAGTTCGAGAACTTAAAGATCGATTAGAACGTGAACAAATGAAAAGTATTACATTAGTAAGCAACGTCGATGTTGGAAAGCTAAATAAACTCAAGATTATGAAAGATTCTGAAGATTTACATGTCATTCAACAACAACAAGCAATCTTTAATGACGCTGCAAATTTTAACAATTTGACAGAAGATTTACGTAAACTCAGCAGTGATGCAAGTCGAAATCGGAATCGTCATCAAGAAAGTCAACAGGAAAGCCAAACAAGAAAGTCAGAATTGAAAATTTTATCTGGCTCAAAGTCACCAACAAATAAAGCCAAGCAAAGTTCGAGTGCTGTCGTTCATTCATCAACGACACAAAATGAAACAAAAACAATGACAACAACATCGTTGGCTATTTCATTTTCATCGCCAAATTTAGCAACAAACACAAGCTTCAGTTCAAGTTCAGACTCGTCAGATGGTGACGGTGGTGCTTGTGGTGTAACAAGTGTTGTAAAAATTCAAAACATGCTTGATGAACATGACAATTGTTCTTATGATGATAACGAAGGAGCTGATCATGAATCATTGAATCTTGTTGGTGAAAATGATGTTGAATATGTGGAATTGACACAAAGAATGATTCCACCATCACAGAAGATCAACAATAATAAATCTGAAAATCCACCAATTGAAGATTCTGATTTGATGCTTTTAAATTTATTTGATGCATCATCAGGCTCACCATCAAATGTTGAAAGTTCATCATGTAATTCATCTTCATCGTCATGTGGTTCATCAAGCACTGCCCTTCGACCAATTTCAAGTGTCTTAGAACATAATGAATCATCTGGTGCATCAAACGACAACGCCTATGCAAATAATTTAGATTTGCCTTCTTCTGTCTTTAATCACGAAGTTTCACATTCATTACCATCTGACGTTGGTGGTTGTTCAAGTCCAGTTTGGAAGCAGGTGAGTTTTTCCTTTCTTTTCAGACTTTCTTCATTTGCTTATTGTTTCTTTTATTTTCGTTTAATTTTGTTTTTATGATTTCTAAATCACATGTTTGGTGGGTTTAGCCATACAAGAAGCATTTGAATGATTTTATGCAAAATATAAAGTTGCTAAGTAATGAGACAAACAATGATTTGAATGCAAGAATGTCGTCACAAGTTGTGAAAAAGCGACATCAAAGATTACCGACATCAAGCCATAGAAGAATGCCATTTAATGATAATAAGAATGAGAACAGCATTGATGCTGATGATGTTGATTTGGCGTTGTCGATTGCATTCCCAAACGATATGGAGAACATAAAGATGTATGCTGATGACATTTGGCGAAAGACTCTTTCATCTGATTGTGATCCATCAATTCAAGTGTGGGAAAAGCAACCGGAAGTGAATAAAACGCCTGCAATTGTTTGGCCTTCGACATCATCTCATGGATTATTCAATGCACCGAAGAATCATTACCACAGTGATGACATTTGGTCAAATATGTCTGGTGGAAATATTTTCTTTCCAACTGCACCACCTTCAACCTCACAACAATCAACGTCTTCGAATGTTAAAAGATTTGATACAAAACAATATAAGAAAGTTCCAAACAAGTCATCACAAATTCCGACTGCTATTGAGATTGATGATGATTTAAATAACATGAAAAAACGTTTATCATTGACGTCATTACGAACATCACTTTGTCGACAAAAAGCTCTTGAAAATTTAAATAATGGGAATACTGTGCAAGCATGCAGCTCAACGTCAATCGATAACGACGACAATTTTCTTCAGGTTTTTTTTTCTTTCATTTTACTTCTTTTTTATTCTTCCTTCTTCTTATTCATCTTGTTTGTGAATATAAAAAATTAATTTGCTTTTCTTTTCAGGCCATTTCTAATATTAATTTTGATAATGTCTCGATGTCAAATCAAGAGCAAATGCCAAGCACAAGTGGTACGAAAAGTGCCAAGAAGACGAAGTAAATTTTGATATTTATTTAAACATCATTTGATATTGATAATTAAATAAAGTTTTACTTTTCAGATCCGCTGAACGTCCAAATTCAAGTTAAACACTGACTAAATATAAATTATACTAAAACATAAAATCTAACAACAGAAAATTCATCATAAATCAATAGAATTAAATATAAAAAACGATTTAAACCAATTTTATCATCGTCGTTAACATTTAGAACGAAAAAATTAAAAAACCAAAATCATGAATAAGAAAATTTTTGTCGCTTTTTTGCTAAAAAGAATTTTTTCAAATTTTTCTTTATTCAAACGAAATTCTATCAAAATTCGTGATAAAATAAAAATGATTGATGTGAATTTGACAGTAAATATTAAGATGTATGTGATATTTTCGATATTTCGATAATCGACAAACAGGAGATTTGCGTAATAAAAAGATTTGATGTTTTTAGGAATGTAGACAGTTTGGAGTTTTTTTTATGAAATTCGTAAGCGTTGTGAAGTTGAAGGACAAGTTGGGGGAAGAAATTTGTCCAGTAGTTTAAAAGTCGATTGTCTTCAGGTCCCATTTTATTCTCTATAAGATTTGTCTTTGGATGCACCGACTGTTTAATAAAGAAAATTAATAGAAATAGTTTAAAGTTATGCTTGTAGCCCTACCAAGTTCCTAATTTGCTTAATCAATCCAATCACATCACTTTTTAAGGAGATATCATCAGCATTAAACTTGATTCTCATGTGATATGGCAGTCTCTTTCGATTTATATCGTCAAGTTCATTGAGAACATCACGATCGATGTATCCACGCCAATCTTGATTGAAAATTCTTTCCGCGTGACTTCTTAAATATTCACTGAAATTGCAAATGTTTTGCTCCAGAATTTTTGCGATTTTTATGATGAAGTGTAAACTATCGCGATGTGACCACAGGAACGGTTGACACTTCACTGTCTTGATAAAAGGTCGGTTGTGATAATCAACGTCAGTCATTCTGTCAATAACATCAACACATAGAACATTATCATGTTCACTCCAATCAACATCATTTTCTTCATGATCTTCTTGACGTTTCTGAAAATGAAGCAAAATTTTTCCTAGAGCTTCAATGTCTGATTTAAGTTCAAATTCATTTGTAGTTTCGACTGCTTCACGGAAATTTGTTATCTTGTATATCCGTTTTGAAGCACCTCTTGTAACGACAGCAACGTTAGTTAATCTTAAACAACAATGAGCAATGCGAGAATCATGAAGAAATTCAATTCCATTGCTCAATTGAGTTAAAAGATCTCTTAAAACAATTGTCTTTACAGAGCACAACGTCATCTCATAAAACTCCATCGCTATGAAATTTTCATCAATCTGATTAAATCCGAAGAAGTGAGAAAGAATATTTTCATGGTGAATTAATTTCTTAGCAATCAGCATCTCATTTTCCATTTGTTTGCTGAATGATCCAACTTCCTTTATACAAATCGATTTTTGTTCGAATAAAGTCCCTTGAAAAATAAATTCAGGGTAATATTGGATGACGTTTTCATGAAATTTTAAGTAAGATCCAAAAGATCCAGAAAGACGATTAATTTTAGTTTCAATGTAACCGCCTCCATGTTCAACTACCGTTTGCATAGCATCAACATCACAAATATTCCTTTCACTAATTTCTTTTAATTTTTCTTTCACAAATGTTGCTGAATCTCTCTTCAGATCATCAGCTGGTAATATCAAAGGATCATTTCTAATGCACAGACATTTAATAATACTTTCAAAAAACGACATAATGTTTAAGAATTTATTTTCTCGGGTAAACTGATCTGCTGAAAGTTGCAATCCTGTTTTGATGTTTTTATTTTTCTTCTTCTTTTGCAAGTTTTTTCTTTGTGCAATTTGATTCTTGTTGGAATCTCATTTTAATGTTCTTTCTTTACGGAAGACGTAACTTTTATAAATTATAAAAAACATTTATTAGTTATTAAAAAAATATTTTATTGAAATATCTTCGTAGGAAATATAAAAATAAATGTTTTAAGCGTGTAAAATTATTTATTAGGTGATTAATTATTGTCACTTGGAAAGTAGTTGAAATTTTTAATAAACTTTATCTAAATGGAAAACTATCGATTAAATTCGAGGCAGAGTTGACAGTCTTAAGTCCATGCAACTTTCTTACGACCGAATTTAGGTAAAGCAAGCTCATGTTTGGTACCATCAATTGCTAAATTATCAGTTTTTCGAATCACTTTGTTAAGGTTTTTATCGTATGCTGATGTTATGTTGGGTTGAGTTGTAATATCGTTCAAACCATTGATAAGCGATGTATTCATCAATTCCTTCAATCTTTGATTACAATCCTCGATTGCATTAAGGTGAGTTTCTCTTAGAATATGCAAATCTTTTTGTCTCTTGTCACATTCGTTTATTTTATCGCTGATCGTTTGGATTCTGTCTTCCATTAGTACTTTTAATTGTCGTTCACGAATCATAGCATCTTCATTCCATTTATCTTCGTGTTTTCTTAAAGACTCCCTAGCTTCTGACTCGTACATAGACTCAATGCTTTGAATGTTCTGCGTTTCAAGATCATATTGTCCTTGAAACTTCAGCCTTAAATAATTAATTTCCTCATTATTGTCGAAATCGTTGTCAAAACTAATCCTATCCAGTAAATTTAAATCTTGTTGAAGATCTCGTCGAATAGCTTCACTTCTTTCTCGCATAATCATTTTAACTTTTCTGTAATTATGCAATGCATGAACACGATCTCGTCGTTTATTATTAACTGAATTTATATTTTCAATTTCCTTTTGTATTTCTCCAAGTTTTTTGCGTAAAGTACTTTCTAACAATTTTATATCGTGGCTTTCACGATCACGCAATTTAAGTTCTTGAATGTGATTTTCTTGGAGAGTTTTAATTTGGTTAATCTCCGATTCACGCTGTTGAGAACAGTTTTGAATGAATGCTTCATGCTTTCTCTGTTCCTCTTGAAGTTTCAACTCTAATGCATTATTTTCCTGCCTTTGTCGTTCATTAAGCATTTGATTCTCTAATTGTCGATCTAACCAGCTGAGTTTTGCCATTGCTTGATGATTACTCTTTGATTCCTTTAAAATGTTTTCTTGGTCCATTCCCAGTCTCCAACGACTATATAACTTTGATTCCAAATCGGTCCGCTTTCTGCACTGCTCTGCATTTGAGAGAGTTTGTCTAACAGACTCAAGCATATCAATTGACATTTGTCTTGAGCGTGGTCGTTTATTGTTCTGCATTTCATTATCAAACTGTGAAGCTTCTTTTGCTAAAAGAACTTTCAATCTTTCTTGTCTTTCTATTAACTTCTTCTGCTTCTCTTCTTCTTCTAAACGCTTTCTCATTTTCTCTCCTGCTTCCTGATAATAAGAAGGTGTTGACCAATGTTCATGTCGAGCTGTTATTCTACCCCATTGATCATAATATTTTTGAACATCTGAAAGAAAATGAAATTTTTGTTGTATTTTCCCACAAAAATCGATTTTTGATTGTTTGTTTATTTTGCATTCAAGCACCTTTTGTTTGTTGAATTTTTGTTTGCTCAATTTCACGCTTTTTAACGAAATAAGCCTGTAATCTTTGACCTTTCATGATAAATAAAAAGAATTCTATCTGTACAAGAGAATATTAAAGGTCTTAATTGAAAGTATTAAAATATAAACACTGAAATGATAAAATTACAAAATAAAGCCGATCGTGTAGTCAGTTGGTAGTTTATAAACAAACTTTTGTTTTTCACCATAAGTGGTGAGATCATACTCACCCAAATTTAGTGGTGAGTTAGTTTCATGTTGCTTCGCCTGAATATTACCGATTTGTATTTTACAAAATTCTAACTAAATTCTTTAACATCAAATAACTTAGCCAAAATTTTCTAAACGATACAAAGTAGTTTCATAGTGTTTGTAAAAAAATATCGCAATTTGTTGTCAATTTATTTATAATTAAAATCTCGCTTATAAACGTACTTTATTTACAAAAAAAGAAAAACAGAACGTATTATACTAATTAAAATTCATAGCTTAACTAAAAGGACAATCGTTTTTATACAAGCTCTGTGTTCCTATCAGTCGAAAATAAATCGAAAACGAATCGAACAAAATTTTTTGATAACTACAATTGAATTTAGCTTAATTAATATTATCAAACTGTTGTCAGTATTATCAAGTGTAAAGGAAAAAAGTTGTAAAAATGGATTTAGTCAAGGAGTATTCAGAGTACAAGGAGTATATAGATGAGTTCGCTAAAACGATCAATCCCCATGACCAATTGCCCTTAAGAGTTGCTGGATATTGCCTGAGAGATTATGAGATCCACGGTGAAATTCTCGAGTGGCTTATGACTTACTTGGGGTAAGATGGATTATTTGAAGTAAAAAGAAAATAACAGTTCATGTTGTCTTACATATGTACATCGCTCTGGCTATTTTCTTTCCTTCATTCTTTTAATTCACGATGGATCGTTTTAATTAATTATAATTAATTGTTCCATCCAACCGCGCGAGTTAACAGACATTCGAAAAACGAAACAATAAACAACGAAAAAAAAAGAAAGAGAAAAATCAGCACAATATGAAAAAGTTCGGGAAAAGAATGCAATTGTTCATATCATTGGTTTTTATTTTTGCTTTCGACAGAGAAGTGATTTAAGAGGAAGATGATGCTTGAAACCCCCGAACGAAAATTATATTCAATTATTCTTCAATAACCATTTCCACATTTAGAGTTTTATTTTTAACTAACCGCGCTCACCATGGGTGTGTGTAGAATAATCGAAAGATCGAAAGAAGTATTGTATTGAACGGTGATCATCTTTCAAAGATTTTTTTTCTTATTTCCGATATACCATCTGACTTTGTTAATGTGTCATGATGTGATGACCTTTTACGATGAATTGACGTGAATCATCGTTGATTGGATAAACTTTGTGCAATATGAAATGAGGAATAAATAACGAGCATTCATCATTATCTGAAAAAAAAGACGACGAGGTGATAACAACGCCCAACGACATCAGCATAATTCTCATCATCACGTTACTTGCGCTCATTTACTTCAACCATTAACTAATTATATGATTTTGCATGTGTGTATGACAGAATGAGAGAGAGTGAGGGAGAAAGAGGGAGAGAGAAAGACAAAAGTTAAACTGAAAGATATTAATTTAATTTATGAGAACTAATTTGGAAGAACATGGGCTTGTTTTATTACCGATGTTCGAATGGAAAAAAATCTTCATTAAATCGTATTTATACATCTACAAATGAATGTTTGTTTTAAAGAAATTGTGACATTTACTTTAATCTACATTCGTTTTCCTTGCGCAATGAAATTATAAAGTAATTATAATCGTTCATTGCTTTGATGAATGCATGATAATTAATGGCACATTTATCTTAATAACAATGCATAAAATTACCAACTCATTTAAATAATTAAATAATAAAAAAACTTATCTTTCATTATTTGTCTTCTAGAAAATCCTGTCCAGTAACATTTCGAATCTATCTTATTCAATTAGCAATACAAAGAACACTTGAGAAGGTCAAAGATTCACCTGTCGAATGTGGATTTGATGAAAATCGAAACGTTTATCAACCTCTCAAGCTTGTTCGTATTGTTGTTGCAGTTGTTAATGAAATCATTCTTGATCTTCAAGATAATTCAAAATTATATGAAGTTCCGCTACCGCCTACGTCATCGCTTGCATCAGAGTTGACTCAACTCAAAGCACCACCAAAATATTCAGTTGATGCAATCAAAAATTCACGACGAACAATGGAGGACAAGCATATGATCATTGATGACTTTAATGGATACTTTAACACTCAGGTTGATAAATATTTTTTATAAAAATCATCGTACACGATTATTTACTATTTTTCCTTTTAGGATACCGAGCCAACATTCTATTATGGCATTTTTGATGGTCATTCGGGATCAGATGCTGCAAGTTATGCGAATTCTCATCTTAATTATAACATTGCTGTTCATCCTAAATATCCTTCAGATATTACAACAGCAATGCGAGAGGCTTTTCTTGTCACTGACATTGCATTCCTAAAGAAAGCAAAGGCTGAAAATTTAAACTCAGGAACAACAGCTTTGTGTGCAATGTATAGGAAAACAGAGAAAAAACTTTATATTGGTTGGTGTGGTGATTCACAAGCTCTTATAGCTCGTGTTGGAAATGTCCGTCAAATTGTGAAGAAACATTCGCCAGAAGACGAGAGTGAAAGATTACGAATTGAAAAGCTTGGCGGTGCTGTTCTTTATTGGGGAAATTCTTATCGTGTTAACGGAGCATTGTCAGTTAGTCGTGCGATTGGTGACATGATGCATAAACCATTCTTAAGTGCAGAACCTGAAATCGAATGTATTGATTTGGATGGCGAAGAAGATTTTATAGTTCTTGGATGCGATGGATTGTGGGACAACTTAACAGAAGATGAAGTTGCTATTGCTGTTTACAAGAAACTTCGTGAGAATCCGGGTAAGTCTTTATTGTACATCTTTATTGAGGTTTATGAACAATATTAATTAACGAACAAGAAAATACGATTGTATTTACACTCGATTGCTCAATAAGCACGAAAAGCTGTCGAGATATAAACATTGGAAAGTTCAATAATAATAATTTAATGATTTCATTAAGATTTATTGCAAAAATATAAAAATATCTAAAACAAGTTTTTTTAAAATAAATACGCAGCGTGAAAATGTTTGCAAATGCACAAAATTTTGTTAGCTTAAAATTTGCGTAATTTTAAAGCCAACAGACAGTAGCAAAAAAAATCTAACAAGCGTGAAATTCATGAGATTTCAAATTTGTTTTTGTAATTAAAATTAAATTAAAATCAATAGAAACGTGAAGTAGGCCAACGAAACGACCAAAATTAAATTGAATAAGTTATTAAAGCGACATAAACAATTAAGATGTTAACAAATGCATAATAATTGAAACTGTTTTTTATTTGTCTGAGACTTTGAAGTTTTACGATGATTAACGTTAATATGTTTTCCTGAGAACAATAATAATTTGTAATTTGTTTTCTCAGATTGTGTAAATGCAGCATTACTAATGTCAGGAGGTTCAAATTTTCTTGCTATTACACATCATTTGTTTTTTTAATAAAAATTCCCATGGAAAATCTTAAGTAATCTTTGCAAATTTCCCTTCCAATCAAAAAAAATTGTAACTTATCTCTTAAGTGATAACCCTTTGGTTAATGTAATTTATTCACCGTAATAAATCACACATTCATTCGTTTATTGCTCATATCAAAAATCATTCGAAATGAAATGAAAACAACTTGAATGTTCTTCAATTTTTACATCAGATTTATTTAAGAAAGCTTTAAGCTCGCTGTGGTTTTATCAAATTGCCTCTCCCCAACGGAAAAAACACGATAAAATGATTTTCCGATCATGTTTCTTCATGAAATTTTCCGCTCCCACATTGTCTACCCAACACACACACTGTTGAATTTTATTCGATGAGTCATATGGAAACACAAAGCAACAGACAACAAATTTGAGTTGGTATCGTTTTTTTATCGTTTGTACGTTATAACGAGACTCAAGCGTTCAGCCGGCTTTTGCTTGAATGATTTTCTCAGTTACTCAATCCATCCATCTCACTCCAACCGTTGTTTTATACTCTTATTCCGGACGTTTCTTCTTCTGATCATGACTTTGCGAAGAATTTTCGTCGATTTTCCTGCTTTTCGAATTGCTACCGTATGGGTGGAATTAAAAATCTTTTTGCTAAGTGTACTGAATTAATTAATTCAAATTTGTATATAAAATTTCTACTCTATATTTAAACACAACACGAATATGAGAAATGACGATGATGACAGCAAACAAATGCATCATTGTTGCTTAGTAATTTTGATTCTTGATATCATTGCGGGAGGTTCATTTAAACTCTATCGTATTTAGTCGACAATATTGTCAGGGCGCAGCACAATAAATCGTCTTTGCATTTAGCACATTCTTTCTTAACACCAAGCGAATTAAATTCATTACAAGGCTGAAAAAGAGTTTGAAGCTTCTCAACTGTTGGAAATAACAAATAATAAACGAAATAAGAAGAATCGTCAAAAAAGCGGTGCTCGAACAACAACAGCAATACAAAATCCATTTTTTTTTCTTCTTATTTCGTTCATACAATTTTATTTTCTGTGTTTCACATTCACGGGATGGAGAAAACACCGCAGTCTATTTGAAAACGTTGTGCTGTGCAGAAGGTCCTCTTACGAAGAGAACTTTGATAATTTTTTTTACAAAAACAAGAAAAGAAGAGAGAAAAGTTTATTTTATTTTGGAAATCTTCAAATTTGACGTGTGCAATAAAAAAATTTTAGTCGGAAAATTATTTTTCCATTTGAAAAGGAAAAAAAAGTAATTTCCTCGTGAATTGAGAGTTGAATTAACCTTCGACGGTTTTTAGAAATTAACCGAAGCTGCTGAGAAGCAAGAGAAGAAAAACCTTGAAAAAGTTCATTAAATTCACTCATTTGAAGTGTTTCCACACGATTGTGTTACCCCGAAGAAGAAGTTAAACAAGCGTTGCTGGTGTGAAAATTGCAAAGCGAAAAAAAAACTTTAAAAGTTCCATCAAGTTTGAACTCTTGGATTCATTGCGAAGAACCTTAAAAAGTGTAGTTTGCATCCAGGGATAACAATCCAATCTCAAGTTCGAGAACAACGAATAAAGCGTGGAAAGGTAAAGAAAAGTGCTTTATTGAAATTTATTTTTTCTCCAATATTGTTGGCAAAAAACCCAATTAAGATTGCTAATAAAATGTGAAATAGTTAATTAACTTGTTAAAGCAAGAAAACGCTACATTTGAGATAACCAATTTTTTTCCTTTCTTTAATTTATTTCGTTAAAAACCAAAACTATTTTCAAAATTTTTCTATATATAAAGACGAGAAAAAATTTCACATCGTTCTAGTCGAATAATCTCGCTTATCTCTTTGCTCAACTGTTGCGGTTTTTTTTCTTTTGTTTCTTTCTTAAATTGGAATTTCTTTTCACAAAAACAAAAAGCAAAAAAATGAAAGAAAAATCGGCACGTATATTGAGGTAATTGCTGTTCCTATGATGATCATGATCATCATCATCAACTGGTCTCATGGTTGATGACTCAGAGAACTCAATGAAACAACGATTGTTGTCATGATGAAATCTTTAATAAAAAAAGAAGAAAATTTAATTTGGGCACATTTCCGTTCACCTGATTCGTACGTGTTTTAATTGAGATTGAGAATCATAAAGATCCCGAATCAACACTCGTTGGCATTGTTTGTAGATATCTAAGATGCTTTTGATTTCCGGTTCCATTGTTCAATTTGAATTATTTTTGGGTACTGACGTATTATGCCGCCGAGAATCTTCTGTAGTATTAAAATATTATATAAATAAAACCGATAATGTGAATACCACGCTAGGCTCAAAAAGTCAACGTATTAAAAGCAAATATTTTATTTGTGCAAATATGGAAGTTTCATTTAAAAAAATTAAAAACTTATCTTCCTTTGACATTTGCCCAATAAAAGCTGAAAATCTTTTGCAGCACAGTTTTCTTTCTCGTCAAGTTCAGTGCCCTTAAAAAGTTGCATAAAAATCAATAAAAACAACAAATCTGTTGTCGGAGAGCGAAGTGCATGCGTCGCTTGAAAATATTTAATCGAATTTCGAATGAATGTTAAATTAATTGATGAAAGTACTTGACAACGAAGAATATTTTAATCACATCTTGATTATAATTTGATGTAATTTGTCATACGATTGACAAGGTAAAATTATGGAGACAATTAATTATAGTCGAACAATTGATTGTTGACCTTTTGTTCACTTCTTGTAGAAAATTTCTCTCTTCAAATTGCATCGTGTTAATCATCTACAGGTAAATCTATTGATCATCTCGGATGAATTAAAAGAAACACCAACAATCAATCTCACATGATAATTTCCCGAGGCGTCATGAAAATATTTTTTCATATTGAACTCATGTAAATATTTTGGTTCCATTACACGTCATGTCTTGAATTGAATGGATGATTAATTTAAATAACATTCAATCATTTATAATTTTAAAAGTTAAACTTTCATCAGATTCAGAATATTCCATCTGGATGTAAATGTTGAAAATTAGATTTATTTCCTAAGGGACAAATTCTGAACGCTTTTAGATTGATGATCAAATTTAAATTACATCTTCCAATAAATAAATCAGGAAATTCTGATGCAAATGATAGTTGATAGAATGAGGTTCAAGTTTAATTACAAGGAAAATACGTTTCATCACATTTTCTTCTTTAATGAAATGTGGTGCGCATCAGAATGCTGTCATCATGTTCAGAGAAAATTTTTCACTTTATAATGTTGAAATAATTTCGTGAAGCACTTAAAAGTTTTTTCATTAAATCTTAAAACTACTGGAAACTTTATTTTTTATGTAGGACAAAAACCAAAAACCGCAAATGTTAATATCAGAATAAAGTTATAAGCACGACAAGTTCTCGAGCTTCTTCCAGCAAGTGCGATAAATTTTCTGGAAAAACTATCAACTTGAAATGTTCTAAGAGATAAGTTGACCATAAAACTATCATCTGTCTAATCGTTGTTCTTCTCAACATACCAGATGTATCCAATGTACGGAATAATTTTTTCATGAACTCAACTGAAGTTGAACAGCAAGAAGAAATTTTTTTAATATTTTTTTAACGAATGCGAACGAATGTGAAATTTAAACATGAATCATCAAACGAAAAGGGATGAAGAAGAAAACTTAAAATTTAGCAAGCATATACTTAAGGAGCGTGCATATGAAACTGTCAAAAGAAATAAAAAAAATGAATAAAATATCGATTGCAATGGGGTTGAGTCGAGTCGAGACTGAAAAGCAAGTTCAACTGCATACAAATATTTGAGTTGATAAAATGTGGGTGAATATCAGACGATATTGTGGAGTCAAGGAAGTTTTCATTTCATTTTTAATACTTTCTTCTTTCCTTCCAACAGCATTGCAATGAAAGTGATGCTTTGCCGGGTGCTTTTGAAAATGGCTCATAAATTTATTTCTTTATCTTGAAATTCTTTTGTTGCGATAACAGCGCGTTAAATTGAAAACATTAATGGATATATTTTCACTTGAATATGTGTCATCAGGATGTGTAATGCTGTTTTATGGCTTCTACCATTAAGTTTCACTTTTCCTTATCCAACCCTTGATCGGATTCTTCCTTCATCGACGCGTCAACTTAAACACTCGAATTGATCGATGAAAAGTTTCGCAAATTTTTCGTCTTTCAACTCGATTGATTTCCATTTTTTTTCTTAAACCACAGCCCAACTAGTAACCAGTGCTGAATAATGATGAGACCGATGAGTTTATCGGCTGCCTTATTTAACGTTTCAGTAGACATTCTTATTACCATTTCTTTCATGGCGATGGTTACCATGTAAGGAACATCCACACACAAGTTGAAGATGATAATAGCGCAAATAATTTGAATTTAAATTGAAAAATATGCCTGAAAAGGGGATTCGTTTATGCCGGTCACATTTTTTGTTTAACGTTGACAAAAATTAAAAAATCTGTGCAAATGTCAACGAATAATAGACAACAGGCAAACATCACTACAGTACACTTTGGGACTATCTTTATCTTCTCATTTTGTAGACTGCTTCTTTGATTAATTGCTTGCGATTCCTTTCGTACATGAGGGGAGTTGCTGATGTAGGAAGATATGTACTTTTATTAAAATAAACATAGAGAAAAGATTTCCATTTTCAGACAATTTTATAGCGATGACTATTAATCACTTGCGGTGCATTTTTTCATCTTGATTTTTTTCTCTCCCATGCATCGCTTTAAAATGCTTGAAAAAGAAACGAACTGTGAGTTGAGATCAACAATCATTTGCTTTTAATTCTTTGTGATCCATAAAAAAGAAAACTGACTGTAAATTGATCTCAATTTATGCTCAAGAAGAATATTCGAAATTGGTTTAATAGTTTTAACAGTTTTTCAGCTTTTAATTGGAAGTCGATGAAATGTTTGGTGTCTGTTGATATTTTAATATCATTTAATTTGGCTTGATTAAAAATAATTTCAATTGACTCATAAAAAGAGTGAGTGTGACATTCTTCGTTAATCTCTCATACGAATGACATAAAGTCAATTTAAAGAAATTGATTAAATTTATTTACAAGATGACTACATAAAATAATTTATTGTATTCTTCTTTCTTTCGTTACGTAATCATCTGCTTTGTCCATAAACTTTATTCGATGATGATGACCATATTTTGAATCTATGTCAGAAGACTCGTTTTGCGACAAATTTGTTTGATAATGAAAGACGTTGGATGATCTAAGACGCTTAATCTTTGTAAAATAACGAAAAAAAATCTTGTTTCAACCTTATGAATGAATTCCAGAATATTTTTACATATTTCTTCTATCTTTTCAACAAATACATGAGAAACAAAATTGTTTATTCAAGAATTGTTTTGATCAGGGAACAATAAGTAATATAATTCAAAATTTCTGCCAAAAATGGTTGCGCGCATTGATTTTTAATGGCTTCAAGTGAATTAAAATAACTTTCTTCATTTTATGTACAGAAAACAATTACAATAAAATGTTTATTTATTTATGTTCCTTATGACGAGAGAAATTCAATAACTATTTACATTTAAAACTTGCAACACTAACTTCCTGCTGAGACAAACAAAAGTGTCTCGTCTCGTCTAATTCCTTAACAATTCCAAGTAAAATTATCTGCGTCAACAACACGACATAACAATTGATCATTAAAAAGTGTGTGTTCATTCTCGCACAATTTGAAAAACATTAAACGTTTCCATGTTAAGTCAGTGGTGATTACACGACAACGTCATAAAAAAAGCAAAATAAATTTTGAATTGGCACGATGATAATTTCTTTTCATTTCTGAGGTGAATGCAAATGATGATGAAACCAAAAAAGGTGACGAAACTCCATGAAAGAATGCTAATCCATAGAGATGTGTGCTGTTTAATGATTCAGATGCAATTTCACGCTTATAAGTCTTGCTCAGTGTCTATTTTCAAGCTCTTTCTTTTCGATTCAAAATAGACGATGAAGAATCATGCCGAAATAAAATAATTTTCCAACATTCCAAGTGCGCAATGTAATAAATAAAGAAAAAATCTTTAAGATTGAGATCATCGTGCTTCAAATCGAAAGTTCTTTCTCTTTCCTTCTTCATCTGATAATGGGTTGCATGAAATAATTTCATCTGGTGCTAAAGCGAAAAATTACTATCCAAATCATCGGTTTCAATAAGAAAATAATTACAACATTTCCATCGCCATTTTTTTTCTTCGCTTATTTTCTGTATAAGAAAAATTTTTCAAAGTTTTTCTCTTTCCTTCGGTTAGCAATTTTTTTATATATTTTTCTACTTTTTTAAATTGGTTTGAGAAGCAGGCAATTGCTGAAAAATAGGAAATCACGTACAATGACCGCTATGAAATGGACTTCTTTTTTATGTATAATTTACAAAAATAGCTTCATTCTAGTTGAAATTAGTCATCAGTTCGTTAATGATGTCATGTTGTGAGAGCCTTGAAAAAGTTTTATGGTTAGTGAGCATTGCGAAATTGATGAATCATTTTTGCACAACTTAACTTTGAGATGAAACCAATCGAGTCGTATTTAAAAGCATAAAAAATTCCTTTGTGCACAGTTGAATGGGATCATAACTCTGCTTCTCATTTGAATGATACTTGCCGGCGACTGTTGATGAGACTTGCGAAAAGAAGAATTTTTTACTTGCTTCTCATTGCTACTTTACCTTCTACTTAATCTGACATTCCACTAAATTTAAAGCATTTAGTTTTTCTACTCCCGAAACTCTGAATATCTTGATTACCAATGTACAGCGTTTAATTTCAATTTCATGTTTCTCTTGAAGTCTCTAACATTGAGAAGATTTTGATTTGAAAATTTACAAACCGTAACACTCTGGAAATCTTTTCACTAGTTTTTTTTTTCTTGAGTTTAGATCAAATCAAAATTTGAAGCCTACACGAATATGAATGAATCTTGAAATTCATTTGTTTCTTAAGCTTATAAACGAAGTTCATACTTTTGATGAGAAGAATAAGTAAAAGATCCGTTAGAATATTCATTCACTTTCTCATAAAATTTAATCTCAATCGTTTAGAACAAAGTTATGATAATTTTTTATTGCTCTAATTATCACATTCCACACAATAAATCATCACGTAATATCATAAAACCCAAGTTGTCTTCTTTCTTTTTTTTAATTTGATTTCTTTTCAACGTCATTTATTTAACTTCAACCAAGGACTTCGTCTCAATAATTTCCGTTGTGGATTAATGAATATTTTTCTTGTCTTTTCACACCTTGTTAAAGCGTAAATTTAGGAAAAAAAACAACAGCAGCTGATGATGACGACTAACATAGCTGCAGAAGTTAGATAAATTAAGTTTTACTGACCATTTTATTTACAATAAAAAACTAATTATTCTCGACGATTTGTTACTTTACACCATAACTGCTTTTAATTAAAAGGTAATTTCAAGTCCAACCAAATAGCCCAAATCGTTGATCCAAAAGTGAGAAAAATTCAAAGTCACTTGCACTTCAAGCAAATAATGAATGAATGATGAGAACCAAAGAACAATATTAAAATTTGCATTTCCTATGCTAAACGTTCGTAGTCAGGAAAAGTGGAAGAGTGAAAATTAAAGTCATTGTTGTGTAAAGTTCTTTTTAAAGAGTCTTTAAAACTGCAATGAATGGTGGAAGGCTTCGCAACGACGTTTATTACTGTGAATATGCTTAATGTGAAACATTGTGTGGAATTAATGATGGTTTTACGTCTTCTTGCTTCCGTTTCTCTTTCAATTCTGATTATAAGTATATCTGGTAATGTGTCTGGTGAAAATAACCAAAGAGAGATTAAAACTTTACTTTTCTTTTACTGTTCTACGTGTTCAGAAGAAATTTTCCATTCCATTTTCTTACATTTTCACGCGATTAAATATTTAGTACAATTCATAATAGGAATTTTCACTACAACCTGCTTAAATTTTTATTTCATAGAAAATATGTTAATGGAAGTGCAGAACTTGCAGTTACTTCTAGAATGATGAATAAAACAATGATCTTCTTAATTTGATGTGTCAGATGCTTAGACTATTCTCTTTTGCAGAAATTTCAATCATTTAGATAATAAATAAATAAATAAAGTTTAAGTACTTGATATTATTAAGACATAAATGAGAGCTCTTCACTTCTTTCATTTTAATTAACTCGTTTACATTCATCAACCTTGTGAATAGAGTTGCATTAATATTTATTTAAAAAACAATTCTCAATTTTTATAACATAAGAATAATTATAAAATAAAGCTCCTTCTTTCACAACTTATGGCATAGCAACTGTTGTAGTAACTCTGTTGGAGGGGAAAGTTAAGTTTCGAACATAAAAGGTGTGCGAATGTTTATTACACTTATTTCAACTTCATAATGCAATGGAAAATTGTTATTGTATGTAGTTGCAGTCTGCAGATATATTCTTATTCGCCATAACGAAAGAATTAAAGTTCAAGTTGAGAAGTGATGTCAGTTCCATTAGCGAAATTGCAAAAAGAAAAAGAGAAATAAAATATCCAAATGAATAATGGTCTTGATCACGAGAATATGAGCGAAGAGGTCATGCCATTGATAATTTTTCATCTTTTTTTTTCATTTTCGTTCTATTTATGATTCCTCAACTAACAGCTCACACGCGGAGCAATTTAATTTAATTAAATCTATTTTACTCCTTCCATGCATGTTAACAACGGAATGAGCTCGAAATTCGTGGAAAGAAAATAATAAAGAAATGAATCGAATCGTAAAAGAGTTTTTCAGTTTTAATTTTCGAGATTCACGGTAAAAATGACGCGTTTCTATGTAGATAACTGAAGAAGAGAAAAAAGCATTAACATAAAATCACGAGTCTCGTGTTTTGTTTGGATGTTCTAAATACTTGTTACCACTTCTTCTGGTCGTTGTCATGTTTTATATGCTTCGTAGATTAGAGTTCAAAATGAAATACGATGTACAATTATAATTCATGTCATGTCTCGAGTTTTGAATGGGTTAAAGGTGGAGTAAACTGAAACTTTCCTGTTAACCCAGCCCCATCGAACAGAATGTGAAATTAATTAATAATTCTTATCTTCTTCATTTTTTTTTATTGAAATTTATTCCATCCTTGAATCGTGTTATCTTAGTTCGTCAAAACAAAGCTTAAAGACTTTGATCTCATTGTTACAAATTTAATTTATTTAAAGCTGCTTTTTTTTCTAGAAATTTCGTTAATAACATTCACAAGAATTTTCTCCTCTAAGCTCAAATCAAATATTTAAATAAACTATTTACTATGAACGAATATACATTGAAAGAGAAAAAAATCACAATGACCTCAAATTAACAAAAATAACTTTGAAAATTATTTAATTAGCTTAATTGTTAGAACGATAAAAAGAATTTAGCAAAAAAAAGAGTTTTGGCCCATTGAGAAAAATAAGAAAACTCTTTTCAATCAATTTAATGATTTCCCAAGGTGACCATTTTGATCGCGCCTCAAAATGTTGTGCATATAGCACGTTAGATAAATATTCGTCCGCATTCAACAGAAGGTCACTCACGAAAATGTATCCTTGGTATTCAAAAACAAAAAAAGATGAAACCTGTTTTTAATCAACATAAATCAACACCTACCCTAGCTTAACATTAATCGTGAGAAAGTTAATTAAATGTCAGGAAGAGAAAAGTGCAATCTTTGAATTTTTTTTTGTTAATACAAATAAGAAATGAACGGTAAAATTTATTAAATTCTTTATTCTCGTGTTCTTTTGTTATGATGCTGTTGAATGTTCGACAATAAACTCTCATAAGAATTGTGGGAATCTTTATCTGATTCTTTCAGACGATATTAAATTGTTGATAGTAGAAATGAATTCAGCTTTCGTTGCTAAGAAACTTTAATAAATCAATGAACTTGTCGACTCATAAAACTATCGAAGAAGCCCATGATTCACTATTCAGAAAACTTTTCGTTATTTCCTCTCTTTTCTTTTGCATTTTGTTCGCCCTTCGAAGCATAACTTCTACTTTAAACTGAAACAACGAAACAACCCTCCTATAGTTCATCAGATCGAACGATAATGAAAAATTATGGTGAATAACTTTGACCAAGGAAATGTGAAAAACGAAAGTGAAGACAAATGAGCAAGAAAAAATAAAAATTGTCTAAATAAATAATGATGGAGACGTTGCTGTGGAGGGTTTAAGTCGAAGTGAGACAAGGGGGGAAGTCGATTCGAAACCTTGTTATTGCTTTCAAAAACATTATGGGGTTCGCTCGATAGAAATATCATGTTCAACATAAGACTTTAATACAATTACTTTTTATGCAATTTTCGTTGTGTGTCTGAAGTTGTTGAATATAAACCACGTGACTGGAAAACATAAAATGTGGGGTAAAATAGCGAGAAATTTTTTATGTTTCTTATGACAATTTTCGAAGAAAAATTGAAGCTGCACATGATGATGCAATAAATTTCTTCTCTTCACGCAATCGATCCTCTGGGAATAATTTTTGAACAATAAAATTTCTTAGGATCGATAATTTGATGAAATATTTATATTAAGGGAGGAAATGGAAGAGAATTGGAGCTTGAAGTCAAAAGACCTTCGATGAGTTTTGTCTTAAATAACCCTCGATTCAAGACAAAAACAACAGTTAATTGTCCTCGATGGTCATAAAATGAAACTATCAAGATTCCGGTTACAATTAAACTGCGCAACCAAAAATTTGTTTCATTCCTTCTTGACGTTTATTTTTTGAATTTTTTGGTTTTGATTTTTCTTTAACTTAATTGCAACCATAGAAAATCATGAAGCATTATGAAACTAACAAATTTAAAAAGCGTCTCAAATCCAACTCAGATCTGATGAAATTTTGGTTGTTCAAGTTTATTGTCCCAGAAGCAAAACAAGTATGATGTGTGCGTTCATTTAAGTTGCAATCAATCTTGCTCTTGTTGTTTTTTTATTTCTTTTGGTTCAGAGAATATTGAACTTTTGATATTTGAATGTGACAAAATGTGGACAAAAAGCTGAAACAAAAATCATTGAAGCAAGATATTAAAATGTTCTTACATCGCTTGTTCACTTGCGCAAAACTTTAATAGCATGGCTTGTGAAGTTGTTCATTATAATGTATAAACTAGTATCCGTTAACTCCGCTTCTATGCCTTTAGCCCATACAATCGACCACTTCTCATTGCATCGACGCCACATTTATGATCCAGAACAAAATACGAGCGATTTCTCTTTATGTATAAGCAAGCAACACAAATTGCATAATAAAAAATTCACTGCACCATTTGATGCCAATTGTGGATGATGATTTGTTTTAAAAACTTTCTCGCTTTGCATTTAGATCAGACTTGTTTAAGTTTATGAATAATCGCTTGACATTTATAGTTAAGCAATTATGAATGAAAAAATGGAGCATAAGCTCATGTTTTATGTCTATTTTAAATAAATATTTAGTTATGCTGACAACCACAATGAAGGCAATTAATTATGTACAGTTAGAACAAAGAAAAACAATTTTCTTAAGACATTAGACTCAAGCAGAAATTCATCTCCTGACCAAAATTTTGTGGTTTTAATTTCAGCTCCAATATCAATGGTCGAAAAAGTCGTTTAAACTCTACAAACTTACTTGCTTAGTTATTTTATGCAATGAAGCAAGGAAATAAGCGAACGACTCCGATTCCATCTGAAAGCCATTAAAATATGTATTTTCAATAACCCTAAAGATCATTCACCTTTACGGATTTATGAAAAGAGAAGTATCGCGATAAGCATAAGAAGAAGCGACTTTAATTTCCTTTCATAATAAAGAAAGAAAAGAAAAAAAAACTTTTATACGACTAAAAGGCAAGCAATTGCAAACATTTTGAAGTGCTAAAAACTTGTCATGAAAAGCGAAGAACGACGACAGCTATTAATTAATATGAAGTCCAACAAACAACCCAAAAGTGACATCATCTGTTATGCATAAAAAGAAATCGTCAGCTTTCAGTACGGTGTAGTGACTTTAGTTGCCATATAAATTTAATGAAACCAAACAAGAATTCTACGACTTTTTTTTTGTCGAAATGTTTGTGTGTGCGAATTATTTGTAATGACAGGGAATTGCTGCTGTTCTAGCTAGAGGGAAAGAGAAAAATCTTCCAGAAATAGTAACGATGACATTGACACTTCCCCAACCCTGAGCACCTCCAGTTTTGTGACAGTTCTTTAAACAAAAAGTATGATTTCGACTCTTTACTTTAAATGTGTGAGTTTAGTTGATGTGCCGGTAATGATGGGTTTCCTCTCTCGCTTGCTATTTTTAAATCGGAACAGTGAAATGAATAAATTTTTTTTCAGCAAAATATTTTCATGAAGTCATTTAAGCCGACGTTGGAAAAGAAATTATTTCATTCCCATATCTTTTTTCCTGTTCTAATGTTTGTATGACGAGCAGCTGTTAATGGATACACAAACAAAAGCCAGTAATTGTTTTTACTCGCATCTCTTTCCTTTCTTCTCTAAGTTTCATGATACAAGATTCTTGATTACTTAAATTAAGTGTGTTTAAATATAAAAACAACATCATCCTTGATTCGCGAGATCAAGAACTTTCTGTCTCTTACGTTTAGATACAACATAAACATAAATATGCAAACAATAATTCTGAAATAATCTCATTGCACAAACACACAGCTGGAAACATTTCATTCTGCTTTTGGATGATAGAATTTATTTATTTGACTGAGTTCATCACTTCACGACGCCAACTACCACGATAAGCGCACAAGCAGTAAAACAAGAAAACTTTTTATATGTAGATGTATTTGAAAGAAGTGATAATTAAATTCACGAAACAATATCAGCTCAAGTAAATCCATTTTGCTTACTGTTAATGGAAAAAGCATGTGGATGAATAACATAAGAGATTTGAAGATGAAGTCATCGATGCGCAAGTGAATTAAAATATCACCAAAATGACCATAAATCTCAACCGAATTGAGCCCATATTTGAATAGAATTTTCCATTCCCTCGTTATAAACACATTTGATACATTTTCAAGCAAATATTTACAGCACGTGTTGGTGCTTGCTTTGAGGATCTGTTAACTTGCTTCTCGTTTGCATGAAACATATTCATTAGCATTTATGGCGCATGTTGAATGTCTGAGGGTTATTTAGATGATGATGCTTTGATGGATGGGTTAAATAAAAGAGAAATTCATTACACTTATTTTAAAAAGCCAACGCCCTTCCATTTAAACACAATACTTAATGAAATCATGTTAGATTTGGTGCTGGCGCTTCATCCATATATGGAAGTCATTGAACAGCGACTTAAAAAAGACTTCGAAATTGATTTAAGAATAAAGATAAAAAGCTTTACTGTTTATGGCGAGTTTTCTCAAGAGCCAATAACGATAAGTTTCTTTTATAAGATTAATTATGTACAAGACGGAAAAGAATGAAATCCGATCGAATTGCAAGTCAAGTGTTGGTGAAGATTATCAATTTCCGGCACAGATTTCTCTAACAATAACAATGAAAATGTCTGCTTATGACGCATTAGAAAGTCAGTTTTGATGTACGAGACACGATCTTGATAAAATTTAATTAGATACTAAATGATGAACAGCACCAATTGACAGCTAAAAATCCCACACAGAAGTTGTTGTCAAATGACATATTATCTCGTAGAAATTCTTGTCTGACATTTTACGAGTTGTGATGATTTTCAGAACCTTTATGGACATTCTGTTGATGTACATTTTCTGAGATTACTTATCCCGCTAATTATTATTGTTATTTTTATTATTTTTGAGTGATGGTCAGGGTCAGAGATTTATTTATTTTATGCAGACATGCATTAAGAAAATCATTTTCACTTGTTAATGAAAACCACTCAATAAACTTTCACATCATATTCTTAGTAGAATTTGAAATTTTCTTGAACATTTGCCAAGTGCGAGAATTAAAATTGAGCGAAATATTTTATGAAAAGAAATATTTTGATGATGAATCTTTCCTCAAATATTTTTCTCTCTGTTTAACCTGAATGATGATAAACTTGGCGATAAAAATTGTGTTAAAAATGTAAATGCGAACATTTTATCTCAAAAATTGTTTCATGTTGCCAAATTTTAGATATTTAGGATTATTTATTTGGAAAGAATTTGACAAATCGATATCGTTTTATCATTCTTCAGAAAAGTGATATTAAATGGGCACAAGTTTTGGTGAATTCAATTTCTCAAGAAATGTTACATCGCGAAATATTTTTCCACATAATTCCAATCAATTATTGTGCAATTGACATTGTAAAATTATATTTGCTATTGCCCCATGAGCGAAATATTAATGATTTGTTATCATTCATTCATATTTATATGATTCTTAAACGTCCCGCTTCAAGACTGATAATAAATAGTACTTGATTTATTTATTGCGATAAGCGATGAGAATCATAATTAAGAATAAATAAATTGAATGCGAGTTTTTCTTTCTTGCTTCAATGATCCCAGGAAATGATCGAATGCATTCATTCAGACATTTTACCACCAAGTTTAATTAAAGGCTTTTAATTGAACTACAATAATTTGTTGGCAAAGCCCACGTCATTTACCATCACGCTTAAGCTCAAAGCAAAGGCAACAAATTGAGATTTACTTTCAAGGCATCGAACGATTTAATTACAGAAAGTTTGATTGGCTTTTGAATTAGAATAAGTTTTTAAGACGATTACAACACCGCGTCTGCAAAAAGCAAGTTTCATCTGATTTCATTTTTTACCACGCAGAACACGAGAAATTATTTCAAGTGAGAAGGTAAATGGTGCATGAGCCGTGCCCAGATAAATCATCATGACAGCTGCTTAGAAAGAAAATCCTATTCCTACGACATTTTTGTCTCTTTGTCTTCTTTCATGGAAAATGTTTCATAGATTTTTGTATTCCTTGCAACGAACCAGCCCATTCAGTGTATGTACGTTTTCTTTAAATAGGAATTCTTTTTCGTCAGTTCGTGAATCATCATGAATGCACCATAAACATCTCTTCTAACTTGTCGTACAAAACTTTTTTAATTCTCTTTTCTTATGATGTTGTTCCACATAAAAGACTCGTTTCTCTTGAACTTTTTTTTAAATTGTAATGACATTCTTTTTCTTCTCTGCTTTGTGTTGCGGGCGTCTATTTAAAACCATAAATCTAATTGCTCGCAATTTCCATCAAATGTTATAACAATAAGAGTTTCATAATAATAAAATATATTTTTATTTTTACTGATACGAAAACCATTGACAGCCTGGGACAACATGCAACAATAAAAGTTAAATCTGATTTAGTTCTGCTAGTTGTTTATTTCAATTTCAATTAGATTTGACATTTTATTGAAGTACTTGGAATAAATTTATGTTTATTCATTTGCGACGACTTCTTCTTGGATTTCTTCGACTTCTTCAACTTCTACTGCTGTTTCAGGAACAAGAACTTCTTCGACTTCTTCTACTTCTACAACTTCTTCAGGGATAAGTGGCTCTCGTGGGCCCATTGGACGAGTATGCATTAATTTTCTGATTTCTTCACGTTCTTCTGGTGTCAAAGATTCAAAATGTTCGCGAATTTTTTCTTTTTGTTCTTCAGTGAGGTGTGGTCGTTCATGGTCATATGGCATGATTGGTTGGAATCTTTGATGATGAAGTCTGTCATGCAATTTCTGTTGTTCCTCAGGTGAAAGTGATTCGAATTTCTCCTTCATGTGAGCACGAACGTCTTCAGGGACATCCTTGTCTTCAAAATGTTTTTTGAATTGATGTCTGTGAAGTTTCATCATAACTTCGTGACGTTCATCTTTGTCCATGGCAGCAAACTTCTTAAAACTTTCACGCATTTTTTCCTTTTCTTCGTCAGACAATTTCGAGAACTTCTCACGCATATTTTCTGGGATTCTAGCTTCCATTTCAGCTTTTAACTCTTCACGTTCTTCAGGAGTTGCTGATTCAAATTTCTTGTATACTTCATCGAATTTCTCCAAGCGAGCGTCAACAATTTTCTGCATTTCTTCTTTTCGTTCAGCCGATGACAAACCTTTCAACTTCTCAAGTAATTCTTCTTTCATGACCCCAAAACCCTCAAAATGTTCTTTAGTTGGATGTGCATCAACATTTGCAACTGCAAACAACGCCAACGATACGAAAATTAAAACTTTCATGTTTCCTTTGTTTTGTTTATTTAAGAAGTTTTCGTTTAAATTTCTCAAGTAGACTGATGATATTGGACGAAAACTCACCCGTTTTATACTCATTTTCACTTAAAATTAAATCATCATGATGAGTAAGACGTTGTTTGCGAATGACAACAAAACCAAAACAATGATAAGAGATGACAGAAAACAATTTTATGTTACATTTAACAACTCATACACTTTTGTATTTCTACAATTGTCATACCTTTGTGCGTCAATGCCTTGTGATAAAAAGTCAATTCAACATTTATTAAAACTTTTTTATCAAAATAATGCTGATCATGTGTTTTAAAAGCATGTAAACATATTTCTTGTCCAGGAGAATGACGTCAATCTTACATCTTAATACACCAACCCACGCAATATAATTCAATTCAACTGAGAATTCATTTTCAATGTTTGTAATGAATATCACATAAATATTCAAGTTGGATATTTATGTTCATACATGAGAGACTTTTGTCTCTCGCATTTAGGGCATTTAACTTTAATAACAACCCACACTCGCCACTGTTGAGAATACGATTTCATTATCGCCCATCCTAAATAAAGAGCGACCATCAATATTAACCAATTAAGGCTTTTTGAATAAACTTCAAGCATTTCTCGAAGCTACATTCAGTTATGTTCACGAGAAATGATGAATTTTAAATTATGCTTAATGATATATTTCATGTCTTTCCATTTAATTGAATATCAGCTACTTATTTTGACGCTGATAGGCATTTGTGTCATTGTTCATTAACAATCGATTTCGTTTCGTTCTTTTTATAATCCATTCGTGTTCTTGCCGTGTTTAAACTTTAAAAATGTTGAGAGAAACTTTTTAGTTTGTGCTTGAAAATGAGTCACTTGTCTCTCATTAATTAAACCTCAACTCGGTCGTCGTTTCCATTAAACAAGGTAAAAAATATTAAAATCTTTGTTGTTGTTATCACGAAATGTAAGAAGAATTTTTCAACTTAAGTTTGTGGTTTTTATGAATCTGAGAAATGCTGTTCATTCCTCCATTCCCGGACGTAAATTACAAAAAAAATTACTGCAAGAAACGTCAGAAAAGGGAAGAAGAACATTTTTTATCTGAAGCATAAAAAAATTGCAATCGCTTATGGGTTTTTCACTCAAAAAAAAATTAATCTCGACTGGAAGAGATTTCAAGCAATTAAGTGGTTGAGTGAAAACAAGAAATGTGGATCAGTTATGTCGAAAAGAAATTGTGAGTTGAATGAACTTTCAGTCAAAACCGCCATCAAATGGCAATTCTCGTTTGATTGTTTGTTTCTACCGCTTGATGAACTTCATTCGCTGTCTTTTTTTTGACAATCGTTGAGCTCAAAAGTTTTGAAGTTTATTAATCTAAAAAGTTGACACGAAAAAAAAATTTATTCATGATTTTTTTATAAATATCATACGGGACAACATTTAATCAGATTTGAACACTAATCATGTGCTCTAATTTCCCACACAAATCTTAGTCAAAACTTTTCCTACAGTTAGGTTTCAATTCAAATACTTTTTGAGCATCAATCTTTAATAAAAATTTCTACTTTTCCCTGATCACATGCCAATGCACTGCTAGCCGAATATCAAGCTAACAATTGAAGAATTCAAACTGTTTTTCGATTTGGGACGAGTTGAGTAATTGTTGTTTTCAAATCTCTCGATAACTGTATGGCTTACAGCATTTTTGCTATGCAGACATGGAGAAAATTACCATTTTCACTATTTATTCAACTTTTCTTTTTATTTTTTATTTTTTATTTTTCATTTCTCTCCTCATTTTAATTTGATGATGAAACATAAAAACAACAGCACAAATTTATGAACCGACGATTGTATTAAAGTAACACAACAACATTTTCACTTCCTTTCTTCTTTTCTTTTAATTGCAGATAATTATCGTTCAATTGCATCAGATTTGTGCTCGTTAGCCAAAGAACAAGGTTCACGTGACAATATTTCAGTGATTGTTGTATACTTGAAAGATCCGCAACTGATAGCAACTCAAAGCTGGCCATCAACGTTTCAAGAACAGTCTAAAAATATGGAAAATTTCAACATCTACGAACATCAAGAGCAGCCAGTCGCCAATCCAGTTACAATGGATGCGCTTGGAAATACAAATCAGGTAAATAATTTGAAATCATTTAATCTCTTAGGTGTTGCTTATGATGAATGATGGTGCAAAAGAATTTCATTAGTTAAAGAAAACTGTAATAAATACTTCCGACAAAACAGACGATGAAAGAAATGAAAATTTCAAATTTCACAAAAAAAAGTTAATTTTCTATCTCAATGAGTTTTATATAGCAGAAGAATCTTGGCAATGTTTGCATTTAATTTACAATTCAATAAACGAGATTATGATGGTTATGATTATGAGATTGAAGAAGGGAGAAGCATCGTAGCACGCGAATAGCCTCAATGCATCGTTTCAATTTATTTATGTAAATCTTTGCTCGCGTGATGGAAGCGTTCATTGATGCGATAGTCGTGATAACTTAATTTAATTAAATTTAAACTTTGCTACCTTCTCTTAATTTACCTTCAGGATATTTACAATAATCCATTTGGTGATTTCAACAATCAATTCATCAGTGATGTTGCTATGGGAAAAGCGTCAGAAATCTCTGATCTCGTTACGCAACAACAACCTGTTTGCAATATTACGGAAACGATGACAAATAATTTGAATAACATCAACAATAATAAATTCAACAATGGTCATGATGAGATGGAAAAGAACTTTGTCGTTGATGATGGTTTGAACTTTGATCAGCCATCAAGTCAACAACCACAAGAAGCTGCAAACATTCTCGTCTTGAATGACGATAACAACAACAGTAACAATGATAACTTTAGTGGTCCTGAAACCGACGTTGATGCCATTGACGATGACGTTCCATTGAACGCTTCGTTAGGTGCCGTAGGGGGTGCTAAAGAAAAGATTCAAATGGAATTCAAGGAAACCGAAGATTTTACTGATCAAGCTGCTGAAAATGTTAATTTCGGCGTAGATAATTCTGCTGCCATTTACGGAACATTGGAAAATAAAATTTTCGAGGAACTATCACTCCACAATCCAGATATGATCGAAGGCAACAATCCATTTGAATCAATTGATGACAGCAATGTGTTGAAAGAAGCTGCTAAATTTGCATCAGCGCCTGTTATGGAAGAGTTCATAGACAACAAAACTTTTGAACAGGAAATTCATGACATGTCAGATTTTGTTGAAAAAGCTCAGAAATTCGGAATGGAGGAAGAATTTAACAAGGAAATTATTGGTGCCGTTGATGAATTGAAGAGTGCCACTGATGACGAAGTTGCCATGCAACAGCAACCACAAATCGGTAAGTTTTTAATCACTTTTCATCCAAATTATAAATTTCATAAATCAATCATGCTGATCAGGTTGATAATTTACCGCTACAAGTTTCTTGTTTTCCTTGTTCTCTGGTTCAGAAATTTTCAACCAATAATTACAGGAAACTCTCTATGGAGGATTTTCCTTAAATATTTTGAGCTTTCCAATGTTTTCGACTCAATTTATGTCAACTTGGAAAATTTTAGTTTTAAAAAGCCATTTTGTTTCAAAACTTTATTCGAGAATATTTGGCTTTATACTTCTCCATTGAAAGCTTACCTTTCGTCAAGCACGTGGCGATAAATGCAATCTAAGAAATTATAAATTTCGATAGATTTGTTTTAATGAGCTTAAATTATGTATTTAAATACATTTACTTTAACTTTTCGTTTATATATTTTTCGAAAAGTTCACGAACGTCGCTTGAGAGATTTTCCCACTTTCGTCTCCATTCTTCACGTTTCATCAAGAAATCGTCAATTTCATTTTGAACATGTTCACTGAGATGATTAGGATCAGAAAGAGGAATTTCAACCATTTCGGGGACATCAGGGAATTCCAAATCGTCTTCGATCTTGTTAAGATGAATGAAATGAAAATTCCATGAAATGACTAACTTTTATTTATACTCACATCGTTGTTGGTGCTATATGAGCGAACTTCAGATAAATGTTTCTTAATGAAAGTGTTGAGTTTTTCACGGAACAATTCTGGAAGTGACATAATAATTTCATCTATTTCCTCAATCTCATCGGTGAAAGTTCGACCAGTATCAAGTGGAAAACGATCACGAAGATATTCAAGAAGCTTTGAACGATTTTCTTGATTCATACTTTCAATTTCTCTATAAATTTTCACACGTTCAACGTCAGGCAAGTGCTTGATACGTTCAACCAAAATTTTTTCATAAGTCTCTCTCTCTTCAGCAGTCATTGTGCTCCATCTCTCTTCCCAATGCTTTTTCATTTCAATCATATGATTTAGACGATCCATCATGCTAAGTGGAATATCATCTAAATCCAAAGAATCCAAAGCATTAACCATGGCAAGAAATGCCAATGCAATGACGATTGTCTTCATGTTCAGTTCTTTCTTTTTATCACAATTTTCCTACAATTAAATAATTCTAATCAAAAAGAAGGGAAAATATTTTTAAACGCTTTGAAATTAACTTACAAATCAGAAATTCTTCAAAAAACTGAAAGAAAATTCCTGAGATTTCTGATTTTATACAATATTTACTCATGTTGATAACTGTGACATTTCTTGTCAAACTTACATATTTTTTGATAGAAGAGCCTATTGTAGAGTTTTGCTTGTTGTTGATAAAAGAAAAACATTGAGTTAAAGAAAGATAAAAATGTTTGGGAAATTTGATTCGCAAAAAACACTGCGAAATTTAATTCACTTCTTTTCAAAAAAAAGTCTAATTGAAGGGTGACATGGACAACATCATGAATGTAATTTAATACTACGTTTTGTGCTTCCAATTTGTTTTGTTAGCAATTTTCCGCTTATCGACGACGCCTAAAGTCTCGCATAAGATTTCGTTCAAAACAAAACTGAAAGTCTTTTTTTACGACATGATTACAAGTCGGGGGTAGAAGTTGAATCAAGCAAGAAGAAATTTTATGGCATCAATGTGGGAATAAGTCGAAGAAGGTCTCAATTATCTTGAACAAAATGAAATATGAATGTTCCTTGATTCAGATTTGTTGAGTCTTATTTTAATGACTTGCAGTTTTGTCTTATTTAAAGTCAATGGCGTGATTATCATAAATCTTTTTTCCAATGAAATAATATTTTCTTCGAGACATTTTTGGCAAAACGTGTCAAGAATTTAGCTTTCAAGGAGCTTTTCTTTGTAGGAGTCAAACTACTTAACTTTCTCAAACATAATGTATCTAAATATCTAACTAACATTTTTTTTAATATTTTATTTGATTGCGTAAAGAACAATCAAAACTCATTTGTCAGAATCGGTAAAAAATCATCAAAGAACATAATCTTTTTTGAATGATGATCAATCGATTATAAGAATAAAAAAAAGCGAAACATAATGAAGCACCCAGAAGCAAATAATTGGAAAAGCAAACAAGCTTCTTGTTTGATCAATTTTTTGACTTTTTGATGATGATGCTTGAACCAATCTTCGGTTCTTTCTTTAAGTTACTTTTATCTTCTACTTTTCCATACATAATTCATTATATTCATGAGAAAATAAATTATTTATTTATCTCGGCCCTCAACTCAGCATAACAAACTCTCGAATTGGCTTAAAAGAAATCTTCAGCTCTCTTACTTGACTGTGTTAAGTCAATTGAAGCTTCAACAATACAATGAGTTGAAATGATCAGTTGAAATGATCAGTTGAGTTGATTTATTTGTGAAAATAAATTTTCGCAACAAACAACGATCAGAAACATTCATCAAGTTCTATTCAAATGGAATTACATGTTTCAATAGTAAAGTTGTGTCAAGTAATATACTGTTAAGTCCATTGCTAGAAGAAACCTTTAGGTAATTCTTTCATTCCCAGTGGTCGTTCTTCTGTGTTTTGTCTGAAAATGTTGAAAACATGATCACTCAATGAACTTTGACGTCTGTTTATGTCGATAACAAATTATTATGACACCTTTTGGATATATTGGTTTGCCATTTTTTGCAAATTTAAACGGCGTACATGGCTATTAATCATGTAAGGAATTAATGGGCGATGATTGAATTTGTGGAACAAAAAAGAAAAAGAATGAAAAAGAATTAAATTCATGCGATGTACATAACATAAATCAGCAACTTAATAGATTATTTTTCTTTACGCTTCTTTAAAATCGCAGAATTTTGTTGCGCAAATTATTTCGAACGTTTTTAAAGAAAAAAATAAATTTGTAGTTGTGGCAATCAAAGAAGTAGAGTAATTACGAAACATTTGAGGTAAAGAAGATGATCATGAACAATAAGAGAGAACTTATTGAAGCGTTGAAGACATTTTTATAGTTGTTTATTATTATTAATCGTGTTTCTGTTTCTGCTCAAATGAGTCAGACAAAAAATAAACTTAGAATTTGAATTAACGCAATGCCTACTATCAATTATATTGAATCTTTTCTTTCATTTGTATCAACATTATCTTTTCATGCGATCAAAGAGTCATCAAGTCGTGAATTTAAACAGATATTAATTTGACCAAGTAAGAAAGAAAGAAAGATATTTTTAATCGATTCTCATACTTCAAACATTGTCACAACATTAACATCGTTTGCTTAAAGTCAAAATATGTCATAGTTTTCAAGTCATTCTAAAAGCCTATAAGTGCACATTACATGGTGTATATTTCTTGTATTGATAATTTCGAATATTATTTCTTATAAGTTCAAGTTGATGGACTAGAAAAAGAAAAACTTTCGTGGTGAAATTCAACAGAGCAAAGAAAATAGCGCAAAAAAATTCAATTTTAGAAATAAATAGAAAGAATTCGAGAGAAGAAGATATAAGTCTGATGAATGGAAATAGCAAAGTATGAAAAAATCTTCATTTATATCGAAATAAATGAAAATAACGAACAATAGCTGTAGTATGTATTCATCTTGTGATAAAATCTTTAGTTTTTAGTGCCATTTAAAGCGACACGATAGATCTCATAATTCTATAACAAAAAGTAATATTTTGATAGATTGCATACCTTTTGGTGTCTGTAATAGGCTGTGAACTGAATACATTATTTTCCTTTTTAAGTTAATATTCGTGAAACTCTTGAAAACAACTCGAAATAAAATACGTGCAACATAGAAATGAGTCAAATAATTTTTAACGGCTGGAAAAAATTCAAAAGTTGGGAAAAAAATATGCTGATTTATCGGGGTTTTAGTCTCTAACTTGATCTGAACGAAATCTTATAACAGTGTCATTGATTTGAATTATTCCTCAGTTATTATCCACTTTAATGTTACATTTTACGTTTAATCACTTTACAAAACTATTCATCTAACTATATTTCGTGAAGGATATCTACAATACAAGGTGATTTTTGAAAAAAAATACAAAAATTCAAAAATTAAACAATTCCGGGCGACAACAAAAAAGAAGGCATAAAATATACGCAAGAAAGCTGAGAAACTATAAAAGAGCCTGAATTGTTCAATATTGATTGAAAACTTCTTATTTAAAGGCGTTGACATTGTGTTCGATGTTAACATTGAAGATTGAATTTCGCAATAATTTCGTTTCATAACTTAAAGGTTAGAACAAAACTCCTTGCAGATATTCCTTCTGTTTAAGTTCCTTGCTAACTAATTTTCCTCTCGTTAAGATAATTATTCTGCGCGTTGGAATTAAAGCATGTTTTAAATTGATATTTGCTCCCTCATAGTTTGTGTTCTTTTATTTTCATGTAAAGATATTTTGAGACATAGAACGCTAAAAAAATAAGAATATAAAATACCCGGTTAACGTAGAAGGCAATTTTCAGAAGAGAAAAAAGTTAAGACCGTAAATAGAAATGAAATGTTTGAAACTAAAGAAGGTGCTAAAATTAGAAAGATTCTCTCGTTCATTCTATTTTTACAAGAATTGGTTCTAGTGAATTCTAATGATACTTTCTTGCTGCTTGGGATTGTGAAGCGCATTCGTGTGTGATAGATTTAAATTACTTTTACATGAACGAATTTTTTCACCGCTTTATTCTTGTACATATTTAAATTTGTTTATAATAGTCAAAAAGATTACACAATCCACAATCTATCGTAAAATGAAAGTCGCGCATCGACTGAAACAGTTTCAGTTTGCCAAATATTAAGCCGTCGGAACATCATCATTTGAATAAATTATCATTTCCCATTAATAAAAGCACACATAAAAATATTTGTCATACAGCTTTTGCTCCCTCCTTCTCTCTCTTGCTCTTGTTCAACAATTTTAGACGAAATATTTAACAGAAAAAATGTTAATGATGTTGATGTTGTTGCTTCTTATAGACCTTGGATTTATTGAAAGCACACAACAACAACAGCAGCAACAAGCAATTGGTGAAAGTGGTGGTGAGGAGTCAGAAGACGAATGGAATTATATTGAAGGTGATAAGAAATCGTCTGATAATAATTTAGCTGCCGTCAAAGAGAACTCAGAGAAAGTCGAATCAACATTAACTGAAGAGAGACAAGAAACTGAAGGAGAACAATTAGGAAAGGTATTTCAATATCTGCATAAAAATAACATTTCTTTATAATTATTCGATTATCTTTTCTTAATACTTTTAAGTTCATCGAACACGAACAACAATTTAATTCTTCTATCAAGGATTGCGAAGCAGTAAAAGAGATTGCCGAGGAGCATTTTAAAGAAGAAATCGAAAATAAACTGCCATTGACAATCGACACAGAGGAGTCTGATGAAATGTCGCAATTAAATCCAGACGCAAAAGAATTTATTCCAGTTTCACCATCACGTGAACTTTTCAACAACATGTCGTTAAACTCACCGCCTTTGAATGGGCAAATGAATCCAATAATCAATAATCTTGTTAATGAAGACATTGTCGTCTCACAGTCACCAAGAAAAGGAGAATTCCAACCAATGGAAGATGTAATAATTCCTTCCGAACAGGACTTTGACACTGAATGCAGTTCACGTCCACATGAATTCGATTCATCTTCACCAATTGAAAATCGGGATGTGCCCCAAATTATGAATTTAAAAGAATCACAACAACGTGACGATAAACTTGAACATGAATATAAGGATGAAGCTTTCTTCGAAGAAGAGAAGAGACAATCAAGCGAAGATTATAAAGTTTTGGAGAAATCTTTCAGTGATTACAGTAATGGCTTCCAAAATGTCATTGATGATCCAATGAATCGATCATTCTATGAAGGCCGTGAAGGTGATGTTTTGTTAGCAACAGCTGGAGATGTTTTGAATACACTTCAACCAATTCCAACTTTCGAAGATGAACAACCAGAAGCTGATCATCAAAATTTCACAACAGAAAGTGATAAGCCTGAAGCTGATCATTTGGAATGCCAAATCACTAGTGAATCAATTCTTAGTTTTACACAAGAAACTAAAGATGATCAATTTGAAGCTGAACAATTTGTTGAAGAGATTAAAAGTGCTAGTGAGGTTGCTGATAAGTATAATGATGTGGGATTATCACCACAACTTCCAGAAGTCACATTCAATACAGTTCAAACTACTGTGGATGAACCAATCAAAGCTGAAATGGAATTAATTGAACAAATTCAAGAAACTGTTCCAGCTGCTGTTGAATCAAATCCACTTAAAGATATTCCATCGAAAGAAATTGAAGAAGCTAAAGAATCGTTAATTGAAATGACTGAACAAAAAGCTCCTGTCGTTGAAGAAGTTGAAAAAGTCATTGAAAAGTTGGAACAACAACAGGAAGATGTGAAACCAGAAGTTGTTGCAGGTGCTGTCGCAGTTGCTGCTGCTGCTGCAGGTGCTGCTGCTGTTGCAAAGAAGAAACCTGCAGCTGCAAAAACTGAAATGAAAACTAAAACTTCTGTTGCATCAAAGACAAGTGCAGCACCAATTAAGAAAGCCCCAAGCTCTACAACTGCATCTACTAAAGCTCCAATCACAAAACCAGCACCAACTAAACCACTTGCAACAACAAAGAAAGCAACTGCACCATTATCAGCTGCTCCAAAACCAGCACCAAAGTCAACAGTTTCAAGTGCATCCACATTACGTTCTAAGCCTTCAACGACATCTGCTGCAGCACCTAAAAGACCAATGTCTTCCACCACAGCAAAACCTTCAACAGACTCAGCTGCAGCAAAACCAACACCTGCAGCTAGAGCTACGACGTTGACCAAAAAACCGGCAACATCAGTGGCAGCAACAAAGTAAGTTATAATTTAATTAAATTTGAACTTTTATTTAAAAAGTTTTAAAAATTTCAGGCCACTTTCTCGACCAACGTCAGCGGCAGTTCCTTCAAAAACAAAGTTGACAAATGGATCGTCAACTGAACGAAAACCTTTGTCATTTTCAGCTTCTACTACAAGGTAAATTCATTCAAAATAAAAAGATAGAAAAGAAAAACTTATTTGAAAATATTTTAGAGCTCCAGCAAAACCACCAACAAGCCTCGCAACGAAACCGAATGGAACCTCAATGACAACAGCTGCAAGATCACCAACAAAACCTTTATCATCAACACGTCTCTCTACTTCAAATGTTGAAAAGTCTTCAACATCTCCAATCAAAGAAAAACTTCTAAATCGATCAATAGGAAGTGCAACATCAACACGATCACCTCGTCCAACAACAAGCGCAACTACGATGAAAACTGTTGTCAAAGATGTAAGTGTTATAATAAGTTCAAAATAAAACATTTTCTGAATTTTTTAATTATTTAATTAGGTAAAATCTCCAACTGGAACAGCTTCAAAGACAACTCCATCGTCTTTGTCAGCAGTTGGTGTTAAGAAGCCACTTTCAGCTGTGAAAAAAGCCTCAACTACCACGACAACCACAACAACTGTCAAGAAAGTTCCTTCAAAGACAACAGCAGTTAAGAAGACAACGACAACAACCACAACAGTCGTACAGAAGAAGAAAATCGTAAATGGTGACATTGTAAGTGAAGAGACTTCGACAACAACAACTTCTGGTGAGCCACAATTGATGATTGAAGAAATTATTAAAGATGGATTTGCATCGGAATTAAATGGGCATACTAATGGAACTGCTGAGAATGGAACAGCTGCTGACAATGTCCAAATGTTGATCGACTCTACAGCTGACTAATCATCTGCACAACGCACAACATAAATTATTCTAAAACAAAAAAAATATGAAAATTCAAAACGTGAAGATCAACGAAATCGAAAATGGAAAATGTTTAGACTCTCATCTGGTTTCATGTTCACCTTTTTTTCTTTTTTTATTACTAAACAAAATAACATTAACAATGGAAACGAGATGAAGATTCTAATTTAAATTTTCAACGAAACTCTTTGAGATTGATGGAAAACTTACCACGATCTTCACATTATCGAGTTTAAGAAAAAAACAAAAAAAAAAAACATTGTTTTGAACAAGAAGAAAATCGAATCAAAATTAATTAACACAATCGTTTGATAACTAAAACTTGATGAAAGAGAAACAGAAAATTATTTAAAAACTTTGGAGCAATGAGATATAATTTGAAGAAACATTGAAGTGGAAGAAAAATCTTGATTTTATAAGCAAAACTCGTTGTCTTTTAAATGCTGATACTTTTAACATTTTTTTGTATAAATTAGATTTATTTTTGTGTTTTTATGATTCTAAATTCATAGATGATCATTAGTCTTTAGATATTTCCTTATTCGTTTTCATTTTCATTAAATATTATTCCCCTTTTTGTCACCCTTTAAACTCATAAACAGCGCCAGTGAATATTAGAGCGCAAGATTCATAATAATATAAATAAATAATAAATAAAAAAATATTAACACAAGATTTACACAAGCATTAGAATTTTTTACAAGAAAGCTTAGTTAAGGAAAAGATGAAGTGAATATTGTCGCCTTTTTATATTGCTTAATCATTGTTTTAATGATAGATAATATTTTTTAATTCAAAGAAACTATTAACAGTGATTATCTACAATTTGTTTCAAAGGAAAAGCATAAAATTATAAACAGAATGCTTTTCCTTTCCATTTGATTTAATTGTTTAATGGTTGCCTTTAAAGTTTCTCAATGACCACAAAATGGCACCAAATAAAAACTTTTAATTGAATATCGTCGTTGATTTATTAGCAATCCGACAGAAACATATAAAAGTAAAATTATTTCGCATTTTATGAATCGCTTTTATGTTTAAGTTGTTTGGAAATTAATTGATTAAAATGCATTGAAGTACTTTGTTATACCTTTTTTTTTAAATCTACATTTATCTACATAGCTATGTCGAATGATTAATTTCGATTTATTCACAGCACTTTATTCGTAGAATTAAAAATTGACTGCGAAAAAATTTAATCAAGTAGCGTGAGAAGAAATTTAAAAAATATTTGCTAAGGAAATTTTAGGAAGACTTTTTATAATGATTGTGAAAAAAAAGAAGAAAATAATCGTCGAAAATGTTCATTGATTTGATTTGAAATTATGTTTAAAACTTAAATAAGTCATGAAATTATTGCTATTATTAAATTATTTAATATCATGAAAGTATGAGCTTAGAGAACAAAAGATGAAACATAACTAACATGAAGAAAATCTACATTTGTTTGAAAGCTTTTGCTGAATTCTTTCATTATAATCTTTAACCAGTTTCGCAATCGTTCTAAGTAATAAAATTTATCAAAAAATATATTTTACTCTTTTAATCGACGAAATGTTGAAGCCATGCAAATGGTTTTTCACGTTACGAAACTTATGCAAAATATAAAATATTTACCTTTAAACTGATATGAGAATGAAAATCGCCCTATTTGTATTTGATGAAAGAAGTAAGGAAGAAAATAAACTTAAAAAAAAAGAAAATGCAAATTCTGCAGTGATTTTTTATTTAATTTAGAAATCCAAATCTGCTTTGATTGGTCATGTCACTTAAATAAATAATTGACGAATCAACTTGAAAGAAATTTTTGAATGGAAAGTCATCGAAAAAGTTTGAACTTAAAAGCCAATATCGGTATTGCGATAGGTTATCATTTGTCAAAGATAATAACCCAAAAAAATCCGATAGTCAAGAAAATGGCAATGAAAATATTTTCATAACAATTTTTGTAGCATTTGTGTTCGATTAGTGAAATTAATAAGTTTTCAAACTTCAAAATCATGGACTTAAAACTTAAGAAATTTCTTATCTTCATGAGTTTAGAAAAAGGAGGTTCAATTATTGGATGGTAAGTTAAAATTCTCCTTTCAAGTGCTGTTCTTTTAAAAGAAATTGTCTCTTCAAACAGGTTCACCATGATGTTTGGTGTACTTTTAGGAATGTATTCAATAAGACTCATTATATTATCCACAATATACTATATTGACACTTATGACACAAGAGTGACAGATCCCGAAGTGATTTCTACTGAAAGAATGATAGCATTAAGTAACTAAGCGATATTTCTAATTAAGATATTCAGAACTAAATTGAATTATTCAATTTCTACAGCTACTATTGTATTAGCCTCCATTTACTTTGTTTACTCAATTGCATCTATAGCTGCTGGTTCTCTTTTAATGGATTCTGTCAAGAAAAGCACAAACAAGCATATGAAGTTAGTCATGGTTATACTTGCTATTGGAATATTCTTTTCTGCAATTCAAATAATAATTTCCTTTGTTGGAATTGTTGGCATTGGTGTTTTTGCGATTGGCGGGATTATTGTTGGAATAATCATTTTATGCTTACACACTTATGCCATTATTTGCGTACATTCCCTTAATGATCTTTTCAAAAATGAAGAATTGGGTCGAATGCAAATCAACCATGTTCAATTTCAGCAACCTAATACTTTTCAACAACATCCATCGACACCTCAACTCAGCTCATCACAACAACCAGAGTTTCAAGGAAAATAATCAATTTAATATTTAGTTGCCTTGAAATTTTATTACATTTTAGACAATATTTGAGTTTAGTCAGTGAAGTAGAACAAATAAATGTTCAAAATGAAAAATCTTTTTCAAAAAAAATGTTAAGAAGTAATAAAATTTTATTTTTAGTTTCAAATTCACTGAATTTCTTTTATGTTATCACCGAGTCATTGAAAACATTTTGTAAAACTTTGGAGGCAATAAAGAAGCGATTAAATGCTTAATATAATTTTCCCAAAACATTCTTATCAATTTGATAAGCATTCAATGTAAAAACGATAATCAGAAAATTGTTCAATAAAAATCTATTCCAGAGTTTGATGGCATTTCAATTTTGAAAGTCAACTCAGCAAGTGCTAATTGAAAGAAATGCGTTTCAAAGTAAATAATTTTCTTGGCTGCATCAGCTTAGAAAGTGGTGGATTAATAATTGGATGGTAAGATAATTTAATTAATGATTAAAATAAAATTTTCACTGTAGAAAGTATTTTATTCCTTCAGGTCAACTATTGTTTTAAGCATAATTATTTCACTCATAAGTATAGCGCTGATTGCAATATCGATTGTAGCGTTTAATGGTCTCAACAGTGGAGTGAGCGATGCCGAAGGGCTTGCTCTTGGAAGAGTGTTGCTCACAAGTAAATCGAAATCTTAAATTAATCACATGATAAAGAAAAAACTCATTGAACATTTCCCTGCTTTGCAGTTTTGATCATAATAATTTCGATATATCTTCTTATTTCGATGGCTTACTTTGTTGCTGGTATTCTTCTTGTTAGATCTGTCAAGAAAAGGTCACCTGACAAAATGATGTTGTTCATGGCTTTACTCGCTATTGCGATATTTTTTTCTGTACTTCAGTTAATAACATCTTTTATTGGACTTGTTAATATCGGCGCTTATGCTATTGGTGGAGTTATTGTTGGAATATTAATTGTGGCATTCGATTTATACATTTTCGTCTGCATTAAATCTCTGCACGACTTATTCAAAAAGGAAAAATTAAATCGAATGCAAGGAGGACAAGTTCAAGTTCAGCAACCTTACAATTTCCAACAACAACCTACAGTTGTTTATTTTCAACAACAACAACCTTATCAGCAGCCATACCAGCAAGGATCATCGGCACCTCAAACAGAATTGCCACAACAGCAGCAAATTCATGAGAAATGAGAAATTACTGGAAGTCAATTGCTTGTTATCAACATGAAGGATTTTATTTTGAAGTTTAATAATGTTCAGTGAATTTTTCTATTATCTCTTAATCAAAAAATAAGTAAAAAGTTATCTAATGATTTTGTTATCTCAATTCAGATTTCTCTTATCAATCGTGATAAGAATTTGAAATAAAAAGATTGACATTTTTCAATAAAAATAAATTCTCCTTTTGAAAACATTTGCGTTTGATAAGTGAAGTTAATCAGGTGTAAAAATGGGCTTCATAAAAATAAATAAATTTCTTTGTTGTATAAGCTTAGAAAGTGGAGGATTAATTATTGGATGGTTAGCAAAAATAAATGCTTCAAATCGTGATTATTGAAATTTAAAAACAAATTCCTTTCATTGAACAGGTTCAGTGTAGTAGTAAGCCTGATTGCAATATCACTTATTGCAGTATTTCTCACTCTATCTACAATAGGTTACAACATCGTACTCAATGAAGGCCCTGCCCCTGATGTAATTGCTGTGGCAACATTTTTATTCATAGGCAAATTAAACATACTTATGACGCAAATATCTCATTGCTTTAATAATCTAATTTAATAATTTCAGTTCTCGTGATTGTTAATTCTATTTATCTGATTTATTTTGTTATTTACTTGACTGCTGGTATTCTTCTGATCAGATCTGTCAAGAGAAGGACATACGCAAATATGATGTTCTACATGGTTCTGCTTGTTATTGGAATAATTGTTTCATTTCTGCAATTATTTTCTTTCTCTCCTATTGGAGTTGCTATTGCAGTGATCACATTGACATTAAACATCTACATCTTCATTTGCATTTATTCCCTTTATGACCTGTTCAGAAATGAAGAATTGAATCGAAGGCAAACAACACAAGGGCAATCTCAACAACCTTCTTCCTTTCATACACCTACAGTTGTTTATCTGCAAAATCAAGAACCAAATCAACAAACAGTATTCCAACATCCACCAACAGCACCTCAATTATCACCACCAGTCGTGTATGAAAAATAAGAACGTCAGCTGAAATCAATTTAAAGGAATAAAAATAAAAAATGTAAAAAGATTAACAACAATGAATTCTTATTGAAACTAAAAAAGATTTGATTTTAAAAGAAAGAATGAGTAATGAAGTTATCAGCACCCACTCAATTTATTAAGTCAAATTTTATACTTACATATTACATGAATTTTTCTTTGCATGATAAGATTTCCTTTTTGATAAATAAAATTGCTTATCATCCTGTTTAAGAACATTTAATTGATTTATTTTATTTCAAATATTCTTTTTATATCTTAGGAGTAATCATTGATCTAATTTTGAATATTATTAAAAATTGGAAAAACAATGATAAAATGTTCGACATTTACCTTATATAGAATATTTTAATTTTAAATATTTTAAGCTCAGATGTTTTTGAACTTTACACCTATAAATAAAAAGCTTTTCAGTTTTCGCAACTCTAATCTCCTAATTGGTTTAAATAGATAAAAATATAAATAAACACTCTTTAGTTCAAGAAGAAAACTCGTGTGATTTGTTATATTTAGTTACTCACGAGGCTTTTTTCATTCTCGTGACACAAAACTTCTTGAATCAAACGATGATTCATAGTCGAACTTTGATCAGAGAAAAACGATATGAATCGTCTTTTATTGTTTTACAATTCAGGACAAAATCGAATAAAAAAAGCTTTTACTCAGATAAAAAGTTTAACTCTTACGTCATTAAAAATGTTCAATGTTGGATTTTCTGATAGATGACAAACAGATAAAAACAAAAAAGATTTGATAAAAACTTATCACAAAATTTTTGTTTCAGTAGATATAAAAAGAAAAGGAAATTTTGATTTTAACAAATTTACAGTTCAGTGTTTCGTTGAGTTAACATAAAGCAAGAATCAAGAATCGAAAACAAAATGGCTTGTCCAACTTTCAGTAAATGTTGTTGCTGTATTTCTCTTGAAACTGGTGGTTTGATTATTGGATGGTTTAACATAATTTTATCAGTCATCGCTCTTTTTGTGCTTGGTTTGGTACTGTCGATAAATATAGTAGCATTAACTGTAGCTGAAACGGATGAAGTTGTTGCATTGCTAATATTTACTGTAGTTGCTGCATCAATAATGCTACTCTTCTATGTTATTATATTTGTGGCAGCTATTCTGTTAGTAATTGGCATAAGCAAGGTAAAAATAATATACTGATTGAAGTTTTAAATTGAATTTAAATATAAGTTTTGATTTTCCAGAGGGATCACACCAAAATGGTACTTTTCATGATTCTCATGGCAATCGGAGTCATACTCGAATTTCTGAATATTGTCGGTGCGGAGTGGTTTACGATTGTAGTAATTGTTCTGATTGTTTTGTTACGCATTTACTTTTTGATTTGTATCTATTCGCTCTATGATAAAATCAGAAATGAGAAAACAGGTCAAGCTTATGCCTAAAGCTTTTGACATATTATGCACAAAAATCTTTTTCAATTTATTTTGTGTAGAAATTTCATGGATAGAATAAAATTTGAAAAACTTGTTGAATGATAATTATTAGTCAATTTTAGAATGAAAAATAAAGATGAGAAATTTAGTAATCATGAAAATTAAAATAAAAATTTGTTTCTTTGGAATCTTATTGGATTAAGGTTAGATTAAACTACATCAAACGGGATTAGATTAGATTAGATTAGTTGTTTTTTTGAGCAGCACAACAACATTTGTTCCGGAACAAAGTTTAATTTGAATATTTAAATAATTTTACATGTTTTAACAGTACAATCAGTATTCATTAATTTCAATCGTGATTTTCTACTTTTTAATCCCCAGTTATGTATCCGATAACAATCCAAAACCTTTGCAAAATGCTTTTTCAAAAGAAGTCACTGATTTGTCAGTTTACTTTAGAATAATTTAATGGATATTTTCTGATATGATAAAAGATAACAAATAGAATTTATTGGTGTTGAATTTGAACAAAAATCAAAATATATTTGACTTCTGTGTCATTTCTGTAGTAGCGTTGATAGAGTGAACTTTAAAAAATTGAAAATGGGTTGTCCTCCAACAGTAAATAATTTTTTGTGTTGCTGCTCTCTTGAAACTGGTGGTTTGATCATTGGATGGTTCAACATAATTATTTCATTTTTTGGAATAATTGGATTCATAATTGTCATCAGTTCAGCAGTAGTTGATGGTACTGGTTGGAATGAATCGCCTTTTGGGCAACTTGGCGCCATATTGACAGCATCGTTGTTCCTAGTTTACTATATTATCGTGTTTATTGCTTCAGTCATGTTGGTGCAAGGTGTAAATAACGTGAGTCATAAAATTATTACAAATTCTTGTTAAAATGAATTCTAAAATATTTTCTTTTCACAGCGAAATCATTTGAAGATGAAACTTTTCTTAATATTAATGGCAATCGGAGTTTTCCTTCAATTCTTGCAAATTTTGATTGCTGGATGGTCAACATTTTTTGTTGGCCTTTTCTTCGCCTTACTGAGTCTTTACTTCTTCATATGTATTTATTCACTTTACGATAGAATCAAGAGTGAAAATGTCGGCCGACCTTACGCATAAATTCTTCATTGAAGACTAATTAAATTAATTGAATACTTTTAGCCAAATTACCTAAATCATTTTCTTTAATAATGTTTGTACTGGTGAATCAAACTTAAAAATAAATCGAGTGACAAATTCATATCAATAGATAATTTTTTTTCGTCTGAAAATTTCACAACTTATTTGATAAAATTGATAAAATTTATCTGTCACGATATTATCAAATTTATTTCGTGAAAATTATAATTCATATGAAAATAGATTATGAAATGGTGGAAGATTAGCACAACTTTGATTGATAACAAAATTATGATAGAAAGATAAGATCGGTGAACACTTCGGTGAAAGATAGCATTTTTATTTCTTTCACAAACGTTATAAGAGCTAGAACAAGTAATGAAGCTTCCAACGATAGACAGATTTTGCTTCTGCCTTTCACTTGAAATAGGTGCATTTGTATTAGCAGCGATAAGTATTATTACGAGCATTTCAATTGTTTCTGTTGCGACAACTTTCTTAGTGCGATACATTCGTTTCTACAATACTTTGAATGAGGCGGATCAGGATTTCTTTCTAACATTTCTTATTGGTATTTATGAATTAAATTTGAAATTAAAAAATTACTTTTCTAATATTTTTCATTTCAGGTTTCATAATTCTATATGCGGTTTATCTTATTTATTTTGCAATTGTTATAGCAGCTTCAATTATGCTCGTCATTGGAACTATAAATGTAGGAAGTCGACATTACGCTTAACTTCAACATAAAAAACATTAAATTATTTTACTTTTAGAACAACCACAATCAAATGCTGCTTTTCATCGTCATCATGGGTGTTGGTGTGATTGTGTCATTTTTCCAAATTTTCCAATTGGGAGTTGTGTTCTTGGTTCCAACAATTTTATCTGCTGTTGTTGCAGTTTACTTTTTCATTTGTGTTTACTCACTCTACAAGAGGTTGAAGAACGAGAGTATGAAAAGAACACTGAATGGAACTCATCCGCAATATGAGAATGTTAATTTAAGAAATATCTAATGTTTAATATCTTCGAAGATGTTAATCGTAGAATTTTAATAAACATAACATTGAATGAATTACTTTCATTCTTTATTTTAATATTCAAACATTCTCGCACTTTATTTGTCAGATTAATTATTTAATAGATAAGATTTAAGAAATAAAAAGAAATTACATTCCCTCATGCTATTAAAAAGTCGTTTAAATAACATAACCGAGGATCATCTGAAACAATAAAAAATTGATTTGTTTAGTCTTCTCTAGATAATTAAATATGTCAAAACTTACCAGGCTCAAAAAGTACCTGTCGATTATATTCCTCTGATAATAACTCAGGATTAATATCATTCAATCCACTGTTGGTTGATTTCAAAATACTTAAGAGATCTTCAACATTTTTTTCTGATAAACGATTTATGATTGCATGCCAGTATCCTAAGGTAAAGAAAAAAAATTAGAAATTTCAATATTTGTTTGCCTAATTGAAAAAATTAAAATAATTTAGAAAATGGGTAATTGATGAATAAAATCACGTTACAACGTTTCGCAAGTTTGTAGAAAATTCTATGAATTCAATTTATCTCGTTCATTATCTCTTCATGTACATAACGATTTATAGTATGAAGCACGTCATGATTCTCAGTGTTTTCACAGTCCTTATTTTTATGATTTTTCATATTCTGGCTTCCATTTTCTTAGGAATTTTATTATATTTGTTTGTAGAAGCCCCGTACATTAGAAAAAGACTGTCTGCCATTAGAACTTTCATATATGAACAGATGAGTGAGAATGTAGGAAAATTAAAAGAAAATTTAAAATTTTCATTGGAATTTTATTCACAGATATGCGTATCAGTATCCATATTGGATAAAGACATTATTATGAAGAAAAGGAACTATGCAGTCTCTGATTTGAATAGAATAATTTGAAAGACAGTGATTCACCAAAGTGAGATCTACAAAATTTAATTTTCTTCAATGCTTTTAAAGTAGTTTAATATACTTTTTCTTTAAATCTTTTTTGGAGTTAAATAGTTACGACTTTTTCGATTTTTCTTTCAAACCTTTGCAAAGGTAAGAAATATCTGGGGAGAAATCAAGTCAAAAGTTTTAGAGTCACAATTGGCTAGAATGTTAAATTGAAAGGAACTACGAACGTGACTTATCAATATTAAATCGTTTGTAGAGTCTAACCAAGAAAACGATCAAGTGAGTCTTCTATTCAGACTTCATCAGACTTGGAAATTTTGATTTAGCTAATTATTTTAATTTGTTCAATTATTTCTGGCATACAAATAAAAAATGGTGGAAAGTTAATTTACATGGGTTTTGAGTCAAAACCCTTGTAAATGAACTTTCCACCATTGAAATTTATATTTTTTTTCTTTTCCTTACCTTAATCTTTCAATCGGTCCTGTGGAATGGAGAATATGTAAATTCATGCATGAATTAGATCTTCCCTGTGGAAATAAATTACAAATTTAATTATTATTCAATGTCTAATTTTTAATTTAGTTTTAAAATTTCAACTTACCTCAACTTAGCTTTCAATTATTTTAATACATAACACGTGCATTTAAAATTAATTGGCTGAAGCGTCTACACTATACGAGTTTAAGATAAGGAATGAACATTTTTTTCACTCTACGAATGCAGAAGCAACAATTGACGCTGAAAACAAAGAAGCAAACTTGACCGTTTCAACTGATAACTAGATCAAGATAACAATCGAACTTTTATTTTCAATATCTACTGAGAAGAAAAAAAGTACAGTGGCGGCGGGAAAAATGCACCTGTGAATTGTTACAACTACAAAATCAATTACCTATTTCACCAGTTTAAAAATTTAATTCAAAGCAGTCTACCTAGAAAATGTATTTTCGGGGGTGCTTTATTTTTCGTCGTATTCACAAACAGTGCATTATTTTCGGTTCAAATGACGAAAGCGCAAAAATACCGAAAATAAAGCACTTGCTTTATATAAAGTGAAATACGGTAGCCAAACTCAATGTTTTTATTTTGTCTGAGAAACTATGAAGTGAGTAGAAGGTTTAAACAAAGAGAATTTAATTTGCCCCAAATCGCTTAACGTATTGAAAATATTGATAAGATTGCAAAATTATCTTGAAGCATTTGTTTTGACAAAAATATCTTCATTTTCAATAAAATCGCTCAAGTGATAAGTTGTGACTCATAATTAAGTTTGGTGGAAATAATAAAACGTAAAACAATGGATAAATTTTTATGTTGTCTGGAACTTGAAGTAGTAGGAATTTTGCTTGGATGGTTAACAATTATTGGATTTGGAATTGGTTATTTGTATTTGGGTTACGTTGCTGTTTTTTGCATTATACTTGATGAAATTTACACTCCCCGTAGGAAATTCACTCTTTGGAATGCAATTTCCTACAGTAAGTTACTTGCGTAAATTACTTAACGTAGAAAATAAGTAAAAAATGTAAAAAACTTTTTTGATTTTGTATTCCGGTACAACACATTTCTCTGCTTTTATCTTTTCTACACATTTGCCGTTGCTTTGTCTGGGATTTACCTTTTAATTGGAATAAAAAACGTAAGTTTGGAATTATTTATAAGACATTTAATAATATTTAAAACTTTAATTGTTTTTTTTTCAGAGAAACCATAAGAAATTGAGATATTTCTTGGCATTGATTGCCATTGGAATTTTTGTCACTCCCATTGCTGTTTTTAGTTTGCAAGTTTCAGTTCCTGTTCAAGCTACAATAACAATTATTGTAGTGCTTAGCCATATTTATGCATTCATGTGCATTTTAACTCTTCACAGAAGAATTCAAAATTCTGATACTTATCAACAATTGGCTTAAATGGAAAGTTGTTAAAATTAATTTTATTCACCCAATAATGAAATGTGATGACTTGATGGTATTTTAATAAATAAACAAATATTTTCTTATCTACTCTCAGTGAACATAACAAATGTACTTCTCTGTTGGATTAAAATTCATTTGCTAATCAAATTATTGTCACGTTAAAATGGTCAGAACAACGTTGAAAAAGTTTCTTTGTTGCATAAACCTTGAATTTGGTGGTGTCATTATTGGGATGTTTACATTGATTTTTGCGACTTTTGGAAATCTCCTGGCAGCTTTCATTATTGTTCATATTTTCACCGAACAAGAAAATCGTCAAAATGAAATGTTTTTGGAAAATTCAAAAAGTTTGTGTGTGACATTGTTGTGATTAACAAATTCTAAACATATTAAATTTATTTCCAGCCTGGCTGTTATTAAGCATATTAAATTTTGGATATTTCATTTTGCTAATGTTTGCTTCTGTTGAACTTTTAAAAGCGATTAAAGATGTAAGAATTTTTCAATTCTGTTGTCAAAAATTTCTTGTGCAAACTTACTGATTTTCATTATTTTCAGAAGGAAGTGTCTCCGATGAACTTTTATCTCATTACACTTATAATTGGCATTGCAATCACAATATTACATATTTTTCTGGGAAATTGGAAAGTTATTTTGATCTTAACATTAATCGTTGTTTATAAATTCTACAATTTTCTTGTCATTTTCTCATTGAAGCAGGAAATGAAAGAAGAAATTTAAGTTTTACATCTTCACTAATAAATTTTGAGTATTTTAACTTATTATTTATCTGATTGCGTTACAAATATCGCCTACTTCTAGATGTATTAAACTTTTTGGAAATCGCTTAAAGCATTTAATCAGAACCAATTCATACGAAATATTGTTAGCAATAAATAGCACTTCAACGATAAGATAAGAGATAAAAATGTTCATTCAAACCTCTACCAAAAAATGTTTAATATTCATTACCTCAGCATATCTCTAAACAAGCAGTCGATTGGATTTTTTATTCTAAATTAAACATGGGTGTTAAACTACCAACAGTAAATAAATTTTTATTCTGTTTCGAACTTGAATTAGGAGGTTTAGTTATTGGATGGATAGAAGCAATTTTCTCAGCGATTTTCCTGATACTTTTTGGTATCCTCTTAATCTTATCAATTATTACATTTAGCGCTCCGCTAGTTGCCATATATTTAATTTATGTGATTTACTTCGCAATCTTACTTTATGCTTCTGTTATGTTGATCAAAGGAGCACAAAATGTGAGTAAAACTTTCATGGATGAATCATAAATAAACATATTAAATATCTTTAATTTTTTTGACAGAAAAATCATGCTCAGATGATACCTTTCCTGGTGTTAATGGCTATTGGTGTCGTCATTGCATTCCTTCAAATTTTTACCGATTTATATTTAGTTTTCGTAGCAATTTTATATGCTGTCATAATGGTTTATTTCTTCATTTGCATCTATTCTCTCTATGATAAATTTAAGGTTTAAAGTGCTTGACAATTACGCACAAAACATTTTGTTAAATTTATAAGAATGAATCAACGAGTAAGTCCCTGAAAATTCAATAAGAAAAAAGAAATAAATTCGACTTTTCTGGGAAAAATATTATCAATTTCACCAATTTTATTGATAAGATAAAATGCTACACACATGTAAAGGCAATAAATACAAAACTTTGGAAGTTTCATCAAAATTCAACACTCAATTGAATTCAGACTGTCATGTGATTAAGACTTATTTTGCAGTTTTACTGAAAAGACGAGAAATTATTAAAAATATAAATCATGGGATGCAAAATCCCAGAATTTGATCATTTTTTATGTTGCTTTGAGCTTGAAACTGGTGGAGTTGTGATTGGATGGATGAGTATTATCATGTCAAGTATAGGAATTCTAATGATGGGAGCTTCTCTTATCTTTGGGATCTATCAATTAGATAGCACAACGAACAGAGATGATCATATTATCAAACCACCAACAAGTATTTATTTTTGAAGTTTTATATCAAATAAAAATGGATAATTTTATTAATGAATTTTAGATGTCATCATCATCAGCAGTGTTTATGTACTTTACTGTTTATTCGTCTTATATTCTTCAATTCAACTTGTTCGAAGCACAAAAAAAGTAAATTTAATTTTCTTCAGATAATATTTATGACCAAGTTAATCATCTGATAATTTTTTTAGCAAAACTACAAAGAGATGAAGTTGTTTGTCAACCTTATGAGCCTTGGAATTGTTTTGTTAATCTTGCAAATGTTTTTCATTGAACGTAACAGACTTCTCGTTGCAGTTCCTTGTGTTATCATCATGTGTTATTTTCTCATTTGCGTTAGTTCTCTTTATAAAAATTGTAAAATGATAGTTTTAACAGCAGGCTTTAAATTAAAAGCTCCAATTTAAGACAAACATCTCGGCGACAAATTGTTCAGAAAAATTTCTTGTATTTATTTATATTTGTTCATTATTTACACTTTCATTTCCTTTCTATCTAAATATTCAAAATATTTAAATGAAATTATCTACTTTCAGTTGACATTTTTAAGAATGAATAAGAGATGGACGGATTTTGATGATGAGAAAATTGATTTCCAATGTCCATTTCACTTAAAATCGTAAATATTTATTTACAAGTTTTGAAAAAAATAATTTTATTGAAATGTTGGCTAACATTCTTCTTTTGATAATTATAATGGATTATTTACAATTTTTTCGTGAAATACAAAACAAAAAATTAAGATAGTTACGGCTAGATATTTAAGTAATAAATTTTACTTTCCACTAATCTTTTAGGTTTTCTTTAATTTTATCATAAAAACTCACGAATTTGAAATTTCTTAACTTAAAATTTTATGAACATTTTACATGAACTTTTCGTTATTTTCTTCTGGCAATTTGTTGGTTAAACATTCATAACTTCAATAAATAATTAAAAAGATTCCGCTTAAGCTTACTTAAGTCTTATTTAAATTGACATTATAATCGTCTTTTTCAGTTTTCATCATCATTAAAACGATCGAGTATTTAGTTTAATGAGATTGTTAAGTGAATTAACTGACGGCTAGGGTTGTGGCACATATTTTTGATAATTTTGCTGCGTTGATGATGTCACATTTTGCAGTGGAACTGATGACACACAAGACGCCACTGATTCTTCTTTCACAACCGATTGTAATGACACTAAAAGTTTTCAAAATAATCATTCAAGAATAATTAAGTCTTTATGACTTACGTGATGGATCCCAATTATAAAATTGACTGCCAATAGCGTGGGATGTCGATTCAAATCGTCTTGGTGGACCTGATGTACATGAAAGCGACGGAGATGTTGTGCTTTGTGGAACTGATTGAAGATAATAATCTGAAATATTTGAATGTCATCATAAATCGCTTTAAATATTAATAGGAAAGATTTATTTACCACTTATGCTATTTGGAAGACCGCTGTATGAGTTATTTATCAGTGATACTGATTGCACCGGCTGCTGTAGTGGCGTCGAATATGAATAACCAGATCTTGATGTGCATGAGTTGTAAGTAGCAAGTTGTGAACTTGACATCCAAGGACTGTGAATAGTTTTACTGATTAAATGATGTTTCTTTATAAATATATAATTCCATTTAAACTCAGTCTTACTTTCCATCATAGCGTGGTTGATATGTCTGATAAGCTGGTTGTGGAAAGACGCCACGTGGGCCAAAGTTTCCATAAGAATCGCCGAAAATCTTTTGAAAGTGTGAACCAGTTCGATAAGGTCGCTTCATTCTACGACGACGTCGATAGTTCCCATTCTCAAACATGTCATCGTATTGTGGATCTGAATGATTAAAATTGTTCGTAATATTTTTTTTATTTACTTCAAAAGTTAAGCTAACCTAAGGTCCAATAATTTCCCTTCCGTTCTCCGCCGCCTTCGCGTGGAATTTTTATAAAACATTCATTCAAGCTTAGATTATGTCTGATCGAATTCTGCCAGCCTTTTTTGTTTTTCTCAAAGTACGGAAATCGTTGGGTAATGTAATTGTAAATCTCACTCAGTGTGGCACGTTTATTCGGCGCATTCTTAACAGCAACAAAAAATAGAGAAGTTGAAAGGAATGTCGTTTAGTATCAAAAACCAATTAATTCCAACGTTTGCTTTCATCTCCAAAGATTTTTTATTTTTCTTCTTCTTTCTTTCATTCATCCGACTATTCATTAATTAATCATGAGAAAATGTTAATCTCATCGTATCCATTCATCAGGTCTCTTCTAAGTTAGATTGAGAAAGCTTAAGCGACACATCCGATGTTAATTGTGAGCGATTTTTCTACTCGATTTGAAATAAATTTATGTCGCTTAAGTGATTACTCATGTTACTCAGTTGCAACGAAAGAAAATGTTATTTTAATCTGATGATGAATTAGATTGAAGAATTATTAAGAAAATTAATATTCTAAATTAAAATTAAAATTCTAATAATATTGTAATGTAAAATATAAAAGAAATTTTTAAAGTTTTTTTCATTTCCCATCCCTGATATTCATTTTCCTTCACAAATAAAAAAAGAATTCCCGCTTCGTTTTCACACAACGCATCAACGACAAAAATGATCTCACGAACGGCGGAAAATTAAACGACGACGATAAATTTTCCATTCTTTAAAATCGTGCGACAGATGGATTAAGCAACATGTTGCTAATTAATAGACGTGATCTAAAGTGAGGCGAATTTAAGTTGAAGTGGAAAATGATCTTTGGGAGATTAAAGTTATCGTTGTAGATGATAATGAAAATACTCACTGCAATCGCCATTGCTGCGGCAATTGAATGGAAGAAAAATAATAGTTCATTAATTAGCGTAAATGAATTGCTCCATAATCTTAATTCAGAATATAGAATGAAGGTTTAATGATACCTATAAGTGCCACGTAGCTGTATGGTGGTTTACTGTTGCCATTTCTTTCCGAAGTTGTTGATGTCGACGCGGTCGATGAGCTGTGAAATGATAATTAAAATATGTTTGTCTTCAAGAGAAAGATTTCAATAAATTTAAAACATTTTCCACCTGGTTGCAGTATTTTGTCGATCTTCGATCATCAAATTACTGTTTTCATTTGACACTTCTTCTATCTTCAAGACAACATTGTTTGATGACGAACTATTAGTAACACTCATGTTGCTGATGCTGTTATTATTTATATTACTATTATTATTGTTATTGTTGTTGTTTTGGTGGTATTTTTCTGATTCTCGATCTAAAATCGAAGTTGGAATGATGACGGAAGATTTGAGCGTTTCTTCGTACGCTGAAGAAGGAGCTTGTGGAGAAAGCAATTAATAAAATCTATGAATAATAAATCTCAATGATAATTTTAAGAAATAAATTCTTCTAGCATTCATTAAAATATTCGCGTAACACAGAACTGCCCCCGTGATTGACCTATGTGGAGCTGTAGCGATAAGCCAACTTTACTTATCTCATAAAATGAATGTTTTGGAACCGATTGTGAGACCTCTTTAAGTAAATATTTACATTCGCTTATTTCTTTCTTTGGTCATCAGAACGAAAAGTAATTCTAATATGCAGGAGAAAGAAGAAAGTGAAATGTTTACAAACAAAGAAAGTTTTCTTTTTCATATGTCAGCAAATATTTCTTTTTTAATTATCTTCTTGAAACTAACGAGTAAATTTATTTAATAAATAATGCGAGTTACATAAAAGTGCAACTTTATAAAGTGGAAAATTTTATTGCGATTCTAATCAAGTTGTGATAAGATTTATAAGATCAGACGAAGGTTTACAAATGCACGAGCCCATTTAGAAGTCTTAAAGGTCACAAACGTCATTTGATGTCAACCATTATGCAATTAATTTGCTGACAAAAACAATGAAATCGAATTCAAAAGCGTGACAAAACTTGTTAAAAAACTTTACTGAAAAATGCTGAACGTAGATAAAATTTACGACACCTTTTAATTTCGAATGAAATTGGGACAAATGTTTCATAAATTGAGAGTGCAATATTGTGCCCAATTGTAACGATTGCAATATGTAAGCAATTCTGTGAATTTATGTAGACATTGATTAAAAGTTTTCTGTTACAATTATGGCTGCAGCTTTGTGAGACATCGAAGCGTCTTTCAGTAGCATAAACAATGAAAGGGTCAATTTCATTCGCTTTTTTTTAAACATTTCAAGTTAGTCAAATAGTCTCAACAAATCCGCAATATGAAATTTAATCTTACTTAAATGATGTTTCTTATCTTTTCGTGTACGAGATATTTGAATATTTTGTTGAATTCTTACCCATATTTATAATGTTTGGTGAGAAAGTTTCATGCTTCAATTTCGATGACATGTTGAGAAAGTTCTGAAATGAATTTTCATTATAGATAGTCAATGATAGTGATTTGATTAAAGAAGAAGAAATATTTAACACATCTTAAGAACACAACCGTTGAATATGTCATAATAACTTTATAAATATTCAACAACTTAATGAACTATCACAGATATTTATACGAATTAAAATTGTCATAAATTTGACGGCATTCGAGCTGTGAAGCATCATGAAACATTTTGAGAGAATTTATGATGCTTGAATGGGAATTCAACGATGAAATGTTTTTCCAAGCTTTTCCATTTAATTCTCATTCATAAATCATATTGCTCTTGGAGGTGTTAGCGCAAAATAAAATCAGCGCCAGTTATTAAAAAATTAGCATTAGAGCTCGTAAATATCTATAACCACCACTTGCCGTTAATGTTTATTAAAATGTTGTTTACTGCTCACATCGTTCGTCGTTTTTGCTCTAGTTCTTCATCGTGATCGCGTCGTATCGTGATAGAATTTATTATCACAAATTGTTCACTCTCCTTCAAGAATTGAAGATTTTATTTTTAATTTTAGATTTTAATTGGAAATGTGAATGAAATTTTTTGTAAGAATGTGAATCAAATTGACAAAAGGAAATTTTGTATATGGCGGAAAATTAGAAAGAAAACTTCATATGATCTTCATTAAGTAAATTCAAGGTATTTATTTAGTTCAGTACTTAGTTTGTATTGTTCCGTTTGCACTTTGTAAGCGGAATTTTTTCTGTAATCCTAGATGAAGGAAATGCTAAACAGATGAGTCACGAGTGACTCAAAACTTCATTTGATATCATTATCGTGATTATTATCGCAAAGAAGGAAGCAAAAATATTAACACGAGCATTTAATAACTGCATAATTAAAATTAAATACTGTAATGGAAATTGAGATTTCAAATCAATAAACTCACATAAAAACATATTAAAACTTTGATTAATGATGATGGAAATTGCTTTTAATAGACTTCAGTAATTAAATTAAAATTTTTATTGCATTCTGAATGTTACAATATTTCTTAAAACTTTTTTCTTCTTCAAAAATTTCACAAATTTCCTATCTACTTAATTAAAGTTTTTCACAAATAAATAAGAACTTAGGAAATTGTCTAACGAAGTTAATTTTAAAATGATTTCAAGATGACAACGAGAGTGAGATAAAGAAATTTATCGCCCACACTTGGAAGTAAACTTCACTTGATTTCTTTTGTCTTATTTTCCACTTTGTGATGTTATGAGAAAATAAAAATCATGCGAGAAGTTATTTTAAAATATTTTCATTCCAATATAGAAGAGAATGCAAAATAATTTAAGTCCCGAGACAAGGCGCTGATTACTTTTAACGTGCTACACAATCATTTGACACTTATTTGAGTGTGAACAAGCAATTCCAACTTTAAAGTTAATTGGTCGGAAGAGAATTATTATGAAGATCTTGGAAAATTTTCTATGCACTTTCAAGGAAATTAAATCATAATCTACCAGCTGCGACAGTTTACACTTTATGATTAATAATATTTATAGTCATTCTCAACAAATTACCATTCATAATTGATGTTGAGCGATGGTGGTGATGGGAAAGTGTTTATCAACAAATAAATCAAAAAGATATTAAGTGGGGAAGAGAAAGAAAAGGGTTCGAGTATCCTCCAGTGGCAAATAAAACTACTCAACATTTCAAGCACATAACGAGGCAATAACTAATGTCGCAAGTTATTTTAAGAGACTCTTTAAACCCGATGTTACCTCGATTCAGCTGTTTGAAATATTTTCTTCTTCAGATATCTCAATACTTAATTTGATATGAAGATTAGTCGATAATGTAATAAATTCACTCACCAACGGCCATTTCGGATCTGAATAAGTTGCTTGATTTTCCGGAAGTGTCATGTCATGTATTGTTGAAATCACTTTGGAGAATTTTTGAAATTCGACATGCGTCGGTGATCAGCCAATATCAATTTCAGTTTTTTTTAATTTGGATTGTAATGAAGAGCTCTTAAACGCCTTTTTAAGCTGAGTCTTTCAAAGTTCTTGAAAAGTCAGCAGAAAATGGAAAGTTGAGCGGAAATTGAAAATGAAAAAAATTCGCAAATATCCACTAACAAGAGTCACACTTCAAGCTGATTTAGTTAAGTTTTTATTTTCACAAACTTTCCAAAGCAATGTCATTAATTGTCATCAACATATCAGAGTTTTTCCTCATTTATGTTATGAAATGTTAATGTCACAATAATTGGTGGAAGTTAATTTTCTTCTCTCACTTCAAGCTTAGTTGATTCCTTTTGAGCCGCTAAACAAACATCAACAAGAAGAGATCCCCGCGATTCTTTTCAATTTCTTGCACGCGATCGCCTTTTTTTACACGAAAATGTTTACAAATAATTCTAGCATGTTTACTAAATAATTAATTTTATGACTCTTTAAAACTGCTAGCGTTTTGTTTCACAAATTTCTGTGAACTGGTTTGTTCTAATTAATCCCGACGCACAATTGCTAATCTCCTTGATCGCTTCACTAACAAAATAAGTAATTAAACTGCGGATTAAAGTCGTTATCAGACTAGCTGAATTTGTAATGAAACTCTTCACTCAAAAATTTTATAATTTTTTTTTATTTTCGGAGCGTCGTGTTTACTATTTGTTGCCCGAACGATAACTGACTTGCGAGTGAAATTCAAAAATATAAATATCACATTGAAAATATATTTCATTCTGATTTTCTTCCTCTCTCCTTTTCAGAAATGAATACGGGAGCGAAGTGAGCTATAATAAAATCATTCTGTGCTTCTGCACGATTAAATTTCACTGTCTAGTAAGAGCTTGAACGTTAAGAACGTTCAAAGTTTCTATTGCGGAGAAGTTCACAATTTTCCATGTGTTCGCCCACTATTACTACCACACATATTTCGCTCGCTGCTTTAATTACTTGCATAAAATCTGCAATGTGAAACACATAAAGAAGAGGGCGAGAATGAAATGTGTAGATGAGCGAAGAGTTGAAGAATGGAGTCAATCAACGCATTGCAATCTTCTTCATATTGTGATTATTTATAAAAAAAAGTTTAGATAAACAATGATAAAGAAAAGGCGGATTTTCTTCGCCATTTTGGAAAACTCTTTACAAAGCTTATTGCAAGAAAGAGAGAAAATTTCCTCAAAGCCAACAGCAAGGTACTTTGTGTAAAAGTTTGACATTTCATAATAATAAAGTTAATGGAATTCGCGGAAGAATTTACAAAACGTTTCTTTAACATTTACAAAATATTTTCTTTTTCACGCGATAAATATTTGAAAAAAGTATTTTGGAAACAATTGTCAATTAATGTCAAGCAATTAAGTGGACATAAAGAATATTACTGTTTTTCTGGGTGGTTCTTTTTTATATTCCAGCTGATGCATGAATTCTTACACCCGTCAGCACATGATTCCGTGAAATAATTTGCTCAATTTGCGAAGTGCTTTATGTCGATTGCGCAAAACTAAGAAACGGGGCATAAATGCGTTTCGATTTTCAGTTTTCAGCTTTAGACTTTCCGCTGAAAATGTTGAAATTCATTCATGATCACGTACGGGTGATGAAGTTACAAAAACAGACGAGAACTCCTGTTGCACTGATCTCAATCATTTTTGAAATTTCTTAAAAGAACAAACGGGGACGAAGAACGGAAAATAAATTATCCAAGTATGAAATCTTAACTTGTAAGAAAAGATTCTTATGGAGTTAAGTTTCATCATTGCACTTTATAATATTATCCAACGGATATTTAAGAAATTCTTTATAATTCTTCATGCAACATTTTAAGTTTCCGATATCGATTCATGCTAAATTCTTCTCTGTTTGAAACAAGGCGGAGTTTAGATCATAAATTAAGGTGAACAATGTATTGGAAACACGTTCAAAACTCATAAAAACAAGGTAGATTTGTCATAAATGTCGTTTCCTTCTACCGCGCAACCCCTGCTTGCACAAAGTTAAGCTCCGCCTCTAAAAATAATTTTTCTTCATCATTTTCTCAACGGTAGATACCTATTTACATAGAGAAGGAAAGAAAAGACTTGAATAGGATATCACGTCAAAGTATGTAATTGATACACATGTAAACAGGTTCAAAATAAAATTTTCCGGCTAATTAAGCACGTGCCGAGTCATAAATACTTTATTTTCGAGAATAAGAGAGAAGGAGAAAGAGTTAGTGTAAGAAAATCTTTAATGATTTCATGAAAAAATATTAATATCAAAAACATTTATTTCAACAGCACTTTTGACCTTTCGTTGCAGTTTATTTCTTTATGCATTGCGATAAGAGTTGTAGTAATTCATAATCATGTAATCAATCTGTTTCTGTAAACATATAAATTTGAGATGATTAACATTAAGTATAGAATTGGATTGTTTAAAGAAATTAGTGAAATTTAATATTGAATGTCTGGTCAGGAAAAGAAAAATATTTATGAATTCATTTATTCAATGAAGTTAAAATGAATTAAATATTTTAAATGTTCCATTATAATAGTTTCTATATTTTGTTTATTTTTTAATATGTCTCAGTCTAAATATCATTATTATCGTCCCGGGATCGTATGTATGTGTTTGTGTTCTTTTATAAAATCCGCACAATGAAATAAAACAAAGTTTAATTTGCTTTGCTGTATCAATGTACGAATGTGAATTGCGATTTTATTTCTATAATTATGAAACGTTTTAAAACTTATTACTAAATTAAACAATTCTTACAACGACTATTTGAACGACTTTAACTAATTTTAAATCATGACAACTAAACTTAATAATTTCACTACGAGAATCCAACAATAATGAATGTAAAGTTCAAATCTGATCTTTTTTCTTGATAAGGACTTTTTAGGATCAGCGCAAGTTACGTCACGACAAAAAAATGAACTTTAAATGCGTCGCTCAAAATGTAAACATTAAAACAAAAATTAAACAAATAGAAATTAAGAAATTTAATTTATATTATTTAAGCGAAGTTGTTCGCTTGTCTATGACAACAATTATAATTACTGTTGTTTCAGTTATTTAAAGATGGATGAATGAAAAACGTGATGTTGTTAACATTTTATTTCTAAAATCTGTTTTGAAATCTTTTCTAGATAGACAAAATCTAGATTTGAATAAGAAAAATCCCTGCTTTATTTTCTTTAATTAAAAGAATTTTGCTACCTTCTTAAATTGTATTTAAAGTTTTTAAGGTGACACGGGGAAATTTATATCTTGTCAAATATAATTTATCGACATGCAATTAAATTTTTACGAGATGAAAGACTGCAATAAAAGAAAAGTCTTTAACAAATTAATTTAAGCTTTTTAATTTTTAAATTTCTAACAAATGAACAACTTCAGCAAATAGATAGAACACGGTTCACTAACTTATTGTAGAGCAGAACAACAATGAAGATATTAAAATTAAGATGTGTTCTTAAAATAAACAGAAAAACATTTCCCAAGTTTTATGTTCGTAGTAAATTTTATAGTTGCAACATAAAACTGTTCAATCTGATGAAACGAAAATTAAATGTTTTAGTCATCAGGTGGTTTACAACCTGAATAAAAGTTTTGCGGAAAATAAATTTACAAAGCAAAGAGAAAGAAGATTAAAATGAAATTAAACAGTCAAACATGTGATGATCACTTAGAGTAACGACAAAAAAGGGTTCTTGAGGGAATTAAAATTCTCCAGCGACATATCTCTTCTGGTTTAACTAGTTGTCTCTATTTTTCATCTTCACCATTATTTCACATGCAATTTATTTTAAGACATCGAGAATTCAAGAAAAAGTTTACATCGTAAGAAAGATTTTTTTCCCGATGAATGTCACTCTTGGCTTCAGCTGTTTAAAATATATTTCTCAAATAACACACATCAAGTGACATCGAGCTCGTATCAAATGTTTTCTTCTTTATACAAGAAATCAGTAGGAATAAGTATTCTTGGGAGCAGTAACATGCTTTTATTATTATTCATCACTTAAAATCGAATAAAATTTGAGAACGACAGTGAACAGTTTTCCCTCAGCTCTTTACGACTAATGTTGTAAGAACAGTAAATGTCACATTTTGTTTTATGATTAATCAAATACTAAAGTTAATGAAATTAGCTTGCGCTTGCAAAGTGCATTTTTATGTTTTTCTGTAGGTCACCAATATTTTTCCTTTTTTAAAGTTTCATTTTGAAAGATTAGTTAATCTGGATTTTCTGAGATAATCCTCAGTTAATCCAGGTTAAATGTTAACATTAATCTTCGCTTCAATTATTTTCCTTTCCTTTTTTTAAACATTTCAATGCGTTTGTCCTTAATCAACACTTTTATCAAAATTATTTTGACATGCCACGCAAAAACTCAAAATAAACAAGACAGAAACGAAATTTTACGCCACTTGTTGGTGGTTAAACGACCGATACGACGTTGAAAGAAATTAAAAATAAGAAAAGGTGATAAAATTAGATTTGTTTTGTAAACACGAAGCTTAATTTCAATGTTAATTAAAATTTCATGCAAAAGCTATCTGAAGGCAGTCACATTAGATTTGTCCGGTGATTTACTGCCCTTTTGACCAACATTAAATTTGATTCTTTTCAGCAAGGTAGTTGAGAGTTTATAAATATTTCAGACATGTTTAGTAAATATTTGTTGCTGTTATGGAAACACTGGTATTAAATTGAATGATCCTTTGTTATTGTTTACACTATCTAAGACTGTAAGAATCTATTTGACTTATTTCGAAACCATTAGGAATCAGTTATGTAGCTCATTAAATCATATTTTCATTTCTTCGCAATTGAATACACGTGCATTGCTTGCCTTCGTCCTACATTAACTGCTGGCTGCTTTCCTAAGCTAATTGATATTTCATTGGAATACTTCTTGCTTCTTTCATTGATGTTTACAAACATCATGTAAGATGAGTAAAAATATCGAATTAACATCATCAACCATAGCCGATGGCAATTTTATTTTCCACGAGTTTTTCTTATAAAAGAAACGTATAAAATTAAATACTTTTCTATTATATCAGTTTTCAAAAAGATAACAAAATTAAATATAGGAAAAGGTAAACTGTCGATAGGAAAATAAATCTATCAATACCAAATTGCAAAAATATCTACCAATATTTTCATAATGATATTTACGTATATGACATTTAAACATCTTGACTTAAAGTAAGTTCAATCATTTGAATTTAAATTAGGAAAAAAATATTACATATGCAAATTAGATAAATTTCATTCAAGTTTAAATGACGATCTACATTTAATTAAAATTCTTTTCAATCGTTTGTAAAGCTATTCGTCTCATTAATGAATCAAAAGGGAAACAAACTTTAATCAAACGAAACCAGACTTAAGAACATGATGTCATAAAATAATCGATTGTTTCTCTTTTTTTTTCCAATAATTAGAATATTTTATACAACACACATTCAAGAAATTGATATTAACACCAATTTCTTTTCGCTACGTGTTCTCTTTTTTAATTATCAAATTTTTTGTTTGTACATAAATAACATCACATGTGGACTGAAAATAGTTCTTTTTATTATCTGAAGCCATTGAAATTGATATAGTTTTTCAAACATGACATCAGAAGTTAATTAACCCTTCAAGCTTTGCTGCTTTGTCGTTTTCACTTTCTTGCTTGTTCCAAGACATTTAATTGCTTTTCGTTTGTGCAGTAGGACAGTTGTTCAATTTTATTCGTGCTTAAAAAATCTTAGTTTAAGAACATTTCAAAGAAATTGAAATGATTAAGATTTTCTTCTTTTTTCTCGCATTTTTGATTAGCACTTTTCATTGGTGGGTTGACTGAGTGAAAAGTTTGATTCTAAATTATTTTTGTTTTCTTCTTTTTAAAGTTATTTGACTGGTGATGAATGGTATTGTAGAAACAACACTGATTGTTTACCATGGAAAAACTCGGGAGAAAATCAAGTGGAAAACGTGTACGAAAATCAAAACATCTGTCGATTATTTTGTGGAAAATATGGAAGTTTGTGGCCTAAGCCAACAGGAAGATGTGAATTAGGAAAGTCAACTGTTGATATCAACACAGATCTAATCCGGTATAAAAGCTTCTTTCATTCTTCATTCATTGACTTTTCATGTTTCTTCTTTCCACAGCTTCCAATATCCAGAGTATGACTCAGAAATGCGCGATTTTATAAATCAAATGACATTTTTATTTCTCAAAACTTTAAATGAAGAATGTGGAGGTGACTGCAATAATATGTCAGAAAATGAAATGTTTGTTCGCATCAGAATCACATCTCCAAGCTTAAAATTGTATTCGGAAACAAATGAAGTGTATCATTTGAATATAACAACAAATGCTAACAAAGTTACTGCGTTTATAACCGCTGAGACAATTTTTGGAGCACGTCATGGACTTGAGACCTTGAGCCAATTAATGGTGAAGGGAAAAGATAAAATGAACCGAAATAGTGTTGTAATGATATCAAGTGCTTTTATCAGCGATAAACCGATTTACAAACACCGCGGCCTTTTGTTAGATTCAGCTCGACATTTCATTCCAATGCCAACAATCCTCAGAATTCTTGATGGAATGTCATCAACAAAGTTGAATGTTTTTCATTGGCATATCAGCGATTCTCAAAGCTTTCCTATGGAAACGAAACGTTTACCACAAATGAATGTTTATGGTGCTTTTTCTGAAGATAAAGTGTACCGTAAAGACGACATTGAATCGATAATAAAATATGCAAAATATCGAGGGATTCGAGTAATTCTTGAACTTGATGCACCAGCACATGCTGGCCATGGGTTTGACTGGGGACCTGATTATGGGTTGGGAAACTTAGCAGTTTGTGTTAATAATCAACCATGGAGGAAGTCATGCGTTCAACCTAACTGTGGACAATTAAATCCAGCAAATGAGAATCTTTATTCAGTTCTCAAAGATATTTATAGCGACATTTACGATTATAAGGAAAAAGATGAATTTCTTCATCTTGGTGGCGATGAAGTTTTCATGGCATGTTGGAATTCAACTGAAGAAGTCACTGACTATATGGCAACAAAAAATTACACTCGAGACACTTTTGGTTTTCTTCAACTGTGGTCGGAATTTCAAGAGAAAGCTTTGAAAGTTTGGGATGAAGTTACGAGTGATAAAAATGATTCGATTATTTTATGGTCGAGTGAATTAACATTGCCTGAAAATATTGAGAAGTTTTTACCGAAGGAACGTTACATTGTTCAGACATGGCTTCCAGACAAAGCAGAAGTTCCCTTGGAATTGATGAAAAAAGGTTACAGAGTCATCATGTCAACGAAGAATGCGTGGTACTTTGATCATGGTTTCTGGGGATCAACAAGATATTACAATTGGAAGACTGTTTATCAGAACAAACTCCCAAAAAATCCATTAGTGCTTGGCGGCGAAGCGTGCATGTGGAGCGAATATTGCGACGAACATTCGATTGAAGTTAAAATTTGGCCACGTTTAAACTCAGTAGCTGAGAGATTGTGGAGTGATCCAAGTGACAACATCAAAACCGTTGAATCTCGATTCTATCGACAAAGAGAAAGACTCATTTCAAAAGGAATTCCAGTTGATGCTGTTGTTCCGGAGTTCTGCAGCCTTTTTGAAGGTGAATGCAGGTGAATGTTTTGAAGAGAAGAAAAATGTCGAGTGTCAAGTAGGTGAAGGGGAAAAATTAAAAAATAATTAAAAAGAGGAAAAAATATTTTTAAAATTAAGTTTTTATTTATTAAATGATGAAATACATGAGACAATTTTCTGTTTTAAATTTAAATAGAAAAGAGATTGATGTAGAAGAGTTAAATAAAATTTAAAAACAATCTTTGATGTCGCGTTTATTAAGATATTTCATATTACTAAAGCTTCGATCGTTGATTGAAGTGACGTACGGTAATTTGCCTTTAATTTCAAAGCCTTGATTGAAAATAATTTCACTTGGAAGTGGAATGTTTCCAATAGCTAAAACATTCACTTTTGTCTTAAGATTATCATCATTTTCATTTGATTGTGGAAGAAGAATGTAAATTCTTTTATTTATCTTGTCGATAGCTCGAACAATTCCAACACCGTGACAGTCAAGAATTGAATTTGAATCTAATTTTGAGTCATCAAATGACTGGCACAGATAAACCAAATTTCCATTCAACAAATCAAAGTTAGGCAATCGATCGTGTTGTGAAATATCTTCATTATAAATTACTATTTGGATTCTTTCACTCGGTGACACAAAAGGCGTAACATCGTTAAAACAAATTTGATTAACATTAAGAATCTTCGATAATTGCGCTAACATTGATAACTTTCTTTTCTCACTTGCATTCGAGATCCATTTTGAGTTGAGATTATTCATTCGATTGTTAACAATCGAATCAAGAACATGCGTCGTAAAGAAAACTTCTTTAGAAATTTCATCCAGATCATCAGAATTAAAGAAAGTGAATGAAAATTCATTCACAAAACTTTCAGTGATGACAGAAGCAAAATTAAATGATTGAATGTTATGTTGAATTTGAACAACATCAGTTGGTTGAAGAATCTTTAAAACAAGACAAATAATCTCCAATCCAAGTCCTTTTTGATATCCCATTGTGTTGACGATCCATGGAATGTTCTCATAATTATCATTTGACCGACAAAATTCAATCAATTGTCGAATGCAACGAACATATTTAAATGGCGAAATCATTATACTTTTATCTCCATAAATCAAACATTTATCAGGTTGATAATCATTTAAATAACCAGCTCCAATTATTGGTTCTGATATTAACGTTACACTTATCGTCTGAGCTGGACCACAAATTGGTTGTCCAATGTCAAAATCGATGAGAAGAATTTTCTTAAACTTTCGAATGTTATCATTGATTAAGTATTGTGACAATCCTGATTTTCCTACATTTTTTCCGCCCACAACAACAAGACGAGTTTGATTTGTTATCTCCAAATTTCTCCATTGCTCATTAATTTGAAATGTGTTGAGTTTCTGATTCTCATTTGCTGTGAAGAATTTTGTAGCGAGGAGAAGTTCGCTGTTGAGTGAATTTTTACTTGTGAGCATTTTTTTGTTTGGCAACAATGAATGTGGATAATAAGCTTTGAATGCTTCAATTTTTACATTAGGAAGAACTTGCTGAAGATGAACAAGAACTTCATTGCCGGGATTGAAGTTTGAGATGAGTAAATTGAAATCATCTTCAGAAAGTAAGTTTTTCAATTCATCATTTGTTTTCTCTTCTTCATAACTTCCACAAATGATTGGCGTTAAATTAAGGAAATAATCGCCACGGGAAATTGAAGCAGCTGATGATAAAACTTCATGTTCTTTCAATGTATATCCATTTACTTCAACATTATTCACAATCACTTTAATACGAATTAAGCCATGGAAATGAATCGTTTTGATAAGTCTCACAACTACTCCTTGATCATTTATGCAATTATAAAACTTTGCATGTTCACCAAGATATGTGTTGACAAGTTTATTATCTTCCTCGTCATCATCCTCATCGAGTTTCATTTCACCTATCATTGTTTCATCAAATTTATCATCTTCATCCTCATCTGCACTACCGTCATCATCATCATCTTTATTTACATCCATAGTTATATTAAAATCATCAAAATCAACTAATTGACTATCATTTGTATCACCAAAGATGGCATCAAGTCCATTTCCTTCATATTTAACTGCTGTTCCAAATTTCACGTATTTATCTTCAATATCTGGAACATAATCAACGTCATCCGAACTATCGTAATCATCATCAGAGTTATCGTGTAGACAATAATTGTTAATGTCGGTTGAATTATCTGATTGTGTGGAATAATCTGTTTCTGATGAATGATCAATAAATGAATCTTCTTCATATTCATCATCATCACCATAATCATCTGAGCTACTTGTTAACTCATCTGTGTCACTCCAATCATCATCACTATCACCACCATCATCAGCATACAAATCCTCCAATGACAACTTTCTTTTCTTTTCTTTACTCATAAAATTTAAATTGACATTTGACTGAATATTTTGTGAATTATTGCTGTCATCTTCATTTGTTTTGCTTTCCGTTTCTTCATTACTCGATTCTTCTGATGATGAAGTATTCTTTTTATGGCTCTTGGAACTAGATTCTTTGCTATTTTGACTATTTCCTTGAGAATGTTTGAGAAGAACAAATTTTCCAGGATACCTAATTGAGGAACTATTGTGAATTTTTCAAAATCGTACAAGAAAAAGGAAATTTTACTCACCATTTACTTTCTTTCAGACGTTTTGCTATTGGCTCTTCATTATCAACTTTGGATGTGTTGATTCTTTTACCACCAGAGCCATTTTGATGTGTTTCTTCAGAACGCTTTTTCATAGAGTTTTTCTTTCCTTTAGCCATATTTTTGTCCAGTGAGACAAGTTTTAAGTGAAAGGTTAGGTCTGTCAAACTTAAGAAAACACTCGAAGAAAAACAGGAAAACTTGCGGAAAACAAAGAAAGACACGTTAAGTAATGATTCAAATAACTTTACTTTCTTCTGGAAAGAGCAAGACTGTATCAACTTACTTGGTTAAGTAATGTTTTCTTTATATTCTAAGAACAATTTTAAAATTGCGAAATTTCGATAAAAACAATCTTGTTATACTGAGTTTCTACGAATGATAGGTTGTAAGTTTTCAATGCATAGGGCGACATCTGTGGGTAATTTAGTTTAGTTTATTAAAAAAAAGTCAAAAAAATCCTCGAATATGAAGAGTGCTTTGAAACATTCAATAAATTATAATAATAAACTCATATTAGCACCAATGGTGAGAGTTGGTACACTTCCAATGAGACTATTAGCATTAGAATATGGAGCTGACTTAGTGTATACTGAGGAATTGTAAGAATATTTCAATATTTATTGAAACACGTTGTTTTCAAATTTTTGTTTACAATTTTTTTTAGGATAGACTGGAAATTAATGAAATGCAAAAGAAAAGTTAATCATATTATTAACACAATTGATTTTGTTGATCCAGTTGATAACAATGTTGTTTTTCGTACATGTGACAAAGAGAAAGAGAAAGTAATTCTTCAGATTGGAACCGCATCAGCTGATCGAGCTCTTGAAACAGCAAAACTTGTTGAGAATGATGTAGCAGGAATCGATATTAACATGGGATGTCCAAAAGAATTTTCAGTTAAAGGTGGAATGGGAGTTGCTTTAGATGCTAATGTTGAGAATGCTAAGAAAATTTTAGAGACACTCGTGAGTTCACTTTCCATTCCAGTGACATGTAAAATAAGAATAAGAAAATCAACCGAAGAAACTGTTCAACATGTTAAGGAATTGGCTGCAACAGGCATAAAAGCTATTGCCATTCATGCTAGAAATAAAGACGAGCGGCCACAACATCGACCACATCCAGAAGTTGTAAAAGAAGTCGCTGAAGCTGTTGATATTCCTGTGATATGCAATGGAGGGTCAAAAGAGATTGAAAAGTTTTCTGACATTCTTCAATTTAAGAAATTATGCGGTGTATCATCTGTGATGATTGCAAGAGCTGCTGAATGGAATGTTTCAATTTTTAGACCAAAAGGAATGCTACCATTAATGGAAGTTATTAGGAAATATTTAGCAATTGCAATTGACTACGATTCTCATCCAGCAAATGTGAAATATTGCATCCAGAACATGCTACGAGAACTTCAAGAATCAGAAATGGGAAAAAGATTTCTTGATGCACAAACAATGGAACAGATAGCAGAAGTTTTTGATATGAAAGATTATTGTAAGCAAAAACAACAGGAATTTTATGAGAAAAGGTTGAGTTTGAGTCGCGATATTGTGAGGGAGACAAGTGAAGAACCTTTACCTAAACGAATTAAGGTTGACAACGGAAAAATAGAAGAAAATATCGCATTTATCCGCGCAAATTATGTCAAAGACATAGATTTACCGAAAAGCATTTTGCATGCACACACAAAAAAGAAACTTCGGACAGTTCCATCATATGAAACTGAACAGAAAGATCGTTATTTTAGAGCAACACTCAGTCTTGGAAATAAAAAATATTCGAGTACTTTTTGGGAGAAGAACAAGAAAAATGCTGAACAAGGTGCTGCCATGGTGTGTCTAATGCATCTTGGACTAATATCGAAAGAAGATCTCATCGAGAATGGAAGCATAAATATATTTTTACATTATGACGAAGATGGAGAAGAAATGAAAGAAAATTCTTGAGAAATATTGAATTGTTTGACTATTTTTTTATGTTGCAATAAAATTATATAGGTGATTAATTAATTTATTATAAATGTCGAGATTTTTAAAACTTTTAAGTTCTTTTATAATCCAAGCGAACTCTAGCGGCAATTCTTATAAGTAGCAATGAAATTTTAAATTTTTGAACAGATCTTGATTACCCCCTTAATGTTTATTTCTAAAATCGAAGGACCCATCTTCATATAATATTGGCCGGGTTTTTGTTTAGGCGTCCCGAGATAATTGCCTCGTGCCCCGACGGTTCGCGCGGATTTGACCTTCCATACAAAATACACAGAAAAAATTTCTCCGTGTCAGATAATTTCTCCGTGTCAGATAATTTTTACACTCTCCACCTGAAACTATTTGCCACCGGGGCTGTTAAAATCAGGTGGGGAGTGTATATCGAGTAAGCTCAGTGAATTTAAACTCTTAATCGATGCGCGAGCGCATTGTACGTAAACAAAGAAAGGAAGTTTCAAACAAATTTAATTTTTCACAATTTTAACTTGTTTAAGTGGCATTAAGATAAAATCAAAGGAAATTTTAACTTAATATGTCCAATGAAGACGAGGATGTTGATATAATTGGAGACTATAAGTCGTGCATTTTGTCGAATAAGAAAGAAATGTGAGAATTTAAAATTTTACGTTTTATTCGTTAGCTTTATTTACATTTGACGCATTTAGGGCTTCAAACATGACAGAAATTCTTACACTAGACTACAATGTAAATCCACTGTGGTTGAATGATAGCAATACAGATTGGGCTGAGTATGCTAGACTTAATTTTTTTTACAAAAATTGGTTTTTAGTTTTTTTCGCTTCATTATTCTGTTGTATTTTTTAGTGGAGACGAACAAGTCGAAGAAGATCGTGAAATAATTTATTGCGATGCAATCGGCCCAAATACAGAACTGATATTTGATGAAAACATTCCAGCTGAATTTGAAGAGGAAGTATTTGCCGAAGAGACTTTCGATAATTTTGTGTCGTCAACAGAATCGATAGCTGAAACACCAACGACGACACACTCACGAAATCTTCTTCTACCTCAAAATGAAGTAAAATTCAAACAGACTTTGACAGTGAATCGAGGTCTGTTGAAAACCAATCAACGCCATTTAGAAGCTCAAAAATCCACCGATTCTTTACCACCAGCAACACCAACAGTTTCTGAGACCAAAAAGTATCGTGAAAAAGTCAACTTTAAACCAACAAACTTTGTGCTCAATGAGCACACCATGAGAATATTCAAGAACAAAATTAAAGCAATCCAGAAAAGAAAACAACAAGCAATTGCTCGTGAAATGAAACAAAGACCGAAGAAAGTAAAACAAATCAAAGCATCGTGGACACCAACCATTGTCAAAAAAGTTCCAGTGAAAAAACCCGAACCTGTTAATTATATTCCACAAAAACCTAAGCCCATTGTCGATCCCAAAAATTCCGGTGAAATTGTGCGTGTTGAAAAGGCTGAAAGTGATATTGAAGTTGATATTTTATCGAATTCCGAAGATGATCCCGTCGAACAAATGATGATACCTTTAGAAGATGATGTGAGTGGAAGCACTGAAACCGAAGAAATATCAGTAGACGACCAAGATGGTAGTTGGATGATTGATTCGTCACTTCCCATCACTGACACTGACAACAACGAGACACAAAATAAACTTCAAGAGTTAAAGGAAAATGACGAATCAACTTTCAAACAACTTGAAAGTGTTGACATTCCTGATGCTGAAATCATTCTTGAAGTATCAAACATTTCAAATCTCGAGAGATTTCTTCATTCCGAATTCTTTGTCAACCGCCCGACAAAGACACCCGAAAGATATCTCAAGATACGAAATCACATCATCAGCATGTGGAATCAATCAAAACCGATTTATTTATCAAAAACATCAGCAAGAAATGGTCTCAAGAAGTGTGGCGATGTTAATTGCATCAGCCGAATTCATTCGATGTTGGAACAAATCGGTGCCATTAACTTTAATTGTCCGGAAGTTAGTTGGATTCGTCCATTAAAAATTCTTTATGAGATATTCGAACAAAATATTAGAAATAAAATTCAAAGCGCTCGCATGAACTCGATGTTAGATAAAAAGCAGAAAAATGATGAAAACTTTACACATTCTGATGATGGCTCTCATTTGATCTCAATGGAATCGTCTGACTCGATGGTGAATCGAATAAAGTCAAGAACGATGCATCGAACACAATTCGAGCTGATAAAGTGCCAGCGATTTTCAAAGGACAACGTGGCTCCATTTGAAGTTTCCATCAATCTTTCTTGTCTTTTGTGTCTTTATTTCCATGCGTTGTCATCAAAACTTGAAATTATGGGTTTTCTCGGTGGAAAATGTATTGGCAATGATAAACTCATTTTAACACGATACAAGCCTTGTCGGACTTCAAATCAAACAGCAATAAATTGTGAAATGTGCCCAGTATCACAAGTTGAACAATCCTGTAACCTTCTTGACGAAGGATTATTACTTATGGGATGGTTTCATTCACATCCCAACTTTCCACCAATTCCATCACGAACTGATCTCAAAACACAAGCAGAAATGCAACAACAATTTGCTCCTAATAATCCTTTCATTGGCTTCATTCTAAGTTGCGTTGATATGCAATTCAAGTGAGTTGATTTGATATTAAAAGAATTCATTAGTAATTTAATTATTTCAGATGCATTTACATGCAAAGAGAATCAGCTTATGAATTAGACGTGGAAATAATCAACGATTATGGTGACGTCAGAAAAGATCTCAAAGATGTCTTAAATGTGATTGAACGTGATAAAGATTATGATGACACCATTCAGAAGGTAATTTAAAGTGTTTTCAATTGTTTTTTTTATTAAATTTAATTAATTAAATTATTTACAGTTTATCGAATGCGGAAATAATTTATTGAGAGAACTTTCAATTCCCGATAATATCCAAAAAATTATTGAGGATTACATTTGATTTCCAATATTGTGCAACATGATGATTTTTATACTTTAAGATAATTGTAAATGCTATAATTAAGTGTATATTCAATTGCTGCAAACAAACATCCACAAACATATTTTTAACTTAATAATGAGATTTTGCAATAAAAAAAAGATTTGTTTTGTAACTTGAATAACTTCAGTTGTATTTTATTTAAGATTGTGATTTGTAGTTGACCAGAATTAAGTTAATCAATAATATTGAATACTGATTTAATAGAAAGGAATGGCAGAATCTTAAATATTAATAAATTACTTACTTTTGTGACTCTCATTGGCAGTTTTCCAATAATTCTTTGGTAATGAACTGTTAACGAAAGGATAAATTAAACTTAAACGCCATTTATCACCAAACAACAATTTTAAGTTCTCCTTAAGTCCTAAATCGTATGCACCGCGTTTTTTGTCATGTGTTGTGTCATTTTTTATGATTAATCGTCCATGATATATAATTAAAACTCCTGAAAGCGCTGCACCGATAAGAATTAACATATAAAGGCAGAGATGGAATTCAACAGCGGATCCCTGAGCTGATCCATAGAAAACCATGAACATTGGTAAAACCATTTTAATGAGTGTTGTCCAATGAATAAAAATGTGACTGTTGAGATACCAAATAAAGTAGGAATTATAGATGAAAGCATACGTTGTCCCAATGAAGAAGTAAAATAAGAACATAAGAAAGTTTCGATGATTTTGTAATCCAATACAATTGCTGGCGAACATGCAATGATGATCTCGTTTTAATATGCACACTCCACAAATGTCACAATGCCATGATCGTGGTGGAACAACAAGATCACATTTATCACATAAATTCCATTCTTTTGCATTTGGATCCGATTTTAATCGTGAAATTGTCATGAGCTCATCAGAAGAGAAAATGCTTGAATCTATCAGCATAATTGATAAAAGATTTCCAATGATGTTAAACACGAGAAACGTTGCCCACACAATATTTATGTAGAAGTAAAACGAATATTCATGGATTGTTGGAAAAATGATCTGAAATTATTTTCTTATCAATGGTATTATTATGCAATTTAACACTATCTAAAGTTTACCTGAATTTCATAGATAAAGATTATCGGAATCATTGAAAATAAGAAAATTGAAGATGCCACATCTTGCTTAGCCTTCGAAATTATAGTTTTACGAAGCTTCATTGCTGCTTTATTATTTTTTAAATCACTTACAGTAAATTTTATTAACAATTTGGGAAAATTTTATGCTTTTGTTTTGATGTTTTTCTACACAAACTAAGTTACAGTCCCCTAAATTTGAATTAATTGAAACGGTTAAAAGTTCATAATTATTTTTAAGAAGTTTTCTTTTAATATCTACAAATTTTCATTTAGCTTTTTATTCTTAATCACTTACAAAAAGAAACATTTTAGAATTTACACAATTAATATTTGAAATCGTGGATTTCGAGGTTCAAGTTTTTAATTTTACTCTCGATACTTAATATTGCTTCCTTCTTTCTAATGCCTTTCTCCATTATTTCTCTTGCTTCTTTTTCCATAGCTTTTCTTCTAAAAATTTTCTGTAATTCTTTCATTGTTACATCTTGTCCATCATCTTCATCATCACTGATTTCCATTGTTTCAACAGTATCAGCTTTTTCACGATGTTTTGTTATTTTTTCCGTCGATGACAACATGGATCCGATGAAGTCCTTGTTCAGTAATCTCATAGGAGGCATTGCATGTGATGACAAGTTTATTATCTGAAAAGAAGATAAATTCTTATATAAACATCACTTTTCTTTAACTCATGCTGTTTTCAGATATGTATAAGCATCATTTTCGTAATGTTGAGCTTTTCAATCGTCAGAAAAAAAACAATTTTACATAAAACATTTTGAAATTCTATGTAATTCCCCACCTTGACATTATTTTATCAAGACAAATCTTATAAAACATAATCTTTCTATTTCGTTTCTTAACTAGATAAATTGAATTAAAATCGAAAGTGCAATCAAGTTCGTTACTCAAAAAATGAATAAGATGAATTCCAATCAATTGATTTCATCGTTCCAGAATACTTTCCCAGCACTTTATCAAGTAATATAATAATTTAAATGTTTTTTATAAAATAATTTAATATTTTAAATAGAACTTTGTTCATGACAGCATTTCAATACATATTATGTATACATTACTGCTGCTTGTTAATCAAGCGAGCATAAAAGAAAAGGACGCGTAATCAGACAGAATGAGATAAAAAAAAGCTATAAAATAACAGTCACAGCGGTTATTTCTTCTCATTCAGACTCAGTTTGTCTTTCAATCTGGTTGGTGGTCTTTATCAAGAAAAACAGATTTTTGTGATTGAAACTTTGAGAGGACATGAAGCTGTTTGGAATTATAATTTGTATTCTCTTATCTGTCATCATTTCTGTTGTACAAAGTGGTTTATGTCCAATTTTCAAACCTGATGTGATTACGGTGAGTTTTATTACTTATCTTACAATGTCTTCTTGAAGCATTTGCATGATAGAAATAAATTTGAGTACTTCACTCATAAATTTAATTTAAATCAATCCAAGTATCATCAATCACGTTGTAACCGTTATACATGATAAAAATAATTGAAAGTTCGCTAAACTTTTTTCTTGACCTTGAAATATGTTTAAATTAATGTAAAAAATATTTTAATTTCATTACAGAATTTCAATCTACAACGAATTCCACAATTCCACTGCTTGCGCTATTTCAAACATGACTTTCATCTTTTGAAACGATGCCGAAATTTTAGAATGTTAAAAAGACCATTGGTAAATCCAGATGAACCAATTAAGGAATAAAAAGTTTCATTAGATTTGTTTGAAAAGCCCATGGAGACTTAAACTTGGTTAATCATCACAATTCACATGAAATAAATGTTTTTGCTTTTTAATTAAAGAGTCATAAAAACTGTAACAACACAAATCCCTAAATGTTCAAACAATGAAGTTTGTGTCATAACAATGCGTGTAAATTTCAAATAAAAAATAATTGTCAAATTCAACTCACATCTTTAACTTTTCCTGATCCACTTATCGAAAATCTCTTCGTGATTCCTTTCTCATCTTTCATTGTCTCATCAATCGTTCTCTGTGCAATCATAGCGGCAAATGGAGTGTTGGTTGTTGAAGTTTTGTTATTATTGTAGAACGCAGCTGACGACACATAATCATCATCACTTGGAAGTTTAAAAGTGCAAACTTCCTGGTGTTTATTAAGAAATAAAAGTTGCGACTTTGCTTGCCAATTCACTGTTAATGACTGATCCAAAGGATTCTCACGTGGTACCCAAATTGCATTAAGAGCTTCGGGAATATTTTTCTGATGATGAATTGTAAATGCAGGACTTGGATGAATCACAAACAGTTCGTCATACTCTGTGAAGACAGCAACAAGATTTGTCAATGGATCGATCGTTATGAATTTTGTGTGAAGCTTAAACGATCCTTGAAGCTGCAAAGTCAAAAGATTCCACACAAGAAGACGTCTCGGTGTTGTCACAATCACAAGATGTGAAAAATCCTCACTACAACACAAGACATTCGTGATTTGTGTCAACACTTTAATCGAAGAAAGATCTCCACTTAAGTCATCATTTTCATTCTTCTTTTTAACGAACTCTTCATTAATCTTTTCTGTCAATAATTTTCTTATTGTAATAATTTTTCGATTTCTTTTTGAAGCTTGAGATTTAAATTTCCTAAAACGCCATTGAAGTTGATACTTTTCCATTCCTTGATAATTTTTAATGTTTTGGGAAAGTTTTCTAAACGACACAAGATTTTCATAATAATTTTTCAAGATGAACTCGACAAGTTCTTTCTCCATATGCTCGCTGATTTTATAATAAATATTCAATTGATGAAATATTTGAATCTTTTGACTAAAGCTTAGATCGTAATAACCCATAACTTGTTTAAAAATTATTTCCTTTTCAATTCTTGTTAAATCTTTTGGATTGATTCTCTCGATTTTTTCCATATCTTCTTCAATTCCATTCAATTCCAACTTTTCCAAAAGATTTTCACTATCGGAAGATCCTTGAATGATTAATTTAATAATTTCCAAAGTTTTCTTCCTCTTTTCGATGGTTTTTGAAATGATTTCCTTTGACGTTAATGCATTTGAATTTTTCGGCAGTGTTATTGTAATCTGCTTGACTGATCCATCTTGTGATGCTGGAGCACTAAGAGCACATTTAAGGGAAAACTTAATCGTATCCCAAACACATAAAACATTTCCAAAACCAGCTGCAATTAATGATGAATCTTGTGAGAAACTAAAATGCCGAACTGGAAGATTTTTATAATTTAATTCCTCGATGCACAACCAAATCTTTTTCGAATTCTTCACATCTTCAGCATTTTCCAATGACCAAATCTTTATACAATTATCAAGTCCAGCTGTCGCACAAATAAGAGCTTTTGACACTTCTTTCGTTGAGAAATCAACCGACATGATGTCATTCTGATGAGCTTGTTCAATTTGTGTGTGGAGCGAATAAGTTTGCTTTTCATCATGAAACTTCCAAAACTTTAATCTCGAATCAGGATGATGAACTCGATCATTCCAACTTTCAACTGTTGCCATCCATTCGAGTGAAAGTGCAACTCGTGTCACGTGAGTGTTGAAGATGTTGAGCTTCTTAACACGAGGTATGACATTCCTCATTGTTATGTCAATGTTGAAGAGAAGTTTCATTGTTTTTGTTGAGAAAAATTGCAAGTGACCGATTCTTCCATTCATAACCAGATGATGATTTCTCGGATTCAACTTGATCCCAGCAGGAAAAGGTTGCGAAACACTCAAATCATATTTGGAAATCTTTGTAAAGTCCTGAATTGTCTGGAGTTTAGTGAAACTTGAATTGATGATTTGAATTCCATTATCATCGATTGACAAAGCGATTTTATCATGTTTTGTGTCTACTTTGATATGCGCAATGCTTCCAGATAAACGAGGAAGAAAATCTCTTTCAAGAAGCTTATTTTTAATATGCCATTTAACAAGAACTGACTCAAGCCCTCCGGAATAAAGAATTGTACCAGATTGAGAGAATGCGAGACTTAAAACGATTTGATGATGCCAATGAAGTAAACTGATCACTGGCTTCTCATCGAAAAACTTGTGCCAAAGTTTAATTCGTCCAACATAGTCGCCAGTTGCAAACATTTCCATTTCAGGATGACAAACAACAACTTTTATTGTCGTATCATTCTTGTGAGTTATGAAATCCTTTGACATTTTATCGACAACGAAGATTATTTGCTTTTGAACTACAACGAAGAAATTTGATCCTGGATGACCATCAGAAATTTTCAATTTGTGATGATTGGAACCATTAATGAAGGGAATATCATAACGTTGGACAACAGTTCCTTTCTTGAGTTCTACAAGAACAAGTTGAATTTTCTCGTTTTCGTCTATCAAACTGACAATTCCATGAGCAACGCCATCAATCGATGAAAAAACGAAATTGGTAACTTCCATTAATTTGCCTAGATTCAATTTCTAAAAAAAAGAATATTAATAAATATATGTAATTTAAATGATTAGCTATTTAACCTACCAATTTACTGACAATGAGAAATGATTCCAACTTCCAGATGATGATTGTCCCATTTTTTGTGCAGGCAACAAGAGATTTCTCAGTCTCTGTATCAATGTGAACTCCAACAATATCACCATCTCTATTTTCTTCAAGATTTCTTAAGCATTCTCCTGTTTGAATACTAAACATTCGAATCTGGTCATTCCAAACTACATAAATGGATCTAAAAATTAAAAAAAGTCCAGGTTAGGTTGACAAAACATGCAACATTAAATTCGAATCGATTGTCTCCTCTTTAAACAGCAATTACAGAAGACAAATACTGTACTTACTCTCCATTTGGATCAAAAATAGGCGGAAAGTTAACTAAACTTCCTCCACATAAGCATTTCACTTGACATTCTGATAGTGAATTAGATTGCTCTTGAATTATTGAATTCTCCTCCGATAACTTGATCATATTTTGTTTACTATTGTTGCAAGTCACGTCAAGACACATAGCTTACATAGAATTAAATAAAACTATTAGATTTCAAGCTTGAATTTAATAAATCTTTTATACACTTGTTGTACAACTGATGTTTTGTTTATAAAAACTCCGGTAGTTTTTCCGCGGACCGGAGATTCAGTTTTTGATGTTTCAAGAATGGAATTCAAATATTTCATGACCGTTAAATATATGTTAACATGCTGGAAAGAAATCCGAAAGAAAATTTTGTGAATAATTTATGAAACATTTTATTGTGTAAAAGATAATCAAGAAATGATGAGAAATTTAACAAATGCATGTTGAAAATTAGTAAGAGATTGATATCTCAAACAATATAAAAGCTTGAGCTTTGTATGTTCTTCAATTAGTTCTACGAGGGATATTGAAATGGGAATATTTCAGGAATATATGTTGCAAAGCTCTTTGCATGGTGCAAAGTATGTTGTTGATAGTGAAAAATATTCTCGATATGAGAGAGTCTTTTGGGCGATTTGCATTATTCTGTCATGGATTGGCTCCGTGTTTCTTATTAAAGCTTCTTTGAATGCTTTTAATAACAACGCTATAAGCTTTGTAGTTGAAAGCTCTTACCTCGATTGGGACACTGACTTTCCTTCAATCTTCATATGCGAAAATAAAAATATGGATCGTGTTCAAGAAGCAGCTGATAAAATATTTGGAGAAGATCACGACTTCACATTAGAAGAAGTTTTAAGTGAAATTGTCTACTTTCGTGGCGAGAGCTATCATACAATTCACGAGTGCGCCGGTGACGAAAATATCAACGAGAAGTGTTTACTTGGCAATTATTCGTATTACGCAAATTTCGTTCGAAGCAATTGTGAGAATTCATTGACTGAATGTGCATTTAATGGAAAGTCTTTTGATTGCTGCAAACATTTCTTGCCAATCGAAACTGAAATTGGACGTTGCTTTGCATTAAATTCTGGCCAGACTAAAAAACCACCAAATTACACACCATTGAATCTCAAATCAAATCGCTTCACAGGACCTGGATCATTAAAAATTAAAATTCAAACCGAAAGTTTTATGTATACAATTGGATATTACGAAGTACCCAACTTGGTAACACCCAAGACAGACATTCTTCAAGTTGATCAATTTATTCATTACAAGTAAGATTTATTATAAATTCCTTTGACATATTTATTAACTTGTGTAATTACGCACGATTTCAACAGACGTCAACTTTCAATAAAAAATGTTGAAAATGATCCCGAAGCGCGAGACGTCAGCGTTTTGCAAAGAAATTGTCGATTTCCGGAAGAAAATTTCGTTGAAGTGCATAAGTATTACAGCTTTTCCGCATGTAGTGTTCAATGTCGTAAAGATGAACAAAGTAAACTTTGTGGATGTAATTCGCATGTTATGCCAAATACTGAAGTGAGACAAGCTCAATGATTTATTCTTGCATATTAATCAATTTTGGTACGATTCGATTCAAAATTGTTTTCAGATTGAACAACATTGCGAAATTGACGGACTTGTTTGCTTGAATAAACATTATGAAGATTTATCAATTGTCATCGCAGCATGGAGTAAAGCCAGAAAACGTAAAGGCATTGTATGTGATTGTCTACCTAGTTGCTATGAGGTAGACATTATGGTGATCCACGAGACCCGTGACAATATTTATGATCCCAGCGTTGATCCATATTCCATTATTGAAGTGTCATTGGCAAGCTTGCCAACCGAAAGATATAAACGAAATGTTGTCAGAGGCAAAATAGATCTTGTTGGTATGTTTTCAACACAATCATAATCAAAACCTGACACACACAAAATTTTTGCAAATAACGATATTCTTCTCATTTTCAAACAGTGTCGATTGGTGGTTCAACTGGTCTTTTCGTTGGCGCTTCTTTGCTGTCTTTTGTCGAAATCATTTATTACTTCACCATTCGTGCTGGCCTTTTCAATTGCGTCAATGTCTTCAAGCACAAATCCACATTTTCTGACGTATTCACAAAACTGCAACGATATTAAATAAGCTTTGCTTTTTTTATTTCTTCTTTGTTGCTGTTGTCAGTTGATCCTAACACACTATTTCATCACAAATATCAACATTGAATGGTCTCTGTTATTAAAAGTTCATCAATCATAGTCGGAAGTAATAAATGTTGCTTACACCTAACGATTGAAACACTCAAGACGGGATCAAATATATATGTACACATAAAAGTAAGAGATCAGAGATAAATAAAACTTATTAAGATTTTTTTTTTCATGTGGATGGTAGAAAGTAAAAACAGAAATTGTTGAAAAAAGCATAAAAATTTAAATTTGTCTGAAGTCAACTTGGCATCTACCAACGTGTTGTAAAATTTTTGTCAAAAAAAAAAACTATTTCATTAAATAAAGGTCACGAGTAAACATTTTTTGTGTGAGCGTTCAAATTAAATGTACTTCATTTTATTTATCTACTCACTAAATTTAGCAATTCAAAAAATCATTTATCGAATATCGATTTCTGCAACTAAATATGAAAGATGTTTGGGAGAAACACGTGAGAGTTCAGATGTTATTAGGAGTAAAAGAAATTATCTGTTTACGAGAAATCTTTCGTAAGCATTCCTTTCGATAAACAAACTTCTTTTTTTTTAATATTATTAACCATCAAAGCACGATTTTATTCAACTGGTTTAAAACTGTTAGATATTTCAATGTACGTCGAATATTTTTTGTCTTCGTTTTTGTGTTTTTCTTCCTTCTACTTACCTTTAAACTCTCTGCGAAGAGCAGAGCGTGTTTGCGAGCAAAAAGCCAGCTAGCGTAAAGCATGGCATTATCAGTTTAGTTTGACTTGAGACTTCAGTCGATGTGAAGCGCGCAAAGAAAGAAAGAAAAAAATTTCAGCAAAAGCCGAGGCAAAAGCTTTCTGTTTGTTTTCCTTGGTTAATATTACTTTTTTTTTCTAAGAGGCATAGTTGTGGATATAATTTTTATTGCATAAGAAATTTGTAGTGTGCACGCAAGACAAAGCAATTAATTGTGATTGAATGAAAGTAAAGTCGTCAATCTTTTTTTGACCAAAAAGAAATAAAAAAGTTTTTTTCTTTGAGTTATTGGACTCACTTACTTACTTAGATATTTTGTGTAACAACTAAATTAAGTTGGATTGGAAAACAAAGAAAAGAAATAAAAAGAAAAGATTTCTGCACGAAAGACTTCAACATAGGAAATTAAATAAAAAAAATGTAAGTTTTGCGTATAACAGAAGGTTGAAAGTAAAACTACGTGTTTCAACATAACATCTGCCAGTCGATAATGATCTAAGATGCGTAAGATGACGACATTTTGTTGCTAATATTATAAATGAAACCTCTGGAATGTCAGTCATGGGTTCATCTTACGCGAGATAAATAAGGAAGTTCAATGAATGCGATGTTTGACTGCGAAACAAGTGCCACTCGAATATTCAAAGCTTGATTAAACAATTGGCTTTAGTTTGTATTCAAACTATCTGCAAATAGACAGAAAAAAATTATTCATTGTCGGAAGCCTCAAAAAACAGATAAAGACGACAATAAACTGAAAAACTTAGGACAAAAAAATTATTGGATAAATATTGTTAAAATAAAATCGCTCAACGGTTTACTCAACCGCAGACAATGCGCTTCAGTCACAAAATGAACTTGACGATTTAAAACTTCTTAAGCATGTGATCAGTTTAAGTGAAGACAACAGTTGATGTGGTGAATAATATCACTTCATAAATTAAACGCTGTTTTATCTTCGAAGCTCTCGTATTTAATTCCATTAAAGTACGAAAAAGATTTTTTTCCGAAAACACGACGACAGTTGATGAGCCGCAAAACTGACGTTTAAAAATTCAAGCATATACAATGTTACGGTATGAAAACGCCGTGTTTTGAATGGATATTAATAAATTATTCATTACCAACACGATAAGAGTTGTGTCGTACTGTGTGCCAAGATAAAGTAAGCGGGGGGTGAGGGAGAGAGACATAATGAAAATTGTTTGAATTATTGTGATCACTTTTGTTGAATAATGTCAAATAATGAATGCAGGTCTTGACTTATGTATCGTAAAGAAACTTTCATCCTAACAAATAAGCAATGTGAAACAAAGTAACGAAGAACAATGAAGAATAACTCTTGTAGCTAAATTCAATATTCGTTTTATAAACGACAACAAAAACGTAAATGAAGATCTTGAAAGTTGCAAGGCGACGGTCCAATGTCATGACGCGTTTTATTGCGCTTCAATTTTCTTGTTTGTTTAAGACCCTTCTTCTCTGTTTGTTACTTTACGCAACAATAGCAACATTCTCTCGACACAAAAACAATTATGGCAACAAACGACCTTGCGATAATACGTTGATTTACTTTTTTTTAATGCATTGAACTTTTTGAAACTAATCAAAGGTTGTGAAAATAATTTAATTTCTTCGATTCGTACTACACTGTTCGGCATTATTTCTTTGAAAAAATATTTCAGTGATGCTTGTGAAATGTCAAAATCTCATCATTAGTGATAAATTGTATGCGTCAGTGTGACTAATTGAAAACTAAAGAAACGATTAATAGCGAAGAATTAAAATGCTTTAGTTGAAGTCTGGGCGAATGTCTGAAGAAATGTTAAAATTAATGTTTCATCGAGCGAAACCATCATCAGGTGGCATATTTGACGTCACAGTTGAATTGCAACATTTAGCACGCACATATAATTTAATTTTACTTTCGTTTTCAACTTAATTTGAACAAATCCATCTTCTCAACATTACACGATCGTAATGATATTAAATTCCATTCGAAACCCATGAAGATGTTAGTAAATATTTTTAATAAATCGAGCAGAAAGGCGAACAGTTAAGCATCTTGATTGTTGTAAGCATGCAAAGTTCGCCAAATTTGATTTCATCTATCAAAAAATTTAAAAGAGTTGAAAAGAGAAAAGAAAAAGCAGAATAAGTAGATATGTAGATGAATGTGAATTGAATATCTTTAAACAGTTGCAGATAAATTGTGTAACAAATCCACATGAAGCGCGTTCTCCAATCGCATACTAAGTAAATCAATGAAGTTTCATTTTTTTTCACTCTCTTTTCTTTCACGGAAAACATATGGTGCTGCATAAACAAGTGAATGTTTTTCGAATGAAATGAAATGCGTTTCTTGACGTAACGCAAAACGAATTTAAAAAGCTTTTTAAATGACAACAAATAAGTCTAAAAAAAGCATTTCGATTGCTCAGCAAATATCAATCGTCCTTCGAATTAATTGCTTAATCTCGCATCATTTAATTTCATTTAAAATCAATGAAAGTGAGCTAAAATTTAATAATATTTAAGCTTAAAAGCTTTAATTTCAACTCACTTTTTTAAATATGTTTGGATTGTAAAGTCAAACATGCGAGCAATTATTAATTATCAATTGAATGAGTCGGGGTAAAAACATATTAAATAATTATCTACAATAATGAGAATGAAAATGTTCATTTCGTAAACGATCTGCAAAAGGTAGAAAGCCGGGCGTCTAAAATAATTTTAGAAAACATGCGTGGCACTCGTTTCGTGTCGATTACGCTATTTGATAGCGTCTCATGACGAATTGTGTTGTGTGTTCAATGTTATTGCTTAATGCAAGTATTTATTAATGACCAAACCTTTTTTAGCTCATTACATTCCACATCCCTAATTAAATTTTATCGTAAATTACATTTCAAAAATACCACAACTCTTGTTCCAGCTAATGATTTAACAGCAATCAAATAATAATTGATGTTTGAATGTCATCAACACTAATTTCTCGTTGTCGGAAGTTTGGAAATCTTAAGATGAACTGTATCGCGACCATAATTTGAACCACTGACATTAAGAAAAATTTTAAATGTGATGATAATTTAAAATTACATCTTTCATCATGTCGCAATAATGCGAACTTTAAGTTAAGAGCGTAGTTAGTACTTACTTCAGGTAGTCAACATTGTTACCAGTTTTTCAATTATGCAAATTCAATTGATTTTTATGACTTTTCGTTTTGAAAAGTTTTAATTCGTGATTACTTATCCAGCTATTTATAACAAGACACTTTAGATAAACTCATTTCACTTTTTTTTGATGCCTGTTTTACTTACTTAAGAAGAAATGCCGAGCATAGTCATTAACATTATTTGTTCATCTACCCAGATGCCTCGCAAACGTGATCGATTTTAAGTATTACGAAAATACTAAAATTAATGAAAAAATTATTAAGTGAAGCGCCAACAGAAAATATTTACGTTTCATCTTTCAAGTAAGACGATCCACGGGGTAACAAAAGTTATGAGTATGAATTTAACGAAATCATTTTTTGATATATTTTCATGTTTGAAAGAAGGGGATTACCGTTGTGATGGAGAAACATCAACTCTAACAAAATTGATGATGGTCAGGAATTCAAGTTTTTGAATGTGTTTCATAGATAAATTAATGATGAATTATTTATGAAGCAAAATTATTTTTAGACAAAAATGAATATCGAGTCGGTTAATAAGCTTTAATTAAAAGTAGAATTGAAATTAATTTATCAATCTAGATGAATTCATTATCTATGAGACTATTACTGACAAACTAGCCTATATTTCAAATAAGGTCTAAAAGCGTCTGAAACAAACAGGTTGATTAAGAAATAACATTCAATCGATGACTATAAACATGCCCACCCACGGTATCTTTATAAATATTAACACAATAAATTGCATCACGGAAACAAATTTAAGCGCACCTTGCTTAGAACTGAAATCCATAATTTGATGTTCATGTCACTATTAGATATAAAAAATTTAACTAAACCGTCAATAATATTGCTAATGATGATAAATTTCTTGTTGCGCTATATTGATTGCGCTGCGGTTATTCGAAAGCGTAATTTAAGTTAAGTCGATTTTTCAGGAAATCTAATAAGCCGCACACGCCATAAAGCGTCATTTGCTGTGTACAAGAAAAGTTGTTGAATTATGGAAGTCACTTGATTAAATAAGAAGAGTGAATTAAATGCAATGGCCTCGATTGTGGTTACGATTACTTTTAACAGGAATCGCCTTATCTTCATCTTGAAATATAAAAATTAATGAACTTTTAAAGAGTCCAAGAATTATTTTGAATATTTTATTGAAGCATGTTGAAAGTACAAGAATTATGCATTAACGCTTCATGACGTAACATGAATAATCAATAAACATACAAATAAATTCGTTTAATATAAAACCGAAGCATATACAGAAGCGTTAAATACGATTTTTCATTCCTCATAATTAATAAAGAGATTCTCTCAACAGACTGTGATAAAAAATAATAATAATTTCCATTTATCGGAAGAGGAATCAGAAACCGCGCTCGCTCAAGTACGTCATGGTTTCATGTCTCGAAGAGTCTTGAGGTAGACTAAGTGAAACGACGACAACGAAAACAAAGATAAGCTCAAACAGTTTCTGTATTTATGTCTGTCGATGAATGAAGTGAAAAAGAGAAAAAAAGGCGCGAGTAAAAATTCATCACATATCTGCACACATAGGAATGTAGGAAACAAAACAGCAAAGTTTATACAATAATAACGAGTTAATAAATAAATCGACGCTTGATTATGCGTTCACGACATTTATTTATCAACACGACACGAAAGTTTTTGAAGAAAATAAGATTTTTATAATGAGAAACGTTCATTATTCAATAGATTTGCCTCAAGGTATTTTTATGAATGTTTCAATGTAGATATTTATGTTTATTGCGGATTTTGAACTTTTTTTATCTTTTCAATTAAATTTTTTTCTCATAATAAGCAATAAGTTGAAACGTTAGTTTAATTAAGAATTAAAATGCCATCTTTTTTGTTACCAATCACATATTTCAATTGAATAATTACGCGCATACAATTTATGACCACCAAAAAAATCAATTACAGACCAAGTTGATCTCTAGAGAATGGAGCTTCAAGGTTGGTTCGTAAAAAGTATGTTCCACGAAGATTTGTTGAAGTTACAACGCCCATATTTCCGACTGGTGCATTTAAGTTGCAATCATTACGTAGGAAATTTTCCCATGACTCGCATTGAAGTGAAGGAAACAGCGGTCTTTGTGCTCGAACTGATTCAACCCAGACAGATGAAGCAAAAAGATGAGAACACGTTTGAGCAATGGTGTTGATTGATGAAGTGCACATTGGCTGAATGACGCCTCCATTGACAAAGAATTGAACATCTCCTCGAGCTTCGTGATCACCAAATGCATCCCTTTCAGTGTGAATTGTGTCAGTAAATCTGGCATCACCAGATCCAAGACGACCTGTTAAAGGAAAAAAATCTTGAACTTGACCTGGATCGAGGCCAGTAATTCGTTCAATAACATGTTGTCGATTTGATCTTGAAATGATTTCTCTTCCTGTTATTCCCCAAACAGTCGCACCAAATGAAAATCCAACCAAATGTATTCTTGATGATTCATATCCATTGTTGAACAATCGTATTAATGCTTCTGCTATGTTCTCACCAATTGTACATGCATTCTAAAATTCATGAATCATGTAGAAAAATTTCTAAGGATTTTCATTAAATTAATTTAAATACATTCACGATATTTGTAGCGATGCTCTCGTAATTAACCATAATAAAATTCACGTTATCAAAATTTAAATATGCGTCAATTGTCTCAAGACTTGTTGGCGTTGACGGTGATTGTGACAAACCATAATGATACATGACAGTGTTTCTATTCCTTACAAAAGCAGGATGGTTGAGAATCTCGTGAAAATTATGAACATTGTAAACTTGAAATTGATTTGGGCTGGAAAAAACAGAAGAAAATCTTTGAATAATCAAATTTAATAAATAAAAATTCAAAACTTACGTGATGTAAAAATTGAATAAAATCAAATCAACAACTTGAGGATTTCGGCAACTTTGGGATGAAACAATTTTTCCAGAAAGAAAAACTGTGAAAGTTAAAAACACTTTAATGAAATATTTAAGGACCATCTTGTAGTGTTGAGTGCTTGAGAAGAATTGAAAGGAAAAACCTACTTGAAGTTGTAATTTGATGTCGTTTTTATCATCATCAATTAATTGATGGCTACTTATATGCAGATTAGATAAAAAGTTATTCAAAGAACTCGAATCAAAACTTAAATTACGTCAAGCTTTATATTCACAATCACCATTCGAAGTTTCTGTTTCTCTTCTCATAGAAACTTTTTTGAAAGTTGAACAAATAAGAATAATATTTGGTTACATGTTTGCAAGTCGTTTCCTAGCACTTCAAAAACTTCAAAAGAAATAAAAAGATTAAGAAGTACTCTTGAGTGACCAAATGCTCCTATAATAATTAAGTATTTATGTACTCAACTCAACAAAAGTTCAAATAATTATAATTAAATATTTTTTATTGTGGCACATCGCTTTCTCTATAAACAGGCGGATAACCGAACGCAGCGATTCCGTGAAATCTCAATAATAATCCTTTGAAATCTTTTTTATCTTTTGAAAAATCATAATCTGGTGGAAAATCAATAACCGGTCGAAAAGGGTCATCACAGTTTAAGATACGAAACTTTGATCTCCAATCTCCACAACGCCAGTGGCAAATATCTCTGAAGCACTCTTGTCTAAAAGTTTCAATGAATAAGAGAGATAAAATACATAAAAGCGAAGCAGAAAAAAACTCTTACATTGGCGATGCACGATGATTACGAATCAATTTCATCAAATCTGTAACAGAATCAGCTGAATTGACAAATTGATTACTCAATATTGTTGCAAACAAAACAAAAATTGGAACTTTCATTTTCATTTAAATTCTTATCTAAAGCTTAACATCTCTTTATATTATTGTGAACTTTTTTATCGATTAGATCACTCGAAAAGGTAATTTTCGACTGAAGCTGAACTAAAAACTTCGACGCTCTTTTATATTTCCATTGGCATCGTAGTGATTTCATTCTGAATGTGTCAATTGCTTAATTAAACAAACTTCAACTTCGAATTATGACAAATCTTAGTTACATAAATTTCTACATTTTTATTGACTTTTACTTAGTCATACTCAAAGTTGAGTTGATACAAAATATTGAGCAGTAATATTTTGAATATTTTTCTCTTGCAGGTTTCTCAAGCAATTTGTACTGTTACTATTTTGCGCACTCATAACAAAAATATCATCCAGACCACATTACATGCTTTCACCATACGCACACAGAGCTGTTCTCGAGAACGATGCACTTGAAGAAACGTTTCCAGATCATTTTAGAAATCCTTTCATGAAAACGCCAAGGTGATCTTTCAAAATAAATTCTAAAATGTTGAATTAATATTTCATTTAATTTGTTTAGAGTACGAGTAGCACTATCACGATTTAGCAGGCTTCATCACGGTGAAACTCCCGTTAAGAATCGAATTGCTGATGCTGTTCCACGAAAAGAAATTTATAAACTTCTGACGCACGCCGGCTTAGTAAAAAGAAACGATTTTCCTTATGCATAAAAGAAATGTTTGATTAACATTTAATGTTATGTTTTGTTATCTTTAAATGAGAAAAGTCTTTTGTAAATATAGCAATTAAGCAACGCAACAAAATAAAAATCGATCGCCAATCAAATTGTTTACAATACTAATTACCACGTGCTTGGTCCATTCCACGATTATCCTGCGCAGACGCGACAACATTGCATTTGTCGTAATTTTTATTCCAAAACTGAATTTGGTGAGCATTCTGTGGTGACGATTGGAATACGAAGCTTTTCAGTCTTCTCGAGTCACTTCAACATTTCGGACGAAACATTTTCATCAACGTGTGTTGTGATAAGGAAAAAAAACAAGTTTTCTTACTCATTTTTTATAGATGGAAAAAAATTAAATAAATTCAACTTAGATATTGGAAAAAGATTGCAATAAAAAAAAAGTAATAAAAGAAAATTACAAGAAGAATTTAATACAATAAATTGCTTCGTGAAGCCATTTAATCTCAGAACTGTTGTGTATGTGTATGAGAGTTTGATCGATTTTCCTTACATTTTGATGGCATGGCCTTTCTTTTGAAAAGCATAATGTAAATTATTTATATGCTTTGTGTTGACTTCTAATTAAAAAGCCAGCGAATAATTTTTAAACAAATGTTTTGACTTATAAATCGAGAAAAAGGAAAAAAAATTCTCACTTACATTGTGTTAAAACATTAAGAAAGACTCTGAATTTGAATTTCCAGTCAACACACATTTCGAGCAAGCAATTTCAAAGCTATAAAGTGTAAAGTTTATGCAAAACTAATAAAAATCAATGGTTTCATTGTGAATAATTCCAGCTTTGTGGATGTTTACGTTGCCATGTTGAAAGTTCAGTGTCGTCTCTTCTTATTTTATTTGTCTACTGTCGCAGTCGAGAAATTAAATTATCTCGAATATTGATTGTAGTAGAGGCACATGGCGTGAAAATATCATTTCATTCAAATACTTAAAGTAAAGTGTTACAAACAAAAATAGCTAAGCAAAGTGAATGTACATACAACATTTATCTAATATATTTTCATAGCATAAAAGACAAAGAATTTATGTATATGTCGGCATAAATGTCTACATTAGGAAGATGAAGCCATAAAAACAATTCAAAAGGGACTGAGAAAATGGCAATTTCCTTTCAACATTAACTGAATAAACTACTCAATTTCCGTCGAGTGAAATTAATTTGGCACGCAGATAAGAGTCTTATAAGACTTCAACCTATATTCGCTAATGTTCCATCAGAGATTTTCATTTTTACGTAAAACAGAAATTTTCTTTTAGAAGCATTATTCAGAAATATGTAATAAGGAAAATTATTCTGAACATTCTGAACAGAGTTGATTTTAAAGCAAAATTTCAATAGCGTGACAAACCATCATTAAGAATTTCGCAGTCTGTTCTGTTCAAAAGAACTTCATATGGACGTCTAGTGGAGAAATTGTAAAAGTTAATTAAAGGAGCATTTGAAATGTGAGTATTGAAATCATGAATGTTAATAAAATTAAATCGATAATTAGATCTTGAAATCAAGCTCATTCTGATTCACTAAATCATTAATATTTAATCTTTTGTTCAAATGTTTAAGAAATTTATTTACGTAACAAGAGTTCTGTGAAAATTTTATACTCGTAAAATATTTCAAGCTTCTAAATTTTTCTCCTTTGATGTACGAATTTTTCCTTCTTTCAACAAGCAAGTAAATAATTGATACGATTACAGTTTCTGACATTTTAACCTTTCTACATTAGCATACTTTTGAGATATGAAAAGTGAAAATAAAATTATGAAAATATTGAATTTCTGGCAGAAAATATTTCATAAACTTAGTTAAATAATTTTTATCCCTTAAGAACTTTAAGATTTTTCATTTTGTGTCTTAAATGTTAATTTATTTAAGATGAGAAATTAAGATCCTTTTGTGTTCATTTTAATAGATCCCAAATTTGACCAAACACAAAAGAAAATATCTTGATGGCCTTTTTGTTTCGCCACATTCATTCATTAATTATGTGTTAATCGGCATGAAAATGATTATTTGTTTTCTTTAGGTTGTTATCCGGAATACCAGCTGGGTCTTTTGGACGATGGGCGTTTGGAGTGATTATTCTTACACATCTGGTTGCTTTTAACGAATGTGGAAGTGTGTCAACACTTGTTGCAGTCTTAATTACTGCTCTAAACTCCTTGCTAATTGGTATGTAATGATACTAATAGTAATTTGTTTCAAAACAATGTTAATGAACAATGAACGATGATATTTCCCAGGTTTTCTATAATAAAATTCTTAACATTCCCACTCGAGTTAACAAGAATCAACATTGCTTCTTAATTATCATTGCTTTGCGGCCTTAATTAATGAATAGATTTTTTCTGAAAATTTTACCATAAACCCTTCTGAAAACTCAAAGAAAAAATATTCTTGTCAAAGGTCAATAAAACTTTGAATTGTCTCTGGCGAGTCCAATACAAATATCGATTGGGAAATTTCAATATTTCCGTTTTACATTCAGCATACATAAATGTTTCAATATATTTTAATATTGCATAAATATGTATTTACAACATGTTTCCTTTTCTATCTTTAACACAATGTTTGTGAAAGATAGAAAAGGAAACCTTCTCAAATACTTTCACCCTTGGGGAAGGAAATTTCTAAAAAAAACAACAAACCCAAATTTCCGATGAAAAACATTTTAAAATATTAAATTTTTGTTGCCAAGCGGAAAGCTTTGCGTCACATCAGAGAACAAGGAAAAAAGCTTTTTATAAATTTTGAAAGCTTTTTCAGATAATTATTTTAAACAAAGCATTGGCTGTGATAGCTTCCATTATGAATTAAGATGAGAAATTTATTCATTGAACGATGCCTGAGAGTATCTACTTAGAAATAATAACAATTAGCTAAGGAAACTGAAAAAATCTATAAAAATCAAATTCACTGGAGTGAAAGCTTTTATTTTGATGTAAACGTTACCTACGAACAATTTGTTCTATCGCTTCCGATTACATTTTTATTACCAAAAATTTCCGCGGAAACTCAACTGGGAGCGTCAAATCGCTTCGAAAATTCTGCTTTGTTGACTTCCTTATTTGCTGTGAAGTCACGGAAACATTTCCCTTTCATTGGGGTTGAATGATTAAAGTTTTCTTCAGTTCATTTAATTTCTATGTTTCTTTATTTCCTAACACTGATTTTTCGACAATTTAATTTGGGATTTCAAAAGTTAATTGCGAAGATTTATTTTCTGTGAAGCGTTCATCATTTTTTATGTTGAAAGCTTCTGTAAATTTATTAAAAAATGTAAGCAGCTTCTTCTTGTCAGCATATTTATAAATTTCAGTTGAGTGCTTAAAATTATTCACTTCAGCTAACATTTTTTTAAAGAAAAATAAAACTTTATCGTATCAATAAAAAAGAAAAAATAAATAAAAACGACGACTCAACAAGTTTCTCTGATTGATTTTTGATATGTTTCCTTAACATCCATTGAATTTCTATTTGTTGCTCAAAGTGTATGACTCTTCACGTTTCAATTTGAACCTTTTTTTTATTTGAAAAGGGTTTGTTTTGGATCGAGACTTTTCCTTCCTTTGTTGACAAAATAACTCCAAATGAATAACGATCTGACTCAAGAGAATATAAAAACAAATTTTCTTCTTCTTATTTAATCTCAAATTTAAGATGTAATTGATGAGCTTCAGATTTTCGAATATTAACTTTCTTAATCCATTTCAAAAATTTCAGTCTACACCAAAAATGGCCTAAATCAACTTCAAATTCCATATTTGCGTGCTAGTCATCGATTTGATTTTTTATGTCTCTTCCTTGCTTTGTGGATGGAATTGCTAGCATTAATAACAACATGTGCCGCAATTATTCGAACCATAAGCTTTTGTCTCGATGCAATGTCCGGTGGACTTGTGCGAATTTATATTTTGGGTAAGACAAATCTCATTTACATTTCAATTAAGCTTTCTTAATTAAATAATTGATGAATCTAAATTAATAAGGACGCAACTCTTCAATTAATGAACCATGGCCTGATGTCCTTGGTATCGTGATAGTATTCATTATAAGTGGAATGTTTATTCTCGGTTTGGAGAATTCCAAAGTATTCACCGTTTTGTTAATTTCGGGAGTGCTAAGCATATCAGGTCTCTTAGCAGTCGTAACATATTTGCGGGGGAACATCGAAACATGGTTACATGATAATCTCTTCCCAAAAGGACTGTCGGGAGTAAGATTAATGAACAACAATTAACTTTATTGACTCTTCTTAACAAAGCTCATTCATATTCAGATTTTAACAGGCTCAACACTCTTAACGATTTCATTTCCGAATAATTTGCCGACGGTTGGACGATATCCCAAAATAAAAGCAGCTTTCTTTTCAAGTGTTGTTTTGATATCAATTTCATTGATTTCCGGATGTTTGTCGACATTGACACAGATGAGGTAAAATATTTTGAAGACATTTTGGAAACCTTTTTTCGAATTCTGTTTTCAATGTTAAATAGCAAATCGAATGATTACGAGACGGTGCCAATTTTAAGGATTTTGGAGACAAAAGACCTGCACAAGCTGATACCAGCGATTGGCTGCTTGTACGTCATCGCATGTTCAGCAGCATTGTTGGAAATATTCACTGAAAGCTTTCAGATTATCCTTCGATTGGCGACTTCAGAATGGAAAATTCTTCTCAAGCAAATTAGTTATGAGAGTCGTGACAGCGGGAGTCCCATTCTAGCCGTGTTTGTTTGTGGAAGTTTTGTTGGAATTCTTGCTTTTGCATGTCCATTACGTAACATGACGTATGTCATAGCAGGAGGTCAATTATCAGCTGGAATTTTAAGAGCATTTTTCTTCCTTTATTCACCATTTCGTCCCAAATCAATGAATCCAATAAGTAAGTTGTTAATTTATGTTAATGAGTTGAAAATAATTCAAATTAAAATCATTTCAGATGATTCCACGCAATCTTATTCTCGTTTAGCTTCGGGGAATTCCGAAAGGCCAAAGACTTCACTTCCTAAACGAACCAGCATGTGGTTTCGTAATAAAGCTGTTCCATCGCTGAGTAGTCAGAGCTTGTCAAACATGATTTCAAAGAAGAATCGAAGTAGTAATGGAAATGAAGAAGTTGAGAAAGAATGGCTGCTGCTTGGTGAGCCTTCGTCGCCAGTTAATAAGTTTGATTCAGAACCAGTCAATGCTGAATCATCGATTTTAAATGACGAAACTACTTCGGATGTTGACTGTATTGCAAAGGAAGAAGGTTCAGATTCAGAGTCTGAGGAAGACATCGACTCAATTGTAGAAGAATTTCATCAGAAAGTTAAAGTATCGACAGCTGGTTTAAAAGATTCCACAATGAAAGTTCCATCGATGAGTTCATGGAGAACTGCTACATGTTCAATCATTGTAATTACTGGAAGTGCAGTAATAGCTTCTATCAGCATATCCTACGAACTTCTCGTTCCTTTATGTCTTTCAATTGGAGGTGATGACCAAACATAAACTTAATGTGATGTTCATTTCAATCCCTTCTTTAAAATTTCTTTCCAGTAACTTTTGTGACAAGCATTTTAATGCTTTGGATACCGCGATACACATACACACACGAAACACCGTCAACTATGACATGTGCTTTCTCTCTCACCTTCAATTTTATTCTGATGTCTGTAATGATGTTTGACAGTTGGTGTGCAATAATTTTCTGGATATTTTCTGGAATTATTCTTGCATTACAATCATTAGTTAAATGCGATGTGTGGTGTTGTTTGTGTTTAGATTATCCACACGAATCATCGCAACATTCAATATTGATCGAGGAAAGTTTAATTCCAAATGGCTCGTCATCTCGTGCGGCATCGACTTTGATTCGTTTAAAAAATCCACCGGTTGGATCATCGGTTATAAATCATGTACAATCCAGGAGATGACACATTGACAGCAGTGATTCGGACACCGATGAATACGAAGAAGACACTGTCGAGGAGTGGACTGAATGAAGAAGTATTAAGCGAAGCTTATAACTTGTGATAATCAAGATGAAATCATAAATCAAAGTGCTTTTAAATGTAGAGGGTAACGATGCTTGTATTTAAGCTTGACAAGAGCCAAATGCGTGTAAGCTGTAAGGTAATCTAGTCAAAAAATATTTATCACAAATGTCTCAGAATTTGACGTTTCGATACATCGAAATTAAAATGTCAATTCACTTTTTTCTTTCTCTTACTTAAATCCAAACACAATATTGCTCAATTCTCACTTACAAAGTCATTCAAATCAAACAAAAAAGAGAAAATCAATATTTATTTGAAATTCGAAAACGATAAATGTGATAAATTTTATTCGTCTTACTTCTTCACGTCGTCAAATCAAAATAAGAATCAATTTTCTGGTGTCAATTTTCATGATGAATAAAATGAATGTTTGTTAATTATCAAATAAATTTTACGATGTGATGACAAAGATATGTGAGAAATTTATGTATAATCAAAAGAGATCTTAATAAAGTCAAATTATAATCAAAGAGAGAACATCAAAGTGGAAAGAATTTTCAAATTTCTCAGTTTTACTTTAAAAAGCATAAATTGAAGAAAAAGCATGAAAAATTTTTTTACTTTGTTTTTCGTTTGAAAGTAAAAGTCGTTTCAACTTTCATCAATTAAGATCTTTATTTAAGACTCTTCACAATGGTCTTTAAATGTTGAATTTAACAATGATTGATAACAGAAACTGCTAAGAAGTTTGCAAGAATCGAAATCTTCTTTTACAACTCACTCGACACTTTATGATCAAAAAGGTGAAGTAAACATTAATCAATTATGCACTTTCAACATCAAATTATGTTACTGTTAATAAGAAAGCTTTCATTCCATTAATATTTTCAGATGATAAAAAATTTCACGTTCTAGATGTTGAAAAATATGAAATTTCATAAATTTAATTGAAATTAAAAAGTCTGCAAATCTCATTACGTGACTGTAAAGAGTTGAAATTAAATTGAACTTGAGACTTTTTATTCAATTTCACTCTTCATTTTCACGTTGCCGACAATGCCATGCCGCTAAAATTGATGATGAAGTGACATATGCGAGAAAAGCGAAAAGATAAAAAGAAATTGAACGTTTGCGTAACATAAAAGCTCATTGGCACGTACCACACGATGGTGCTTTCTTTCATCAAACTGTAACCTCATTCTTAACACTATTCAGGATGATTTTAAGACTTTTACTTTACTCTGTTAAGCAGAAACTCGTGATTTACAAGAACACTCGTCAAAAGATGATGATAAAGTCGAAGATGCATAAAATGTTCCACATTTCTTGAATTTGTTCGAACGATTAGTTGAGCACGTTTCATTTTCGTTTTCACCTCAATCACCTAATTGGTTTTAATTTCTGATTGTTCGTTCTCTAAAATGAAGAATTTTGTGATGCTTAGGATTGTGTAGATGTACGAATTGTTTGTTTTAATTTTCATTTATCATAAGTTGCACCAAAGTGTTCCATTTCCGAGTTAATAGAAAAGTGAAAACATCTTTAAGAACATTTTTGACCCTTTTAAATTCTAAAATATTTCTCATTAAATGATTATTCTACTTTAAGCTTCGATTGACCATTAAATATGGTGCAAATTAAAATTATTTTCTTTACTTCTCTCTCTCGCTTTTATTTAGTCACAAATCTCTCTGACATGTGTTGTGATGCGATGTGTTAATCATTTTAACAAACAATAGGAAAAAGAAGTGAAAAAATCTCGTTACAATTTCTCGCAATTCATGAATTTCTAAATATTTTGTGATGTTAGTAGATTTGAAAGCCCAGAAGCACCACAAATGCTGATTTTAATATGTCTTCAGACTTCATTTTCATATTTTTTGATGATTTAACTGGGACGAATTCAATTTCTTTCTTGTCTTCATCGGATAATTCTCGCTTTTCATTGTTGTAGTTCGACAGTAACCAAGAAGAGAGTGCCATAACGAATCTCACATTTCGCCAGCTACCGCGAGACCAAAAAAATCATTCAATTCATTTAGTCTTGAGATTTCACCAAGGAAAGTTCTTTTTTCTTTGTTGTGTTCAAAAGAATTGTAAAATAAAACGAAAACAGTTTTTCGTGGTTTTTTAAATATGAAACTTTGGAAGTAAAAACATCAAATTGATCTTTGCTATTAACTAATGTAACTTGACAAAAGAGAAAAGTTTTGCCTGTTTAATGATAAGAAAGAAGAAGAAAAAGAAAAAAATCTTTATGGTTGGAGTTATGGATAAATTAATTGTGTTCATAATAATTTCAACAATACAAGTTTGTCATGGTAAGAAGATTGATTAATATTTCAATGACAAATCATTTGATCAAAGATTTTATTTAAATTAGGATTCAATTCGAAATGTTCTGTAGCAACTCAGCCACATGCTACTGAGTGCAACAAATATCTGAAATGCATTAGCAAACCTATGAAATCTGTGACATGGATAACATTGAATTGTCCTGAAGGTTTGATTTATGATAAAAATTTGAAATCTTGTGCAATTCCTGATGACAAATGGGAATGTTTAAGTGACAGTGAAGATGAAATCACCAATGATGACGAAAATGTTTATGGGATTGAAAACTTAAAGATTATTGAAGATGATGAAGATGACAGTGATGACTTTCTTGAAGTCATAGATGAAGATTTAAATCCCTCAGAATATCGAAGTATTGACAGTAGTGAAGAATCGAGTGGTGATGGTGAAATTTATGAAGTTGTCACACCTTCATCATCCACAATGCAAATGATAACAAATCAACAACTTCAAAGATTAACACAACTAATGCAAACTCAAGCGAATAAAAATTATGGGTTCATAACTAGCGGTGAAATTACTGCTGACGATTTAAATTCATTTCTTTCCACCCAACAAATTCAATCAAATTCACCGGAATATCAGAAATTTAATTTTCATTCGAATAGAAAAACTGCAATGCCAGAAAATGGAAAAATTCATCCGGAAATTTTAAATCAAATTCTCCAACAGCAAAATAAGATTAAAGGTGGATTGAATTATTTGACAACTTTATCGATGGATGCAACAACACCGAAATCAACTAGAAATAAGCCAGTTTTATATTATAACCGTGACCCTGTCACTGAAATTAAACTCAAAAGTGGGCAATCGTTAGATGGCCTTGGATCACATCAGATTGTTGTTAACCGTCCTGAAGGTTCTGTTTTATTTAACGTTCCAACGCCAATGGAAAACAAACAACAATCACCACATTTATCAGAAGACATTCTCAAAACAATTCTCGAAATTTCCAAGCATATGGTGACACAAAATCATCATCAAAAACAAGATCACGCCGTTTCATATGCACCACAACCATTTTATTATGGAGTTCCAATTCCCTTCCTATCACCACAAAACAATGGTCAGAGTTATTATGATCACAATTATCGGAATAATTTAACGGAGATATTAAATTCTTTGGTTAAATCGAAATCAAAACCCGACACGGTTGAGACAGTTTCAATGAATTTTCCACCGAAAATAAATCAGAAAGCTGATATTGTCACGTCTCCTGATAGTTATTACAATCATTTCCAAAATTATCATCCATCTAATCAACAACAAAATTACGGGCAAGGTCAAAAAGAAAGTTATCAAAATTTTATAAATAATCAACAAAGATTTCCATCAAATCAACAAAGTTTTATGCCACAACAAGGGTTTATAAATAACAATCAACAAAGCTTTCTAAACAATCAAAGACCACCCGGACACAAATCAAATCCAAATCAGTTTTATCAAAATTATCCAACGATGTATTCAAGTGACGCTTCTCCACTCCATCAGCAATTGTCACCTTATCAATCTTATCCCAATCCCAACAAGAATCATAACACTGATTCGCTGAACTACAACAACCAACGCTATGACTTTGATAGTGCATACTATGGAAATAGACCATTCGTGCCTGAGTCATCAGCACCTTCTTATGTGGAACACGAGATACGACCGAAACCATTTCAAAAAGAAAGTTACGAGACGTCGTACGAAAATTACGATGAAGATGAAATTGATGAAAGATTCTATGATGAAGAAGAAGATTTTGAGACGCCTACAAAGAAGTCAGAGAAGGAAGAATTAATTTGTACTCCCGTGTTACAAAGGCAAGCTAACAAAACAGATTGTATGGGTTACTATGTTTGTAACTCGAAAACGAAAGAAGTTTTATCGTACACGTGCCCGGTGTTTACGGCATTTAACGATTTGTCAAAATATTGTGATCAATCATCTTATCCCGCTTGTAAGAAAGTGAAAGATCGCGAAAGTAGTTCATATCATAATCAAATGATTTTCGATGAAGCAACAAAAGCACTTGAACAAGTGAAAAAAGAATCGCAGAAAGTTGAAAGAATCGCGTCAATGGTTCGACAAGAATCGGAGAAGATTTACAAACGACGTCAACAGTATCAACCAATCCCACCCACACAATCCTCACATTCCAACAATCAACATTACACACATATTCAGAGGATTCCCAAGCCTATTGTGACAAAACGTCAACGTCCAACAATGAAGCAGACAGTAAGAGTTCCCGTGTCGCAACCGAAGCCACAACGAAAACGAAAACCTTTACGAACGAAGAAGAAGAAAGTGAAATGTTATGACACTGGAAACATTGTTGATCCTGAGTCTCCAACCTCTTATTGGCATTGTTTTAGAGGTGCTGATGGTAGAATGAAGAGAGTTAACAGAAAATGTAATGCACATTTTATTTTTTGTTCCAAGTCAAGATTTTGTTCACCTCCAGGTCGTTGTTAGTTGTAGAATAAAATTTATTTATTGCCTTAATCAAATTAAATTTTATTTTTCTTTTATTTTTATTAATTAAAACTTTTACTTTGTTATTATGAATGCTTTCTTTCAGCGACTGTCATTGATATTCTCGAAGCTTTTCAAAGCTTTGAAGCAAGTAAAATTATTTAAATAAGTTAATAGGAAAACTTGAGAAAATTAACAAAATCAACAGAAAATCTGGGAATAAAAAGGAAAATCTGGGAATGACTGAAATAATTCAAACCTTTTCTATTAAGATATTAATTTTTTTATTCAATTTTTATTGGTTTCATTAGCTTGAAATGAAAATCTTAAGTTTCCTGTTCATTTATGAATTTTGTATTTCAGCAAGTGATGCGTACCATTCTCGAAGTTCTTCAGCATTTCTTTGTACGTATTCAATGTTTCTGTTAATGACAAATTCAATCTGTTCCTGTTCAATGGGCCAAGGTGAATGTTGGCTTAAAATGTTTAAAAACTGTAAGAAGTAATTAGAAGTTATTGATAATTGATTGATTGTTAAGCATGTACAAATAAATTTCTTACCCTTTCAGCTTGTTGTTCAGTGTTCGTGACAAAGGCAGCGTTAAAAAGAACTGTCAGAATATTAACCCCTCTAAAAATTTAAGAATAAATTACTTTAACATGTTTAACTTTTGAATTCAATTCACTTACACGGCTTCTAGTTCTTCATATCTTGTTTCAACAGTATCAATGACAGCTTCATAACTTGCCAAATTACTATTCAGCAAGACAGAAGAAAACATAAAATGTCTAAATTGGTCTTGAATTAAATCAATCGTTGGATCAAGAATGATGTTAATTAAAGTTTCTATCAGAAGTTTATCTTGGCTACAGCTCAATCTGGCTAAATTTGATTGTATTACAGATGTATTTCCCGTTTCCAGTGCATTATCTAAAACCATCGTCCAAATAGTTTCATTTGCACCCATTAATGCACTGCACTGAAATTCATAAGGCACTGAAGTGACTCCAGTTTCAAGATATTGTATCAATGCATTCATAGCGTCTTCCCGACATAATTCAACACCTGAAAAGCAACTAAAGAAGGTGACACTTTGAGCTGCAATAATATCATTCCATGGCGAACTCCACTCAACTGGAAATCTCCCGTAAACCGTTGTCATAAGATTCTTCATGAAATTTGTATGATCTTCATCAAACTCGGATCCTCGAAGTCTTAGTTGTTTTAAAATCATTCCACTTGTTGCACGATTCCAAACATGAGGATGAAACTCCAATCTCAATGATCGCATCATTTCGAGGAAAACTACGGAACTGATATGAAAATCTTCTTGAAAAAATCTTGAGAAATCAGCAAAAAGAGTTCCTCGATTCAGAAAGTGAATTGCTTCGTGATCGTTATTCAAAGCATTGTTGATCCCCCGCCAAAGTTGATCATCATAGTTTGTCAAGTAAAACGACGTGTCACGTAAATTAAAAATCCCCCAATCAATGTCGTTATCGACATTCAAATCCATTTCCTCTGCCGTCATCCACAAGTTTGTTGTCGTATTGTCAAAGTCTAAAGCTTTAGAAGTTGTAAAACTTATTGGAATATTGAAAAGTTCATTATGAACTTGTTGAAAAGTTTCTTGTTTCAATTTCAAGCCATTTTCGGTTCTTTGAACAGTCAACAGTGGAAATCCACTTACTTCCAACCATGGTGTCATCATCAATCCAAGATCAACATTATTTCCAGGGGAAAGCACATCATAAACTTTCTGAACATTTCTGAATAAATCATCGGGCGATGCTGACTTGTATTGCATGTCAAGCAAATATTCTCTTACGCCTTCCGTAAAAATCTCATCCCCTAATGCTTCCTTCAACATTCTTAGAATAATCGCACCTTTTACTTCATCCGGGACATCAAATTTTCGGATAATTTCTTGATCACTTTCAGGGTATCGATTGAGTGGCGGAAGAAAGTTGAAAGTGTCCAATTGAAACATTATATCAAGAAAATCAATCAAGAAATGTTCCCATTGATGTCTTTCAGGGTTTATGATATCGATAACAATATTTTCATAAAGTTTTGAAACCCCAGTGCTAAGCCTGAAATTTAATTTTGATTCATTCAAATTATTTTACTCAAATTCTTCAATTAATTTCAGTATTTAATGATAAATTAAAAAAAAAATCTCACCAACTATAAGCCCACGACGATTGCGATACTAAATTCCCGAAATATTGGTGCTGATGAGATTAAAAATGTGGTCAAATTAAATCTAATTCGTTATTTGATTCAACTTACGGCATTTTTATTTGCAAAAATGATTCCTAACTCAGGAGGGTCTTCAAAACTTCCTGTAATTACCCAGTTTTCAGGAAGACCGATAAGTCCCCAATTTACTGAGTCAATGAAGCTCGTTGGGATTAAAATTACATCACTTTTGGGAAGTGAAAAGGAAATGTTGAAAATTCCTTCTAAAGTATTCCACGTTTGCTCGTGCAACAACAGTCCATTGTCAGCTCTACCATCTCCAATCAAGAAAGGATTTGCCCAAACACTCATCGGTAAATTTTCATTTTCATTAGTAACGGAAGTGAAATCTGAGATGGTGAAAGCGAGTGCAGATATGGGCATCATCGGAGTTGTTTCAAAAGTTGTTGTAATAAATCCAAAATCAGTTGGAACACGTGACAATACGGGCATGTTTGAAACAGCGTTATAAGTCACATGATGTTCAATTGCTAAATCAAATGATGTTCGATATCTTATTTCATCATAACATGGGAAAACATTTCGTGCAAAAATTGGATGGAGAAAAGTTGAAGCGAGTGGTGCCAATTCACCTGATTGCCTTCGATAACTTGTCCGATAAAAACCTCTGATGCTGTCGGTGATTTGTCCTGAAAATTCTATTCGAAGAGTTCTCTCTTCCTGAGGGTTAAGTAAACGAGGGATTCTTATAATCAGCAAATTAAAGAAATGGTTCATCGTGAAAGGTAAGTTGAAGATTTCAATGTCTGGTCCGTTGAACAAGTCAATCCACCTTATCACGTTTGTCGAATGAATTGTTATGGTGTCAGTTGGCTCCAAAACTTGGAATTTAATTCTTACATCTCCATGATAATCGGGATCATTATTATGGATGTTTGTTCTCAATCTCAGATTATAATGAAGCGGAATTGTATCGTTCGGCAATCTTAAATTCCTTTCGAAAATCTTCTCTGAATCTTCTGATTTAAATATTTTTCCTTTTAAATGATTGACATTTAAATTGCCTTTCAAATATTTAGAAAAGTCAAACGAATTTTCTTTCTCTAACATTGAATTAAAGTTGGAAAACCTTTGATTTGAATAAGTTAGCACTGGTTTAATCACAACAAGCAACGCTAATAAAACTTTCAACTTCCACATTTTTCCACAATTTTCAACTTGAGCTTTAAACGTTTAAAAATCAATTGTTGAGTTTTCGTGTTTCATTGCGAGTTTATATAGTCGAAGCTTATCTTATCTAAAGTAGTTATGAAGGCTTAACTGTGGATTGCAAAGTTTTACTGAATTATTTTACCTAGAAATGGCTTAAAATGAATCATTGTCACCTTTAAGATTCCTTAATCTTGTTTGATATCGAAGTAAATCAAATTTTTCTATTTTCGTTTTCGAAATTTAGAACAATGAATCATTTGTAAGTTTCCAATATGCTTTAATCTTCTTATCATAAATCGATTCAAAAGAAAATGACACAGCAATTGATTAAAATTATCAAAAAATCTCTTTTCTGATAAGTAGTTTAACTAAACAAAATTTATTTGGTACAAAAGCTCAAAATGACACAAAGTTTCATAAAAAGTTTTCTAATTCTTCTAATGACTTTCTGAATGATGATTAATTCAAATACTCTTTTTCAATGTGGTTGAAGTTTTGTATGACATAATCGTGATAGTAGACCAAGATACAAAGCGGTTGGCCGAGTATAAGTGACGCCCAGACCAGAACGTTTCCCCATCGCTCTCCCATGTTAGTTTCGAGAAATTTCGAGATGAATGAGAGCGGAATTTGTGCCATCATTCCCATGAAAGCCCAAATCTTGAATGTCTTCAATGGCACCGACACTAAATATTCATGGAAGAAGGCACTGACAAAGAACACAATAATTGATGCCACCGTTTTGTTGTACCCCATGTCAACAATAGGAATATAAAGATGACGAACACACCATCGATGTACCGGCATGTTCCATGTCCTCCAAAACACATCAACATTGTTCGAATTCCACCAATCACAGTAAAAATTTCGATCAGCAAAGTGAAGAATTTCGCCGAGAAGATTTAAGAATGAATGGAACGTCAAGTAGAAGAGACACAGCCAAATAAAATGATTAGGAATCTGAATAATGTAATTAAATTAAAGTTAAGAAAATCAATGAATGACGAAATTTACCGCAAGTTTTAAAAGTCTTTCAGTTGCTTTTGTGAATTCCATATTCGAGAAAGGAACCAGCGAGTTCTTCACTGATGGAATCATCCATTGTTGGAAAAGCGCCATAACAATATTAACACCAACGACAAACTCCACAAGTCTTTTGATTAAGAATCGTTTTCTGATTCTCGTCGTTCTCGGGAAGTTCAATTCATAGCAGAGAGTTGGAGCACAAAGGAAGTAGAAAAGATCTTTTAAAGAAAGATTGTCAGGATATTTCACTAAAGTTGGAGGTTGATGATGTTCTGTGTAGCCATTTGGAAGTGCATTGCCATTAAAATCTTCGCTCTCTCTTCTTCTATCGATGGAAAAACTTTCTCGTCGTTTTCCAGAAATCGAATTTTTATGTTGCTTTTGACTCATTCGACACCAGAGGTTCACTTGAACATAACTCCAAAGCTTCATGAACAAAATTGAGTAAAGAACGCAAATTCCAACAGAACCAACTGAAATTAAATCATTAAAAATTAAATAGAAAGATGGAAGCTTCACTTACTCAAAGCAAATGATGTTCCACGAAGATAAATCACAACGATTGGTATCATCAACAACACGACAAGATTGAACACATGCGCCATTCTTCCTGACGTTTCAGCAATAATTTCCTGATTAAGAAATATTTAAAGTGAGGAAAAACTTTCTTCAAACAGTCACTTACAACTGAAAGTCCTTTCTCAATTATCAAACATATCACAATTGGAACAGTTGCATCTTAATAAAAAAATAAAATAAATAAATGCTATAAGAAAAACTTTGAAAGAAATTTCGCTTACACATTCCTAAGACAATCGATGGATATGACGCATCACCTTCATCTTTTCCAGTTAGCACATTAAACCATTGCATTGGATCAACTCTAATTCCATACTTGATAAAGTTTTCGAGCAATAATCTGATGCCTCCCATGGTCAACAAAAGAAAACCCCAATTGACAAGTCCGGAGAAGTCGTTGAAGTTTGAACTCCATGAGAAAAGCGAATCTCTTGGTTTGTGGATTCTAAAATAAATGAAATTTGAATGTTTTGTATCGTTTGTGTGATAAAATTACTGACACATGAAAAAGTTTATGAAGGAAACTCAAAGTTGAAAGTTCTTTCAAATGATTTTGTAACTTGTTAGAATTATTAATAACCACATAAATTTTAATTTGTTTTAAATTGAATATTCACTAAGTTAAGTTGATATTCAATCAAAAGTTTTTTTACATTACAAAAGTTCTTGAAAAGTTGCAATTGCAATGAAGTTCTTTATTAAGCTGCAGTTAACTGTCTTGAAAATAGTTTTTGTGTAACTATAAAAGTTAATCAGTTTATATCCCGCATTGAATGTAATCTAACGAGACTTCCTTTTTCTGAATGAAAGGTCAACAACTTTTATTACAAAACAACCGAATGCCAGTGAAGTATTTTTATTGATAACAACTTACGGCTTATCTGGTTGTGATTTTCGTTGTTTCTGTTCGGAGGTTGTAATTTCTTCAGCACGTGTTACACTTTGAGTTCGACGAAGGCGAACATGGTGGTCATCGTTATCATTGCCCATTGTGACAAATTAAAAACTGTTAAAAGTATAATTAAAATCTTAAATCTCAAGATAATAAATTTCATAAGCACTACATTGATGTAACTGATAATAGTTTATAATTAAAACAAATGATTGGCGAACTCAAGATCAAGATCAAAGTCACGAGTATTTTTTTTCTATTCATTACATAAACGAAAACCGGCAATTTTGAATCGGCCGTGAGAATATTAACTACACATGATGTACCTAGACACGATCCGGGTCAGATTGCGTTCGAGAGATGACGAGAGAGTTGCTTTGCTCTCTTCGAAACAATTTATCAACAAAAAGTCTGAAGCGTAGATTGTGATAAGAAATACTTTAGCAAAAAATAAGGCAAAATGCGTGTAAACACATTTCATGAATCATTTGAACTTGGAACGTGTAATTAAATCACAAAAACATTTCATTCTTGAACCTTGACATAGTCTCTTCAAAGTTTAAACTCTTTTTGTTATCAATAATCAGATTAGTAATAATCACAAATTTTTTTTGGCTTCTTCAACACAACACAACACGAAAAAGTCCATAAATAAAACTTTGTTATCTTCGACGCTTGTCTCGTCTAATCCAGAAAGTATTATCGATATGTTGAGTATATAGAACAGTTTCACTTTTTAAAAACTTGAAGGGAATGCTGAATTCTTTAAATGTATCTGAATGTTGTGTTGTTAAAGTTAATTTATTATTTTTTACATTTCAAATGTTTATTAATATCTTCAAAAAATATTCTCGCTCAATAAATCTTCAACCTTTTTAACCTTTCGATTATCTTATATCGAAAAAAAAAACACAACGTTCGTTGGATAAAAAAGATTGAGAAGAAATTAACAAATATCTTACTTTTTACTATAAAACAGACAAAAGAAGCTTTAATTTCAAAGAAGAGAAATTACAAATAAAATTGGAAGAGAGAACCGCGTGTATTCACATTGAAACTTCACTTACAACTAATTAGATTTAGTATAAATACTGATTTCACTGAGAATTCACAAACATGCACGATGTATTGAAAATCATTCAACAGCTAAATTATACATTTGAACGGTTCATAATTGATGTTATTTCCCAACAATAGATCGCGCGGTATGCAATTCAATTTGCTGAAAAAAGAGAAAGACGGTTTGGAACAAATTTTCATCACAAGCAATTTACACTCAAAAGTGTTAAAAATAGATTGAATCTTCGTAAAAAAAATTGAGTTTTCTTTCAGTTTTCTTAAAAACTTTGACCGGAGTAGTCACGATGGAAATATTTTCAATTCAAAGAAATTCTGAATTTGGCAGATTTGCTATTGCATGTCAAGATTTAAATGCTGGAGAATTTTTGAGTGAAGATTTTCCTTTTGTAATTGGCCCTAAAGCAAGCACAACATGTTGCTGCTTAGAGTGTTATTGTCCAGTTGATGCAACTTCATCAGGTTCGCGTTGTGATGATTGTTCTTGGCCTCTCTGTCATGATTGCCGTAAATTGAGCGAGCGCCCCTCGCATAAACGCGAATGTGAAATATTTAAAGCTGCAAAATGTAAATTCTATAACCTATCGGTTACAAATGCTATTTGTATGCAATTAGATTGTATTACGCCTTTGAGAGTGTTGTTAGAAAAGGAATTCAATTCAATGCGGTGGCATGAAGAAATTGAGCCGATGGAACATCATCGAAATGAACGATTTGGTTCGCCAACATGGAATGCTGATGAACAAAATGTTGTTGGTTATTTATGTGGTCCTTGCAAGATGAAACAACGTGGAATTGATGGAGAGCTAATACAACAAGTAATTGGAATTCTTGAAGTAAATACTTTTGAAGGGAAAACTGTTAAAAGCCATACTATGCGATGCTTATATCCAAAACTTTCAATCTTATCCCATTCTTGTACCCCAAATACAACACACTCGATTCATCCATCTTATGGAAATAAGTGAGAATAATTTGAATTGATTAAGTTTATCATAATGAGATTTAATTTTTAGGTTTACACTTCGAGCAACAATTCCAATCAAACAAGGTTCTCAACTTTACACAACTTACGCTTACACTTTATCAGGAACTGCTGAACGACAACAACATTTAAAGCAAGGAAAATTTTTCCAATGTCATTGTGAACGTTGCTTAGATCCAACCGAACTTGGAACAAATTTTAGTTCTTTAAAATGTCAAAAGTGCCACTTAGGATATTTACTCGCTTCGGATCCATTAAGTAGTTTCTTAAACAAATTTCTAAGAAATATTTAAAAATTTACCAATTTTCTCAACAATTCTTCAGATTCAGAAACGATTTGGAAATGCAACAAGTGCGAATGTGAAGTCACAACGGTAAATATTCAAAGTTTGTTGAAGACACTCCAGGATGAAATAAATTCAACAAGATCGATCGAATCATTAGAAAATTTATTGGAGAAGTACAAAACCATTTTACATTCGAATCATTTCCTCATGATTTCTATAAAGAACTTACTTATTGACTTGTATGGTCATGTGAGAGGTTATTTGTTATCAGAACTCCCAGAATCATTGTTGAGACGGAAAATTCAACTATGCACTGAAGTTTTGCAGATTCTTGATGTTTTTGAAAGTGGAAAATCACGAGCAAGAGGACTAATGTTGATCGAATTGCATCAACCAATAACTCTCCATGCATCATGTCAATATAAACTCGGAAAAATTTCCAACAAAGAATATTTAATTGAACTCGAAAAATCACAAAACATTTTGAATGAAAGTTTAGAAATTTTATCATGTGAAGATGAAAGCATTTGTCAACAAAGAAAGCTGGGAAAATTATCTTTAAATCAACTGGAAAAATTAATAAAAGATGTAAAAGAAAATTGTAATTAGAAATAAAGTTTGTCAAGCTCTTAACAATGTCATCAATTTATTCAACACATCTGCTTAATTCACTCTCGAATAACGTCTACAAATTTTCATCCTAAGAATAGGAAAATTTCCCAAGAAGTCTCATAATAGCAATCATCATAAAACGTCGCATTTCAATCAATTTCCCTTGATCATCAATTAGCCTCAAATCATCATAAAAGAAGGTAATGACATCGTGATGTTTTGTTTACGCAACTTGATTGATAAACCATTAACTTCATTGAAAGCTTTTCTCTTAACCCCCCAATTTTACTCCACACCCATCCACTAACCTAGGAAACAAAAATGAAAGACAGAGCATTAATTAAAATACAATTACGGTTTATGTGTATGTGTCCCTCTTTATAACAATAATAAAGTTGGGAATAGTCGTCAAAGGGAAAATTAGCAATACCAACAAATAAATTTTATGGAAGAAGAAAAAAGCAACAAAACAATTCTCTCAATATGATTGAATTTTCTTCTTCTCCTCTGCTTTATTTTCTGTACTTATCTGCATACAAATAAATGAAGGGTTAAAATCTAAAATGTTTCAATGGGAGGGCAAAACAATGAGAGATTGAATCTGATAAAGACATTAATCGCATCTCGTGCTTATGTGTCATGTGCAATTTAAGCAATTAAAATTTAAAATAATTTCCATCAGCACTGAGTAGCATCTTTACGTAAGCATTTTGGTTATTAGTAGAAATAACAAGAAATTTTCATCATGCAATCTATTTCAAGGCTCATTAAAATCACATGTGTGCATTGTTTAATTAAACTGAATCTCAGTGAACTCTACGTTTTGGTAATGTCTGATAAGCATTTACGTTGTTGTCAGTCGTTGTTGTGAAACAAGTTAACGACGAAGACAGAAAGGAAAAAAAGAAAAAAATATTTATCATGGTCTTGACTTGATTGCCTGCTTTTGATAATTTTTAATTATTATGATCAAGGAAATGGGGAAAATTCTTCTTGAAAACTTTCGTCAGTTCTCATTTCACGGGTGGTGGTGGTGAAAAAATAGTAAGCAGCGGGAGGATGCTCTCTGGAGGGAAGTTTGAATTTAATTAAAGTAATGAATATTACATTTTCCAAACGACTAAATGTTATTCGGGACTTTCTTCCACCCCCACACGCCCACGCAACATCGAAACGATGATACTTCCTGCAAAACGAGCCAAATAAAGTGGAAATCGTTAGTTTTAATATTGCGAGCGATGAAAATTAAGACAAGGGAAATTGTAATTGAATTTTTCTCTTTTTCTCTTCTCATTTTCTTATCATCTTCATTTTGGGAAAGTTTTTGTTAAGCAATAAATTGTTTTTCGTCTTCTGTTACCCTACAGCTGATAGAGTTTCTCAAAGATTCTTTGAAGATTATTTTAACATCAAATTCCGAGGGTTGAATTTTCATTTAATTTTGTAGAAATCTAATTTTTCAGATTCTCATTATCAGACACAAAAGGAAATTCATTTGGATTACCTTAAAAAGTCTCGAAAAATCTTAAATGCGATATTTAATAAATTAAAATTCATTGAATGGAGTTTAAATAATATTTTAAATTATCATCAATTTCAACTCCCACAGCATGTCGACAGTACATAACAAACTTCCCTTTCATTTCACAAATTGTTTACTTTCCTCTAATTTGATTCAGTCATCAAATCAATCACATCATTATCTCATTATTCCACTCAATTTGCGTACAGATATTTATCATATAAACATTTATAATGCCATAAACTTAATTTACGCTTGCGTTATTGTTATTGTTCAAATGTCGTCTCTCTCTCAATGTGTTTGTTATTTTATTGAACCCCCATTATGTGCGACATTGTTTAATGATGAGGTTCATTGCGATAACAAATATCTGTCTTTCTCATTTCTCTCACAGGCTTTTGTTAATAACATTGCAGTCAATTTGATTTTGACTTTCTTTCTTTTCTTTTTTTTTCTTCTCTCTTTTGATAATTTGTTATTTTTTCACTCACATTTAAGATTGATTGGGTTTGATATTAGGATTTTCTCTTCTCCCTTACTGAATATCATGTTCATGAAACAGATTCATACTACCAAAGCATTTGTTGCTTGCTTATCATGTAATTTAAATCAAAAGGGACTCAATTTTCAAGGGATTTGCTTAAATTGACTTGAATAATGTCAAAGCATTCCAGATAAGGTAAACCACTTTAACAAGTTTCGTGTTGATATCATAATGCATTGCTTTAAAGATAAGTTAGAGCAACTTGCAATGATTGTTTGAGGATACTTAAATCAAACGAGAATTAAAGGAAAATTCTATGTCATAAGTAGAAACATTAAAAACATCTGCAAAAAGCTAACAAGATTATTTATAAGACGCATGTAAAGTAATCTCCTTGAATACTTAAATAATTAGAAATTTAAGCTGCTGATTTCATTTGTGTTTCTATTGAAATTATTCAAAATTCATAACATGTCATCTTACGAGGATTAATTATTAAGCTGATTTTAATTAATAGTTTTAAAGCAATTCCACATTATCAACAACGCACATTAACTAGATAGAATTAACTTAAAATTCTCCAAATTTCATAATAGAAAATGTTGCTAATGATTCACGGGAAATTGTTATCAACAATTTATAATATCGTTTCACCTCAAAACCTCATCACGATTTCCACCGCAATTTTCCACGCAAACTTATAATTAATTGTATGAATTCGTAAATTGACAAGTTTGCTAATTAATCGATGTTTGCTTGCGTAATATAATTAACTAACATAACATGTTCATTATCTAAAATTTTTGTAAAACTTTTCCCTTTAAACTGTTCAAAAATTTTATGCTAACATCAACAATTTTCCGGAAGTTTAGTTAGTTTTTCCTTTTATCTAACCGCATAGAATAATGAAACAAAAGTTTGTAGCAAAAATTCACCAATTTTTCCCTTTTTTTTTTGACGAGCGATGAACTGTGCCGAGAAGCAAAGCTGTAAAAAGTTCGAAATAGTTTAATTTAAGTATAAACTTTCTCGAACAATTAATTTCCTTTTATTTTTTAGAAACATATTTTTTCTCCCTTTTTCTATCCTCTCAAGTTTTCACAATGTCTGTAATTGTTGAGTCGTTGTTGATGGCATGTGTGTGTATGTGTTTGTACTTTATAAAAAATTAAAAGTTTTTCTAGCTTTTAAGCAGCAATTATCCCTTTTATTTACTCAACCATATAATGTGCATCTCTGTTACTCTTTATTTAATTATGAAGATAATTATGAACTCTTTTGCCTTTTCCTTCTAGTATGAGTATTCAAATGACTCGTAGCTGTCTACTTGCTTTTGCTATAGCAAAGCAATTTCATGTTTGTTTTAATTTTATTTATTTTTTCTCATCCTTTCTAAAGCTTCACAAAAAAAATCCATTTTAAAGACACTTGTTTTAATTGGGGTGATTCAGTCATGCGATGTGTTGTCGATGAATTTGTGTGATGATTGTAAAAATGAAAATGTAAAAGTAAAGTAAAATGACAATGAAATGAAATTTGTCAACATTTGTAATAGTAATTCATCGATTAATTTAAATGAAACTTCAATTCTTTCTCTCTTCTTTTTTTATTTGTTACAACTCTCGAAACAGAATTCTCCATTAACGTCATAAATGTTTCATCGTCTGTCCAGTTTTCATGTCTCTATTACACTCACGTCCATTTTCGCCTACAACTACGATGGAAACTGAATTCCTTTTTGATGAATAATTAAAGTTTGTTAAATATTTTAACATCCTACAAATTCGATTATTTTGCTCCGCGGACAAAAAAAATCCGCCATTTGATTCAATTACGAAGAGAGAATAAAAAGGGAAGCATGTGAAAGAACATGTGATGTTAGCGGGACATATTTTATAATTCATGGCTAAATGATTGGTCTAGTGTAGAGCGATAGAAAGTTGAAAAACTTTTTCTCTCTGACGTGCTAATCACTTTCATAACTTTGCTTTTATAATTTCATGTGAATGATGTAATAGCGAAGCTTATAATCATTCAAAATACATGTAAATGACGGAAGCACCCCTTACACCCACGCTTTTTCTTGTTTCTGATTATTTTTTAATTTCAACAAAGAAGAAAAAAATATAAAACGAGATGAAATATTTCAACCTTCGCTTATTTTCCCCCATCGCTTACTGGACCTTTCTCGCTCGTCACGAGTCTGCAGTAGAAGGTTTTCAATGAACCGGAAAATTAAGAGGTTTGAGGCTAAATGCGCATTAATAATTAAGCTTCACTCCTGTGGAAAATTTAATTTGATTGCATGCCCGCAATAGATGTTAATAACTCGGACTTCTCGAAAGTTGTTGTTTTTTTTATAAATTAAACAGATTTTGAGAATGAAATTAAGCGAATTAATCATACAAGCAACCTCTGTAATAAAATCAATGCTTGATGTAATCACTTTCTGGTAAACTTCTTTGAATTATTTAATATCATGTAATTTAACTTTCATAAATTATCAAAAAAAAATTTTGAAATAAAAAGAAAACTACAATGAGTGAAAGTTTCTATCAAAAATTCTTTTCATTATGGAAAACTTTCTAGAATCTTTTCCTTCTTTATTTCTTTTTATAATTTGACTTAAAAAAGAAAGTTTAATAAATTAATTTGATGGAGAAAGCTAACAGCTACAAAAGTTTCATTTTAATTAGGAGAGTTCTTGCGCTGAGTGTGTTGAGCCTTTGTAAATAATTTATTAATTAAAAAGTTTTCCTCGAGGCTTTCCCCGAAATGACGAAAAACTTTTAATGAAAACTTTTCTTTCCTTCATCATATGAATCGTTCATGAGAATCAATTACATTTTTGGTTTGAGAAAGATTTCAATATCCTAAATTAAAAACTTGTAAATCAGAGATTTGAATTAATTTGTGAAATGGATACGAACATATCAATAGTTGTGTGTGTGTGTGTGTGTGTGTAAATTGTGCCAAAAACCGACCATCATATCCAATTTTCGATGAGAATCGATGCGAGTCACAGGAACGAGACGCTGCAAATTTTACCCGAAAAATAAACCAAATTACATGCTATAGTTCAATTTACTAAATTGATTTCCTTTTTCTGGCAAAAATTTTTGTTTCTTCCCCGCACTGCATGAAAAACCATTTGGAAATGATCACAACATTTCATGTCAGATTGATTCTCCATCAAATGATGAGATTGTTCAAAAACATTTGAAATTTTTATCGTATGAATTTCTGACAATTACTAAATATTCACTCAACTAATTGCCAGAGATTTTAATCACTTTCCTTAACTCACAAAGCAAGTGAAATGTTTTGACAATTCCTTTAAATTTCCTGGAATATTTTATAACAAAACTCAACAGTTTAGACCTTCCAACTTTCAAATATTTGAATGTTTATGAATGCAACTTATGTGGAAATTTCTAACATTAGAATGAAAGTCAAAACTTCACTGACCCAGTTTGGGAGAAGTATCGTGAATATTAATTTCTTTAACTGTCCACATTTAATCAATAAATTGAATTTTCTATAAAAGCTAAAAGAAACTTATTTAAGTGTGTTAATGTCATGTTTAGAAGCAATTGCGTTGGGTTCAATGCAAACATGAAAGAAACTTTCATGGAAAAAGTGTCAGAACTTAAAATATTATTGCAGCATTTGGCCAGAATGGGAAGTGAAAATATCAACAATTCACAGACTTTAAGCATATTTGCTTTGAAAGCATGTAAAGTGTACAGAAAAAAGATTTCACTGATGATGAACTTCGCACATCTTTCAATGACTTTATCAAAATTTTTGATTCATAAAAATGCATCAGATGCAACTCAAAGGTTTTATTTAGTTATTAAATAAATTATAATTCGCTTACTTTTACTTAGCTCAGCTTCCTCAGCAACATTTCATGGTGGTTGTTTATTACTTAGTCATGGAGGTGACAAATCATATCGATTTGTCATCATGCTTGAAATACTTGTTTACGGTCATTTACCTCTAGAAACGTCAAGGGAAAGTTATTGATTCTGAACAATAAATAGTTCGAGTGCCATCGATCAAATATTGCGCAATTGCTTTTTACTTTATTTCTTATGAATCCATATAAATATATTTACGTATATAAGTTAAAGTGACGTGTGTCGTGTCGTTGGCAACTGATTTTAAGCTTGAGTGGTTGCCTAGAAATTTTAATCAATTAAACATACATTTCCACGACTCATCAATCAATTAAAATGAGTGAATTAAAGTTTCATGAATTGCATCAAGATAATTTTATTAAACATTCAAGAGTTGAACTCGAAACTCCCCTCGAGGACATGCACATCATTGTCATGTCTGTTGATGAATGAAGCCATAATCGTTACCAAATGAAATTTCAACGAAAATTACTATAATTATTGTGTTAGGACACACAAAGAGAGAATGAAATTATTCGATTTTTTTTTCACCTTCGTGCGTTTGCAAAAACTCGACAAAAATTTGTTGAACTTGGCACTCACGCAAACTCACACAAGTTTAAATTCTTTACGTTCTGCTTTTTTTTTGAAAGTCAGACCCGACAAGAAGATTGAGTGGTTTTTAGGGTAACGGATAAGTGGTTTTCTTACGTACCTTCAAATATGAAAATAAAAAAGGTTTCTTCAAGATCACTTTCCTTTAGTTTCGATATCTTTCTTACCTCCATCAGAGATTTACTGAATGAGTCAATTTCATTTAATTTTCTTTCGCTTACATTTTTCATTTCTCCAGGAAAAAAAAGATCCAAAGAAAGAATGAGAATAATAAAATCATAAGTAACTACATAGCAGAAATAATGATAGATGTTAAACTCAGCTGAATGTTTTCGTATATGTGTGTGTATAAGTAAGTAAAGATATAAATCCAGAGTTGAAGCTAATTGACGAGTGTAATGTATCTATTAATTATCATTAACGAGGCATTCTTAAACCCTGGCACCAAAGGCAACAAGAAAGCTAAACTTCGAATCTTTTCGACGTGTTTCGTGCAGGTAATACGGCTTGATGAAGTATAATTACCTAGTACACATTATCAAAAGTAAAATATCGCAAGAATAAAATTAAATGTAGAAGAGAGAAGGAGAGAAAGGGAAAGAAAGAGACGAAGGGCTCGCATTCTTGCCCCCAGGAACCACCGACAACCTATAATTTGGGTCTGATTTAAATTTTTCTTTTCTTTCTCTCTCTCTCTCACTCTCGTTTCTTTTTTTTTCAGTTTAATGTTGTGAAATGGAACAGAAATCGGTGAGGCGGTATGAAGAGCTCTGAAGATTGTTTGGGTTGAAGGCTTTGAATTCAAATTAAAAGATCAGGTGCGAAGGGAAAAATGAGTTAAAAATTATATCGAAGAGTTTTCTGGTCGGTTTTACTTTGTTGCTTTAGCCATGATTTTCATGTAATTAATTGTAAGGTTTCATCACATGACGAGTGAATAGAGAACGTTTTCAGTAAACTATTGACCTTTTGTTTCTTTCGTTCAGTTTGTGATTCAACCAATTTAAACTCGCGAAAGCGAAGAACCGTGAAGAGATAATGAGTCAAAGGCATGGCATTTTAAACACTTTATGCATGAGATATTGCGCGAATATGGAAATTTTCTGTTCCCTCTTGCACATTTTCAGATCATGATTTTAATTAAAAGTGTTGTTTTACCTCATTTTCATTGCGGTCAAAGTAAATACTGACCTTCTTTCGTTTGTCATTACAATACGATTTAAAAGCGAGAGGAAAGCAGAAGTGTGGTGCAGATGTTAATTGCAAATTTTAGTTTTCTTTTTTGTTAATGATCATTAATGATCATGTTGTGAAGCGATTTTATTCAGCATTTCGTAAACTTAACACAAGTTCTAAAAGTTTATCTCGATTTCTTTGGTCACAACTCGTTAATGACTTGCCTCATTTTCTTCTTTTGCAATGTAATCAAAAAACAATCTAATGTAGTAATGAACATAAGCAATCGTTTAAGAAGGAATGAAGGAAGTCCTTTTACGGTATATTCAAAAATAATATCTAATGATACTAAGAAACACAAAAGATTGCTTTCTGATAAAAATAATGATGATTAGCATCAAACTCCGGTTTCTTCTCAACTCACATATGTTAAATTCCCATTAAAAACTATAAGAAATAAAGTAAGATCATAAAATATTAATCAATGCGAAGTTATTTTGATTAAAGATATTTGCAAATCTTTCAATATGCTTCATTTATAAAAGCTTTTAACTTTAATCATGGCATGTTAAAGATAACTTGAATTTTACTTCTATCGACTCATAAAATACTAAAACACTTCCTTATACTTTTAAATATCTACTTACAACTTAATTAAAACTATTTAATACTTTAAGTATACCAATCATGTCTACCAAGTTGATTACATTCATCTAAATAAAATTTATTCAATGCAATAAGATTTTTAGAAAGGAAAGTGAGTCCGTCTAAACAATTAAATTTTATTAATGATCATACGCTTTTAGATTCAATTAAACTTACTTGCTTGTCGTTAACTAACATTCCATCTGGTCTTATCAGATGAAAGCTAGCTAGTTTCTAGCTGATCTGTTTAATTAGTTTAATTCTTTCACTGAATATTGTATGACAATTGTCATAAAAGTTGTCGTTAAGCATGTTTGGGGAAATGGAAGCCATAAGCTTTCAACATAACAATAAAAAGTTATGGTTTTATTTTTGGCGAGTTTTACTTGACTACACGATCTAGAAATTAACGTTGCTAACGTTTTGGTTCTTAATTATTTATTTTTTTCTTTTCGTTTTCTTTCTCTCTCGTTATTCCACTGTCGCTTTGCGTGCATAAATTCTTCTTAATGCTTTTTTAATTCACTTACTTCAACTCAGCTTTAATAATTATGTGTGAAAAGGTGGAGAGAATGAAGATAAATCAACATCTCGTTCTTTTCTGTTGATGGTCAGCATCTCTCTCTGTGCTCTCGAAACATGCAACGAATAATTTATGTTCTTCATATGACCATTACTGTGTAAACCTCTCGAGTACATGTGTTTAACATTGATTTAATTCCTTTGCTGCTTTATAGCGGAACTTTATCAGATCTTACTGATCAAGCGAAGGAAAAGTAATAAAGCTATTCAGATTATGTAATAAAAAATCCCAAAGGATTTTATGGTAATTTTTTTTCTCTGTTTGAATCAAAAGCCAATTTTTTAAAAGCTTCAATTAATTTTTATTTAAGTGTTGTTAAGTCTTTTATTCCGATCAAAGTTTTTGAAAGGAAACTGAACTCTTGTATTGCGGTGAAGCTTGTCATCATTATAATCACCTAACATCACACATATGTTGATGAATAATTTCCATATTCAATATATGAAAGATGGTACAATCTTACCCTAAACTAAAAGGAAATTTTGTAGCAGGAGAAACACTGGAAAATATTTCATATTATTCACACATCAAAAATTCGAAGAAAAGTGAAGAAAAAAAATCTCGATTCATGTTTACATTTGAAGTCTCATCCGGAAAAACTTGCCGTCAGTTGGTCATCGAAGAAAAGGATTTTCCGATTTGCATATGAAATCAAGCGATTATCTCTTTATCTCAACCTTACTGCATGGGAGGGTTGTAAACACACTTTTATGGAAATTTGCCGAATATGATCGGAAAATGTGTTGTTCCGATTGAAAGAATAAAAATTTCACAAATTTTTAAATAATGGTAACAGATTGATTGATATTAAATTGCTTTTTGATAATGTTTACTTTCGTATCATGTGTTAAAGCCGAATGTGCGAAAAAGAAAAAAAGAAAACTTGCGACTTGAATATAAATTAAACAAAGAACTTGAATATAAATTAGAAAGAAGAAAACGAATTATTGATCATTATTGAATAATAAATATCAACGTGTCGTGTTGTTGACTTCAACTTCTCATAGAACTTTCGACGCCAACCCAACTCGTCATGTAACAATAATTTATCTTTTAACAAAACATGTGTTTGTCGGTTATTCCGCTACTAGATGCGCACGCTTCAAATCTCTACAAAGAACAGACAAAGAAACAACATAATAATAAATAATTCTTTCTAATATTTTCTCATAAGTGGAAACATAACAATTTTTATATCTTTGAGTCATGACTCGAAACAAGACGAATTGACTATTCAATTTCTTCAACAAGTGGGCGTTAAAAACATGAAAAGAAAGCAAAGATTGATAAGTGTCACAATTACAAAATAGAAATGTTTGCAATATTCTCATTCTTCCCATAAACTTCAACCAGTTAATTTACTAAATATTGAAAAGGAATAACACAAAACACCTGCTCTAACTTTTTTTATTGATTTTCCATCCATTAAAATCACTTTCACTTAGATACCTTCTGCATACTCGTAAATTTTATAAACAAATTCTAACGGGAATGATTATTTCGAGTATTTATGTTTAAGTGTTATTTAACATAACATAAACGAGACAAGTGAAAGAGAAAGAGAAAGAGAAAGAGGCAATGTGTCTAAATGTTGCATAAAAGTTTTAAAACGAAGGAGATGAAGTGAGAGAGAAGGAAAATTTAAAGAATTATTTCAATTGTTTTATTCATGTGATATTCGCCCATTCACAATATCCATTATGACTTTTATTATTACAAAAGTACTTGAAAAGCGGCAAGCACAAGTAAAAAGGAGAGAGAGTGAGATGAAAACATTTCTCCATGAGTCACGATTACTGCAAGTCACGAATGTACTTTCAGCCTTGCTTACGTTCATTGTTTTGTTTTTATTTTTTTTCCTCCCTTCATTCTACAATGTGTCTGATTTAAACCGGCAAGCAAGATACAAAAGCAAATATTTTTATGGATTTATCAATGTTTTATTTCGTAATTTGTTGCGGTGCACTCGCTTAATGCTAGGTATGCAGAAAACAAATAAAATTTTATGAGCTTTGGATAGAAAAGAGTGGGAGATAAATTAAAATTTTATCAATGGATCGAAATTGAAATTTTAATGACGTTGAGTTTGAATTTTTTAGTTAAAATATCTCTTGCCAGCATAAAATTTTATGTTAAGGCTTTTATGTTTATTCACGTATCAGACTTTGGCTAAAAGTTTTAAACTTTTCTAAATCAAAAATGTCATTCTCAAATGTTATCATTCAAACCATCGATCAATTATGATTCAATCATTTGATTTCCTTTCTAATATGTTTCAAGATCATGTTGATGATGTAGAGATGTGTCATACGTTTATTGACTTTACATTGCTTTGGCAATTCTATAATAATATAGAGCAAAAAAAGAAAGATGCCATTAAATAATTTCCTTCTATTTCCACCCAACGAATTAAAGCTAACGAGATGAAATTTTGCAGTGAGATCAACAGGAATATTGAGTGTGTTTATAGAGAAAAGCCAAAGCACAAAAAAGCGAAGCACATCAGTAAGAAAAAATCGATAAACAGCAGCAATTTATTTAATTAAATTATTTTATGTTTCGATGCTTGGGCGAACATCAACAGAAAATTGGAATTTAATTAAAGTTTATCACGTATTTTCGATCTCCTGTTTCTTTCTCCTTTTCTCTATTGGATGATTCGCACAATAAAAGGCAAGCACAAGAGATATGAGTCTTAATGATGGCCGTGTTCATTGCTTCTCTACATCTACATCGATTTATAATGATGAGTGACCGCAAACGAATGATATGAATCGCACAAAGTGCTGCTGCCACAATTTATTTATTGTTCGCAAATTTGTAATGAGTCTCATCATGAGATAACTTCTCGAACACTGAAAAATGGATGGTGATTCGTTGCACTTTTTATTAAAGTATCTACTTCACTCTCCATCACGCGGTAATTGTGGCAATGTAAATTATTACATGAAAAGAACTCGATGAAATGTGCGTTCTGATCTCATGGTTATAATGAACTTAAATTAATTTTAAAAAGCAACAAATTGTGTTAACAAAATTTACGATGCATTCAGCAAGGGCATGAAATTATCAGCTTTTCAGACGTTCGCTTATGTGTCCTAATTAAGCTTTGTACGATTGTTGCAATTTTATCTTAATTGGATGCAGCTTGAGCTCCCATGAGAGTTTCTGAACACACATACACACACGAAGTTCAAAAGGGGAAGAGAAAAAGAGAGATAGAGAGAGAGACATTGTTGCACATCACCATCGTTATTTCATTATGCTTTTTATGTCATTTCTCATTTCTCTTCTTTTTATTTTATATTTTTTGAATCATTATTATTTAACTCAACTTCGGCTACTGCATTACGATAGAAAGAAAAAAGCGAGCTCATTAGTGAGCATCATTGCGAGTCAGTGAATGTCATGTTTTACATCTTATTGGCGGTTTTTCATCATTAATGAGAGACTTATTAAATTATCATGTGCAAACATTAAATATGATGCTTTCATCGGAAATGTTGATGATGATGAGTGTTGGGAAAATATTAATTTAATAAGAATCTCACTTTGAATATTTATGATTTATTTTATTAGCTCATTTCATAAAGTGAATGTTTCGGTATAAAATTTTAATTTATATCAAATAAAAAGACAATTTTCATTTTCTCTTTTCAGATTTGAGAACTCCATGAAAGTTTCTTCTGTAGCTAAGCAAGTGCTACACAAGACAGAAGAAATGTTTATGGAAAAATGTCCTGAAACAAGGACAGTATGTTGTTATCTTTTAATTTGTCTAAGTTGTTGTTGAAAGGGCATTCATGTACATACATTTACATAAAATGTAGGAGGCACTTGGTACATAAATAGATATCCATGCTGTAGATATAACTGAAAATTGCAAAGATTTTTCCTTTCAATTCTGGTTCACTTTCGAACTGTTGTTTCGGGTGGAAAGGCTTAAGGTGATAACGTAATTTTCAAGTTATTTTTTCATTTACTTTCAGGTTCAGTAGAAATTATATTTTCTTTAGTTTATAAAAGGTCAAATTTGCCTAGAGAGCGTCCTATAAATATGTTTCAATATTTTCTTCTTTCAATCTTTTGATATTGAAGCTTCATATAAGGAAGTTCCCACGATTTCTATAATATCTCTGCAAAGTTTTCATTAATAAGACATTCCTTTTACTAAATAATTGGCGTTAATTATCAGCATATAAATCGAGTTTTAAATTCTTCGCAGACTTTACACGCAATTATGCAATTATTATAGATATTTTATGATTGCGCAATCAAACCATCATGTTTTGTAGGACTAAACTTGACAATAATGAGTATTGATTGATTGATTACCGGTAATTAAATATGATTGTATCAATATTGAAGATAAAATTGCAATAAAACTGTTAAGACTTCATGCTGATAATGACTTCATTGTTTTGTGAAGTTTGCTTTTAAACAATTTTCAGACTCTGAATCAAACGTAATTACATTTTGTTCCATTCATTCTGTAATCTATTAAAAAATAAAAATGAAAGTAATTAATAATAACACAGATTGATGAATAAAATTTAACAATCATTGTGATTATTTATTTATTTGTTTTTAATCTTTTTTGTTAATTACGATGCTTTTATAATGAAAGGATGTTTCAGAAAGCAAATAAGTATCACGAGTTGAGATAAAAAAGCGGAAGAAAAATTCTTCAACAAGTTAGTGAAACTTTTAAAAGTGCCAATTAAGACTTTCGTTGTCGTATTGTTGCTCTCATTCTTCGTCCCTCCATCATTTGTTAATGGAATGAGAAGATAAAACGATACTCGAACAAATCCTCGTCATTCCGTGTCGCAGAATTTTAATTAGAAGGTAAGAAGAATTTTATTGTGTCCCCTAATGCACAATGATTATCCTTTAGATTGTGCCGCTCTCCAAGAGATGAGCTCTGATGAAAGATAAGAATGCAAACATTTCCTTCAACTGATTGATCATTAATTTCATTCTAAACATAACAAAAATATTCATGCACATCGAATTTCGAAAGAATTTCTCATGATTCGTTAAATTAGCGCTGCCGTCATGAAGAATTTTAATGTCATTAGAAAGAAATATTCATGAGAGTTTTTTCTCCACTAATTGTTAGTCAATTTCTCCCCATAAATTCACGATAATTTTATTTTTTAATAAATAAATTAATTTCATAGAGAAAATGAAAAATCTTCTTCATTAATTTAAAAACTTTAAAAAATTCATTCAACATGTAAATGAATTAAAAACACTGACATGCTACATCTTCCCTGGTTAATAATTCATCTGAAAAGTCCCTAATTTAATTCAAACAATGAAGAACATATCTTGTGATAAAAGAAAGTTGAAACACTTGCATAACGTAACCTGACAGTTCAGATGTAATTTATAAAAATTTAACAAGACTTTTCATATATTTTTTTACTCGTTGCTATCCCGATCTTAATGAAAACGAGAAAACCTCCTCGAAAAATGCCGCAAACTGAAAATTAGCCGTATTTTACAAAAACCTTGGATGCCAGATGAAAAACTAATTAAAAATTTTTCCTTCACACCCTTTCTACTATTTTATCGTTTGGCATTTTCCACCCATCCCATCTCTCCTATCCACCCACCCTTCACTTTCTGCTCATTCGCCTTGCCGCCAAACAAAGTATGATGAACAATAAAGGGGAAAATTTAATTAATTAATTTAATATTAAAAGTAAATAAAATTTTCTTCTTAATTAGATTTTTTTTCAAGCTCCGCTTACTCATTTTTTCCTGTTTGTGAGGAAAAAAGTTTTCTTTCTTTCTTTTCCATTCGCTCGCACTCTCACAGCCCCGTCAACGAAAAACCATCGTCGAACCCCGACAAACGCTTCTCATTTTCATTTCGTTCTAGGCACGACTCGAACACAGAAAAGTTGAGTGAGCGAGTCGAAAAAAGGGGGATAATTTAATCACGAGAAAGGTTTAATTTTTCAAAACTCACACCCACTAAAACGTTTCGTTCTTCGTCCCGCGCTAATGTTTCCACACAATTTTCCATCGACACAAACAAATTATTTTTCATCAAGATAGGTTGCTAATTTTCATTTGTTGGTGGAAACTCTTTGCTTCTGGTTGCCTGGCCTTTTTCAAGCATATAAAAAGAAGACAACAAAAGACCTTAATTTGGTATAATTGTTTTAATATCTTTAATAAACTTACTGTCTTCTAGGCAACCGAGATTGATGTTCTATGAAAAAGTAAGAAATTTCTTTCTGGTGCTTTCCTATCAGTTAAGCTAAGCTGTTGAAAACAATTTTCCTTTCCGCTTTTTATTCTTATTTAACATCAATTTTATCGCTTTGATCCGATGCTTTTAATCGAATCAGCACAGCAACAGTAAGTTTATCTTTTCTTTCTTCTCATTCATTGAATTACAGTGAAAAATCTTAATAATTTTTTTTTTTACAAAATATTTCGCTTCCAGAAATTCATCTGTACATATCTTATTCATCTCCTGATCAGATAAATGAAAATTTTTGAATTCTTTAACTTCATTCTTTTTTTCTTATCTGGGAAATACAAAAATCGATAATTCAATTAAAACATTCCTCTGTTATTAAATTCATCATATGACGCCACTCATTTACAACTCTCGTTCCTTGTCGCTTTTTCATCTTCCTTCTCTGCCAACCACCACCCTAACGTTTCTGCTCCAAACGGAAAACACAGAAAAATCTTTTAATTGTTGCTCGATGATATTCCTCAACCCACCCCAATGTTCCCAAACATATATCATGCTGATACTGGTGTTGCTGCCGTTGTTGTCTTCACTTTGAAATTGGGATTCTTGCATGCCGTTCCTTATGCTAACGGGAAATGAAGAAATGAGAACAAGATTTAAGTGAAAGAGGTATTTGAACGCGGATGGGTGGCAGAATAAACAGGATATGGCGCAACGAGGAGTAAATTTTATAAAATTAAATTTTAATAATTAATCAAATTTGACTGCGAAAATTATGATTCGTTCGAGTTGATGAGATTGTGGAGGAGAAGACGGAAAAATGAGAAGATTCCTTTTTTATTTCGTTTGAAGAAATTATAGCTTCCAGACATAATTAAAACAAACTTTCTTCTCTCTCTCTCTCTCGAAACAATATTAAATGGAAAAAGTTTTCCCTTCAACAGTTCTGTTGTGTGTTCATTTTTCTTTTGTTTTGTCAGAGAAACATCGCTTTCTACAAAAAGTAACCCGTTCCAAAGCCCATTTCAAACAATTGAGGGTAACGTCCAGAATTAATCTTTTGTTTTTACAGGCTTGCATCGTTGCAATGTTAAACTCTTCTTTTTATTTCTGAACTGCCTAGATATTTGTATTAGGTATAGCCTGACACAAATATCATCGGAATTATTTGAATGAGAAGGAAAAATCATCATTTGTCCGAAAACATAACAATGTTCGGGTAATTTTGCGTTTTGCGATAGGAAAATGTTTATTCAATGGATGGCAAATTTAGTAGAAGCTTAATAGAATGGGAAGCGACATGGGTGCAAGACTTACAGTGAATGAATAACTGATCTGAATAACAAACTTGATAAAGGTGCTAAACGTAATGAAAGGATGCTCCACCCCAAAAGCAGAGAAGCGTCATTCTCCACCCCAACTTTCAATCATCATCAACACTCTCGTTACGAGTCGAATCTCGTAAATGAATAGCCCGATAATGAGGTCTGCTTCATCGTTCATCTCACAGTATGGTTGATGAAGTAGATTCAAACTGCTCGAAACTAGAGACGAGCTTAAAGAGAAAGCAATTTAGAATTTTTGGTGTTATCAATTGTATTGATTATTTTATTCGTCTCAATTCGAAATCTATATTGATTTCCTGGTTGCTGTTTAATATTCTCAATCAACATCGACCAGTTTGAAAAAGATGATTTCATAAACTTTATCATGTTTCATATTTTCTGTGCTAATCTAAAGCAGATGAACATTTTTAAAAAAATAAAGTCAACTAAGGAAACATGCAAGGTAAGAAGTTTGTCCAAGGAAAGTTATGCAATTTAATAGTTTTCTTTATAATTTAAAAAAAATAAATGTTTCAGGTGAGACTGCAAGGAAGTTTATTGATTATCTCTTTTATCCTTACTGGGATGTAATTTTGAAAAATTCCGTAACGTTTATTCATCGCTTGATTCCCAACACCTCCTTATTTCCTTTCGACTGTAGGGGTTTACGTAGATATGCTTTGCGTTCTTAGCAGCTCAGTTTGACTTCTCATATTGGTTTTTCCTCGTATTTTTCATCACCACCAACCCTCAGCTCCCTTTTCATATCTCGAAAAAAAAGGCAACCAGCCATAGAAAATTTAGTCGTGTATTGTGTTGTTATATGAACAGGAATCATAATTGAAAATAGCATGATAGAAAAGTTCTGATATCACATTCCTTGATTGCATGGATATTGTGAAAATCTCATTCTTCACTCTTCCATCTTTCTGTTCCTTGTGTAATTAATTATCCACATATTATTATGAGCTCAATTGAGCAAAACATTAGATATGGTTGAAGCATAGCAATAACACTAATAGAATTGCGAGTATCTTCACATCATCCACCTTAATACAACTTATACTTATAATATAATTGTAAATAAGAGTAGTCGTTCTTCTACTACTTAAGATAGTCTGAAGACCCTAATAATAATGTAAAATGTTTTTAAGTGCTAAAACGAAGTTCGAAATTTTCCATTTTCATTCATATTCATTTTTCTTCATTCATGAATTTTTGTTCGATTCATTCAGAATTTATTTTTCTTCTTTTTTTGAATCTGAAAAAAAAAACAAACAAACCATGCCAGACGGGGTGCCATTATTTCTTTCCTTACCGCTATATATGCTTCGTTTTTTCCTTGCTCCATACTCCACCGAGGTATGTTATGTAGCAGCATAAATTGTCTCAATTTTCACTGTGTCACGTATAATATTTTTCGGCCAGAAATTTTGTGTACATATTTAAATGTGTGTAATGTGTCTTCAATGTTGAATATATGGCAGTTGAATTAAATTAGCATATAATGAATACAATTACGCGAATTTATGGGTAACATGCAAGCGCACCGCCACCACCGCAATGAAAATATGAAGAGAAGAATCAGAAAATTTGATTAATTATTTATTGCACGACGACGGTGAATATGTTTTTGATGTCGCTACAAATTTTCTTCTTGTTGTTTTATTTCCTTCAACTCATAAGTCATAAATTCGTCATGTCATCGCTGTGCTTGGTTTTTTTTTCTTTTTCGCCACACTTTCTCTCGAAGTCTTCTCTTCGTTATCATTTCTTTCATTGCGATTTCATTATTGACAGGCAAAAGAGCGTAAGCATGGGGAAAGCCATAGGTCATGATTACGGTCGACAACTTTTAAACTCTGCTATTAAAAAAAAGAAAGGAAGTGAGAGATAGAAAGAGAGTGAGACCGAGAGCAAAGAAAACAAGTTCCATAATGTAACGCGCAATAATTAGTTGTAGGTTGAATTGAATTGTTAAAAATTTAATTAGGAAATATCATTGATGTCTTCTTGTGATGTTGTGGTATTTTTTTTCTTCAGAATAAAATATGAATCCCTTTCCATACTCCAAGTCAATCTAATAAAATTAACTCTCAAGGTTATCGGGCGAATGGTGCGCCAAAAAGGAACTAAACAGACGACTGACTATCGACTACATAGATTTTGTTTGTTGTCTTCTTATACACGAACCGCTTCTAACTTGTTCACTTTACGATTGTGTTGTGAAGTATAAAGAAAGGAAGCGATGAGAAAGAAAAGAGAAAACATTTTTCGAAGTGAGAGAGAATCGACCAGAAAATATAAATTTAACGACATTTATCTTCCTTTTACGACCGTAAGGCTGTGAGTGTAAAAGCTGTTCGTTCAGTCCCGTCTACATCATTCAATATTCATTCTTGCTTCGAATTCGTGCGCTCTGAAAATTATAAAAAACAAAAAAATATTTGAGGGAAGGCAGCCAACAACAAAGTCCATGTGGCTGACAATTCTCACATTGCTTCGCGTCTTGCACAACACAACATCAAACGTTCAATGCTCAGGGAAATATGTTAGCTAATGTTAGTGAAATATTTATTTTCTCTCTTTTCTCTCATGCTCTTAAGTTTCCTCAATTCAACTTTTCATACATATTCGTCAGTCATATTTCGTATCTCTGACGGTGTGCATGCATTTCGGGTTTTATCCTGATTCAAGCGCGGTTTTTTTCCTAACAAAATAACGCAAAATATTGATAACACGAAAGTGAGGCTCATGAACTGAGTTTTAATGTCAAGTCGCGGAACATTTATAAGAATATAATTACAAGTAAAAATCAATAAACTTGTCCAATGATTCATTACGAAGAGAGAGAAAAAATTTCCCCAAATAAAATTCAAGTATAATAAAAATAAAAGTAAGCAAAGAAATATATATAAATTGTGAAACGAATTTCTTTCGGTTCTGGGCAAGAATTGAAAAAAAAAAAATCAATTTCATCATCATTAACAGAAAAGTAGAGTGAATCAAAATAATTTAAAAATTCGTCTACAAGATTCGTTGGATAGAAAGCAAAACATAAAATAACAATTCAAGAAAAAAGTCGAATAAGATTCCATAAACTTCACCGGCAAAAAAAAAGAAAGAAAGAACTTAGCAAGAAGAAAATCCGAAAGATTCCGATTTGTTAATATCCAAAAGCCGGAATCGTGTGTAAGACTCAACGATCTAAAAATACAAAAAGTATTAAAAAAATTTGATGTTACTTAATTAGCTCTGAAGTAGACGTGATTTTCCTTCATTCTGGTGTGATTTCCCAAGCTAAATTTATAATAAATAACGAGCGTGCTCGACGACTGTAGATGTCGAGAAGTGTTTCAACTGTGTAGCAATTAAAAAGAGCCTCTCGAGACGCATTTAATTGCTCGTTAATTAATTTCGATGGTGCGCGCATTTTTGTATCGCGGCCAGTACATATAAGAAAGAGAGAAAAAAAATCTTATTTGAACAATTAAAGCCGGATTATCAGAATAAATGAATATTAATTGAGGACCGAAATATTTTCAACAACAAGAATTGCAAACAAGAAGAAGTCAATAAAGTCAATGAACGCAAATTAGCAGTGACATTAACAGCTAATTACGAATATTTAAGGTAAACAGATTGTTTTCTTCTTCATCATTTCTACTGTTTGTTCAGTTAATTTGTTATTGTACAATCAACGGCTCCAGGGGTTATTTTTGACGTTGATTTTTTATGGGGCGCTTATGAGTAAACTCATAAATAGCGGGGGTGAAAGAAAAATAACTACAGAAATGGTTCACCTTTGATAGGTAAAAAAAACTATGAAAAGCGATTAGCTCAAAACTAAGTAGAAAACTTTTCTTTCATTCTATGTTTGTTCGGGGGGAAAAGCTTGAACAAATAAAACTCATTATTTGATGGACTTCGTTTTAGCTGAAAGTTTGTAAAACTAACTCATTAGTGAAGTCATTTATTGATTTTACCTGATCTTTTTTCCTTTTTCTATCGCCTCCTATCTTTCCAACCCGCCGCTTTCAAATGAAAATGAAAGAACGCTTCAAGAGAATAATTCATTTCCGCTTAATTTCTGCTTATTCAATTTCTTGATTTCACACGATACACAAAATTTTTTATAATTTTTTTTTGCGGGGCGATTCTCGTTTTCGGAATGTATTTTATTTTCGACTTTAATACATTTGCTGTTGGTGTATATGAGAAGGAATGAAGCAGCAAAGAACACAACAACAACAAAGTTCAAAGCCAAAACGTGCTAGGTTGTCAGACGGTTTCTTTCCTCTGTTCATTCTCTACTCGACTCTTAATTTTTAACTCCAAAAATTATTGAACGAGAATTTCTTAAATCGCCGCGTCGAGTAGTTTTTGAATGATTCACGCGAACATTATGAATGTCCGGCTTGAATATTTAGCTGTAAACTAGTAAATGCAAAGATATATAAGCAGCAACACATAAAATAAATTACAAAGCGATGAGGTAAAAGTGGTAAAAGAAAGGAAAAAGGTGTAAGCAACCCGCGGATCGATAATTTTTCCCCTTCGACATCAAAAACCGTTAATAAAAAAATTGTTAAATTTAATTAAAAGAAAATAGCCGTTGAGAGAAAGGTGGGAATTGTAACGAAAAAGGGTTATCAAAAAGTAATTAGCTAAAAGTGAAAATTAAATGTTTTATGGATGGAAGAGGCGATGAACGACCAGTGGGTTGAATACGAATAAAGCAAATGGTATACTCGAATTCTAAAATCTACAGCTGAGTCCATGAAAACAGAGATAAGAAAATGCAAAGAAGGTCGACATAAAGGGAAGTGTTGGCCTGTTTTCTAAATGCTTTTCATTAAATTATTTCCTACACGGATCCAAATTTACACAAACTAGAAAAATAAAATGATTCAATAGAAATTTATTAGTCTTCAATGTAAATTTTTACTAAGAAAGAAAAGAAATATTTTTGATTAAGAAATGTTTTAAAATTGAAAACAATCATTATGAAAAGCATGTCACATTTGGATAACTTTTCATGGATTAAATTTAATCACTGCTGCCTTTACGAAAAACCCAAAAAGCATGTTTAACATTCAATGAACTCGTTGAGTCAATAAAGCTTCTAAATCACATAATACCAATTCATGATTTTCATTCTAAGCGCCTTCCAAATTACTTAATTGGAGATTTCTTGCTTATCTTACTAATTAATTTTGACATTTTTCGTATATTTTAAAATGAGGGATTATAAAGATAATGAAATTGAAAAGAGAGATGGAGAGAGAAAGAGAAAAAAAATCTCATGCTTCGCATTTCCGCTTCTTTAATCGTCGTCGTGACTCACAAACGCTCTGTAATTAAAAAGCAATATTGTTGACTTGACTGTTGTTATTGTTTCCTTTTCATTCTTTTTTTTTATTGGAGAACTTTACATTAATATTGTATGAAATTTAGTTAGTTATCTTGGGAAGTAAGAAAAAAGTTTTTTAACGCGACGGAATTTGATGCTTTATTGACTTTGCTTTGACAAATGTTCCTCTTATGCACATAAACTTATGCTGATTTTATAGTTTTTGTCTGCAAATGAAAACCATTAATGAAAGATTCATTATTTAATTATAAAGCGGACGTGTAGACATTCATGTTTCATTTTATAATTTTGCCTGTGTTGATTAAAATTTCTAACTAATGTTGTTGTTATTGCTGCTAATATCCTGAGAGATGTCATTGCTGTTTGTGTATGTGCCATTCATTCAACACCGAACCCTCACTCGTACATGAAAAATTGAAAATTCCATTGTTCAATTTAATAAATTTAATTTTCATTGCGAGCGATGCGAAGTTGCCAAACTTATCCAAGCCACCCTAAGTTTTATTGACTTCTTTGAGTCTTTTCATTCCTGTTCGTTGTTGACTTTCAAGTGAGAATGAAAGTCGAGAGCGATGTTGTGAAAATGTTCCAGACTAGTCCATGGGGTGAATTTCGAATAACTATACAAACACCTTTCGATACTAACAATATTCAGAGATAGAAAACTAATTATTGAATGTTTATCTGATAATTATCAATAATAATAATAAGCAATTTATCTCAAAAATTCATAACAACATGTTCTTGTAATTTAATTAAATTATCTTTCAATTAAAATAACAAGTTAAGTTTTAACAAATTTTCTCATCCCTGTAATCAACGATAACAATCATCAAACCACTAGTAACATTGTAGAAAGTATTTACGTAATTAGTTCTGACACATGTGATGTAAAATGTTAATAACAAGTCATAAATTTATGTTCTCGTTATTTTCCATGTCTTTTCACGTAAAGAAATCGATCAAGGAAAAAATAAAATAAATTATTATCGGAAAAATGAGAAAGTCAGCTGCAAATTTGCGACAATAAATAATTGCCTCCCCCGCTTACGTGCATCACAACACATATAGCAAAACACATATGGGATGAGAGAGAGAGAGAGAGTGGCAATAAATCTTCACAGCGCAAATTGCTAAATATTTTCCATTTAATTGTTGCTGAAAAAGAAGTAAAATAAATTAATTTCTTCTCTGCCATCCACTGTTGTTCCCATGAACACACATTTATTTATAAGTAAATACACACACACACACACATAGACGGCGTTTCATTGCTTGGGAAATCAATTATTTCTGATCTTTTCCTGATGCTTACTTACATGTCGAGCAGTTGTAAAATTGCAGGTAGAAAAATAAGAATCCCTTTCAATTGAAAGAATAATTGTGGAACCGTATCCTTCTCAGACGATGTTTGCTTACCTCAGCATACAAAATGTTAGTACCTATTTTTGACCCTGAAAGAGCGACTAGTAAAGAAATTAAGCATAGAATTCTTTTGTAATTGATCGACCCTATTAAAAATATTTATAGAAATCATGAGAGTAAAGTTTCTTTACTGTCAATAATTTTCCTACGTATATGTCGTCTTGTTGATTGCATCACGATGTGTACTGACCCGTTTCCTAATTGATTCAGCTCCTTTTTTCCTTGCTATTAAATGAAGTAAAGTTAAACAATTTAGAAGTCGAGGCAACATAAACTTTAAGGGTGAAAAAAAAGTTGAAAAGGAAAATGAGATAAAAATATTTTTCTTCTATCTTCAAGTCGGCGAACTCTGTAAAGGAACAACAACAAGAAAATTAATTTAATTTTTAATTAATCATTTTCCCTTGTTTCACCTTAAATCCTTCCTTCAGAATTCAACTTTCTCTTCATCTTGTTTGTTGTTGTTAGTCGTTTTTCTAAACGCAAAAAGCGGTGGTGTCTGTTACACATTTTCTTCCTTATTCTCCTACTTCCATTACTGTCTTCCCATTCTCTCTGGAAGACGTCTTCTCATTCACCTTTTATTTCGTCTCGAAAATAACACAAAAATTAATTAGAATTATTTTCTCCCCCGAAGACACTCAACTCGCACCCTACGTTCGCCTTTCGTTAAGGAAAGAGAAAACAGAAATTTAATTAATCCACTAAATACCTAATAAAAGAAACGTGAGAATGGATTTACGTTGAATTGCGAAAAGACGGAGAAAAGTGAAGAAGGAAGACTTCTTCTCATTGAGGTTTTTCTTTTTCACTTTTTCCGTCTCCAAAAAATTGTATTGAAAGAAACATTTTGTTCTGTTGGAGAAAACAGGAGAGAGAAAAAAAATTGGAAAACATTCAATAACACAATTACTGAGTTCAGTCATGTCATGTCGATTGAATACAATCAAAGTAGAATTTTCCTTCGGCTTTGTTTCAATCACTGGCAATTATTTTCCAATAAAGAAATTCATCTTGAACACATTTTTTTTCCTCGTTAACAATTGAAATAAATCCGGTGTCGCTTCGAGATAATAATCTATATGATGTTATGAATTCTTCTTTATTTAATGTTCTAATGAGAATGTTTCACTAATGATCATTTATTTATATCTTAAATAATCTATCTGGTTATAATTTGCTTCCAGCTGTTTCAATAATTCTCAATTAAATATCTCCACATCAATTGATTTTCTTTTAATTTAATTGTTTCTCTGGAAATTTGCTTGTCGCATTTTTGTATTATTCGTGTATTTCTTGATTTCTTTAGTTAATTGAATCAAAAGAAAACGCTTCAAGCTTCTTGATTTCTAAAGAAGGAAACATCATGAATGTTTAAAATTAGAATTATTGACGAAGAAAAAAGATTGACGGATTGAAATGACGAAAACAGACTTTTCTTCCATACATTTAAATTAATTATGTTTTCGTTTCTCGAGACCATCACAGTGATTAAAACTAATCCCTTAAAGTGAGACTTTTCTTTAATGAGTTGTCGAAATAGAGGAAATATTTTGATAAGTTTCTTATGTTGTTAATTTACATGTTAAAATGGATAGCGTGATGAATTGTACTTAAGACTCTTTAGAGAAGAAAAATATTTTTGTTTCGGTTTCAAATTTGGAAATATTATCATCAAACAATTACCGAGTAAACATAAATAATCCCCCTTTAAGCTATCATAACTAACAGCACATTTTGCCATCAAAGATATAACACTAACTGACTTTAACAATGACGAGCAGAAAACATTTTCTTTTTTTCCTGCTTCGAGCGACATGCTCCCGATTAAGGCAAAGACCTGTCTACCAATTTAAGCAGGAACGGGAGAAAAGTTAAAGCGAAAAAAAGGCAAAATTTCCACGTCATACATTTCAATTATCTTAAGTAGCACTTAAATTAATAAAATTTTATACTCTGCTGGGTGTGTGCAGGGCGAGTGAATTAGAGGGTGATAGCTTGATGGCTCCTGTCACTCACTGGTCTGCCGTTATGTAAAAATTTGTACTTTAAGATGAATTGCGTTGGAGAATCTTCGATGTTTTCGATAATCTATCAAAACAAAAATCGAAAAAAGAAAAGTGAAAAGAGTAAAAACTTTTTCATCCAAGTTTCTCGCCCTTCGCAACATTTCCACATTCATTTGGGAGAATTTCCATCTTATTCATCTAATGGATGGCAAGCAAGCAATGTGCTGGGGATGGTGGAAAAGAATTCTATTATATATGGAACTCTCCAGTTTTCATTGTCGTAATTGGATGGGAAATGATTGAATCATCGTGCGTTACTTCGATACGAAAGAGAAAGGAAAAAAAAGAAGCTAAAACGGCAAATGGAAAGGGAAAAAAATCATCAGACATGTAATCGGAGAATTTTATTTCGATTAAATTCTATTAGAGAGATTGTTCTGTTTCTCTGTTTCGATAACAGAGGCTTTGCTTCGTCCGACACTCTAGAGTGCTAATCTCTAATTAATTTAATGAATTCCTAACCGTAATTAACATCCATCGTCTCGTTTCGCATAGCGATTGTCAAAGTGTCGAAATCGCTGAAAACTCAAACTTCATACGCTCGCAGTTCAGATTTAATTAAAAACTGATTAACGACTAAAAGCATTGTGCGCGTAATTAGATTTCGAAAATTAATTAATCACTTCACCATTAGACTGATGAGAGAAAAACTTGGGAATTATGAGCTTTACTCTTCCATGATAGACGACGACTGGGAAAAGTAATTACAAAATGAAAAGTCATCAACTTTTCTCTCTCTTGCTAAACATCGAAAAAAAAAGTTTTCCGTTTCTGTCTGTCAACGAAGACGATGGAAAACTCACCGAAAGAATCAAAAGCAACAGCTTTTCAAATGGCCTCAACTTTCAAAGTATGTGCTTTCATGAAAATATGTTTCCTTATTTTCGACCCCTCACCAACCAACAACCTTCCACAATAAGCAATTAAAAACATGTTGCAAAGCTTCACAAAACACAGAAAAAAATATAAGAATAGGCATTGGAGCAATTTCTCAAATCTGTAACAGACAAAATAATGAAATTTCAGTGTAAGGAAAATTTTCAATTGGACACATTTCAATAAGAGTAAAGTTGCTTCTTATACAAATTTTACAACTGAAATTGGAAGAATTTTTTGTTTTCTGTAAAAGTCTGGTTTTGTGTTTGAATACTTAACAGCTTGAGGCTTCAAAGTTGGAAATTGTTTAATTAAACTTTTGAAATTCTAATAAGAAAACGAGCACGCGTGTATCAAAACTTTAATCATTTGTTAATTTGTTGGGATATTTGACTTCAAAGATATTTTGAAATATTTATTGTCAAGACAATAAACATATTTTTTTTAGAATTCTCAGATTCAAATGCTTAGATTTAAAAAAAGATTTTTGAATGTCATTCAGACCGCTATAGGTTAATTTTAAAAATAAACTTCAACTCAAAAAATGTGTACAAAGTTCGCTATTTGCTTTTCTATTTAAATAAAAAAATCTTTCTTGACATTCAATGATATTTCTAGTCAACAAAGCAAACTGAAGAGCCGTGAAAAATTGTTTACAATCATAAAAAATATTTCATTTCATTAATTTTCACGCAAACATCCTTTACACTGAGAATACTAAACAACATCCCAAGCGATAAGAAAATGCGACTGGAAAGTGTCAGACCGCATTCGCGTTAAATCTGACATCGGGGAGAGATTTGTAAGTTTTAAGATATTCCAAGATGCCTCATCTGGTTGTTTTGTTCTGTATTTTTACATTCTTAATAATTTTGTCTTGTTCTTATGTCGAGAATTCACCGACCCGCGCGCGTAAGCGACACTAAAAACTGTAGTTTTTCTTTATAGTGTCGTGAGAGAGATTTATGATCGCCTAACAAAGAAACAAGCATGTAAAGCTAGAATAAAAGGATGAAAAAAACGAAATGTTTACATTTCTTTTTGTAGGATTACGGTAGAAAATTATGAGATTCAGTTATGAGACACCTTAACAGCATCCCTTTTGTTTCATCCACTTAAAAGGCTTAGCTATGGTAAAATGGAATAATTTTTAAAAAATAAAAGGAGAAGAACAATTAATCTTGATTGTCCTATGGCAGTAGTCAAATGAGTTTTACAGATCCAAACAAACAAACAAACAAATAGTCAAAGGCTTTTCCCTCTAAAGAAATTAGATTTTAATGCTTTCAAAAGTGGACCAAACTTTTATTTCTAAGTTATCACAGACTCGAATGGGCTTCGTCTTGAAAACAAAAAGAAAAACGAGGAATCGTAAAAAGATGAAAAGCGAAAGAAATTGTAAGGGAGCGTCTTATGCTAATCTGCAAGTGTCTTGCGGCTACAAAGCATTTTCTTTTAAACTCTTCTCTTCATCTCCATTTTTTCTCTTTTTTGCCCCTGAAGAAAACAACAAAACGATTTAATCGTTCCGAAAAGTTTTTCTTCGTCGAGATGGTGGGAGCAACGAGCAAGAGGGCAAAAAGGTACACAATGAACATAACTAACTTTTCTTTATTCACTCGAAACGCACCCAAGCCAGACATTGAAGAGTTTTAAGAGGTAATAAGCAAATCTCAAAAAAATTCTTTCTGACTCGAATCTGAACTTTAATAATTGTTGCGAAAAGCCGCACAGCTAACGAAGACACAATTAGAAAAGTTTGAAAGTGAAGAAAAATTCATCTCTCGTCTCCTCAGTGTTTTGTTTGTTGAGGGTGGAGAGAAAGTTCAGTTTAAATTAAGGGTTTCATGAAAAATAATTAAAGGTATATCAGTAACACATGTGGCCCATCAGACAATCTTTCCCCTTCAATTTAAAGAAAAATGATTGCGATAGGAATCTCAAAAGAAACAAAATTCGAGAAACGAATGGAAATAAATCTGAACAAAGTGCAACAAGAGCTCTAAATCGATTTTTAAAAAGATGAGAATTGTAAAAACAAACAATAAAAAAGCAAGAATGACCATAAAACCGGTTCTCTCGTCTTCTTCTTTCTTTTTCCCATACTTGTCTCGCTTATCTTTAAAATATCCTGCCTTTTGTTGTACTTCTTCTTGATTTCAATTTCTTCTTTGGTCTTTTCTAGCATGATTTTTGTCTTTCAATAAACTCATGTGTGCACTTCAACAATTTATTCTCAATTTTTCTATTTCATCTTCAACCTTAACCAAGAAAATATGTACCTTAATTAAATAGAGAAACTTGAAATCGGTCAACTATACTCAACTAGAGAGTTTATATAACGCAACGTGTTGTCTCGGAGAGTCATAAACGATGATTGAATGCATTTATGACAACTTTGATCCTCCTTCATACTTTGTGTTCGTTTCATTCGTCCCAGATGTCAATACTTGCTTGTAACCTGATGTTTTAAAATTTTCCAGAAATATTTCTTCTCTTAAATCTGTCAATTTAAAACAAAACTTCACTTTAATGATAAAAATTTGATGGAAAAAAAAGAAATTCTGCCATTGACTTTTGTTATGAGAAATAAACGATTAAAATCTCTCCGTGACATCAAATTATTTTATTGTTCTAATAAAAACTTTTATGTTTGTAATAAAAACTATGATTGCAATCAAATCATTTGTAATCTTTAATGTTGACAGAAAAATTTAATATTTTCTTAATTTACAAAATCTTGGGAAATTTTCTTCTTCGTTTTTGTGTTTAAAGTGTTACAAAAACTTCAAATTTATGTACGTAAGAAAAGATGAAGACAAAAAACCTTTAATGACATAACAGTTTGTGTTCTAACGACACTTTGTTCAAGTAATCATCACAATTTCGTTCATTATAATCTCATTTTCGATTTTCCATAAATCGCTCATTAATGTCTCGTTTTTCGGGTTGAAAATGTGTGCGATATTTAATGCAATGACAAGACTTATGTTACTCTTTACCCTCGTTTTACTTTCTCGCACGATGACTTTTAATTCAATTTCAAATCTTTTAATTGGATTTCTTTTTCACAACTTTGAGCTTCTGGTGTTGAGAAAAGAGCTTCTTCTAGTTTTAATGGCTCTACATTTCCTTCATTTCATTTGCCAGATAATCAACACGTAAAGTTTTCCTTTCCCATTCAATGTGAATTCAATTGGTTTTTAGCGGACGATGAAGAAAGAAAAAAGATTTCTGTTAAGGTGAATCAAGGTAATGGAGAAGATTGAGTGGAACACAAGATGACACATGACATTAAAAGAAGGAGAAACAAACTTTTATAATGAGTTTGTGTACAGTTCAGCGATCGTTTCGATAACACTAGAAGTGACGAAGGTTAAAAAAAATTACAACCGCATTCCCAATTGAAATTCAATTGCATTAGATGTTGTTAAACTGCAAGTGGAAGTAAAGAGAAATAAATTTTAAAACTTTGAGTCATTAGTTTATATTTCTTTTCTTTTTCTTTGTGCAAAAGAATGGAAATTGTTGATGAAGCGTACACATTTGAATCATCATTAATTTCTTTACTTTCAATTCTTTTTATTATTCGCTTTCCTTAAACAAGACTCTCTCTCTGAATCTCTCCATACGTCCCTGAAAATAATAGTCTTAATTAAATGATATCCCTAGTCAGTGCTTGCTATGACAATGCTTGAAGATTGTTTGAAATCAAAATGTTTTTACGAAACAGATGAGAGCGAAGTCGAAACGAGTGTGTACACATTTTGAAAATGAAAATGATGCTCGGAACTGCTCCGTCAGCACAATGAATGCAATTAAACTCTTTTCATAAGCATTGACGTCGTCTCTAGTGCTTCCATGTGTGCTTGGGATTTTTTTTTTCGGGCGAAATGTCGTCGTCATTTCATTGAATGAATACGGTAAATGAAATCCATGGAACATCTATTCAGTCACTCATCTGTGTGGTGAGCTTGTATGGGTTACACAAAAGTGTCGGTAAGAGAGTGAGAAAGAAAATTGAAAATTCAACAAAAATTTCGTCTGAATGAGACAATCAACGAAGCTTCATTAGCACTAATGATGTCATAGAAAATTAATTTTTTTTTCTCTCTCTTGTGAAAAGAAGCGCAAAAGGTTCACAACTAGATATTCATTCTCGAATATTGTTGTTGAAAATATATTAACGATGATTTCTGGCATCATCATGAGTGATGATTCAAATGAAAATAAACGAGAAGACGACATTTCTTCCCCTGTCCGGGGATGAATTGGTCAATATAATGTACAACATACCTACTTAGTTCAAGAGAACAATAAAATGCCTTTGCATTCGACATCATGCAAAGCATATCAATAGAATTTTCAATGAAATATTTCTGTATAGATGGAAAATATATTTCCAAGTCATCTTGTGTTTGTTTGTCGAAAGAAAAGTAAAGGAAAGATCTGATGATGAAATATCAAAAAAGTAGGAAAAAATTAACAAAGTTTATCCTGATGCTCTTTATTTGTTTAATTATTTTCCAATCATTTCTGGTCCGGAGCCGATGTTCTTGTCTGCCAATTAGATTTCTAACTACAATCTCCCGGTAATGGACTCATCTCGAGAGAGGAACAAAAGGCGTCTGCCAAGCTTTATTGTTAAATAAAATGATGCGAAATCATGATGGGTCATGATAGGTGACCTCAACTCATCCTCTCTTATCTTCACGTCACACAATATCCAATAACAAAGTGAACGTTCGAAACAGCTCGATGAGTGAATGAATAAGTGAACCGAAAATTGATGATTGCCTGGAAGAATTGTTTGGTAACGACTGACTGAGGCTGATATGGTGATTTTTACAATCTATTCACAATTTCTGCTCGCTTGATGTTTTTCCGAAACATTCTTGAGATTTTTATTTACTTCTTCTTTCTTTACGTTTTCTTTCTATGAAGTCATCAGGGATTTATTGAATGATGATGATTCATTACATTTATTTCTCCCAATTCTCTTTCTCATGTCGTGGCATGAGTGATGGAATAGATGAAATGCAGAAGAGAAGTAAAGAAGTTAACAAGACATACATTCTATGATCGGATGTGATTATTTATCTGCAAAAAAGATGATTCGAGTAATTTTGTGAGAAAATTGTTTTTGATTGTTTAACTATCGTGATGACTAGTTAGAGTTTAAATGCTTATTATGTGAACTATTTGTTCGATCGTTTCACAAAGATGCTCCATAACTATTTGTTTTTTAAATGAGATTACAATTTTTGGAGTTTTGAAATTGGACAATCATTTTTCGTGTGGTGGTTGATTGGATCAGTTTGTCAGTTTTTTTACTATTTGTGCTTTGTTAAACCAGATCAATTCGCAATGTATTCAGAAAAATTTACAATTGTAAATATATTTTTAGTCAAGAGAATATTTAATTGAAATCTCATAATAAAGAAACGAGTGTAATTAAAAAGAAATAGAAAAATATAATTCTTGAGACACTAATGAGGCTTTTATGGAATATCTACATAAGCAAAGTCAGATTAACCTACTCAAATTTGCAATTAAAACATTCCATTCGCTTCTTATTCCTTCAAACGATGTCATTCTGATTATTATTATTATTTTTTTTTTGCATTCAACTTGTTGACTAACTAATTAACCGAACTTTTAATGAAGCTAATAAACTCCACACATTCGTTTTCAATTAACTTGTTTCCCACCACAAACGCCTTTTAAGACATTTTCATTCTCTTAACATTGCATTTTTAATTAATTCGTTTGCTTGTGCATTTTTCACTTTTTCATTTTAATATTGAAGGCGATTTCATTTCATTACCACGCTACACAATAAAGAAAGAAAAATTGCGACAACAGCAGCAAGCAAACAAACCAGCAATATAATGGGGAGGTTCATTAAACTCTATTTCCTTTTTAAGAAGCGTCCAGTATGGTAATTACAATCGCATAAAATGGTGTTGTTTTATAAACTTCATTTCTACGCTTTATTTCGGATGTCGAGTAAATGAGCTGGTGACGAATACGAAGCACATAAAAAATTGGTTAATTAAATGCTTCGCTAAACAGTAAAATAGATAATTATGCATGCGATATGAACCATAGAGTTCTTGGTCGAAAAGTCGAGTGAAGTTCGCGACGAAAAGGTGAAACAAAAAATAAAAGACGTTGATAAACTGTCTTGATGGTGGTTCCTGTTTGAGCGAAACTGTTAACTTCACGCATGAACAAGTTTTTCTTCTTCTCTTTTTGTTTCATACCAACTTGAATCACATTTATAAAGAATTTGGAAAATTTTCATTCAACTGATGACTTAAAAAGAAATAAAATGTGCTGCTTGCTCTTCTGCATGATCATCATTGTCGAAGGTGTTAAGCATCTGTTCCACAAACAACAATTAACTATTGTAGTCAAGATGTTTGTGAATAGAGAATCTAATTAGGACTTCAAGTTAACTAAAACCCTTTTTCTTCACATTTGGCATTTGGAATGATGAATAGAAAAATCATATTTATAATCATCATTTTGACGATCCTTTATAGCACGTCATTAGCATCTTTACATCAGCTTTTCTTCGTAAGAAAAACTAGAATGAAAGAAGATCTACAGGTGTTAATTTTTTCATAATAATAACAGCGTTGTAAAATTATAAATTAGAGCCTAAAGGAGAATGAAGTCAAGAAATTGAAGAAGGAAGAAAAAAAGCGTCGAAACAATTGACTAATTTATGGAGGAAACAATTTTTTACTGCGCTTTTATGTTAATCAACTGGAATGAAGTGCGATAATTTTTCAAAAGAAAAAGATGCAAATTGCTTTTGCACCTGACCGACATTATTTTTTCCCTCTGCCGAAATTTCTTTCTTTTTTTTATTATTTAAAAAGTGGAAAGTTAAGAAAACTTCAAAGCTTTTGATTTACTGTAATGTGTATTTAGTGTTCACTGATTTATGAGGATGATGTGATAGTGAAACTACATTCAAATAAATAAATAAGGTTTAAGTGTGCTAGCGAATGTCTCAAAATTTCTCACAATGGAGTTGAGAGTCTGAACAAAGTGATAATTTATAACAAGTTGCACAAATATTTTAAGTCTATCAACTGTTATTATGCAAATATCTTCGTAGGAACTTTTCCATATATGTAATCACATATCGCATGCTAAAAATTACTTCATTTAAGCAACTTCAAAAAATTGATTGTAATTATTTTCGACTATTTTTACCTCCTTCCAACTTACACAGTCAGAAATTCGATAAATTAATGGATGGGAAAGGTGTTCTTTGCTCCTCGATTAAACGATTTTCTCAAGATTGTTATTCACCTTTTCTTTGCTTGATTCGAGACATGCCGCGTTGTGAACAAGACGTGTGCTCCAATAGTGTGTCGATTAGGGGAATCACGTAGAGAAAACAGTTTCTTAATTGCATCACTGGCAAATCAAACAACGTCTCATGCCTCTACTTCATGTTCTTTCCTTCAGCCCACATAGTGTGAGGCGAGCAAAGTTTTGCGTTGTTTTCAGTCCATCAACTACTATTTCATCTACAGAAATGCAAAGAGCTGAAAAGAAACCGCACGCAAATATGTTTTTAATTAAATTCCAACAAGTCTACCTGACTTCATCCAGCAATCTGATATTGACAACTTTTAAGACATGAAAAGGTGTAAATTTCATGATGTTAGGAAAATTTGGTAGATAACTTTTGTTAAACAAAAATACAAAAATTCTTTGTGGTTTGAATGTTTCTGCTGCTGCACTTTCAGTAAATTGAATTTATTATCAACAATTAGCCAATAACTTTGCTGAAGTCAAAGCTTATCATCATCGCAATAAAAAGCCTCTTAACACCATTAAAATGCTTCATCGTCTGGAATGCTTTCATGCACCTCAATTGTGGGAAAATGAATTTTTATATCATAATAATAAAGAACCTTTGAACCTTCAGCAGAGTTTTCTTTTTATTCTCGTCTTCGTCTTTCCTTCAGGGATGAGAATTTCACAAACGACAATGTTAAACATTAGGAAATATTTATTAAAGTTTTAATCAACTTCAAACAATTTCTTTTCTCATAATCCCATCTCTGAACTTCTCGATTCACAAAATGCGAACTGTAAAAGGAAGAATTAAAAAAATTCTCTCAGGTTTTTCTTTCACTGTTGTTGCAATGAGAAAAAGTTCTTTCCAGCCAACTAAAGAAACCAACGATGAACAAGGAGAAAAAGAAGAAAAATCGCGCGGCTCTCCTTAGCGATATAAAACGTTGTGAGAAGACGAATAAAAATGGTTATTAATAAGACTCGCCATACCGATCATGAGGCATTCCCCCGAAATTTAAAAAAAAAGAACAGAATCATTCTGTGTAGGTAAACGAATAATCATTCTTTAATGTCTTTAAGAGATTGTCCGTTCGTGCATATCAAATAAAACCGGTTTTTATCGTTTGTGGAATATTTTTTTTGCTGCTTTATTCTTTCTCTCTTTCGACACAGAACCAGACGTTAAAGATGAAGAGATGTACGAGAAGAAGTTCGTCTTTTTTGAAGGGGGAAAAAAGAAACCGAGGAGAGAAGACATAAAAAATCATGCCATTACTTGCCACGTTAAGAAAGTGAATTATTAAATTATCTTTGTGAGTTTTTTTTTTACTTTACTTGCTGTCACGGCATGTTTTGTTCGGTTCATAAAAGCGCGAACATGCGACATCGCGGACGGGTGTAAACGGGACAGAAAAAAGAAAGAGAGTGCGGTTAAAACATTGACAAGTATGAATAATTACATTTCGATGATCGAAAGACGAAAATCATTCATATTTATTTTTTTTATACGTCAAGGGGGCAAGCTGATGGTTTGAATGATAATGACTGTAAATGGTGCTGTTATAAACCGCAGGATTGTCACATTTGTGTCGAGATAAATGGATGTTAATTTTATAATATTAAATTGTGTTGCCTCCGTGTGCTTGATGTACGAGTATAAGAGACACGAATGATTTTCAAAGTTGCTTCAAGCAAGTTTCGTTTGTTTCGGTTGTTCCTTCTTCTTCTAATTCCACAAAAAAATGAATTAAAAACAAACTTAATTAAAAATTTTATTCTCTAATTAATGGAAGTTAAACAATCAAGGAAACCGCTCTTTTAATTACTTACACAATTGTCATAATTATCTTTCGAATGGTTTCCATCGGTCGAATAACACAAATGCAGACTTTAAGCATTACAAATCATTAAAATTGCACTTTAATTAGTCGAAAAAAACATAAATTTTGTGAGTTGCAATGATAATTATTCTAGAGGGAAAGCACGAAGACATTATTTGAGCGATGTCTGATGAACATCGTTGCCCAGCATGATGAAAGTAATGAAAGCAAAAGCAAAGAAACAACATCAACAACAAGACATTTATTTAATTTAATCAAATATTAATTAATTATTAAGCAAACTAATTAGTATAAAATATTGTTTCAACAATAAAAAGAAGCAGTCTTGTTGTTATTCTACTCCCCTCAAGGCACGTCTTCTGTTTCACTCTGTAAATCAAGTATATTTAATTCCCTTATTGCTCCAGGCATCGCCTTTTTTCATTGTTTTCTCATTCTGTAATTTTATAATTAATTAAAATATAAATCCTCTAATTATATTTTTACGCTCAATAGAAAAGAGAAAGAGAGGGAAGGGCATCGAGCATGTAGCAACAAGAAACTAAATTATAGCACACTGTTTATGAGTCTAAAGAATATCTTTTACGTTCCTGGAGGCGAGAAAGGAAAGAACGATTCTCATGATAATAATTATGTTCTTCAAATAATCAGACGAAACACATTAAATATAATAATTAACTGTGTTGAATAAAACTGTGATGTATTGGCTTGCACATGAATCTAATTAGGAAAGCTTCGAGCTTCGCTTCCTTTTTGCACAATTAAAATATGACTTTAATATCAAACAATAAAATTTGAGTGAAACACAGTCATTAGTTACTCGTGCACTAATTAACGGTTACATTTTCGATGCTTAATTAGTGAATGGTCTGAAGTCGTACAGCCTGAAGGTATGTCGGTTGACAAATGCCTTTCGTAACAAAAAACGATCAAATTCAAGTCTCAAATAGCAATGCGGTGCTTACAGAAAATATAAATTATAGAAACAGTAAAATATCTATGTTAATTGGAATGATGCAATGCCATTTTATCTTATAAATAAATAAGTCGTTACATAAGCAAAACCTCGTTCAATTGTCAAGTGTCTAACTTTCTTTTTGACAACGTATGGCAAAAAGACTTGTAAGATGAGAGGGAAGGTTCTTGTCTTCATCAGGAATTCTTTGGTTGAGCTTACTTCTTTAAAAGATATCACTTTCGTTTAAAGATGTAAATTGCTGTTTCATTAGCACAATGTAGAGACGAAAGGAATCTTCATTTCCTTACAACCAACAGAAACATCGATGCAAAGTGCTTTCCTTCAAAAGCCTCTTTTTTTCATTTTGTTTGCCTCGTCGTTCTCTTGTTGAATTAAAAACGTTGTGAGACTGTCGACACCTGTTAAATTTCCTTTTCCTTAAGCTTTTCAATATGTAGCTTTTCTTAACCTTTTATTAAGAGAAGTATCGTAGACTTCATTTACATTGTTGCGAATATATAATTTTCAAAGATTTTTTTTGAATTTATTTTTTACTTAACTAAAATAAACGAGAAGGTTGAGAAGCTCTGATATGTACTTTGTAATCTTTATGTTCTATCTTAAGGAAAATGGAACAAGCAAAATCTCCTAGGAATTGTGAAAAGCTTTTGTAAAGAAATTTTCTCCCCTTTTCATTTGAGTATTCGTTCGATTGAAAGTAATTCTGAAATGTTTTCGTCAAATCAACTAAGTGTTGGGAAACAAGAATACTTCTTGTAATTGAAGCTTAAATCCTAAATGAATTAATCAAAAAGATGAATTGACATTCAATGGGAAATTGAAGCCAATGAAAACCTTCTCTCGCTTAATCATTATTTGATGATCATTTTTCGTGAGGCTCTTAACGATTTCATTATTGGTTGAACTTCTGAACTTTTATTTATGCGTGAATTATTAAAAATAGCTTATGCCATAAGCGTTTTTGTTTTCTAACTTAATTTCATGAGGAATGTCAAATAACTTTTAGTTTCCTCAGAACAACAAAAGTTAAAACTTACTTAATAAGGTAATGTGAAAATAATGGAGCGCCGCCAGTTTCTGTTCAAACTTCAAAGCGCCTTTTTTCTTCATTCTTTCCTTAATCGTTTAACTATTCGTCAAGAAACTTTTGACATTGAGCACCGGTGAATAAACTTTTCATTGTAAACACGTAAGCATTACAAAGTTGTTTCAAGTTTTTCCATGAGTTTCCATTTGTTAGTTTCGTTAGGAAAAATTTCTGCTTTCAACTTCCTTTCTGTTCGCGTAACTTCTTTTTCCTTTAAATTTTTTTTCAAAGAAGTTTCATGTTAATCAGAATAAAATGAACATAAAAATAGTTGAGCAATCGTAAGCAGGTTGCCTTCGTACGGCAAAAGAAATGACGTAAAATCTTTGTTCAACAACGACAACCCTTCGAACTAATTAGCTAATGACTGTTTGATTCATTATTATGCAATTCTTTCATTTAATTAATTAACATCACAAACCCAGCACTTAAGAATATTAATTAGGAAAATGGTGCAAGCAGTCAAGCTTTAAACGAATAAAATGAGAGAAATTGTTAATTAAAAATGTTCATCCTTTAACAGTCGTTGGCCCGCCCGTCAGTAACTGAAACTATCGTAGTTACATTTCAAAAATTCCATTCGAAAAGAAGCAGACGGCAGAAACAGCTCAACATTAAAATCACTCAATCACATCAGACTCCTTAATTAACAAAATGAGATCCAACGAGTGCTACACTCCCCTCTGCATTTGAATCTCTTATACAAGCATTACCAATCTCTGTAATTTTACATTCGAAAAAAGCTTTAATTAAATTAATTAAAAGTATACATACATCGACGGTGAAGAAGAGAAAGAGAGAATGCTATTTATATCCATAAGTATCAAAGCATGAATGCCAGATTGAGTTACACACAATTTAAATGTCTCTCTCACTCTCTTTCTTCTTCCCCAAATTTTTATTTAATTCACTAAACGAATGAATATTCCCCATCCCCCCTTTTTATTTCTTATTCTTTTCTTGTTATTTTTCTCATTTGTTATGAAACGAAAATGAGAAAGAGAGAAGGAGAAATGAAAATGTAAAATATTAAAATGTGTAATAAATAAATCACTAATTGGCTCTACATATGATAACTAGCATTTAGTTCCCCGTGCAATGACGATATCTTTTTCTTCTCTCATCCAATTACAGAAATCATCGTGTACCTACATACAAGAAGGTAGACAGTAAGCGAATAATTTGAAGGTGTAAAAAAAGGGGAAGGAAGAGAAGACAACATCGCATGACATCAGCAATCTACCAAATCAATAACGAAGTAACACAGCCAAAGGCAGAGAATCGTTGGAACTAATTAAATTATACTTTTCACGAATTGATTTCTGAATGTCAGTCGCGCAGCAAGGAAAAAAAAGAGATAGATTTAATTAACCATTATCGCATACCATTGATCTCGAAATAACAGAAAGCAAGTGGTAAAAGAAGAAAACAAGAAGAAAAAAAAATTGGAGTGGAACGACGACGAAAAAGAACGTTGATTTTTCGAGATATTTTAATTGCCATCAGCAATCGACCGACCACGAAAAAAAAGAACACGAAGTTGTTATTCAAGTAAAAAGAGTTAAACAAGAAGACTTTTTTTAATTTTGAAGATAACGAAAAAGGAGAACGCGACCGCGACAAGTGGGAAAGGAGAAAAACAAGAAGAGAGACCCACCGAAGCATTGTATGGATGATTAATAAGATGTTCATTTAATGAGGATCAAGATAACTCAACTTTCCACATCTTAAGAAGGAAAATAAGAAGAAGGAAAAGAAAAAAGAAAACGAATCAGAGACAAACGACATTTGGAGCTGGGAGAACTTTTTACCGTTAATTTATGCATTAGCTTCATTAGCTAACGCCATTAAAATCCAATCTTACTCAGATTAAATACTAAGATTAGTGAAAAGAGACAAGAAAAGAAAGAAAGAAGTCTTCGCTTTATTTTGACATCGCAAGTTCTTTGCTTTCACTTTTTCTTTCTTTTTGTTTTTAATTTTTTTCTGAACGAGGAATAATTAAAAATCTGTCAAGCTGGCAGCGGTAGCAATGAATCCCCACTATCATCCGTATTCGGATTTGTCATCGCCCCATCCACCAAGTCCGGATAATAACAATTATCCACCACTAAGTCATCATAATGGACACAGCACATTAAGTCAAATGGATGGCCATCACCAAGGCTTTCATCATATGAATGGAACGATGAAACATTGTGCAGGTTGTGGCGGTGAGTACTATAAATCTATTTGGCGTCGCCTTCCTCAACATTTTTTTTTACATTTCCATTTTCTCTGCTCTTTGTTCTTGTTATCATCCTTTAGGTAAAATAATGGAAAGATATTTTCTACATGCCCTCGACAGATACTGGCACAATTCATGTCTGAAATGCTCCTGCTGTGGTGCAATGTTGGCCGATATTGGAACAAGCTGTTTCACACGAAGTGGAATGATTTTATGCAAGGCTGATTACTCTAGGTGAGTGTTTTTTATTTACCCTCGCTTCACTGAAGTTTTTTCTTTGTTTCTTCATCATTCGTTTCAATATCAATCATCATTTCAATCGACGCCTATAAATCTTGCTTGTGGCTTTTACTTGGTGTCTTCATTCTTCATTTTTTTTCTTCGGATCAAAAATCTTCAGTAAAAAGTATTAAGTTTCAATTAAACGACGGGAACTTTTTTTGTTGGCCACAACTTTTAAGGTTTCTCAAGTTCTTTTCATTTTACTTTTTTTTTGGGAATCACTTGAATCACATTCTATACGTGCTGCAACAAAGCTCAAAATCGTATTAAATTACAAACTTTTTACGTTCTGTTTTATTTTTAAGTTCTATTTGAAAAAACGGAGACCACAAAGAAATGTTTCTTGAGGAGTGATTATTTGCGGACAGAAATATCAATTACAATTGTCATTATTGTAAAACGCAAACACTTTGTGTGTGAGAAAAATGAGCGATTGGAATTTTGTTTCACGAAATGAATATTCAGTCGGGTTGTCGATTAATGTCGTATCAGCTTCGATTGATCAACTTCATTTAGTCATCAATTAATTGCATTTGCAACTAAACTTTCATTTCTAAAAATTAAACTTTCAAGAATAAAAGCGCATCAATTAGTTAGATTACAATTAATCTTTGAATTACAAAT